CTGTGCGTGTAGGGCGCGCTCTTTCAGGCACATCGTATAGTAGGATCTTCCTAACTGTGCTGTCTCCTAGGTGGTAGTAGCCCTGGAGCTGTTGCAGGCCTATTTTAGCGAATTTGAAGAGCCGGCGTATGCCCTCTTTGTGCTTGGTTCTGATCTCTGCACCTGGGAGACGTGGAGACATAGGTGGAGTGGTAAAAGGATCCATAATGGTGGAGTTGTTGATAGTTTAGTCCTAATGTGAAGAGTTTTAATTTCGAGGTTCTACAGCCTGAACGCACGGACTTTTGTCCCCATGTTCGTAAGGAAAGCGTTAACGCCCACTCAGGATCGCTGCCGAGATTACAATGGCCTTGGGGAGGCCGGCCAATTGATAGGATTGGGATCCAGATTCGAGAGGATCAGGAGGAATTGGAGATTTTGGGGATGGAGAGAGCGCCTTGCTCAATAATGCTCAAGGGGGGAAAAAAGGAGTGGGAAAGAGATAGGAAATCAATAAGCATCGTTGCTATGCATTCAGTCACAGTATTCCGCACTACAAGTCTCTACTCCCCTTACTCCCCCTCTCCCTCCAAGCCAAAGAACCATGCAGCTTTCAAAGCCATGCAATGCCCATCCGTGCCCCCGTTCCAAATACCCCATTAAATCCATGCTCACTGTATTTCTGGCTTCCTTTCTACCACTGCCCTAAACCCCATATGTACCCTATCAACACTTCTTGCCTCCCTCCCCCTTTTCCATGCTCTTGAATCACCATGCTCCAATGCAAATCCCGACCCTTTCCTTACCCCCATTTCGCATAAAAGAACTTGAGGTTTCAGACAAACGATAACAATCCATCGAAGTGACGAAAAAGAAAGGGAAAAGACCGATGGAACGCCTTGCTAAGTAAATAGAACGCCGGTGGGATATGATGTTGAAGACGACCAACTGCTAATTCCCAAGCAAGCAAATGATATATGGTCCAGCCAGATCCGTCCCTGCTGGTCGTATGCAATTTATACCCCTCCTTGACTATGTCAGGAACTGCTCTCTGGCTGGTGAAGTCGTGCGCTCAATCTAATGGTCGATCTCGAGGTTGAAGGAGTGTTACCCGAAGGTAGAGGTGGAATTGGTCGCCTCGAGAATGCCTCTGCAAATGTACGATCCAGTCTAGCCACCGTCCTGGGAGATATAGGTTGTAATGTGGCACTCGCAGAGGGTGCTCTAGCGCGGGGGCTAAGATTTGGTCTGGAAAGGAAAGAACTGGTACTGCTAGATGCAGTAGACGTAGTCGGCGGTGGAGGAGAAGGAGTAGCTTGTGACTCCTCATACCGACGATTGTGAGCCTCGATATTTTGGCGCACAATATTGTGTAAGAAATCCGGGATCTGCTGCCATTGCCCCTCTCTGGCAGCGCTCAAGAGTCTTGGATGCATCGCAGGACTGTCCGTCGCGGGTCGTGTTCCTGGAATATTGGCATTTGGTGAGAGATCTGAAGGAAGGTATGGCAGACTTCCTGCCTCAACAGCATCTTTCAACCATTGCTCCCACTCCTCGTCTATGGGAATTGTTGTATTCCCAGCCTCTCGTTGTGCCACTGCCGCTCGCAATCTCTCGTTCAACTCAACGCCCACGCTTGTAATTTCCGCGTCAGATTCTTCCCCATCTTCCTCCATATCATTCTCATTATCGTTCTCTTCCGTCTCTCCATCTCCCTGAATATCTTCCATTTCCTCAATATCTGCGCGTTGGGCGTGTGGAGCAAGAGGTATGCGTAATTCGGGAGGAACCCAATCCTCGATCCCATCAGAAGTCGTATCTCGAATAACGATTCCCTGCTCCCTCTCGAACCGCTCCTTTGCCCATCGTGTGCCCTCCCACTTCGTCAAGCTCGCAATCTCAGACTTCGTCAGTCCCAAGTTATCGAACGCGCGGAAGAGTCGTCGATGCCATGTATATCGCGACAGGCGGACGCGGTGAGGTTGATACGAGTAATCGAGACCCGGATACTTAGCTTCCTGCGAGGACAAATGGCCGTAGAAAGCTTGCGTCTCGAGTCGCACTTCTGGGACTAGATTTCGCTGGAGAAGCTGCTGAAAGTTCTGCGGTTCGGTGGATTTGGGCTTGGGGAACATGCACTCGAATACGAGTTGATCTACCTGCGGGCCCTTCATATTGATGCGGACTGGATATTTGTCGTGCGCGAAGGGGAGGAAAGGTTCGTGGCCTCAGAATTTGTGGTCTTTCTGAGGCGGCGAGTCGAGGCTCAGAGAGGCTTGTGCAGACTCTGCAGGAACTCACTCGGGTTATCTTTCAATCCTTTCTGCTGAGGTGAGGGTGAGGGTGAGGGTGAGGCGCGCCCAAATGGATCCCGCAACGTGTAGGTTGTCGTATTGGGTCTGTGCTGAAAGAATGGAACGAGGTCTTGCGGATTCTGTGTGCGACGTGGAAGGTCGTAGTATCGGACGTGGTCGTCCCTGCCTCCTTCTCTTTATAGACGCCGTTGAATTCCTGGGAAGTCGTGACTGTCAAACGCGAATGATTCAGTCGGGAGGAAAGAGTGAATGATGTAGTCGAGCCGTCTACTCGTAGACTATCCCTTCCGGCGATTCACCAGTGGAGACCAAAAATCTGCCTTTCCAGCTCCACCTTGAACGTTACCTATGTATGTACACGACTCGACGTTGGGAAGATCTGAAAGGGGGTTCGTGGAGGCGTCGCGGGTTCGTTCGATCAATGCGCGGATGAGGAAGGATTGATGGCGAAGGTGGCGGTGGAAAATTCACGTTGGTGAAAGAGGAAGAAGGAATGGAAGGGGGAGGACGAGGACGAGGAAAAGAAAGTCCAGAACGGCGGTGGTGGTGGTGGTGGTGGTGGAGGTGGAGGTCGAATGAATGGTCGAGTTTCCGTGGTTGCGGTGAAGGGAGAGAGAGTGAGTTGGTTTGAGGCCAGTGAGAATTTCGTAATGTCAAGCCATCAACACAACACACACACAACTTAGTGCACCAAGTGATGTAGGTTATGTGCCACCGGAAGAAGGAATGCTGCGACCACTCTCTTCTCCTGTTTCCCTTTCTCCTGAATAATAAAAAACCCAAACTCTGTGTGGGTTCGCCTCGTTCACAAAAGAAATCTTTGTGCTGGATTGGCGGTTGGTGTTCCTCCTGCTGCTCGCTGCCGAATAAATTTCGAGCTTTCGATCTTCTCTTCCTCTTGATTAAACATCAGCCAATGGATCAGCCCTCGTCTCCTATCCTCAGCTGGGCACCGTTTTCCGGGGAATGCTTAAATGAAATAACCTTACCTGAGATCTATTTGCAGAGAGGCACTGGACTGAGTAAGAAGGCGAGAGAAGGAAGCAACTTCAGTCAGCAGCGTGAGAGGGCAGACACCGTAACGTTATATAGAATTCCGGAGATGCACACACGCAGTCAGATACACATACACAGCACACACAACCACATACAGATACGAGATCTCGCAAAGTCAGCAGCAAGCCATCGTCTACCGCATCTGTCCCGGTCTTCTTCGTCCCACCAGCAATCGTCGCACCACCACCACCATCCATCCATCTTCGTACCTTACCTTACCTTACCTATCCTTCCATCCCTATCTTTCCCTATCCCCGTCCGCTCAACATGCAATACAACCCATACAACCTCATGTTATGGACTGACACGTCGAACCCCACATCCGCGTCCAAGTTGTTGACCACCACGTCCCTCCTCCGTCCCTTTCATTCCAGCATCACGAATCCCAGCACCTGACATCCAAATTCTGGACCTTGCACAAGAGCGATTTGCAATCTCAGCCAATCCCTCCCATCCGCACCTCCAATTAGAGAATGCAGCCCTTAACCAATAATCACTGGCCTCACCCACTGGGCTGAGACCTGAGACCCGGCTGCGGGTCAATACAGCACGCAATCAAGGACCTGCAGAACCACAGAGAGAGAAGCCTAGAACAGAACAGGTCGGAATTATTGGGTCGTGCTGCTGGTAACCCGGTGCCATGATTGGATGTCAGCAAAGCCGATGCTTACCTTACCAGATTGACGAACACTATGGAACTGCGCCAACGCACGCATCCGACGAGTAGGTAGTTATCTGATTGATTTCTGATTTGTATAGTAAGTAAGCTAAGTGCGATTGCTGTTGTCATATCAATCTCAGCTCGAGAGTAATTGCAATGCATGTCCCAGGGTATCATCCTTCTCTAGCTCCCGGTACGCCTTGCCATGTCATCCATACCGAGGAAGTTCCTGGGTACATGCTTTTCGATAACTCCATCCATTTCCCCACCATTTGTGTAAATCTCAAAATTAAGCAAGAATCCCATCTAGCAAATATGATGTTCTCATATTCATAGCTCGAGCTCTGGTAAAGTATGATTTCCAGTGGTTGACATCATTTCGACGTCGGTCCAATTACCGCTAGATCCTTGAGCCGCTTGGTTAGCCTCGACGCGAGCCCGGGTTCTATTGTCAGATACCTCAGACTCTTGTGACTGTTCTTGAGCGTGAAACACTACAATGTCCGTCGTCACCGGATCCGGAACTCTTACGTCCACCACGTAAAGGCCTTCATCGTCTACTTCCTCGTCCAATTCATCGTCATCGTCATCGGAACTGAACACACCAACATCTCTTCTGAAATCCCTGAATGAATTATCAAGCTCGGAAAAGTCGTTAATCAGTTTGGTATGTTGGGCTTGCAGTTGGTTGAACATATTTTCGTAATCTGGTCCATCGTCACCAGAAGAATCGTCTTTTCGTGAACGTTCTCTGCCTTCGTCTTCTTCGGATTCAGCATCATCAATGAAGCTGTTTTGGTCGTATTCTTCACTGAAGTGTTTCTCCGAATCATAAGAATCATATGCTGAAGAGTCGTAGTCCAAGCATGATCCAACAACTTCTTTCAGTCTGTCCCCCTCGAGGAGTTGGTTTGCATCCTCATTGCGTGCGATTTCTGGCAATGGCGGAGCTTCCGGATCCAACACTTCCATGTAGTGGGAAGCAGACCGCGCCTCTGATTCTGTGCAGTCCTTGCCAGTGCAGAATCCTCCGGGCCCTCCCAAAACCTCGTGATCGCAACTCCTACATCTCCAAACTTCATCTGCGACATCGAATTTGTCGTATAGATGTTCAGGCTCTTCGACATAGGAGAGTCTCTCGAGACTTGAGGTTGAGTCTTCTTCGTCGAAACAGCTTTCGGGCGTTGGCACATTATCATCTTCCGCACTAGCTTCTGGCGAGGAATCAGAGCCATCGTAACTCCGACGGACACGTTTCACTTCACTACCTTCAAGCTGCTCGCCAATGGCTTTTCGTCGTAGTCCCTGCGATTCTCCATTTGGAGATATAGCAAGGATTTGGGACGGCGATGTTGCCATGTTTTCGAACCAATAAAGGTTTTCATTACCTTCCCTGTGAACAAATCCCACTTGAGCAAAAGGGTTTTCTTGCAGTCTATATTCTGGTTGAGTTCCATTTTGGATAGTTCGAATAGGCTCTGGGCTGCTGGTGACAAATTGAGAAGATTGGGATGTCGTTGTAGTGTGTGTTTGCTGACTAGCAAGATTTTCGACTCGATTAGCACGCCATTGATCCATCTCTTTCTCGTGGCGAAAGTTTCGACTTGAACACAAACGGCCGAATAGGTTACTGATACTGAGATTGGCTTTGTGCGATTAGTAAGTCACCTATAAAACTAGGGATAACTCACCTTCATCCCAGTGTTGTTCATCCACTGTACAAGGGTACACGTCCCGCGGCTTCAGCGCTCTGACTAAGTCACAGAGCTCATCATATGATGAGTGACGAGAATATGGGAAAGTGATGACCTTAGGTAACTCATTGCTCGATCCTTGGCTCTCGGTACTCCGCGCCTTGCTGAGACCTCTTGGCTCTCTGACCAACTGTAGTAGTGCTGTCACAATTTTTGTGAGAGTCCATGAGTCTTCCTCAGCGTCCAATCCAGTGCCATTGAGGACTAGAAATTTGCGTTCCAGTCGCCAGCCAGCGACGAGGATTTGCTTGACGTCCGTCATGTGAGGATCTTTGGCAGCGTCGAGCCTCGACAAATCAGCCACAAATGAATAAGAGCATTACTGTGCCACTTACATCTTTATGGTCTGTTCGAAATCATCTTCATCGACCGCCAATTCTAGACTCTGGGTCAAATCTTCTCCGCCTCCGCCGATGCCAATCTCTGCCAGCTCAGCACCATCTTTGGTTCTGGTGACGATAGGTCGAATCCAGACTACATTCTCGTTGCTATCAATGCTTTGACATGTACCTTTTTCACACGTGTGTAGTCGAACGTTTGGGTCCTTGGTGAGACATCCCGACACAATCGTATTGCCACAATTGTAGCCGATAAGGACAGGACCTTCACTTGCAATGGCGGGAAGGTTGTATTTGACTGACTTCTCTTGGACTGATTGGCTCTTGGTTGAGGGAGCCGCATTACCACAGAGAGATTCATACAATCTGTACTTGTACGAATCGGCATGAATCTGTCGTAGTTTAGCATCTGGGGGTGCGATCTACAACTAAATACTTGCAGGTGAGTTCAAGGCTTTGGAAAGCGCCATCCAGACTTCCTCGTACCCGAAAGTCCAAGATGAAAAGTGAAAGACCGTTTCCTTAGGATACTTCGAGATCTTTTGCAGAAGTTCCTTCAAGCCCTCGGCTTTCGTAGGAAAATCAATCCTTTTGGTATTGCTTGTGTCCAGATAGATGCAGTCGAGAGATTTGAGGCCTGTAGAGTATTCAACCATGAAAGGATTGCGAGTAAGATTGTTGATGAACCATGGCTCTGAACGGATATCGCCGGTATACAGGACTGCTTTACCGTTGCCCTCGAACACTGAAGGATGTCAGACAGCACTTATCCAAGGAGACAGAAACCTTACAGAACATAACTGCCCCAACACAATGATTAGCGTCAAATAGAGTGATCTGAATCTCATTGCCGGGAGTAAGCTCGATTTTGGTGGGAGTTTCCAGAGGAATTGGTTTCTGAGCTGTGTTAGGAGAAGCAAGACGAACGTGCCGCAAACGCAACTTACCAAGAGGTCTTTCAAGTGCTTATACTGCTTCTCTCGGGCCTCGGTAATTCCACTTGCGAACATCGACCTCTGCTTCTTGCGTTCTAAACGGAGGAGGATCTCTTTCGTAGCTGGTGAGCAGTGAATGCTGGACAGTCACATGGTTAGCAACCAGACGAAAAGTCTCGATGGAATCTTACAATGGCGATTTAAAAGACAGGAGTCCATCAAGATGGTCGCTGTGCACATGGCTGAGGAAGCATCTCAAAGGAAGACGTCGATTTGGTCTCGCGCGGAAGAAGTCGACTGCAGAAACGGTCAGAATCTACTTTGCGAATCGAGCAATTCGGATCGTACCTTGGATGTCGGGGAACTCATCGATGACACCCTTAAATGTCGACATCTTGACGGTATCTCTGCGCGAGTGCGTCGGTGAGTGCGTCGGTGATTCGTAACATGTATCATCCTGAAGAAGAGTCGATCGAAGAGACGCGAAGGCGTCAAGGTTAAAGTTCGCGCTAGACACTCGCTAGCACATGACTCGACCGAAAAGAGAAGTCTCAACCGTAGAAGTACTTCTCCTCCTAGTTATTAATTCAATCGTTTTGCAACGTCGAGATTTACCCAAAAAGTCGACAGTACTCGATCTAGAGATGTTTGGAGCGACTGAATCTGTTCTTCTCGGCCTCATTTGCAATTCTGCAAGTCTGTGAGACTGCGACCTGAGCCATTCATGAACCAAAGTGTGCAAAGAACACAAACTTCATAAAGGTCCTTTGAAATTAGCGGTCTATATCCCCACCAAATTGACTTTGATGCTGGAAGCATCACTTTGAGTGTCTTTGAGAGCGTAGATTCAGTACCATTGCCTTGTTTCAAGCAGTCTCTCGTTTGTCTCATTGAGCGGACCTGCCGAACCTGCACTCGCAAGATATTCCTCAATACGGAGGTATGCTGATTGTTTCGAGATGTTTCTCAAAAGATGCTGTGACTTACAGTCTCCGCTATCATTTTCAAATTCGCCATTGAGACTAGCGAGAACCATGGCATCATGAACTCGGAGCGATCCCCAGTTTCGTTCTCCTCCGGGAAGTATTCCTCGAGAGCATCAAAACAGATACGAGTGGCATGATCATAGAATCCCATGTGGTTTCTTTCGGTCCAAAGTATGGTCTTTCCAAGCCTATAGTTCGTCCAGCCCCTCGGTAAGATAGATAAATAGCTTTCACCGTATCAGATCACGAGGGAGATCTTTGAGCAAGCCATCCCATGTCCGTTATGCAAAAGTCACATCCCTGGAGATACGTTCCTGCAGTCAAAATTTCCGGCCGAGAATGCTTTGCTTTGTTATCTTTGATGTCAAAAAGGGGATCGGATGCATCGACAATTTGGGACTCATCGCCTGCCAAGCATGAAGATTATCATTCTCGGAACTGTCTAACCAAAATGTCGGGAGCGGTGAGAGGGGTCATCCTATCTTGGCCTCTGGGTATAAAAGGGTGCGATTGAGATCTTCTCTGTGCCAAATGCAGCTTCCTGTACTGCCAAGCTCATCATGCTTCTCCTCAAGGCCTTCTCAGCAATTGTTCTGCTTGCTTCAACAGCAGCAGCTGGTCTGGTCGTTGCCAACGATGATCAAGATATGAGCAATCTCGTTGTCAATGGAATTCCATATTCTACTCGAGTAAAGTACATGAGACTTGTAAGCTCACTATCTCCACCTCTCACAACTTCAGTTAACATCTCAAAGACCAACGAAGCTCTATACAACCAAAGCGGACCATGTCCATTCGCCTCCTTCGGTGCCATCATCGTCAACCACACCGCAGACGAGATCGTCTGCCAAGGAGCAAACTTCAGAACCGGAGACCCCACGTGAGAACTACTCCTCTCCACTTGCAGTGTCCCATCTCACAGTTCTCAGCATCCACGGCGAGATCTCAGCCATCAACGCCTGCACAGCCGTCTTCGCAGCTCGAAACATGACACCGACGGAAATCTACGCTGCATGGGGTGACCTTTCGCTCTACACCAACGCGGAATCTTGTCCCATGTGTGCAAGTGCGATCAGATGGTCTGGTTTCAAAGGTATTGTACACCTGAGACTCTGATCTCCGTTTCTTCCACATATCCCCAGCCTTCATCTTGCGAGACATTTACTTTTGTCAAACCCAGTCTATATGCTCTGACTTGTGCGCTCATCATTCTGCTCCCTTCACACATTTTAAAACTCTGCGAAAGATGCAAATCTAGTTGATCATCCCCTCACTAACCCACCCAGAATACATCTACGGCACAACAATCCAACACAACTACAACGTCGGCTGGGGCGTCATGACCCTCTCCTCCTACGACGTCTTCCAGCAAAGTCGTCAACTCCCCGGCTACCAGACTTCCATGCTGGGACAAATCTTGACCAATGAAACAGACCCGTTGTTTTCTTGGCAGTATAACGAGGTATGTCCTTCCTCGAGATGGGATAGAGTGAGTGAATCGAATGGAATGGCGCTAATGATGCACGTGAGACAGAGTTATCCGTGTCCGAATGGCTGTCATAAGGAGTATAGTCCTACGGACGGATATCAGGTGCGTTGCGCCGGGTGCTACGGTTACGAAGAGATATGCGGAGGAGCATGGGCATTGAGATTGGCGATGAAGAGTACTCGATTCGAGCTTCTTAATTTTCACTTCCCAGTCTTGATATTCTCAAGCCAACTCAATTACCAAAACTCATCAAATCTCCAAACTTCAACCCTACATCCCTCCATCATCTCCTCCCCTCATCCCCTCTCCACCCAGCCCCCAACCCCAAACCGACAATCAACACACCCCCCACCCCTCCTCTCAATCCAAACCCACTCCCCAACCTCCCCTATCTCCCCTCTCTCCCCAACCTCTTCCGCTTCACACCCACCACGCACCTGACAACGTCTAACACCTCGAAAGAAGACGTGGCCACAGGTATAGATGTTGAAGTTGCGGAGACACATTTTCCTTTTTTCCTTATTGCTTGATTTCTTTGGTTCTTGGGAAGTGGGGATTTGGGTGATATAGAGATTAGGAAAGATAATGATAATGATGGAGATGAGGTGGACGTTTCAGGATATTTCATACATGCGTTTTGTCTTAAATGTTGAGAGTGGGTGGGATATTGAAACATACTAGAAATAATAAAGAAAGAGAGAGGGATTCTGGCTGTGGTTAACGTTTGGTTTGAGGATGGGACATGTAGATAGTGAAAAGGTGGGTAAAGTGTAGAAGATTGTAGAATAGTTGTTTCACTCATTGTCTGTCACATTTTCACGGAATCTGGGTTTGATGAGACACTATCTTCATTGTGATATGTCTAAGCTCGAAAGTGCTGCTGGTCAGTACAACAAAGAAAGCGAGAGAATGTCCCGCGAAAAGCCGGACATTGCTTTTCGCGGGACATTCTCCCGACAATCTCCTACATACAAATTCGCTTGGTCTCGCTTCCAGAAGAAGGATCCCTGCCAAGCTTTCGCTTTGATCCCGAGGAGTGTCCCACCTCCTCGGGATCGCGGCGAGAGCTGGCTCGAGATCTCTCTCTGACCAACAATTTCTTCAGAGTAATGACCTCCCCAGTTGCCTCATCCAACACCATTCTCAAATGTCCTTCAGACTGCCAAACAATTAGATACTGATAAGTCGGGAAGAAGGGCGGACAAACCTTAGCCTTTTCTTCCACCAGGAGGCAGTCGATGTCGCTAGCGCCTGTAGATCTCTTGTACTCGGTCCAACCTTCCTCCGGTTGCTGAAAGTCTGTTGCGATGGTGTTCATGGTTGAGCGAATCTCGTTCCAATGGACTGATGGAGTTACCATCTCGAATGTCAGGACACGCTTAACCCACTTCAAGGCCAAATCAGCTTCATATGTCAGAGGAAGACGTATCATAACTTACACCTTGAAGGAAAGCTTGGCCACGATTCAAAGCGGTGATATTGTCCCCGCAACCAACTGCTGGAGTTGCCCAAAGTAAGAGCTGGCGCTCCTCATCAGACTTCATGAAATGGAGAGCACATTTGAGTTCTTCCCCAATAGCTGCAAGGGGCTTGCAACCCTCCTTCGTGAAGAAACGCCAAACTTCAACAACCTTCCTAGCGTCACAGAATGTAGGCCCTTGAGACGTCATGATCAATCCAGCACCATCGTCTTTAGGCCTATTGTATTCCTTCCGTACGCCATCTAAGGCGAGAAGCATGTTCAACGGAGGGACACTGGGGCGAGCATTCAGATCGAGTTGTCTCCCAATCTGAGTCGTACTCGCGGGCACAAGAGCAAGACGGTACTTTTGCTGCAACGTGCCCGGAGTAGTGCCAGATTGATAGCTAACTGCCGGAGTGGCTCGAAAGACCTGTTGTGATCTTGACGATGGGCCTGTGGGAGGTGAAAATCCCTTGGCCTGCTTGGCCTTACACATTGCACCATGTCCCTCCTCAGGCTCGACACCCTGGAAAGGGTGATCACCTAGAGATATAGTCAGTTATTATTCATGAGAAGACACTAAGAAGTGTAGATCATACGGAAGAATTTCATCCAGGTCATCCGGTCAGCATAAAAGTGACGAATTTCATTACTACATCCGCCATGGTTGGCTCTAGCTTGATCGCGAGCCTGTTGTAAGAACTGGAAGAATTCGTGGCGAATGCCTTGACGCATCGCTAGTTGTTCCATAACTTTCTCTTGAGGTTGGTACGTCCCAGACCTCGGCGGATTTTCTGGGAGCCCTGATGAAAGGGCCATGACCTCCTGCCTAGCAGGTTCGATACCGGGGAACCGGCTTTCAACTATGATAGGATTAGTGTTCAGTATTCCAAGCGACCGATGAGGGTCGTCACTTACACAGCCGATCCCAGACTCGCTTTTCCTTAGCCCAACGTTGCCAGTCGGAGCTCTCATGTGAATACTTCATGGCGACACGTGTAGCAGTCTCGTGCCAGATTCGGGTAAACCTAGATTCAGGGATTCCGCGGGCTCTGTATTTTGTCTCGATGAGATTTCTCATCGAAACGTAGCCCAGGCTGCTACCGGAACGGATAACGGTTCCCATATCGGTATTCATGTCCAAGTCCGGGCGAGACAGTCTACCGAAATTCTCGCAGGTCCTCGGATTCTCCACCGGCTTTGGACGATAGTAGTCAGCTTCACGGGGCAATCTAAGAGAGCTGTCATTTGGCTTTGCCTTGTCAGTGTATCCTGGTCGATATAGATCCTCCCCACGGGGCAATCTCTCCTCTATATCGCTGTCATAACGATCATGGACCCAATCTTGATCGGTGCGGCTGTTGCTGGGGGTAACGATGCGTGTCGAGCGCCGATTTGTGGTGTCCACAAGGGGTTCTGTCTTGATGACGGGTTCGGCTTTGGTACCGGGCTCGATTTCAGTGGCAGACTTAGCCATGGTGGAGGTAACCAGAATCGGGAGCTGGATCTTTCCTGGGAACGGTTCGCCAGGAACTTTATCACAGTTAGATATCGAGCTTTGGAACTATGAAGTGACTTAAAGAGACTTACAGAAATGCTTCCAGACACGGTGCTCGGCGCGGCTGAGGTGCCAATCATCTGAAGGGCCGGGGGTTTCGCGAATAGAGCTTGTAAGGGAAGATGCGAAGTATTTGTGTACCTCTTCGAGCGTAATCCCCTTGCTTAATGCCATTTCACCAATGGCTTGCTGTTGCGTTGCGTAGCTCTTCATGATCTTACCACGTTAAACAACCTTTCGTGATTATGTTGCTGTGTTGTGAATTGAGATCGAAAGTGTAACGCGAGAAGGCGGCTAGTCGAGCCGGTTGGGGGAATCGTGACTTCCCAAAGTGGCAATCGATAACAAGCAATTAGCTTCACGAAACCGACGTCACTACATCGGAGTTTAGAATCAGAGAAGCTCCGTTGGCTTAGGAAAACACATCACCATATCCTGTCAACAACTTGAAGAACAGGTTGTGACGCCCAACTAGGCTAACAATCGTCCAATGTCTTCATCGGGGTTGCCTTGTCACATCTGATCAAAAGTAAAGAACTTCAATACTCCATAGATCTGGCATGTATGTGCAAAGGCTGAAACAAGGAGAATGGGAGCCTGCTTGTGGCGGTCAGCCACAGCGAAGCAAACGACCTCTTTCGGCTGCATGCATGACAATTCTGCAGCAGAACATGAAGTCTTCGGCTACCCTTCCGACTTATCTTATACATAGCCAACATTACTGAAAGCCAAGTGTGAAAATATGCAAGTCTTTGGTAAGGATTGTAAGGAAATCTAACTTAAATTCCAGGCTTCGATCGAGTGTTTTCCCCTGCTCTTCAGAGCCGGGCGGGGGCTATTACATAAATTTGGCTTTGAAACAATGCAGAAAACTTCCATGCAGGTTGGGAAACAATATTGAATGAAGGCCTAGAATGTTGCACACGGAAAGTCGGTGACTATAACAGGTAAAGTCAAACTCACAACCAACAAAAACAAAGGCGTAAGTTAAACACATCCATTGGAAACTCGTCAAGCACTCTCTTCTAGCCTAGGTACGCTTGAAGGTTGTGCAAGTGCTGATATGCCGATCAACGCCATGTCCCCAGTTTGCAAAGCCTACGGCATGAGTGATGCAAATGGTAACCCACAACCCCAAGATGGCCTTTTTCAGGGCTCTAATCCTCTTCAGCCTCCTCATACCAGCTCTCTTTCTCCTTCCTCACCAGCTCTGCCATTTGTTCTGGCTTGAAGATCGACGACCCGGGATCTTTATTTCTTCTGACCTCATTGGCATCTTTGTCCAGCACACCTCCAATAGTGTTGATCCACTTGCTTCTCCTCTCCATGAGAGTCTTGGTCATATCGCCGATACCAGGTCTAGCCATACCTCCTGTACCACCAGCAACAAAGTGGCTTCCACCACCAGCTCCTCCGGGTCGCTTGGCCTTCTTGCTCTTGCCAAGAGTTCGTGTACGTTTCAGGTATGCGGTTTGGACCTGGCCGTCGAGATCCTCCAGGATAGTGGTGAATTCTTGATGAGCCATCCTTTCCTTAGTCAGTTCCGACAGTCGTGCTTTTCGGGCTCCATTCTGATAAGAGACTTCCTTGAGACGTGCCTGAAGGTAGCGTAGGCGTGCAGCAATTTCGTCATCATAATGAGCATCATAATCTGGCTCTGTGTCCGGAGGTAGGAAGCCGATATGGCGAAGCTCTTGCTTTATTCGCTCGTCAACCTGGGCATGATCCAATTTGGGGTGAGTAGCCTTCTTCCATGCTTCTGAATTTGACTCGGTCATGAAGGTCGCTGGAGGAACAGGGGCAGGAGTGTCAACTCCTAGGATGGCGTTGAGCTCAGCTATATCATTGTTTGCTTCGCCATTGATATTGGCTTCACCATTCGTAAGACCATTAGTAGTTGGCTTCTCCTCTGTAGGTGGTGCGCGATGTTCTGGTCTCAGTGTTGCTAACAATCTGGACAAAATGGGACCTGCTGAAATTTGATCCGTCTCTGCAACATCATCTGTTAAATTCTCGATGTTGCCACGAGCCTGGTTGGCTGGGAGTTTATCGCGACTGTGCTGTGCAGCATCTATAGACAATGCTCCATCTTCTTCTGCCCAAATCTCTGTGTAATGCTTCCTACCGCGCCGAGGAATAGTGAATGGAGCACCACGATCTCCTCGTTCTCTCAAAAATGCCAGATCCTCTTCTGTAAAGGGGCGAAAGTAAGGCTCTAGATATGTCATGAAAGTGTTGGCCTGAACTTGATTCGTGGGTTTGGCATTACTGAAGTCCTTGTCTGGAGGTGAACCGGGTATGAGATCTTCGAGATTACTTTCCGGGAAATGTTCTACTGAGTATATTTCCTTCTTCTGGTCTACAGTCATATCCTTTGTGACCTCCCGAATTTCATATACGATCGGGTCGGGGTAGGTTGAAGGATCCTCACCAAAGATTTGTAGATGTTGAATTGGTGCTGCAGGTGGGGGTTGGTGCTCATCGGAGCTCGAATCATCGTCATCTTTATCCTCTTTGTCATCAATATCCATACCAGTTGCCATAGGTGTAGCTTGTGCGACGGGTGATAACGAGGAACTAGCAGAATCATTATCTCTTGACATCTTCCGGACAGGCTTCTTGTCACGCATTGGCGATGAGCGATCTGCTGAGTATGTCAGTCCTTGCAGAGTCGAAGTGAATGCTAATCAGCCTACCCAAGTTCGAGCCATCTTGAGGTGCCAAACCATGAGCACCATGTGTTAGAGGACGCTCCTCTCTCGCCTCTTTGCGTTTCTTGATCTTGCTTGCTTTCCTGTCTTCCTCGTCCGCCGCATCGCGCTTTAGCCTCTCTTTACGCTCTTCATCTCTTCTCTCTGACTCAATCTCCTCAAGTCTATCTTTCCTCTCCTGGGAAAGCAATCTCATTCCTCTGTCGCAGACAGTTCCCCTCGTCTCGACGACATCGATAAGCTTATTAAGTCGCTCCAACAACGCCTCTATATCTTTCGAGCTGGGAATAGTACCGGTATAGGTCTCATTGAGATCGTCCGATGTTCGGAAGGACTGGATGGGCAGTTCAAGGAACGCCGTCGTGGAATCGGTCGTCCCAAGGATGGGTGTGGAGTTCCGACTTCTTGACTGGCGAGCATCGCGACCCTTCTTGCCTGTACCTTTCTGTCCGGGCGGAGGAGGCATTATGACGAAGCGTTGACGGTGGTCTCAGCTGTCGGGCGCCAGATCTCGATCTCGCGTGGGAGGACGTAGAATCGCGGGCGCAAGTTCAAGCGGTCAATGTGCTGAAGATGCCTGAGCGAAAATTCGCGACAAATCCTTGAGTTTGGGAAGTTATATCGACGTGTGTAGTTGCGCTAGGTTGAAAGACGATCGTGATTGAATATAAGCGGAAAATAATTGATCCGTCTATCTAGATTTTAGTGTCACCCGTGACTTCTCCTCGACACCTATGTTAGGAACATTTTCTTGTCCGTGAATACATATGGACATAGTAGTTAACGAGCTCAGAAGATGCAAATCTTAGGTGGGACAGAAGCACAATGACATAAGGTGAAAAAATTGGACGAAAGGTTCGTCCAATTGACTTAACACATATGTTTCGCAGTTACGAAAACTCTCAAAATCCGATTCTGAGGCTCCAGTCCAGGAATTCTACAAATCGATGTGACAGTACTGATAAATCTTAAAAGACTAACAGATAGCTAAAGACGCTTTTGCTCTCGTTGAATTCGACCAAGCAAGCTTCCTCGGAAGCTCGACTTGTAAAGTCATTGTAAGCGAGCCCCTTACACTTGACGAGGTCTGCTCGGAATGCCAGCATCCAAAAACTAGGATCTGACAGTCCTGTCACGAATCACAAGTCTGAATTTCTCTAATTCTAGGTCAATATCATGAAACAGGGTTGGATTGCTTTTTGATCTTCTTGCTGTTTCTGTGATTTATCCTTCCACGTTACTGTACATGTTTAATTACCATTGCATCGGAGTTAGTATACTGGTTGTACACATTTTCACGTTTTCTTTTTACCCTAGAAAAAGTTGCTGTTTCAAGTTTGGTGCGTGGCCTTGCGATCCTTGAGTAGATTGGTGATGGAGTTTCGAAGGATCACACTGATCATCGAGGGGAATGAAGGAGCGCCAGGAGTGGTAAGCAAAGTCTTTCAAGAATGGGGGTTCTCCTCGGTCTCCATACAGACTCCGATTGAAGGGTTACGCGGCACCGTGTGTTTCCTGCATGAATTGGTCCAGACTCCTGTGTTCGAATTCTCTCTCGTTGAATTCTAAGCAACTTTCTTCTTTAGCAGTTGTAAAAGAAGTGTCTAACATTACGAGAATCCACTAGCAGTCAGTCATGTGGTCAGTCAACCCTTTTTGATGCCGCTAGCTTGGTGTGTCGAACGGATCCTGTTACACCGCGGTGGCGCACCGGAACAGAGCCTTCACATCCGGCTACTATGGATTTTGTCAACACCTTCACGGATAGCGGATAGCGATTGTATCTCTGTGGGTGTAAACATCAAAATGTAGGAAGCATTTGGGATACGACATGATGCATGAGTAGGTATTTGAGATGGGTATTTGAGTTTGCACTGAAGTTTGGTTCCGAAGATTAGAAGTTCCAGCCACCCTTCGTCGATCATTCTCGGCCCTCAAACCCCACCATGGACGCACCAGGGCGTGTGAGACAAGATGACTCAGCACCACAAGCGCTCGCTGAGAAGAGAAGGCGCGACCCGGACAAGCCTTTGCCAAGTCCTCCCTTTCCTTGGCAGATCTCTTGGCTCTTCAGCACGACCAAATCCTTCCCATCGCGAACACGCACGCATGCGACTTCATCCATTCGTGTACATATGAGAATATCTTCTTGGTGAGGCGCACCACAGGTGTCGGGCGACAGAGACGCCTGGCAGACACGGCCATTGCACGGCCAGATATGTGTGAGTTATTCACCCAATGCCCACCCAATTCCCACCAGATCCCAGCATTGGGGTTCATCGTCGTCGTCCCTTCTTGGCGCCGAGATGCAACTCCTCTTGGCCTCATCATAGCGTTTTCCATGGCAAACACATATATGGGTATACATACTGACTTCTCCTGGTGCCAGCTGTGAATGGAGTCGAGACTTTCGTGTACGTGCTGCCCTCATTCCGCGACCGTCCGGTTGCGTCTTCACATCCGACGATCCGCTTTCGACGACAAGTACGACCATTCAGACCTTCGCTGATCAGTGCCATAGTTTACTTTTTCCCAACGAAGAATGGAGTAACACAGCGACAGATTCGCAATTGGATACGGTCGTGTCACAGTTGCGGGTATGTACAGCCATTCGTGCCGTTCTGAACCAATATTTATGTCGCGTAGCCAAATATCTCCTTTTACGACCGAATTGACGATAACCTGACAACCCTTTCGACACAAAATGCAGACAAAGATGGCACAATTAGTGGCTTCTTATATGTCCCAGATATCGATAAGAGCGATGATTGCTTCGAGTTATCGAAGGAGTACCTCCCAAGCAATGTCACTCGACAAGCCAACCTCCCTCCTACCGACTTCACATTGGTTGCCCTTGCACCATGGATCAACGCGGAATGTACATTGGCATGGATGAGAGCTGCACATGAAGACCCGGCCCGCGCGTTTCTTTTCTATCTTCCAGACAACAGTACTGATCAACCTCCCGATGCATCATCTGCCGTATGGAATCTTCAGGATGGCGGCACCTGGAAGAACATATATCAGTACCCGGTCTACATTATACCTGGCGCCGTAGGCTTTGAGTTGATGCACAACCTAGCTCTGTATTCCGGGAATATGACGAGTGTTCCTTGGGGCCATACCATCTCGGAATTACCTGGCATCGACCCGCGAGATTATGTGAGGATGTATACCCAATTATACGTTGGGAACGATTCAGGTCTGCCCAGCTTGTGGGTTTTCCTATTGGCAGTAGTCGGTGTTCTACTCTTTGTGCTCGGAGCAACATCTGCGACCATGCATCTAATTCAACGTGCTCGACGAAAATCTTTGGAGCGAAGAGTAGCCAGTGGAGAAGTCAACCTTGAAGCACTCGGTATCAAACGCCTTACGATCCCACAGCCTTTCATCGAACGGTTACCTCTGTTCACATATAGTGCTGAGCCCGACATTAGCTATCCAACATCTCCCCAATACAAGGCGATGATGGAAGATGCCAAAGACATCCCCAGCAGCCCCACGACGGTCTCTCAGAGACATCGTTCACTTACAGCAGAAACAGATGATCCTCCACAAGTGGTTGTGGTCGACGATAACACATCCAATCCTGATTCCGTCTTAATTCATAAATTTCTCCCTTATTCTCAACCAACTTGCCCAATATGCCTGGAAGACTACGAGTCAGGAGTATCTGAGATCCGAGAACTTCCTTGTGGCCATATCTTCCATCCGGAGTGCATCGACATTTTCTTGGCCAACAACAGCTCACTCTGTCCATTATGCAAGAAGAGTGCGTTCCCAGTCGGTTATTGCCCAACCAAAATTACCAACGCTATGGTTCGTCGCGAGAAGAATCTGAGGCGATTACGTTCTCGGGTCACGCTTGACCCAGATGGAAGTGATCTAGAGGCAAATCAAACTCGGGGTCGCCTTCATGAAATTGGATCTTCGATAAAGAAAACCATCCTAAATCGGAAAGAGGATGCTCCCCCAATACCTTTGGAACCCCAACCTGTCTTGATGACAAGTGCTCTTACGGAGTTGCCTCAGGATCAGCACCTGCATACATCTTTCGGTTCTAGCCGGTCGAGAGCGGAGTTTGTCGAGCAGCGAATCCGAGATTTGACAGCTCGACAAGTTCCCATACGTGACCCAGACGTTATTCAAGACCGTCGGGTTCCTCAATGTAAGCTTCATCCTTTTGTTTACCCAAATCTTATTGACAAATACCAGGGCGAAAAACGTTAGCGAAAGCATTTCCTGGGTTTTAATAATGACATGCAGTCTTGGCGTTCTGGCGGGTTGACATTTTGCATCTAGCGGTTGGCTTGCATTGGGTTACGGGAGTCTTGTGGAGTATCTATATACCATGGGCTTGGGAGTTGTGGCATCTTTATTCTATGAGGGTTACAAGGGAGGACGGTATCTTGACCGGGATGAATCAAAGGAGGGAAGAACAGAGGTTGAAGAGATGTACAGATCCCGCATTATCGGGAGAGATGAAGATACCAATGAATAGCACACAAAGTGCTCAACTCAAAAGTACACTTGAGCCATAGTACAGAGGATGTGACTGATCGTTTATATCCTGAGCCTCTTGTCACGTCTTGCTCCCTACTAAATGGTGAGGGTACAGAGGGTGAAAAAAGTGTTATGGAAAACAGTATAGTAAAATACATACATTCTCTTCTTAATCCTATGTTAAGATGTTAAGATAGCCAGCAATGCCTTCCCACTTGAAATGAGTTCGGTTCATCCAGTCATGTCTTGCCAAGCAGATAGCGCAGGCTAAATGCTGGTTGGCAGTTCCATTCCCCCACGTCCGAAAATCGTTTGTTATCAGGAGCAGTCCCAAACGGGTAATTGCGGGGTTCAGCAAAACAGCTCAGAGCGACAGCAACACCACGACATTCAGAGCATCAATTGATGTGACAGCTCCTCTTACGGAGAGATTCAAGTCGCCAAGATGCATCTCGTACCTAAGGAGGTAGGTGGCAGATCCGTAGGGTAGGACCAAGCTCACACTCCAACAGCTGGACAAGCTTGTCATCTCGCAACTAGGACTCCTTGCGCAGAGACGATTAGCACGAGGAGTGAAGCTCAATCATTCGGAAGCTTGTGTAGGCTCCATGTACCCATCTGCCAAACTCCCAAAGCTAACAAAGACATCCTAGGCCCTAATCGCGAACAACCTCCAAGAAGTCCTGCTCCCAAAAATCTAAATCACACCTCACTCCCACTGACAACCCTCAGTTAATCCGCGATGGCAACCACACCGTCGCAGACCTCATGTCAATCGGCAGCACCATACTCGGCCGCCGCCACGTCCTGCCCTCCGTCGTGTCAACCCTCACCGAGATCCAAGTCGAAGGCACCTTTCCCACCGGTACCTATCTAGTGACCGTCCACCACCCGATCAGCACCGACGATGGCGATCTTGCGAAAGCGCTGTATGGATCTTTCCTCCCGGTTCCAGACAAGGAGACCTTTCCCATGTGGAAGGAAGAGGAGTATGAGCGGACCAAGATGCCTGGTGCGGTGGTGGTTAAGAAGGGGAAGGTGGTGTTGAATGAGGGGAGGAAGAGGATTAGGATTAAGGTTACTAGTAAGGGGGATAGGCCTATTCAGGTATGCCATTCTATATACAATAGAGAGGAAAAGACGAAGTGTTGATGAGAAATGGTAGATTGGTTCGCATTACCATTTCATCGAAACGAATCCGCAGCTCGAATTCGATCGCATCAAAGCCTATGGCTACAGACTTGATATCGCGGCCGGTACATCTGTTCGTTACGAGCCGGGCGATACAAAGACGGTAACGTTGGTTGAGATTGCGGGACACAAGGTTATTCGAGGAGGAAACCATGTTGCGACAGGCAAAGTAGATCTTTCTCGCGCAGAAGACATCGTGTCGAAATTGCAGCAAGGTGGATTTGCGCATACGCCTGATCCAGCGGCTGATGCGGCGGGTATCAGTCCGTTTGAGATGGATAGGGAGGCGTATGCTACGATGTTTGGTCCTACCACTGGAGATGTTGTCCGGCTTGGTTTCACGGATTTGTGGGTCAAGGTTGAGAAAGACCTTACTTCCTATGGTGATGAGTGTAAATTTGGCGGAGGCAAGACTCTTCGAGAAGGTATGGGTCAAGCTACAGGTGTTTCTGACGAAGTATCCCTTGACATGGTTATCGTCAATGCTTTAATTGTGGATTGGACTGGTATCTATAAAGCAGATATTGGAGTGAAGAACGGAATGATTGTGGGTATTGGAAAGGCGGGAAATCCAGACGTTATGGATGGAGTGACGGAAGGCATGATTGTTGGTTCTTGCACGGATGTCATTGCTGGAGAGGGAAAGATTATCACGGCTGGTGGATTTGATACTCATATTCATTTCATCTGTCCACAGCAAGTCTATGAGGCTATTACGTCTGGTATCACTTCGATGCTTGGTGGTGGTACCGGTCCTAGGTAAGTAACTTTCCCGGTCAGAGAGTCTCTGCTAACTGCGAAAAGTGCGGGAACAAGTGCTACAACTTGTACTCCCGGCAAGAATTACATGCGAGCAATGCTTCAAGCATGTGATACACTGCCTGTCAACCTTGGAATCACGGGTAAAGGAAATGACAGCTCTCCCCTCGCACTTCGAGAACAGGTTATTGCTGGAGCTTGTGGTCTCAAGCTTCACGAAGATTGGGGAACTACTCCTTCTGCTATTGATTCCTGCTTGACTGTCTGCGATGAGCTCGATATTCAGTGTCTCATCCACACAGATACCTTGAACGAGTCTGGATTCGTCGAATCAACCATTGCTGCTTTCAAGGATAGAGCTATTCACACTTATCACACTGAAGGTGCTGGAGGTGGCCATGCACCTGATATCATCAGCGTCGTTGAACACGCTAATGTCCTTCCTTCATCCACGAATCCAACAAGACCATACACCAGGAATACTCTCGACGAGCATCTCGATATGCTGATGGTCTGCCATCATCTCTCCAAGAACATCCCAGAAGATGTCGCTTTTGCTGAGTCCCGTATCCGAGCAGAGACCATCGCAGCCGAAGATGTCCTCCATGATCTTGGAGCAATAAGCATGATGTCCTCTGACTCCCAAGCCATGGGCCGCTGCGGCGAAGTCATCCTCCGAACCTGGAACACAGCACACAAGAATAAAGTCCAACGGGGAACACTCAAAGAAGATGAGGGCACAGGAGCAGATAACTTCCGAGTCAAAAGATACGTCAGTAAATATACCATCAACCCAGCCATTGCACAAGGCATGGGTCATATCATCGGTAGTGTGGAGGTAGGCAAGTTAGCCGATCTCGTGGTCTGGGACCCTGCCTGGTTTGGCACGAAACCCATGACGGTCATCAAAAGCGGTTTAATCTCCTGGGCTCAAATGGTACCTCCTTCCCTCCCCCATCCCCCTTTCCCCCCAACTAACAACAAAACAGGGTGATCCCAACGCCTCCATCCCCACCGTCCAACCCGTCATCGCGCGCCCCATGTTCGCGCCCCTCGTCCCCAAAACCTCCATCCTCTTCGTCTCGCAAACCTCCATAACCTCCGGCACCATCGCCAAGTACGGCCTGAAGAAACGAGTCGAGGCCGTGAAGAACTGCCGCAAGATCGGGAAGCGGGATATGAAGTTCAACGACGTGATGCCGCGGATGAAGGTCGATCCGGAGAATTATAGGGTCGAGGCTGATGGCGTGCATGCTACGTGTGAGGCGGCGACGAGCTTGCCGTTGAGTCAGGTTGCTTTTGTTTATTAGTGTTGGAGTGAGGTTGTGGAGGGGAGGGGAGATGCGTATACCAGTCTATGAGCAAGTGAATGAATGAATATACTTTCAAAGGACTTCACATTCTCACAAAACAGTCAATCGATCGGTATATGAGATGTCCTGCGTTGTAACTTTGCTCTTGAGCATTTCCCCTAAATGAATACATTTTGTATCATGATACGGTCAAATAGCTAATCTGGTGACAATAGTCTCAAATCTTGTACTCAAGTATGGGCCCATTAAAACAAAAATCACCACGCTTCAGAGACTCGCTTAAGGACCTCGTAAACCATGTAAACCATGAAATCTGGGAATTTTTTATTAGTACAAGAATTGCATGCCTTGAATCAGAGAAAAACAGGCAAATAATCCCAGCTAGCTGCAGCCCTTCATCAACGTGTCTACCTCGTCAGCGACTTGCTTAATCTCTCAACGTTGTCGTCGGGTTCGACTTGAGATTTAACGAGTATAAGAGAATCATGAAGTGCCAATCTGATCCGGAAGATGGATGTTTTCTCGTCGGAGAGGGTGGTATCGAAAGAAGCGACAGTACGTGGAACGACCTGGAGAAATTAATATTACCCATCATCTCGAGATCTCCTTGCCTCGTGCTCAGCTCTGGTTACGTAGTCGTTGCATGCATCGAGGATTCGTGAACTGTTGACACGGTCTAGATGTAGTCTTCGAGGTTGGCCCACTGGTCGCTCATGCATAGGTTTGGTCGCTAAGCATAAGCGAAGTCTCCTGACTCTTTGGCTTAGAGGCAAAACCGCCCTTGGAAGAAGGAGCTGGGAAGCCGAAGGTTGAGAAGCCGAGAGTCGATGTGGTATAGCCGAGCAAATCCGTCAACGGCGTAGAGCCTTGTGGTTCGATCCTAGTAGTTGTAGTCTTTGAACGGATTTTGATAGAATTTGGCGAGTGATGAAAAGGGGTATGTTTTGAAGGTGGAAAGTCGGGAAGGAGGTGAATAGTTCTTGTCTCTTAGTAGTAGCTGCTTATTTTCCTTGTCTCTTTTTAGTGGAGACCTGACGTGTTTCCTTTTGGGGAAGCGGGACGACGAAAGTAGGTTGAAATAGATTGGTCCAAAGCCTAGAAGTTCGTTAGCTCAGTACTGTGCTTAGGAAGGAGCAAGATAGTGCTCGGGCTCACTTGGAATTGTCTAAGAATGAACATTTCGTTTAATTATAAGATGAATGACACCGACCGATAACCCAGCCCAGCATTCAATGAAGCCGATCAAAACGCTAATCCCATCCACCACTAGTTTCATTCCAAACCAAATCAGTAGGTTTCAAGACATCAACATATTGCTTTCCAGTCCAAGGACCAGGATTCACAAGAAATGACTCCGAATTGGGCTTCAATACTGCCGACCACCCACCGGGAATACTCTGCTTAGGCTTCCCTTCCCCGTCGATAACAACATCATGCAATTGTGTTATGCATCTTGCTCTGCTGGTTTGGGCTTTGCATCTGAATTCGGGGTGAAAGTGATCATATTGTGAATCGCAGACATTCTCGACTTCAACGCCTGTGATACCATCCTGCCCGCTTCGGAAGTGTAGATGTATAATCCTGCAGCATTGTAACAGTCCTTGATACACGATTCCGTCTGGATGTTGATCCGACTCATATTCCAAGTACTCCGCAGTATCAATTCCGTTTATAGCGAGGAGCTCGAGCCATGGTTGAATCCTCTCTTGGCCTAACCTCGCGATCGTGTCAAGCGGGGTCCCTGATCCCACTTCCGCGTAGAGATCCTCTGTCAACAAAAGGCAACGACTAATCTTGAATTTCGCTTCTAAGTGGCCGAACACATCGAACATCCAATAAGCTATGAAGTATTGGAGAAGTGTGCCCCTGTAGGACCATTTGGCACAAGTCACTGGGTCTTGCATCATTTTTTCGTACTTCGTGAGCATCAAGTCAACAGATTCTTGAAACTCATCATGAAAATCAGTAACTCCTAGCAGATTTTCGTAGATGTGAATGAAGATGCCCCTTGCTGGAATAAGGTGATAGTCCTGCAATAGTAGATACTTTAAAATTTCTTTTGGCAGCCCATTCGAGAGCACCAGAGTTTGGTAACCAGTGTCTTGAGGATAATCAAACGGATCAAACGTAGTCTCTCGCACAAGCGTGTCGGTGATTCCCACAATGTTTTCACGAGTCGTACATTCCATATCGTAGTACTCCAATTCATCGATGACTGTCTGCCCGCTATCTGATCTCATGTAACAATCGATTCCGCTGCGCATGAGCAACTTGGCTACCTCAGAGCTGCCATTCCTACAAGCAATCTACATTTGAGATGTCAATATTTGTGAAGCCTTGAACAGAGTAAAGGAACTTACGTGGAGTAGTCCTCGGCCAGTCTCGTCTGCATCGAATAGTGAGGCTTGTCGAAGACCCAGAAGCTTTTGTACCCCTTTTGCATCTCCGCTTAAACAAAGAGTAAAGATCTGGGAATCGTTGGGTCTTCTTCGAATAGTGTTGAGGTTTAGAGAGTCGAAGGGACTATTTGCAGATAGTCTGAAGCCACGTCTACAAGAAGAAAAACCCCAGAGGAGATTGACGACAAATGTCTTTTTGGTAGTTACGGGCGTTTTCTCGTCGTTCTGATCTTCTTCGCTTTCAGCAAACGTCGTTGACGAAGACTGAAAGCTGAGGCGTGCAATGCCTGCATTGATCGATGTCCATGTAGTCTTCGTCCTGGATTCAAGGCTGGAAGCGTTCGCCCTACGTAAACTTTCGCTTGTGCTTGACACAGCTTCAACGCAATCGGTGTCTTGAGTGTTAACTTCTAGAGACTGTGGATCAGCATCTTTTGTGTTTAGGAGTCGTCTGTTTTGATGCTCGACACGCGGCTGTGACTGAGTTATCGTCGAGAAACTCGTAGACAGTAGGGCCATTTCCCCATTTAAACGAGTTATGGCAATTCTGAAACGGGTCAAAAGCATTCTCAAACGCGTTCTTAGACTCACTGAGTTCTACTAGCTTGTAGCATATTCAAAGTGCTCTTCGCACTCTCAACATGAGTCTTCATCTTCGCAATCTTTGCTGCACTCAAGGCAATCTTGACCCGACCCCATTTCCTCTTCACTTTTCCTTGCCCCGGATTAATCTTTGAAGTAAGTTCGGTCACAAAGACAGAGAGCTCGTTGATATCCTTCTTCGCAATTCGCAGAGCGCTTAAAACAAGGGAGTCTTGACTTGGGTCTGCCATTCCAGATTGGTGCTCGTGTGAAATCAACTGCAGACAATTGGAAAGTAATCTGAGCTCTGCAGATATTCGCTCAATGTCTTCTGGGCCATCTTCGATCGATTCACAGAAGTCGCATGCTTTCTGCACACCGTCCGCGAGCTATTAAGACTAGAGTTAGCAAGAGCACGAAGGACCCATATTCAAAACACGAGGCTGTATGCTTTTCACAGCACGATGTAAGGCACAGCCTCGTGCAGGATGTACCCTGAAACAGGATGAATCTCCGTTTACTTACCTGGATGGAAAGAGACACGACGCCGATCACACCTGCAGCAATCCCAAAGGCTTCTGCCATGATGATGGAGAGAGAAAGGAAATAGAAGAGTCGACTGGAGAGGCACACCACGCTGTTGCGGTCAACGCTATCGAGTTGAATAGAAGCTGAAAGCCTAGCTATATCCTGTATGAAAAGCCTCTCCTAAGCAACATTCGAAGTGTAAGATCCGTTGTTAGATATCCTAAGAGAAAGGTTCCAGTGGGCAGTGCTTGTGCTCAGCCTCTCCTGCAGTGCCAGCTGCATCATCACGTGGGTGGTTAACAGGAGGGGTGACACCAGTTCCAATAGAGTGCCAGTATGAGTGAAAGGCGTCACACAAGGCGAAGTCAGCCAACGCAGAAAAAATTTGGATCTCAGCCTTCTCTGATAACATAACAAAGCTGTATTTGAGCAATGCAAATAGCAGGGTATTTTGTGAAGAAGGAAAAAGTACCATTTATCAGCCATCTTAACTTTTCCAGATGATATCCATCGCACTAGTCCACCCATCTCTGCTGTTGCTTGTCGTAGCCAATAACATCGAGGTCAACATTCAAAGTTCTGAGCATCATCCCCATCGTGAATTCCTAAAATCCGGTCAGTACACTTTGTCAAAAGGGCACATCACCTACATCTTCTTGTCCAGGAAGCTCTCCCGTATCCCCTAGGCCATTTGGACGTTGTGACTTCTCATTCTCCGTCTCGGGATCGATACCATACTCCGCATAAATATCCCTCTTCTCAACATCTTTCCTTTCACCATCCTCATCCTCATGATCGTCATCGTCATCATCATCGTTATTATTCTCCTCTTCCTGATCCCAATTATTCTGGAACTCGTGCTGCCTCTTCTGCATCTCTTTCCAAGCTCTCGGTCCACCCATCCTGCCAACCAGTCAGCCAAAGTCCCTCATCGAAGCACTCATCTCCAGTCCCCCATAAACCAATCATCCACAACATCGCCAACAAACACAAAGAGAACTCAAACATACCTATTAACCCTCTCACTAACCTTCCCAAACAGCTCCTCAGCCGCCAACCGACTAGCCCCCCTCCACTTCCCAATCAACACCACCAACTCCCCATCCACCTCTCCCTCTTTGCTCTCAGCCTCAATCTTCCGTGCTTGCTCCGCAGTATCAACCTCCTCCTTCAACTCTCGCAATTCCCTCTCCAGTTCTCTCTGCGCGCGGAGCAGGGGCGCGATATCGGGGTCTGCGTTCAGCGCTGCTGCTGCCACGGGAGAGGTATAGGTTTTCTTTGCTCGCGGTGCTGGCAGGCTTGAAGTCTTGGGAGGATGGGAGAGTAGAGAATTCGTTGTTTTGGACGTGAGAGGGACGGAGGAGGTAGATGGGGAAGCTGACTTCAAGGGCGTTTTGAAGGGAGAGCGGAATGGTTTTGACAGGGTTTGAGACGCGGTTTCGATTCTGCGGCGTTTGGCTGCGGGAGTGGACATCTTGATTGATAAATTGGTTGATTGTTAGTGCTGTGGAGATGTAAGTTGTGGATCAATTTTGTGCAGCATTTCTTGTGATACTGATGAAGGGAAGTTTCGCGATACGCGACTTTGGTGCGCTGGTGAAAGTGTGGGGTAGCTTGGATGTCTCCACCAGCCCTTGTCACTTGGAGCTTTTCACACAAGAAATATCAAAGACAAGCAGCATTATGTTATGGATATCATTTTGAACTGCCTCTGCTTATTTCTACACGCTAAAGGTACACTCCACGCAATATTTTAATGCCCTATGCCACCTGCAACCCATTGGTTGAATTCAGGATCACCTGGTTGAGGAAATAATCCTCTGTCTTCCTGCTGTCCCGCAGGCGCTGCACCATTTTGTCCATTCGCTGCTTCCTCTTGCCGTCTATGAGCCAACTGATGCTGTTGTCGATAATAAATCAAGAACAACAGAGCTGCAGCTAATCCAATTATCACAAAGGTTTCCAATAGTCCATCGTCCAATATGTCATCGTATAGACCATCGGCATCCCCTCCAGGCATAGCATCTGTTTCAGGCAGATAGTTGTCATCAAAGCCATTATCATCGTATAACATAGGATCATCTTTGAGAAAGTTCGAGATCCACTCTGACAGAGACCATTGCTTCTTTGGAGCTACTGAAAATTAGCATTGGAGAAGAAGTCCGGCTTGGAACTTACCTGGTTCATCTTGAATAGAGTTCACCCTGCCGTGAGTAAGTGTATTCCATGCACTCCTCATTCTGAGTTTGAACAAGCTCAATGTGACGGGAAGATAGGCCTCTTCATTAGTCTCCAATGCAAGGTCATAATATCTCTTTGCCAAATGAAAATCTTGGTTGAGCCCAACGCCATTTTCGTGCATCCAAGCGAGATTGTAAAGCGCCTGGGCGCTTTGGTGGTATTCAGACGCTGCTGTATAACACGAAGCAGCTTTCTCCATGTCGGCTTGAGTGCCGACACCAGCAAGATAATAGTCTCCCATTTTGACCAATGAATCAATATTCGACTGCTTGGCTGACCTTGTCCAGTAGATCAATGCAAGTGCTGCATTCTGTAAGAGGGCCGGCCGGCGTGAAGCAGTCAGAGACAGCCATGTGGGGAATGACCATCTGAACTTTTGCTGGTCAAGAATGTAGGCAACATTTGCTTGAGCTCTCTCGTAGCCTTGCTCGGCGGCAAACATGTTGTCAATCAATGCGATTTCATAGTCTCCGCTTTCGTACGCTTCGTTGGCCTCTGCAAAAGACGAGAGGAGTGGCTCGGCCTTCTCAGCAACATTCTTGTAATAAGCTGCTGCAAGTCCGCAGCTACGATCTCGACCAAGTCCCTGGTCAATGATCTCGGCAAGGTAATAGTAGGATTCAATGTGGCCATATCTCGCAGCAAGCTCGAAATAGCGACTAGCTACTTGGATGTCGTTTGGTGTTCCTTGGTCAAGGTACAGAGCTCCTAAAGCAACCTGTGCAGGAGAATAGTCCAGTTCTGCCGAAGCTTTGAAAAACTCAGTCGCTTTCGCAGAGTTCTTGGGAACTCCAAGTCCTTCCAAATGCATAACACCCATTCCATATTGTGAGCCGGCATCGCCACTTTTGATGCCCCTTTGGAACCAGATCTGGGCTCTCTCGAAGCTCTGCTCCACACCCTCGCCTCGCATGAACATTCGGCCAATATATCCAGCAGCTTTGGTGGCGACTTTTTCGAGACCTGGTTTTTCTTGCTCGATGATTCTGCCATCTCGCCCCCAGTACAGTTTCGCAACCTTCATGAAATACCACTTTGCACTCTGCATATCTCTTGGAAGGCCTTTCTGTCCATCATAGTGAATTCGTCCAAGACTGAATGTCGCCTTAAAGTCCCCCTTTCGTGACATCAAGTCCAGATACTCCAGAACATCATCCAGAGCTGCATGTGCGTCAGAGTTCACGCCTGCCTTATTCCTGTTGATCCCTGCACTGGAATAGCTGGCACCCTCTCCGTAGACACCACCATCATCGTCTGCATATCGATACGAGTCCGGAACCCACGCCATTCCTCCTGGAGGACCTGAACGGAACCATTTGACAGCTTGGTCAGCAGCAGCTTTATAGTGCTTGACTGAAACATCGCAGTTCTGTGCCACTCCAACTCCGGTATGATATCGATATGCTAGTGTCATCTCGGATTTGACGCTCCCGCCCTTGGCTGCAAAAGTGTGGTATAGCAAGGACTTTGCTTGATCCCTTTCCACAGCTCCTCCAATGCCTGTCGCATACATGAATCCAAGCATATGCTGTGCCGAGCTGTTTCCATTCAAGGAGGCCAATTGGTGATATCGTCTGAACGACTCAGGAAAGTTCTTCGGATGCGTGAAATTGCCGTAGAAGTTCATTTCAGCCAGGAGGAAAATAGCATCCGGGTTGTTGAGTTGTGCTGCCTCCTCCAGAAGTCGCACTGCTTCTGCAACCTGCGATGGAAGCTGTTTCGATACATCCTCTTCAGTTCCGGAAGGGCCCTGGATAGATAATCGTGGGAGCAGGGCTAAGATGTATTGCCCAGTCGTTCCAATTATGCCAGAGGGTTTTCGTGCTGGTCGCGGATTCAATCGTTCGTATCGATGGAGGAAGAAGAGAGCTTTGTCAACCTGCTCAGTACCTTGAAATGGGTCAATACATATTCTTCGTTCGATTCCCTCCTCTGCTCACCATCTATCCTCCTGGAACCGTCATTTGGTTCCCCCAGCGGCCGTTGCGGCGTTGGTGATTGAGCTGCTACCGATGGCTGCGCACTTGTATCCACGCTGACAGGCGTTCCCACATCATCATCTGATGATATCTGCGCATAGATGGGTATCGAAATCTGCAAAAACACTATGAACGTTATGCGATTAGCTTTATAATATGTTGTCGCAGCAGGATCACCACCTACAAATCAAGCACCATAATTGTTTGCTCCAGTCCTTCATATTGTAGAACTTTTGCGTGTGAAAGAATTTACTTCGTCCGAGAAGCAGTAGCAAGTGGGCAGGTCATCATCTCATGAAATCCGCAATGATCATAATGAGAGAAGCGTCGTGGCTCTGGGATTTGTTGGAGGTTGTTCAAGCTACTGATCTCAAGCTGTCCTCTTTCTGCATTCGGCAGGCATCCACACGCGACCATGCCGAGCTTACGGAACAAACAAACTTCAACTCCAACAAACAATATCGCCTATTCTAAAATTGTTGATTTTCTTCCTTACTTTACTTCTCACGATTCAGTAGAGAAACAATATAGTCAAAATGATGTCTACAATGATCTTCGTTTCTATCTTAGTACAGTGGTTTGCGCCACAAATAGCCCCACATGTTTCTCAACTCCCTTTCCAAGCCTTGACTTGCCCATCTTCACCACAAGTCAATACAGTTTGATGCTGGTTCTTTGTTAGCTGGTGAAATCAGAAATCAGAGAATACATACTGAGTCGAGAAAACAGTACGATCGGACGATCTCAGATCCGTGTGCTCCCGGTAATGTAACCTTTGTCTCAGGTTGAAAAGTCCAAGGGCCATTCTTCAACTGTACGAGATCAAAGCTCTCTTGACTATGAGGTTATTAGTATCAAATCCTAGAGTTCTGTGCTTCAAAATTGACATTCTGACTTACCTATGAGTTCCAATGCCAGCCACAGCACCACCATCTGGTCTCCTCATAACATTCGCAACATATTCACCACCTAGCTTCTCTCTTAGATCACCAAAGTGGACTGGAGGATGCTCTTCGACCCCTTCTTCCGGATTCGTGACGAGTTCATACATCGAGAACTTCTCGTCATGTGATAGAGCAAATATATCCACGTCACTGAGGAAGTTGGCATGGTGTATCGAGGCACTATGGTTGATAGTCTGGTGTAATGCTTCCTCTTCGTCTGTGATAGTGATGTTGTAGATGTTTACCAAGCCATCTGTTGAGCCAGAGAGCAGGATTTGAGGTCGAGTTGGATGGAATTGCAGCTGGTGGTTTGGTTAGCAGTGCCTTTGTCAGAGATGGTGAGACTTACTTCAGTAACATCGTCGCTATGGCTCTCGACATACTGGACTATTGGTGTCTCTAAGTTGCGTGTATCCCTAGTGAATCAGCGTTTATCTTGATGTAGAGGAATTATATATACTTACCAGATCAAAATACTTGCTTGATGATTCGTCAACTCCGTGCCTGCTGCCAATGCATACGGGCTTGAACATGCAAGTGACAGTATGGGAGCATTCTGAGCTACTCAAATTGTTAGAATGGGTTCAAAAGCCTGTCTATTCTACCAAAAACTTCAAAAGCAAAAAGAATAATGAGCCTGAAAGGCACTATTTCACCACTACTTGAAATCCAACTTGGACTCAAAACAAATCTCAAATCACAACGAACCAAATATCAAGATTGAAAACACCTCTTACAGAACATGAAAAACACAAAAAGTCACTCAAAATCCAAAAAGAACACCCCAAAACTCACCAACTCTAACCCCTCCCACCCCCTCTCCACTCCTCGAATCAACAACCCTAACCCACCCATCTCTCCCCGCCGTAACAACCACACTCTCCCCCTCAATTCCCGTCAGACAGGTAACACCCTCAACAGCCGGATCTCTCTTCTTACCCGATTCCGAATGGAGATTTCCCTTCACTGAACCGAGCGTCAACGACAACGGATCCAGAAGCCGCAAACTGTCGTCGGAGGAAATGGCCGCGAGGCCCGCGGCACAGGGGAGGATTTCATAGATGTAAACTTCTTGGCCGGGCGGGGAGGGAGCTTTGAAAACGGAGGTTGAGGTTAGTTGGTACATTTTTATTTGGTTGTGGGGAGAGTTGGAGTTTTGGATGTCGGAAAAATTTATGGGTGGAATTTTATTTTTGATGTCACTATTTCAGTCTTCAGACTACGTAACTTGAGCCATTTCTGATGAAATTATAGGTTGTCAACTAGTATAGGGGAATCTCGATGCCTATTAAGGATTCAACATTGGATGGAAGTAATTGCGTCGATCACGTGATTACAAGATGTTGCAAGTTTTCGACGATAAGTCCAGGGAATGTTAACAATGACTGTAGGATTTTTCTAGGTCGGTCATCTACACTGGCTACCATAGCCATTTGCTTTGCCAACCATATCCTAGAATAGACGAGCTCTCCTTGTCGTCCATTTGGCAATCGCTTCATCCATAGCAGCTGTATTCTGCCCTGTCATTCACAGCAGCCAGCCAGTATGGACTAAGATGTCCTCTCTTCTGGTACTTTTCTGGGACTTTTCGTGCTTGTTCGACTTGGTTCGTCCTCGGACGTTCCACTGACCTCACCAAGTAGCATCTTCGCATTCCCTGGTCTACACCCTAGCAGACGAACATGAAGAAAGCTTTCGCTATTCAACTGTATTTATCATGCTTATTCTTCACCTTGATAAGCAGTAACGCTTCATGATAATCCCCCTCCCTTCTAGCCTTCTTCAACTTCCTCACCTCATCATCCTCCAGCCTCCTCCCAACAGCTTCCTCAAGCTCCTTCCTACTAATCTTCTCCCTAGCCTTCTCTTCTTTCGACGCTTTGAGTTTCGGCTTGAATCGTGCTTGCATCCGTATCCGAAACGTTGTATTAAATGTAATCGCCTCTCCATCACCCCGAATCTCTGGCAGGGCATTGGATTTCGCAGACGTCGAAGGCTTGATAGTAAGAAACGTCTCTCGAAGATTCTGGATCTGAAATGTGCCTGGTGTATCGGCCGTAGGAATCGCGAGGAAAGATTCGAGCGGGGAAACAGCTTCTGTATTAGCAGATAGCATGCCGAATTTGTCGCAACTCAAATATCTAGATACTTGTGAGCTGGAGACATCGCAGATTTTCATTCCAGATTATACTCACTTGCCATGATGACCCTTGAAGCTAAACGTCTCTGTCCCCGCGACTCTATTGGCAATCCACACCTGCCTAACATCGTGCGGCTCCGCAGTCGAGGAGTCGTCGTCGATGATATTCTCGAGTTGACTCGCAAAAACCTTGCCGCCGGCATCGCATGCTATGCATGACGGTGGCTCCGAAGGTACAACCAAGACAATTGGTCCCACAACATCGCCTGTTGCTTCTGCCGTTACCCAGCTATCGTCTTCCACCGCAGGGTCTTCGTCTTTCTGTGTAGTCGTGAGTTCTCTCGACGTCGATGTTTCTCCATTGCCGAATTTCTCCTCGGTGTCGACCCGCTTTCTCTTCTTTGCTTTTTTGTCGCCTTTGAATGTCAGTGGTTTGACCATGTTGAATAGCTGCGTAGATGTTTTTGGTGTGCTGGAGCATTGAGCTGCGAAAGGAAGGTCGAGCTTCTGTGCGCTAGGCCAAAACAGGCTATCAGAGCCCCTCCAACGGAATCGCCCGGTCACTTCCTCCCATCCGTGACTCGTCGAAACTTAAAAATGTAGAGACAAATTTCTCTTCTTCTTGAATCTGTCGAACACAAAGAGAAGTTCAGCAACGATGTCCTCAGCAGCCGTGACTGTCAGCTTGGAAGATCTTAAGAATGGTACACCCCTCCCTCATCAACACCAGATCCTCGGCTGACCCTTCTAGGCAATGTCTCGTTCTCAACTTTAGAAGAAGCCTTTGGACCAGACTCCTTAGGAATTATCATAGTCAAAGACGTCCCATCCGACTTCGTCCAACTAAGACATCGTCTACTAACCTACTCTTCCTACCTGGGCAACCTCCCCTCATTCAGACTCGGTAAGTGATAACCCCACCATCCTCATCAACATTCTGATAAAAACAGCCAAACTCGAGAACCCCGCCGCAAAATACCTAACCGGCTGGTCCCTCGGCAAAGAGACTCTGAAAAATGGCCAAATCGATACCCTAAAAGGCTCTTTCTACGCCAACTGTGCTTTCTACGTCGATTCATCCTTGGACTGCGCTAAACCAACCTCAGAGTTTTCTCCTGAGAACTTTCCCGAGTATCTAAGTCCGAACCTATGGCCAACCCTCCCAGGATTTAAAGAGACGTTCGAGGATCTATGTCGGCTTATCATCGATACCGCGGTCCTGGTTGCCAAGGCATGTGATCGGTATGCCGAGAAGGAGATCCCGGAGTATAAATCTGGGTATCTAGAACATGTTGTTAAGACATCTACTACGACCAAAGCTCGACTATTGCATTATTTTCCCGCAGACCCTAAAACTGAGGAATCGAAGACGGACGACGATTGGTGTGCAACCCATCTCGATCACGGCTGTCTGACCGGCTTAACATCCGCGATGTTCATCAACGAATCTCGACAAATCCCCGCTATCCCCATCACGTACTCATACAACCCCCAATTCCTCCCAACACTAGCAGAACTCGATGCCTCCCCGGATCCTACCGCAGGACTGTACATCCAGTCTCGAAGCGGAGAAACGGTGCAAGTCAAGATCCCGAGAGATTGTATTGCATTCCAGACAGGCGAAGCGCTAGAAAGAATCACCAAGGGCAAGTTTAAGGCTGTGCCGCATTTTGTCAAAGGGGTTAGACCGGGGGTGGGGGAGGAGGGGGGCAGGATTGCGAGGAATACGTTGGCTGTTTTTACGCAGCCGAATTTGGGGGAGGTGGTGGATTTGGAGCAGGGGATTACGTTTGGGGAGTTTGCCAGGGGGATTGTTGAGAAGAATACTACGAAGTGATGGGTGTATAGCATGGATTTTGGATAACTGCGAAGGTGTATCCATCTAAGTCTTCTTCATTGACGACTAACTTCTGAGCAAATCAGATGATCTCTCTCATCAATTCCTTCAAGTCCTCCCCTCCTTTACTCCTCCTTCCATTTCCCACCTCTCGTCTCTTTCCCCGAGATAGGTATTTTCAATCGTCATCCGAATCACCCCCTCTCGCCATTCTCCTACGTACCAACCCCCGAAGTCCACCAGAACCCTTCGGCTTATCAGACGGCCAATCCTCCTCTTTCGTGCTATCCATCTCATCGAGCAGGATCTGCAACTGAGCCTTGATAGCCTTCAAGAACTGATTATCCTTTAAATGCTCGGGGACCTCGACTTCGGGTAGAGTTCTCTTCTTCTTCTCTTCTTTCTTGGTTTCGGCTTTCTCTCCATCTGCAGCCGCTACTGGGGTAGCCTTCTCTTCTTTCAAATGATTCTCGTCCTCAGTCTTGAGATCAGGAGTTTCTTGAGCATCAGACGATACATCTCCACCCCTCGCAACCGTCAACAAAGCAACAACAAACAACTCCTTCAAATACGCAAAACTAAACCCCTCACTCCACCCCGCCACCACCCCGCTAACCCCCTCCTCCCAGCGCACTAACTCACTCTCCCCCACCTTCCGACGCCAAAACTCACAATACGCCGTCCTCTCCGCTCTTCCGGGGAGTTCAAAATGGTACTTGCGATCAAACCGACTCGGCCGCTTCGAGATCGCCGGATCCAGACTCTCAAGATGGTTCGTGGATCCCAGCATTAGAATCCCGTCATTACTCTCCAAGCCATCGACTTCGTTTAGAAAGTAGCTGCGGGTTTTAGGCGTGATGAGCGAATCCAGATCCTCGAAGATCAGCAAACAAGGCGCCATGATCCGCGCATGCGTGAAGATCTGCCGAATGGAGAATTTCTGCCCTTGACACGCATCGAAACTCTTCACATACAGACTCGGCACGGGGTCCTCCCTCGCTTCGAGGGCTGCGATTAGCGCTTTTATGGAAATCGTTTTGCCGTTGCCGGGCAGGCCGTGCAGGATGATGCCGCGTTTCCAGGGGACGGAGAGGGATTTGTAGAGGGGCCGGTTGTCGAAGAAGCCTTGGACGTCGGAGATGAGGGAGGTTTTCATGATGGGGGACAGGATGACGTCGTCCCAGGAGGAGAGGCGGACGGAGGTGTAGAGCGAGGCGTCTTTGGACCAGCGGCCGTCGTCGAAGACGTAGATTTCTTTGTGGAGGTCTGTGGACCAGGATCCGACGGCTAGTAGAAGGGCGTCGGTGGCGGATGAGGTGCCTTCTTCTGAGGCGGAGGAGAGGGTGCGGGGAGAGAGGAGGTAGAAGATTTTGGTGGCTGGTTTAAAGGGAGCTGTGTACTCGACTTCGTAGAGCAGGAATTCCTGATCGTTCCATACGTATTTGTACCGTCCGAAACGGGTGTTGTCTCTTAGGAGACCTGGCTTGCCGGCAAAGAACATGCGCGGGCCGGGAGATTTGTAGGAGCGGGTTGCGTCGTAGAGTTCGTCGTTGGAGCCCTTATCTAGGGTTGATGTTGCGTGGCCAGCGGCAGCAAAGCCGAGCAGGTCGCATTTGTGGGTTCCGCAGCAGGTTATGTGGAAGTTGGGGTGGGATTTGCGGAGGAGTTCGAGCATGGTGAGTTCGGTTGAGGTGCGGGTGCCGTCGAAGTGCTTTTTGTAGCCATTGAAGATGGTCTCGAAGGCATCGTGGTTGGGTGCCATCATAGAGGTGTCTTGTTCGCCCATGGTTGTAGATTGTTTAGATTGAGGGTGGAACTTTCAACGAATTTAAGAGGATTGGGAGGCTGAAACTACTTTTGATAAACGTGAGAAGAATTAAGAAGCTGAAACCACTGACAGACAAAGTAGAAAAGTAATAGTTTTATAGACAATATATGATAACATCGAAAAGGCAACCCACAATAGGCACCAGTTACCGAGAAAAAGGCATTTCACAAGCAAACAAGACATTCTATTCGCTGCGAATAGCCGTAGACAGCCTTGCTGTTGGCCTGCGGCACTGCCTTGCCATGAGCACCTCAACATTTTCGCGAACATGCATTGTCGCACCGCATCCTACTAGAAAGGCTACCGATAAGGCTGTCAAAACCACGCCGAGTACAAGAAGCGTTTGGTCCGATTGGATCTGACTAAGGATAGGTACCTGATCTCTTGCGCACCTTGCTCAAAAGGTCAACGGGTATCGAGAAGCTACATGAGTCAACTGACTCTTTGTGATCCCAACTACTGCACGTCGAGTTGAAGCTGACGAGGCTTCACCACTTGATGGGAGCTCTATGGTGCAGATCGTGAGAAGAGTATGGAGAGCCGACTTATGGTAAGGCAACCTGGAAGGCATCAGCCACAGCAGGATTACATAATAAGGCTGGACTTCTCGCTTGGCTGCGTTCACATGAAAGGGGAAATGATAAGTGGATGCTCAAGCGTGGTTGGAATTATGCATGAATTAAAGGAGTGGCGAAGCTGTCATCAAGGACGGCAGCTCATATCAATTCATGCATAGAATTTAGCGCCACCCGATGATTCACGAATCGAAATAGAACAGAGACAGAAATTGAGATCCGATAAAATGATGAATCTCTGTTGACATGTTCACACTTGACATCCATGTTCGCGATTTGTGCCTCTGAGTGTTGTTGGCGTTGAATTTGACCTTCCCCATCGATGAGGTCAGGACTGGCTACCACCAACGCGCCGCCATATCAAAAAATCTCCGGATCATCGCGCAATAGATTATTTCTGGTGTCGATGGATGGCGATTGGCGCCGCCACTATCTTTGCTGGGTCCTTTTCTGGGTCCACCATCCACTGCAGTCCAGGGCCGGGTTCCCATTCTTGTTTTTCGATTGTGCCTGAATGGGCGATTTCATGTTTCCAACCCCTGCAGTAGTGACAGGAACCTCCATGACAGCGCAGCCACGGTGGATCCAAGTGCCCTAAGCGAAGCGAACCAGTTTCAGCGCATCTCGTCTGTCGCTCTGATCTTCTCCACCTGCCCAACCCTCCACTCTCCCACGTCCATCCTGATCCGTGGAGGCGAGGCGATGCGATGCCAATATCATCTCCTTCTTAATGGCTGGATGACCTCAATTCTCCACAACTATTCCTGCTCTTCTTGGCCAGGAACAAATCAAGACTAGGCCCATCTCCCATACTGTATGATTCTACGTATGCAGCCGTCCTGGTTGCTTCTATTTCCTTGTGCCAGCCAATGCAAGTGCCGTAGGTCGAGACCTCCTTGTTTGCATTGACCCAGTCTCATACTTCTATCTTGACCGTTGATCCCTTACTTATACGTCCGCATCATCTCTATCCTGGCGTATCCACACCTCGATACAAGGAATCCTGATCTATCATCTTTCTTGTTTGTCCTGTTCATCTCTTCTTACTAAGGGACCCGGTTTCCCCAATGCAAACGCAGACTTGATATCTGCTCGAACTTTTGAGTCTCTCGCTCTGTATCTGCGCCATCACACTCGTTTTGTTTCTTTAATTGCTTAATCATGTTGCTCAAAAATACTCTAGCAGCAATTGTATCTGCTGCTGCTGTTGTTGCAGCGCTACCGGCCACGGCGTGAGTTTGCCGCTTTCACTGTTTGCGGGGCATACTGATGAATTCGCAGACAACCATTATCGAAGCGCTCAGTGAGCTTCAACTGGGGATCAGAGAAGGTACGAGGTTTGAACATAGGAGGATGGCTTCGTAAGTATTCCTCTGCATTGTAGAAGCATTGGCTAACCTTCGATCCAGTCCTGGAACCATGGATCACGCCTTCTATCTTCCAAGGCCTCAACCAGTCTCTCGGCATAGTCGACGAATTCACACTCACTCAACAACTTGGCACAGAAGCTGCATACAATATTCTCAAACCACACGTAAGCAGAAATGGCATACATCAGGCATGGACACTGACGATCCTTGTAGTGGGATAGCTGGTGCACATTCGCGGATTTCCAGAAGATAGCAAACGCAGGATTCAATACAGTCCGGATACCAGTCGGATACTGGGCATACGCCCTCGAGGATGGAGAGACATACACACAAGGAGCAGCACCATACATTGATGCAGCAGTCGATTGGGCGAGAGGGACAGGGTTGAAGATCTGGATCGACCTGCACGGTGCTCCAGGTTCGCAAAACGGCTTCGACAACAGTGGACATAGAATATCAACGCCAGGATGGCAGCAGGGAGATACAGTAGCTCAAACGCTTTCGATCCTCAACACTATTACAGCGAAATACGCTCAGCCATCATACCAAGATGTCATTGTTGCCATCGAGCTTCTGAACGAACCTCTGAGCTCGGAGCTGAACCTCGATACGCTGAAGCAATATTATCGAGATGGGTACGACCAAGTGAGAGCCATCAGCGATACACCCGTCATGCTACACGACGGTTTCGTTTCCCCCAGCACCTGGAACGGATTCCTCTCCGTGTCAGACAACAACTCCCAGAACGGTAAGCCCGCCACCCTCCCTTGCTGAATACATGCTAATAAATTATCCCAGTCGCCGTAGACCACCACGAATACCAAGTCTTCACCGACGCCCTCGTCGCCCTCGTCCCCTGGCAACACCGCCAACTCGTCTGCAACAACGCGCCCACATACGCCTCTGGCGCCGACAAATGGGTCGTAGTCGGCGAATGGACAGCCGCCATGACGGACTGCGCTCCGGCCCTCAACGGCTACGGCATCGGGGCCCGCTACGACGGCACATACCCTGGCTCCAGCTATGTTGGAACTTGTGCCGATAAGAGCAATATCGCGATGTGGAACGAGACGTTCAAGGGCGATATGAGAGGATATATCGAGGCGCAGTTGGAGGTTTTCGAGAGCCATACGCAGGGGTGGGTGTTTTGGAATTTCAAGACGGAGAGTGCGCATGAGTGGGATGCGTTTGTGTTGCTGGATAATGGGTTGTTTCCGCAGCCGTTGGGGAGTTATGAGTTTAGTGCTATTTGTACCTCTTAGGGGTCTGGACAATGAGGGGGAGGGGTGGGACGGGGAATGAGCGGAGGGTAATAGCGGAGGCGTTGAATTGGAAGAGTAGATGACCGGGTGCAAGGAGGGATGGATAGATGGATGGGAGAAAATCGGCGTACATGCACACTCATTACATACATGTTTACCTTCCTTTCTGCTGCACAATGGTCTACAGACCTTCGAGATCGATAGATAGAGGCTTGGAAATACCCGTAGTAGTCGTAATTAGACTTGAATATGAATGCGAATTAGGATATACATAACTTAGAACAATCTCCGCACTCAAGGCTGTGGAGGCCCTTTAGCTTAATAATTGTTAGACCGCAGCCATCATTGAAATTATCATCGTCATCAGGATAGAAATGATGTCTATCTGTAAGCTAAACGATACGAACGATTTTGTTCAGGGCACTGTTTTCAATGGATGTTTAATGTGAACCTGAATGTCTCACACACCCCCAAACAGGAAAGCGCAGCTGACTAACCACCAAGCTTAATTGCACCACCACCATCACCACCACCACCATCACCACCACCATCATTTCAACGACATCACATCATAACTTCTGCAGCCTCATCTTCATACTCTAATGTTTCCCGTTGTGGGGGCCTTTGTGATCAGAATATCGTTGTGATGTGATGGGTTCGAGGAAATATGTAGATGTGGATGTGGATGGATGGGTGCAGAGATGGCGTCAAGCTCGGGAAAGCGGGGGTTTGGAAATTCGGTGTTTCTTCCTTTCTCGATATTTGTTGGTCGTTCATTGATGTGTGCGAATTTGACGCTCTTTATCCATGCCTTTCATGGGTAGCTTTTGTGCTGTGGTCTTCTTCGTTAAGTTGCTAGAACTGTCATATGCATGGCGTTTCGAAGTCGAGATGAAAGTGCTATATGGTGGTGAGACGGGGTTTTAGTCCTTTCTCAACATATCGTTAATGTCCTTGTATCCGAAGCTTTGAGCGGTGTTTCTTTGTGTCCGTCAAGTTTTGGTTGAACTCATTTTCGCAAGGCAGGATTTGGCGGGAAGTTGAGAGGACTTTTGCTTAGTCTCAGTTGGCTCGTAGTACCAGGAGAGAAATGGCGAGGTTTCCTGGATTCTTTGTTTTTGATAAGCGGAGATTTGGTTGAGGTGATCCCGAGAAAGAATCTCTTGTTCGGCTAGTCTCAAGGTGAGAGGACTTTTTGGTCTTGGGGGTTGTGGAGGTCATCTGGACATTATGTACTGCTTGTCTTTTTACGTCTCAAGTTGGCTTCGTGTACACAAGTGCCTAGTTCATTCAAGCGAGCATGAATATCTAAAAATTCAAGCAAGTATTGCTTGCCTAAGTCGTCTCAATACAAGATGCCTTTCAGGTCTCAAAAGCCACAAGAACTGTCAGGAGAATATGTATTGCATAACTCATGTACAAGGCACTCTTGATCTGCCATTTTCTGCGAAGACTGTCACCAAAATAAATGGGCAAGTATTACTCACAACAGTAGCTCTGAGAACAAAACGACTCTCAAGTCTCAAAAGTCGCAGGAAGCATCGGGAGAATTAAATTTTTAACCCTTTCCTTTGGCTACGTTTACAGTGTCCTAAATGTATCTTTTACAAGCATTACCACCCAGATAACCACCGGGTTACAACTCGTCTCCAAAAGCTGCTAAAATCACGTGATCGCCCTGCATCGTATATCTTTACTCCCTTGGGCTATGTTACGAAGTCTGCCTAATCCGTTTCTATAAGTATGGCCGCCAAGATAACTTGGCAGGTATCGCTTGCCTAGGTCGTCTCAAAATGAGACGACTTTGGAGTGCTACAAGCTGCCAAAGTCTATAGCAGATTCATCATATTGCATATATCTTCACTTCAGTTGGCTATATGCAAGAGTTTGATTCAGTGTTGTTGTACTATCATTACCGGTCGGATCCTGAGGCATGCATCACTTGATCACAATAATTGTCAAAATGAGACGACTTTTGAGTGCCCAAAGTCACAAGAGCCGTGGGGAGATTGCATTATATCTTCACTTCATTTGGGCTTTATGAAATGGCTTGATTCACAGTCCTATGGAGCATTGCCCCCTGCATAATCAATTGGCCAGCTCTCCAAATGAGACGATATTCAGTTGCCAAATATCGCAGAAATCATTGGGAGATTATGGGATACAATTGCTCTTTATCTCATTTGCCTCCGGTCTGACATTTTCTTGCGTAGTGCCGCTTAGAAAATCAAACAAGTATCACCCACGACAATAGCTGTTAGAAGCAGGCGACATTCATTTATTAGAAGTCGTAAAACGTACTGGGAGATTCCGTATTATCTATAGCACCACCACTTTCTGGGGTATGTAGAAAGCATTTTTATTCGAACCTCTTTCCAACATGAGAATAGACAACAATGACAACGGCCAGTCATCTATCATACATATGAGCGCTTGCTCTCGTCCTGCCATTCTCGATTGTCATTCTTTCAATCAACTCTCAATCTGTCGCTACCCTCATCATCCCACAGACAAACAAACAAACATACTTCAGTCAGCGACAGAAAGAGAATCTAGCAGCCGAAATATTCAGGCAGAGATTACTCACGATAATAATTGTCAAAAGGAGACGAAATTTGTTCGTCAAAAGTCGCAAGAGCTCCAAGAATCTTATGAAGTATATAGCTCCTCATAACTAAGGATTACTTGGCTATGTTATATTAAGTCGAGACGACTTTTTAGAGTGAAAAGTCGTGAAAGATATCAGAACACTATGTATTGCATATATTTTCACCACTTGTTTGATTATGTGTACGTTGTCCTTGGTTTTTTCCACCAACATAGCGACCAAATATTTGGACAAGGATCACTCGCGATAACAGCTGTCAAGGGGGGACTAATTTTAGTTATCAAGAGTTACAAGAACACTAAGGACATTATATATATCATGTATTTTTAAAGGCAAAGATCACTTGGCTACGCCTTATCAAGACGACCTTTAAGTGTGAAAAGTCGTACGAGTTGTCAGAACATTGAGTAATGTCTATAGCTTCACGCTTTATTTATCTATGTAATCGGTATTTTAAGTTTCTCAAAACAGTATCGCCGCCTGAATATTCAGGCAGGAATCACTTTATCACAATATTTCTTAAAGAGAAACAACTTTTGCCTATTTGAAATTACCAATACACTAAGTACATTATACATAACATATTTTTTTCATAGGCAAAGATCACTCAGCTAAAGTATGTCACAACAGGAGGAATTTTCGGTCTGAAAAGTCGTAGCAATTATCATAACATCATTACCTATAGCTTCACTCTTTATTTAGCTATGTGGACGGTATACTTAGTCTCTTCCAAACAATATAGCCGCCCGAATATCCAGGCACGTATAACTCGTTAGCTCACAACGCTAAGGGGGTCTTCGATCTGTGAATACTGACGCGACCTCCTTCTCTTCTTATTCTTTTCCTCTCTTCAATAATCCTCCAAATGGAGTCACAACGGCTGGGTAAGTCATTGTCCCGGACAGTCGTACGACTTTGCTAACCTCCAAAGTCGTGAAAGAAAAAAAATCGTTCAGAGAACGATACAAGCCTCCTCCCGTCCCCCCTCCCGACCGCCTGCCGAGATTCTCTGAATCTCAAAGCGCCAAGACCTTCTCCCGACATAAGTCGGGCAAGAGTACTCAAATTGTCACAGCACACGAAGCTTTGACCTCTACAACTCCGCGTCCTCGAATCAACAAAATGGAGTCGCGCATTCCTGCGCCTGCTGCTTCCTCTGTTGGCGTAAGTTTCCTTCTTACCTTCAGCGCCCTCGCAAGCTAATTCAACTTTTCACGGTAGACTCCAAGAAACCTGCGTCTCAACAAGGAACTTCCCGCAACTCCTCCCATGGTTCCAGTCATTGCAGTCAATATGATCCAGACTACTCCCAAAGCCTCTGGTATCCCTCGCGTTGTCCCGAAGACTTCTACACCAAAGATTGCTACGCCAAAGACTGGTGAGAACGCGTTCAAGCCACGCGATTTCGATGGTGATTCGATCCTGGCTCTTCCCGATGAGCAACGCCGCTCTATCAAGCTCGGCTTGAGTGGTCCAACTGTCCGCTTCTCCAAGGATTGCGATGAGTTGGTCATGGGTCCCGATGGCAAGCAGTAAGTTCATCTTCACATCTTCACTTCCCCATTACTAACACACTCCTCTCCAGACAAGGCAAAGAGAAAGACAAGCACAAGTCCAAATCCCAAGCCGAAGTAGTCTTTCAATTCCGCAGTACCCGTACCTCAGACACAGCTCTCACCACAAGCCGCCTTGCGCGCCCTAAGCCTTCTCCCCACCAACTCCCCACCTCCTCCTCCTCCGACACAAACACAAAGAAAGAACCAAACCTCAAGTCCCGCATGACAGCCATGCTCCACCGTCGCTCTGTTGCTCCTGCTACCCCTTCCGCCCCAAACGCCACAGCCCTCTTCGAGCAAGGTCTTGCGCAACTCGGTACCTCTCTCGACGCGTTTCGTGTTGCTGCCGCCGCGGCTGCCGATTCGAATCAAGCGAGCCAGTTCACGACCCGTGTCCAAGCTATTCTGCTGGGTGTTACAAGAACTAATGAGGCGAGGGTGGCGCGGTTGGAGGTCTTAACTCATTTGGAGGCACTTGAGGTTGCAGAGGTTGTTGCTGTTAAGGAGGCGGTAGAGGCTATTGATGAATTGGTCAAGAAGTTGTAGATTTTCTTCTTTCCGTTCTGCTAGGCAGTGGTGGTGCTTACCTTTGGGCGAGCTTTGTGATGGATAGATTAACGAGTGGTGGATTTACGATATGACCTGGTGGTGCTTGCTTTGAGCAAGCTTTAATGATTGATGCATGGACGAATGAAAAGGATCAAATGAGTGAACGAATGAACGGACCATTCATGATATGTGACTCCTCAGTTTGACTGTGAGATGCTTCAGGAATGGACTTACTTAAGTAAACTTACCTAAACTGCTCATGGCTGGTTTGCTTCTTTTGATTAAGCTCCAATCTTGGTCACTGCTACAAAGTTGCGTATGAGGCTGCCACTAAAGTTCTTAGCCGGCGCAGGAGACCTTCTCCTCCAAACGGTCTATCGATATACAGAAGGGTCCAATCACCATCCAGTTAATATAAAGGATCAGCTCATCTCTCACGTCATCACTCCCTTAGACTTTCCGGGCCAGCTCGTCCTCTTCTTCGCCCTCACGTAGAAGTTCACCGGCCTAATCAACTGAAACGCAGGATCATAATCCACCGGATCCTGTCCCACTTTCTCAAATTGATACCTATAAATCAACATCGAAATAATGACCCTGACCTCCTCCAACGCGAAGTTGAACCCGATGCACATTCGCGGCCCCGCGGCAAACGGTACATAAGCAGCCTTGTGTCTGTTCTTCGCTTTGTCCGTGTTCCATCGATCGGGGTCGGATTTCGCGGGATCGTCCCAGATCGTAGGATCATTGTGGATATGTGGAATGGAGATAATCATCACCGAATCTTTGGGGATTCTGTAGCCGCCGGGGAGGATGACATCCGCAAGTGCTGTCCTGCCGGGTTGGTAAGAGGGATTGTGTTTCCGTTGTACTTCTTTGATTAGGATACCAAGGAAGGGGAGGGAGTTCGCAAGATCGGGTGTCCACTCGGTGTCGTTCGTCACGCCGTAGTCGATGAGTTCTTGGAGAAGTCTTTCCTGGGTATGTCACAAGACTCTACAGCATCCAAGACAAAAGTGAAGCTGTGGTGATGAACCCCGCACCGATAGTGACGATCGTCGCGTTCGTACGATACTTCTCTGGAAGCTTCTTGCCATCTTGATCAACAGCTCTAGTGAGATAATCGGCGATACAAGATCCTTCAAAGCAGCATCTTGGATTGGTAGATCTTCCTTTGATCCTTCTGCGGCAATCTTTTCAACTGCGTTATTGATGACTTTCGTCAAACGAGCAATGTTCTGCTTCAGTTGTCTCGGTGTGCCAAATAAGCCTTAGCGTTTGCATCAATGGCTTCCGAAAAGCCAGATGATTTGATTTCACAGGCAATTGACCAATGCACAAAGCGTGTTTCAAGACGTAATTTGGCATTTACTATGCAGAGTCATCGTACCTTATCTTTTCCCACCAAAGTCTATATTGAACGAGCTCTCAAATCATTAAATTTCTATTTGGCGCTACTCAAAGCTAGTAGCTAAGTTCAATATATTTTCTTGATCAGGGAATCTACAGGTGTCATGCAGCCATGCCGTGGAACCCGGGAAGTGTTGGCGCAATTCAATTACAGCGCATAGTTTCCACCCGAATTTGTGATTACTCTCTTGGCTTTGCACGGTTACCGGTATCTAGCGGCCGTAGCGAGTCGAAAACTAAGAAATCTCCAATGATCTCATCGTTATTGCTAACAATACTATTGATCTCGACGGACAATTTCCTCAAAGTTGCCAGCATGAGCATTGTGGCGATGGAGTGAATCTCACGTGTGTCTTCCCGTCTTCTAAATATCCATTAGCTGCTTTCAAATCTTTAGCTCGTTCACCACATTTCACATCTTGCAGTTCAAGATCTCTTGTATCAGCGACAAATGGCCGATATTAAGACAATCTCCAAGGACGAGGTCGCTAAACACAGGCAGAAGGATGACCTTTGGCTTGTGATTCATCACAACGGTAAGGTTTTTTTGCTTCCAATTGATCAATGTCACTTGATGAATTTCTAGGATACGATGTCAGCAAATACCTTGAAGACCATCCAGGCGGCGCGTACGCACTTCTAGAAGTAGCAGGACAAGACTCGACGGCAGCATTCGAAGATGTCGGACATTCAGCCGATGCACGAGAGACCATGGAATCGTTCTTAATTGGAAAGCTGGAAGGAGCTCCCGAAGAAGACGATTACCAAGCTTCGAAGCTCCCGATACCAAAACCAAACATCAAACCCGGAGACAACGATTTTCATAGCGAATCGCCAGTCCTGGCGATCGGACGGACAATCCTCAAAGTTGCAGTTGCTGGCGTGACAGTGTATCTTGCGTATGAAGCTTCCGCTCGCAGTCCAGTCGTCAGTTGGATAGCTCATCATGAAGGTGGATTTTGGAAAGGAGCATTGCTTTCCACGATGGCCACGCTATCCGTGGTGACTGGAGCGGGGTTGTACTTCGAGCAGGCGATGAATGCACAGAGCAGAACGCCCTACTCATATCCTGCACATTTCAAACCTTCCATACATATCGCCAAAAAGCCAATCACCAAGGTGAAAGGTTGGCTCAAACCCGAGGAATATCAAAAGTTGCCTTTGGCGCAAAAGGACAAATTATCTTCCAACGCTTTCCGATTTGTGTTCAAGCTGCCGAACGATGACACGATCCTGGGTCTGCCGATCGGGCAGCATATCGGCATCCGGGCGGACATTGAGGGGAAAACGGTCAGCAGGTCGTACACGCCCGTATCGAACAACTCAGATCCAGGCATCTTAAAATTGGTTATCAAGTGCTATCTAGATGGGCTACTGACAGGGAAATACCTCCAGAACTTGCAAGTCGGAGATTTGGTTGAGATTCGGGGACCAAAAGGCGCGATGAGATATCGCAAGGGAATGGTTGCTGGCGGCACTGGAATCACACCCATGTTTCAGGCAAGTCACTTAGTCCCGTTGTACAGTGCTTCGCGGAATACTAACTACGTTGCAGTTAATTCGTGCTATATGTGAAGACCCGACGGATACAACACACGTATCACTGCTCTACGGAAACAATTCAGAAGCTGACATCTTGTTACGTCAGGAGCTCGATGAGTTTCAACGACGATACCCTGAGAATCTTAACGTCACTCACGTACTGTCTCATCCAAGTGAGTCTTGGAATGGTGCGAAAGGATTCGTAAGCAAAGACATGTTAGAAGAGAAGTTCCCACAGCCAAAAAAAGAGAGCAAGGCATTACTGTGTGAACCTCCTAAACTAGTTGATGCTATGAAAAAGAGTCTGATAGATTTAGGTTGGAATGAGCCGAGGGCTGTGAGCTACTTGCCAGACCAAGTCTTCTGTTTCTGAAGCGGTGTTGGAAACCAATCGATAATTCGGAAAGAGGTAATCAATTCTAGCAGACACCAGTCTGGGATTCAGACTTTACGGCAGTGAAACCTTTCATGAAGTGAAATTAGCTCACTGTCCTGAATATTGAATTTCATGTAAGACTTTAATGAAGCTCTTCATCAAGACAGGCTAAGCTCCTGTGTTACGGAAATTGAAGCCTGCAGTGAGCCTTACATTGTTTTTTTTTTGATTACCCTTACTTAATTGAGTCTATAAAATGATGAGTTGTATATACTGTACATTGCATCCATCCCGTTCAATCTTGCCAGGATTCAGGGGCTCGGTTATCGGCTTGCACCAGCTCGGTTAGACTGTACAGTGAACCAGGGGTCGACAACAGCAAGAAAACAAATTGCCATAAGTCCCGAATAGCGCTCGCTGTAATAAAAACTTTTCAATCTCGGCATAGAAATCATTTGACCGAGGCTCCGGCTTTGAGGTCATGATAGCACATGTTTTCAAAGTCAAAATATGATGAATCGTGACGGACCGTATCTTAGCGTCAAAGATCTTCATGCTTTTCACACTAAACACGGCAATGAAGTTACTAAGCCTGTAAGTTACATCATTTCGCCGCATATGCCGGCGTTCTAGACTATTTAACAAGATGGCAAGATTTGACGACCAAGGACATATACTTTTGAGAGCTCAGGAGAAGGCCAAAAACGCCAAAGAAATTTAATTGTAATCTCCAGCGTTGCAGCTACCATCGCCTTTTCTCTACCACTCGACCTCTACGCAAAATGGCACCAACCCTCTCCTCCATCAAAGGTCGCCCAGTTGCCGTCCTCGGTGGAGGCGTCCTAGGTCGAAGAATTGCATGTGTATGGGCAGCAGGAGGCTGGGATGTCATAATCCGCGACCCCTCCTCTGAGCAACGAAACGCCGCTCTTCACTACATCGACAACAATGTCTCCTCTTACGCCAGAACCACTGACGCTACTCCTGGAAGAACATCAGCTTTTGAAAGGCTTCCCGAGTCTGTCAAAGAGGCGTGGACAGTAATTGAAGCTGTCCCCGAGAATTTGTCTTTGAAAATCAACACTTTTGCTGAATTGGAGAAATACGCTCCGAAAGATGCTATTCTGGTGAGCAATTCGAGTAGTTATAAGAGTAGCGAGATGTTGGAGAAGGTGGGGGAGGAGACGAAGAAGAGGATCATGAATACTCACTACATGATGCCGCCTGATAATCGAATTGTGGAGCTCATGACTGATGGACAGACGGAGGAGGAACTGATTCCGTTTTATGCTGAGAGGTTGAGGGAGGTGGGGATGCATCCTATTGTTGCTAAGAAGGAAAGTACTGGGTTTGTGTTCAATCGTGTTTGGGCTGCGATCAAGAGAGAGTGTTTGTCGATTTTGGCAGAGGATGTCAGTGACGCAGAACAGCTGGATCAAGTGTTTATGGATATGTTTCATTCTCCAGCGGGCCCGTGTGCAATGATGGATGCTGTGGGCTTGGATACAGTGGCTTTCATTGAGGAGCATTACATCAAAGAGAGGGGTCTCAATGGCGATAAGACAGTGGACTTCTTGAAGAAGAACTTCTTGGATAAAGGAAAATTGGGTGCCAAGAGTGGAAAGGGGGGACTTCTGCCTCCAGGACATACCACTAAGACAACAGGCGAGAAACGGAGTAATCACGACCAACTCTCAGCACCTTCTCTGTAAGTCAAAATACTTGCGTCATAGGATGTCACTGATCGAGTCCTAGATATTTTCTCAACATTGGTCTCAATTCACTCTCGGATACACTGCACAGTGGTCGCATCGTAGTAGGGTCACCTGATGGGCGCAACTTGCGCACTATCGTATCAGGTCAGACCCTTCCCGACGGTCTTGACATCTCACTCAAGACTGGTCGAATTTATTGGACCAACATGGGCGTACCAAGCTCCAATGATGGAATTGTTCAATCCTGCAAATTGGACGGCAGCGATGTAAAGACTGTGATCCCGAGAGGAAACGTTCACACCCCAAAGCAATTGATTATCGACCAAAGGAACGACAAGTTGTATTTTTGTGATCGAGAAGGACTCCGTGTCATGAGATGTAACTTCGATGGCTCCGATCATGAGATCCTCATCCAGAACGGGGATTTCAACAACGAGAACGATGCAGCAGATCAGATGAACTGGTGCGTTGGTATAAGTGTGAATCAGAAGGAAGGAAAATTCTACTGGACGCAGAAAGGTCTTTCCAAAGGAGGAAAGGGAAGGATCTTCAGAGCTAGTATCGAGATGCCAAAAGGTGAAAATGCCTCTTCTCGAAGTGACATCGAGACTCTCTTCACTGGTCTTCCAGAACCAATTGATCTTGAGATCGACGAAGATACTCAGACACTGTTTTGGACAGACAGAGGAGATCCACCCATGGGTAACAGCTTGAATAGTGTCAAGCTTGAGAATTTGAGAAGTTTGAAGGACGGAGACAAGAACCCCAATTACGAGGTCTTGACGAGACAGTTGCACGAAGCAATTGGGTTGAAATTGGATCAAGTGAACAAGCATGTTTACTTGACGGACTTAGGTGGATCTGTGTACAGAGTTGGAATGGATGGGAAAAATAAGAAGAAAGTGTACGACGAAGAAGCGGCGTTCTCGGGTATCGGGTTGGCTCATGTATAGGAGAAAGCACTTTAGGTGAGAAGCTAGCAAGGATTTTGGTTTTCCATTGCTCACACCCCTCATGGCTCATTACAATATCCATCCAAGAACTTCACACCCAACCTATTCAACTCTTCCTTCTTCAAGAACTCTCTCCCTGCGGCAAGTAGTTTCGTGACATCTTGCCTCGAGTCAAGATATAAACCCCTCAGTTCCTTTCCCTTGCCAGTCGAAAGAAAAGCACAAGTCTGACCACACAAGGCTGGAGCATCTTTGAAAAGATGCTTGTAGAAGGCTTCGTCTTTCACTATACCGTATTTCTCTGTTACATCTGCTGCAGTTGCCGCTTCAATGTTTCGTCAGTAAACTACCTAGGAATATTTGAGCTTAAGGGAAAAGTCACAACTTACAACTCCCCATAGCTGTCAGAACGCCTCCCGGATGCAATCCATAAAATTGAATCTCCTCATCCAAGCCATCAAGCTCCATTTCTCGCTGCAAAGTGTGCGTCATGCGGATCAAAGCAGCCTTGGACGTGTTATACGCAAGGCACATAGGGACATCCACTGTACCTGAGCGAGAAGCGATGTTGATTATGCAGCCTTGGCGCCGCTTCATCATTCCTGAGAGAACCAGATGTGTTGTGATCAAAGGCTGGTAATTACCAGTAATTAGCCTATGTTTTCACAGATGAATGAGTGGAGAATTCTGTACGCCTTTGAAGTTGACCTCTACTTGACGCCAGATGCTTTCAAAGCTAGCCATTGCGAGGGGACGTTGTTCGAAGATTCCAGCACAATTGACTAGTATGCTGCATGCAAATTAGCAAAAGCACTCTTATTGCAAAGGGTTTCCATACTCGATAGACCCTAGATCCGATTCGATCTGCTGAAAAACTTTCTGCGTGATTTCCAGATCGGCAACATCGCAACTATACGCCAAAGCTTTAACTCCCGCTTTTTCACACTCGCTCTTAGTCTCTGCTTGGCTTTCAACTGAGAGGTCAAGTAAAGCGATATTAGCTCCTGTCTTCGCAATAGCTTCCGCTATTGCTGCGCCGATACCTGGAATCGCGTAATCAGTTTGTGTAAAATATTGCAAGGAGGAGAAATCACTTGCCTCTACCGGCACCTGTCACGACGGCAACCTTGCCTACATTTGTGCCTGCGAGAGTTTCTGAGGAAATGGCTGCGTATGGTTCATGCTGGAGGGGTAAAGTGCTATGGGTTTTCATTGTCAGCACAACGCGAGATCCGCGTAATAAAGATCAGATATATGAACATAATAGGAATTTGAAGAAAGTATAGGATATCAACATAAGCCATCACTTACGAGATACCAAACTCTGCAGGATCCATAGCGAATGAAACAAAGGTCTTGCGATTAGGTAAGTAAGTGCCTGTTCTTTCGCGCACCAATTGGATCAGAATATTCAAGAGCAAAACCGAAATTTCTAGCTGGATGTAAGTTAAGGTAGTATCGAGAATTAAACAGTGAAAACAATTCCTGGGTAGGAAAGATTCATGGGGAATTTGATATATTGGGAATGAGGGGATGCGGTGGCCCCACAATGACCCCACCACCGCAACGATCAAGCCGAGACATGTCAAAAACGACTACGATGCGAGCCAAGCCGATTCGCTGATCATTGTTTTGAGGATAGAAGTACGAGTCAACATTTATTCATTTGCCCTTATTCCCTGCTGAGCTGCAGGCTAAGCTAATCTAGGAAAGAAACCAGGTATTGCGCCTTCGCCTTCGCTTTCGCTTCAATAGCCTCCCGCTCCTCAACCGTCTTCTCATCATAAGCCTTCTGGATCGTCAACTCCTGGTCCAGACTCAAGGGCATGATCTGAAACACTGCATCCGTTATGCCCAGATCTGCCAACCATTTGGTACGCTTCGCGACGATGTCGTTGAAATTGACAAAGTTCCGGCCCGGGAGGTTGAAGTACTTTCGCTCTAACTCAGCGAAAGTTAGAAGCGGAATAAGCTTCTGGTTTGTTCTCGACTTGGGTACTGCTTGAGTGGGTCGATAACTCGAGAGCGGAGCGAGAGATTGGCGTGCTTGGGTTTGAGAGGAAGCGCCAGTGCCAGCAAAAGAGCTCTGCGGCGTATTGGTAGACTCCGGCTTTGTCATATGACCATAATGAGGAGTAACTGGTGGACCAGGTGGTTGGAAGGACGAGTGTTCGTTGTTAGCCAAGCTTCGCGTGCTCTGGAGCTCTGACTTTGTGAACGACGACCTTCCAGCTTGCACAGGACCAGCTACAAGAGGAGACAGGGAGATGTTCTCAGAGTAGCGCTGCTGGGGCTTTTTGGCTGCCAAATATCTGATACGACTTGGCGTCGCAGTAGGCTCTGGATCCTCGATGTCGGATTGATGCTTTCCTTTGGTAGGGGTCTTCGGAAAGTAATAGGGGTTCGCTTGTCTCATGGCGCCCGGAGATGGAGGCGGTGGGTATTGCGGGGCGTTCGACGGTGATGGCTGGGGACTTGAACGCGGAAGACGCTGAGAGCTTGTCGCATCATCACTTTGTGGTCTAGAAGCTCGAGGTCCCTGGTCATGTGAAGGTTGCTCATATGAGGGTTCCAATTGTGCAGAAGAGGGTTGTTGATAAGAGGGTCGCGAGTTTGAGGGTTGCGCATAGGAGGGTTGCGGCGCATAAGAGGGTTGTGGCGCATAAGAGGGTTGAGGGGCAGAGGAGGCTTGCGGATATGAGGGTTGAGCGTATGAGAGTCGTGGGTTTGAGGGTTGCTCATATGAAGGTTGCGCGCTTGAGGGTCGTGGAATTGAGAGTGGCGCATATGAGGGCTGCGAATGCGATTGTGGTAAAGGTTGCTGATACGGAGGTTGATCTGCATTACCTACTCGGCCGCTACTCGATGGTACAAAGCCTGGCAGTGTTTGCTGTCTTTGCATCATATTTTGATGATTCATCGGACTGTTGGCTGCAGGAGAGCTGGATATGCCCCCACTACAGTTATCAGTAATTGCAACCAGGTAGGGGGGTTACTACTTACTGTTGAAGAGAAGGTTGGACTCCATTTCCCCTAATTCGCCGTGCAGCGGCTGTATCGGATTGCTGTAGTCTCAACACGAGTTCGGATTTCAACCCCCAAAGCGCAAGATGACGCGCCCTCAAAAGGTCTTTGAGTTGGCTAATTTTGAGATCACTGTAGTTAGACGCCATTTGAAGAGTAGACTAGACCGTGCTTGGATGAAGATCTGTCTGTTGCCGTTCAAGGGTTGTTGATTGGGTATTTTTTGTGTTGTGTTTTGTTTTCTGGCGGCTTTCCAATACATGTTTGCGAATGCGGGGTCAGCGGCATATGGACCTTGAGAGCTTTACGCTTTGTCTGTAATAGGCTTTGCGGTTATTCATTATTATCGGTTGCGATAGCATCGGATTACGGACCTTGAGAACTACACGCTTCGTCTACCATAAGATTAGCATTTACACATGATTGTGGTAGCATCCGCACACGGACCTTGAGAGCGTTACACTTCGTTTACCATGGGGTTAGCATTTATATATGATTGCGATTGGGATAGCATCTGCATACGGAGCTTGAGAGCTTTACGCTTCTTCTGCAATACTTAGGTAGGCCTAGCATTTATCGACGTTCATAGACTCATGCTTTATCTACAATACCTGAGTAAGTTTAGTATTTGGCGACCTTAAGATGTTTTATGCTTTGCTTGCAATACCTAGGTAGGTTCAGCGTTTGCCGGCCCTAAGAGATTTGCACTTTGTCTATATAATCTGGGTAAGTTTAGTGTTTGTCGAACTTAAGAGCTTTACCCCTGGTTTACAATACCTGGGCAAGTTTAATATTTGTCGACCTCAAGAGCCTTATGCTTTGTTGTGAGAGAACAGGATAATGTGAGTTGGACCCTGTTTAGACCCCCAATTTCAGTGTGATCAACAATATAGACAAAACCAGACTTTTCTTAAAAACGCTCCCTTCTTTGTAGGCAATCTATTCTATTGACCACGTTTTAATTCCATACCTTGACATTCGTTTACAATACCCGGGTAGCTTTAACGTTTGTCTATCTTAAAATCTTTACGCTTCTTCTATAATAGGCTTAATTAGCGTCTATCGGCTTCTACTAGATCTACCACAGTGCTTTGACGTCCCTGAACTTCAAACTCGGGCTTTCATCAGCATCAACACACATCAAGGTTTGCTGCACACTTATTACATCCTTCATCACAATTGAAAACAAGTCCTTTTGTTGCTCCTATTCTCCGCCTTAGACATTTCCGCTTGATATACATCATCTCCTAGTCTAGGCCCCGAAAGATCGAGAGTGCACAACATTGTCATGAGCCGCGCAAATGACGAATGTCAACCTTAGCGAAGCGATAGCGGAGCGATAGCGGAGATACCCCTATGTTCGGCGGCTCTCAGGGGCTTGCAAAAGACCAACATGTTTGCAAACTCTCTTGAAACATGGGGTTGTTTCCGAAGTAGATGAAGCGGATGTGCCTGCGGCCGCCCGCTTGTACAAAGGACAAGAGGTGGAGACTTCCTAGTTTCCTAGGCTAAGGACTTAGTTTGATAACCTTGGATTGCTCTTCAGCTGTTTTGCAACGTTAAGAATTTTCCAGTGCTTTTAAAACCAGAGGGAGAAATAGCCACCAAGATTGGCGGGGCTGTAAAAAGCCAAAACAACCTCTTTTCAGGCGATGCTGGTGAGCCCTTCTTCCCCTCAACTCCTTTATATTGCTTGTCTATCCTTGCGCCTAGTCGCTTCTCTGCTGATTGATGAATTCTCTGATAATAGGTAAATGCGAGATCAAAGATTTCCCTCGAAGCACGGAGATCTTATAAAGAGTCAAGTCTGGCACTACTTTCAAGTTCGGTACCTCTTTGACACTGGACGATTATGTATCATTGCCTCGATTCACTCAAGAGACCGTTCCTTGAACCTTGGTCAAGATATGGATAATGAGGACGTGCAATTCGGAATCTCCCGAGAGCATCCTGATCGTGGAAGTTTCCATGAATCATTTTGACCCTAGCGTTTTGAACGTTTCGATTCTTGTAAGTCTCTCAACTCTTGAGGCACCTCTTACACATTGTTGATCTGATATCATTTCCCGCAACAGCTCGATCTTTTCGGGCATGATGCCAACGAAATTATTGTCTCAGAACCAATATTCTTAGCAGGGACGCATACATATTTGAACCCATTCACAGAAAATAAGGCCCCATATCAAATATCTCAACGCTGGGCGATCACGTAGACCTCGATTCTCCGCACGGCTTGAACGACCTTGAAACTTCCGCCTGGAATCTTCAAACAAACGGCTTGTGGACAGATTGGCAAAACACCCTCATTGCGGATTGCTGCACAACATACACATCGAATGTGCACGACTCCTATTCAAGCCTGATTATATTCACAAATCGGATCAAACCCAACAGCAGCAACAATTAGGCCTTTGGAAACATCTAATATCTTCTTGGTATCGTCGATGATGTTTCTGTTCTGCGCGCTGCCGGCTGCTGTTCATGGTGTGATACTTTACCTTGCTTTCGTGAGGAGGCAGAGGCGGAGAATTGAGTCTCTCTTTAACGTGTCTGGATTCTGCTTGTCAGCCACTGCCGGAAAAGGGTGATATCTCGCACGTGAAGGTGATATTTGGTTAATTGAAAGGTGGACACGGATCGGACTTACGTATCAGTGGAAGAGGATATGGAGTTTCGCACGCTTTTACTAAATAAAAGAAAAGAAAGGGAATACTCCACCTTCGAATATCCATCTTGCAGAAAAAGGGGGAGTAGACCAGAAGATACTAAAAAGGAAATCTAAGCGAGATGAATGGCACGTGAATTCAGACCAAAGAATCTGAGCAAGCTTTCAATTTTTCATTTCATGGCATTTCCTCTTCTTTCCACTGCTTTCCCGAGAAATCTATCTCCTTGATCTCGCGTCTTCGAAGACGAAGAATTCATGCCTCGGTGGCAAATATATATCTTCAAACTTTCGACCTCAACGACGATGCAGAATGGTCGCATCAGGCTCCCGTATTCTATTGTTAGACAACGGGCTGAAAAAGCAAACATGGCGCACCACCTCAGCACACCCTTCTCGCATCAACAAGCCCATTCACGCTGTTGGCACCCGCAAGAAATCGGGGGGCGGAAGGAGCAAAGACAGCCCCAGTAAAGCGTCCCTTAGCATGTCATCAGCCCTCTCTCGGTGAGCGCGAGGCACAGCGCAGCAACCATGCCTGCCTGCCCAATTCCTTTCAGCCTCACTTGATCACCCCTGCTCAAATTCTCGATCGTCTTTTGTCTCTCTTCTCTCCCTTGATGAATATTCATTTTGTCGTGCATCAATATCTCGCCATGGTACGCTTTCAAGCGCATGTATTCCAGGCCTGGTTCTTGGCTTGGGCAAGCATCAGTCGTGCTGCCGTTATCGGAAACAGAGCCGATGTCAACCTGACTCTTCTCAGCAACGCGACGACGATTGTACAGAACCTGGACTACACTTCCAACTGCACCTTATCGATATCGTGGTACCAGAATCTTCCCAGAATTGGTGCTGGCTCGGGGAACGATAGCATCAATATCGATTTTCTCCGCTCGGCTCTCCCGACGCAGTATCAAGATGAGAGCGATGCTCAGGTTGCCAGTTTCTACGATGACATGTCAACGGGAGCTCTTTCGGATCTTGGGTGGATAGGTACTGCGAAAGATGATATCGAAACTGCTTGCATTTCACCGCAATACGAGAGGGAAATAACTTTGTCGAATCTCGATCCAACTCAGAATTGCACTGCCACTGCTCTCTTCCTAAGTAGTCTGGGCTGGATCACGGGAGCGCAGAATTATACTGCGAGCAGTTCGAATGATACCTCATGGCTAGAATTTTTACGAGCTTCACTTCCGGAAAATGATCGTAATAACCTCACAGATCTCGAGTTGTTAGTCTACCGGAACTTCTTCCTAGCGTCTGAGAACGCAGCTACGATCACGACATTCCTGAAAGGAGGATTCAACGCTTGCCAAAAAGACATCTGTGAAGTCCAAGGCTACACCGGAAACCCCGACATTGGCGGCATAGGCGTTCGTCCCCTCCCTCCCCCAATCTCAAATCCCCCTATCTAACCAAAAAACCCAGGTCATCTCCTCCTACACCGTAGAAGCCATCCTCGTCACCCTCTACTTCGTCGCCATCAACTTCCAAATCTGGTGGGAAGGCGCCAACAAAGACGGCTCCCCCCTCAAAGAAAAAGACAAAATCAGCCCCCGCATCAAGAAAGCCCTCGAAAAAGCCTCCGACGAGCTCGCCGACGGCGCCCTCTTCTTCTCGCTGTCCATCTCCTCCGCCGGCTGGGTCTCCTTCGTTTCCGGGACCTCGTATTACGAGAAACTCGTCTTTACCTCAGCGAACGTGCTCGCTCTCTCCGCTCTCTTTGCCTTTCTAGGCATGTTTACGAAAGAGGGGCGGAAGAAGAGGGGCGAGTATATCCTCGCGTTCATGATTGCGGGGATCTTGACGGAGAGCGCGATTCAGTATATCGTGTACTTGAGGGAGCCGAATGATAAGTATAGCGATTACGCGTGTTTGCACTCGCAGTTTACGGATCAGGGGTACCATCCGACGATCTTTGAAGCGCTGTTCTTTTTGTTGTTGGGGTTGTCGGTGTTGGCTGGGATCGTGGGGATTATTTGGTTGAGATGGAAACCCGGAGATGTGGGCGCGGATCCGAAAGCGCGGAGCTTTTCGCACCATAGTGATGCGACGGTTCACGTCCCGGGGAAGAAGAAGGATGTTAGGGTTGAGAAGATCGAGAGGTTGATTATAGGAACGAGGATCACGATTCAGACGGTGGCTATTGCAGTGATGTGGGTAGAGCTTGTTTACCTGTGGAAGATCCGGAAGATCATGTCGAAGATTGCGGGGGCGACGTGGTCAGAGGGTACGTGGGGCTTTGGACAGATTTTGGCGCTGTTTATTTGGTTACCGCCGATTATTGATATTCTTGGTTGGTTGTGTAAGTCTCCATCTCTTTCCAGGAGGAAGAAAAAGAGCTGACGGTCTTCATAGTTCTTCCCGAATGGATGCTTGGTGGTGATAAAGAGAGGAAATGCGAGTGTGGAGGTAAGATGAGCTATCTACCTATCGGCATACTTCGAGACAATCACTAACATAGAACAGAGGAAAACTGTACTTGCACTAAAGACAAAGATGAGAAGAACGACAAACCTGCAAGTGCAGATACAGGGAAGAACGAGAAGACGGCGGTGGCGGAAACTCCAGTTGCGGCGAAAGGAGAGCAGGCGACTTTGACACAGCGAAAAGCTGCACCGCCAGCACCACCAGCGCCTGCAGCGAAGTAGAGATAGATGGTTTTTGCTTTGGTTTCAGTACCGAAATATTTGCCTGCAATGCGCTGTAGATATAGCGATGTAATGCTTAATGAAATTGTATACCCCCTAAATAACTTAGCGAGCGAAGCCCCTACATTCAACACAAGAAATGATCACAAAGCATGTCAGACATTCAAACGAGCTCAGATTAGAAGACCGATATTCTCTCACAAGTATTGAAGTCTAGCCATATCTCATTATTACCATTAAATTCCCAACTAAGAAGAATACCTCCACGCTATCAGTAACACCACCACACCAGCCATCCATTATCACAAACCACTCTCCACCTAAACCAATTACTCACAAAATCAACAACCCCAGCACAACCACACCAGCAGCAAGCCCCAGCCCCAAGCTCCCAGCCCTCAAACCTCCACTTCCGCCAGTATACACAATCGCCGGCGCAGCAGGGACCAACACCTGATCAATCGTATGCGCGACCCCATTGCCGACAATAACATCACTCTTGACAATCCGAGCCCCGTTAACGTAATACACCCCGTTGTTCACGGTGATGGTTAGTGTTTCGCCTGCTAAAGAGGTGTAGGAGGTGCCTGGGGTGAGGAGCGGCAGGTAGCCGAGGAAGTTGGGGATTATGTGGTTTTGGAGGAGGGCGGGGAGGGTGGCGGGGTTGGTGGTTGAGGAGGGGGGGAGGGGGAAGACGGGGAAGGAGGAGGAGGAGGAGGAGGAGGGTGAAAGATGGAAGCTTACTTGTTATGCTTGAAGAGGAGTCGAAGGTGTTGGTTAGGTTTGCGGAGGAGAGGAGACTGCTGAGGGTGGAGAGGCCGGTGGAGTTCAGGGTTGAGGAGAGAGGGGAGGGGATGGTGAAGAATCTAGGAGGTAGTTAGGTTTGAGACCTCTTCGCTGAGAGAGGAGGTGAGGCTTACCCGTCGGTGGATTGGATGAGTCCGTTGCAGTACGGGATATCTCCTGTGAGGATGTTGACGCTGTTGCCTAGACCGGAGAGTATTTTGATGCCCGTAGAAGGAACATTGCGGCGGCGGGTAGTGGTATTCGCAGCTACCTTCTCGGAAACAGTTGCTTGGGTACCTCCAGCTTGAGGGGCTGGCAGTCCGGTGTGAATTACTCCACCGGGCAAATTGGAAGGTGCTAGATCTTCCAGGCCGGTCAACTGGTTGGTATATTGATACTGCAGTTGCTGTTGTTGAGAAGAGGTATCACGGCGTCTGAGTGGGGTGACGAAGTTATCGTCTGTTGGGGCAAATACGGTCTGGACGGTTGTAGAGTTGTATATGGCGAGAATGTCGGGATTTGCTAGCAAGAAGTCGGCGAACTTGGTAGCGTTGGCACGATATTTGAGGGCATCGATAAGGGACATGGTGTCTGCGTAGGTAGAGATGCCGAACAGCGCCACGGCCAGAATAGTAGAGAGCTTCATATTTGCGGTGCTGGGATGCTGAGCAATTACTGAGTATCAGAAACGAATGTTGTCCCAGATGGTCTGGTGGATTGTATTCTTGAAAAAGTGAATGTCCGGTAGTGTATGAGAGAACAACAAAGTTTCGGAGCAAAGAGGAAATCGATGAGCTTCTTGTGTATGTGCAAAAGAGTCTGCAATGGGACCACCACTTGATGATTAAGTACGCAAAGATCGAAATGAAAACGCCATCAAATATCACTTCTGCTCGAATAGCAGCGGAAAACTCCTGTGCGTGCTAGCCATGTCGGACAACAACTCGGACATTGGTAAGCTTATCCCGAGAACATTTTGGGAACAATTGACCTGGCAGTTCAGCCTCCAAATGCATTTCCTAGGGTGAGGTAGTATCCGCCGCACCGCATATGAAGCGATCACAGGGCGATTCTGTGATGAGGTTGATTTCGAGGTTGAGGCTTCTCAGCCCCGAGTTGGAGAGGCGCTTGCCAAGAACTGATGCGCCATTTCTCTCGCCCACAGGTCAAAGCATTGCGGGGATTGAGCCCTGGGAGCGGCTTGCAAAATTGATAATAGTAGCCGTGTTTACCGTTGGTCGACGTTTCGAGGAGAAGAGCTGCCCAAATGGAACGCCACATTTTACGCCTGCGTGCTGAGGGTCCAGGGTCTCATGCGGACGCCCTCCCATTGCGGGGGTCGAATGGTAATCGTCATGCCCTCCGCTGTCATTATTGAAGTCTGTTCACGGATTGGACCCGGTGTCCGTTCCTGTCGTCCTCCCATGCCATCTGATCTTCATTCCGTCGTCGTCGCATTCGGGAACAATGATGAGTGAGAGTGAGATGTTTGGGAGAGGATGAGAGCAAGGGAAGAAGTCGTCGAGATACCGTTGCCCCCTGTTGGTGCTAATTTAGCTTCCGCTCGCTTGTAAGGTCGATGGAAGCGAATCGGATGCCCCACAATTCTCCAAACTCCTGGTTGACGTGTCGAGTTGTCGATCATTCGAATATGTTTCACCCTTTTCCCGCCTTTGACTCCCACCACTTGTCCGTCACCACCGAACATCATAATTGAGGCTGGTAAGTGGCGTTTTGACAACGTGACAGCAATACAGAATATGCAATTGCCCTCCACACAACCGCATTGGGCGCATTCAAGCAATGAGGGAAATTCCGTGGCGGTCTCCACAAGGACTCGTTGTGCTATGTTTCTCCTTACGAGGAGCACACCGTTAAAGGGACGGCACATTCAAGAGTTCAAGTGGCCCGAAGTCGCTAAAATTGCGAGACATTTGAAAGAAGACGAGAGGCTCATCAACGGTTAAGTCATGATCAAGGGCATGAAATCGGTGATTGCTGCTGCCAGGGTCTATACGATGAGCACCAACTCTTTGTGGTCAGTGGGACAGGATTGCCAAAAGCTGAGAAATCAGAAAGTCTGTGGCGCTCAAGGAACATCAAATGGGCAATGACCTCCAGCCAACGTAATCCTTCCTCGTCGATTCGGGCATGAAAGGCCTCAACAACACCCAAGTTGGCTACTACCCTTGTCTTTTCACTCCGCCGTCATTTTTCTGAGATTGCTCAAAGTCTGGTGCGTCTCCTCGTGGATCCATTGAGAGGCTATTGCGCCTCGGAAAAACTCCCAGTCGAAGCGCAAAGAGCAGAAAGTGGGCGTCAAGCTGAAGGAACACGGCACAAAATCGTCGATGATTACTGGGGTCTGCCCAAGGTGGCAGACTCAAACCACATCCGTCTTATCTGATCGCTGAATGGGTGACAGAGAGCCTCCTACTTGTCTCTTCTCCACTCTGTCATTGTGACCTCGATAGTGAAATGGCAACCGTAGGCGATCTCTCCGTTCAGGCCATTGGACATCAAGGACTAGTGCTTGCGAAGCCGACAGTCCGATATCACACATTAGCAAGAGCCTCGAGAACACAGCAAACTCTTTGTTTCTGAACGAGGTCGCCAGAAGACGATTTTCATCTCTTCTAAAGCATTTCGAATCTCAGAGTCTTTTCAGTCTTTCTAGTCGCCATCATGCCTGCTATTATACAGGATGTGTTGTCTTTAGTGGCACCATCTTCAGTCTATACTGTACTGCAGAGGTTCACAATGCCAACAGCTGCAGGTCCAAAGGCTGTTATAGCTTTGACTTTCGAGTCCAGCAAGATCTTGCAATCACTTTATACTCTCATGTTGAAGATGATTGTAATCCAGATCTGGTATCTGATTGTTCTCATTGGAATTTCCCTCTCCGCAAGTCCGAAGAAACAACGATCGCACAATATCAGCATTGCGAATGTCATCATCTGGAACGCGCAGGCAGCACCGCTCGACATTGTCAAACTGATGTTTGGCTATATTGCACACATCTCCTTATACGCTCTGACGTGGACTGTCCTAGCAGCCTTTGCGTGGGCTGCTTCTATTGCTCTTTCACTCTTGGTTTCCCCGGATCTGATCATTGGGATGGCGGCACCAGTCGCCGCTGATGCCATCTATGTCCCAGAATACTCTCCGTACAAGAACACAAGCTCCTACTCTCTTAGAGTTGAGCAAATTTCGACACCGGCAAATCTTCGTGCGATCGGACTCGCAGATAACTTGACAACAAGTGCTAACGTGAGCGTCGGCACTCCTACCACATCAGTCGATGGCTACGGAGAAACTATATACCAACTCGACTACAGCTATCAACTCTCAGACGTTGATTTTGGGCTACAGCATGCTAGTGGCCTCCTTTTGGCTGTGAACGGATCCTGCATCACTGATTACACCTGGTTCGCTGCGAAAGTTGACAATCCGTTCATCGTCACCGATGTCTATGTGCTGTTTGGAAATGATAGCAACACTGGAAATGCTTCGACAGCAGATGGTGGACCGCCATTAGCTACCTTCTACCTCGACCCGGCTGGCCCACAAGCGCCAATTGGCAGCAACATCAGTTATGCCATCATCATTTCCTCCCTCGGGCGAAAAAGCTTTACTCCTAGCTCAGATCCATGGTACCAGACAGCACAACTACCTGACGACCCAGCTGGGGCAGGATATATAGTATCGCGGGGCAAACCGGTACTCAGCTGCTGGCAGACCGACATCTGGTCCTACGGAAATGAAAGCAGATCAATCAACGACCTCGAACAACTGGGAGTCCTGCCTCACTCTTTAGTTCTCATCTTCCAACATTTCCTTAGCGTCCCGCGCATATTCAACCTCGCGCAATCTCTCGGAACAACAGCCTTGAAATCAGCAACCGGATCTCAAGGCTACTACTTCGACGCACAAACATCAAACATCCACGACGACCTCCAACGTCTTGTCCTGGGTGCCTACGAGGCTACCAAGAATACGTTACAGGAGACGACGAAATTCAGCAGACAGTACACCGATATCTCAAACCTCGTCCTTGACGATAATGGCAACGTGCTCCCCGGCACAGACGAATTCGTGATCTACACCGGAGAAGCGGCTGCCCTCTCGATCCCAATGTTGATAGCAGTCCCAATCATCGCCGTCCTGCTTCTTGCGCTCAATTTCTTGCTCACTACCAGCCTTCCGTGCTACGCGCTACCGTGGGGATATGTGGACGCGCTGAGAGCAGCTGTTATCTATAGCGCTTTGGACAACGATCCTAATAATGATCTCTGGGATCGCTCTACGCCGGCTCCGATATATAAGGTGGATCCGAGCAAGAAGGGTATCGTGCATGAAGCGCATGTGAGGCCGGGGTATAATCCTGATAAGAGGACTTTGAGTTGGCTTGGCTCGGGACATGGAACGCCTGCGTGAGTTTGAGGCATATCTTCGAAGAGGAAATATTGACTGACGAATGCTTGCAGAATGAGTCCAGTGTTCGAGAAGAAGGCTGGTGATGCCTCGATCGTGCCTCCAGCTGCTTCTCCTAGTAGCCAAAAACAAGATTAAGGGAGCTTTACCACTTTTTCTTGAATTAGGAGTGCTGTTTAAGTGTACGGGTGGACTCTCGTTTGATTTTGATGACTGGGAATTTAGTTATCTTTGTTTGATTTACTGCAAGAGATGAATTGTTTCATTTGCCTCTTCTTATATATATGATGCAGCCGAACCACGACTTGGTGGCTCATCAGGAGGATCGACTATCCTTGGAGGTGGAAGTGTTAGCTCCGCGACAGGTGGCTGTAGGATGAAGTCTCTCTCTCTGCAGTGATTCAGTACTCCTCCTTCCAAAGCCTCTAGGTCATGCCTGTATTCTCGCCATGCGTTGAACTTTATGAACAGCCTTTGAAACTCAAAGGTGGAAGCATCCATTGTGAGATTCGGACGCTCGCGAGCTTAGTTGATGATACGGTGTAGTTCGCAGACCTCAGAAAGAAAGCAAAAATGGAGGTGTTTATGGAGGGATGAGGCTAAGCCTTCAAACAGTAGTCTTAGCATGACTCACTTTCCCCTATATTTACTATGGGAAGAAGAGTTTTCTAAAGACATTCATTTTCCTTATTACGAATACAATTTTCGAATACTTTTTTACCATCCCTTAGTTAGTTTGCCTCTATTCTGAAGAGTGCGTTCGGCAAGTCTAGCTAGCTTCTCCCCTAGTCTACTCAAAGCCCTAGTACACAACGTGAGTACTCTGCAACGAGCAGTTTATTATGAGGGGGACTGAATGCAAGTTGAGGATCTGGCTGGCCGGCTATGCTCCCAATATAAATGAGTGTTTATCACCCCTTGCTCTGCTTCTCTAAACGTAACGAATGTGTAACATAAACGGACATCTCGAGGTCATTACCTTTTTTTCGAAGAAGAAACATTCTTTGTCATCAATTGGCATAGCAGGAAGAGGCTATGCTCGTGTGTTGAACGCAATCGACCTGCCTGGGTTTAGTGGGCTATTAGTTCTGCTCAAACTCCCGAGCTGAGCATCGAGTAGAACGGTCAAGAACTTTCCTCAAATTCATAGAATTGCCAAAGACACAGAATGTGTCATACATTGAGAATCGCATATTCATTCGCTCTAGCATATCATTACGCGTGGCTAACGTCTTCCCTTTAACTTGCAACTTATGATACAATTGAGACACTTTGCTGCTCCTCCTTCCTACCCTTTGATGTACTCTAAAAAAACGTGAAAACAATCTCAAACATTCAACGAAAACCTGAACCAACCCTACTATATGGAAACTTAGCGCCGCCGTCTTATACATTGTGCACAGCGTGGTCTAGCATCTCCAGCCTTGCCGCGTAGCCTATTCCCACATTGCAGACCGTTCTTCAATACACCTTGACAAATAAATATTCGAGTTTTCACTGCAAAGAAATTGGAGGGCGGATCCGTTGGCTGGACACGCTTTCGAGGACCCTTATCTGCTGGAATATTTACCGGCTGGTCAAGTGGAGTCGGTGCGGTGAAGTTTTTCCAAGGCTCGATCTCGTTGTCGTCATCCTGGGATGCTAGATTATAAGCCCGCGTGATTTCGTACTTTAGCGTCTCCAAGGTAGGTCTATGTGTTGGATTCTCGTATAGACACTCGTATATTAGGTCTGTTAATACTTTGCTATATTCACCTGCATACGCGTTTAAATCTGGTCCGAACGTTCTTCCCAGTGCTGGTGCTCCACTGATTGGATAGCTTGGGAGAAATGGGTCTCCGATGTCAGGGGGATCATAAAGACAAGTGACGATTTGATACATGATTTGACCAACGCCGAAGAGGTTGTAGGTAAATCCGTTGAAATTTCCAGCAATATCGCTGTCGAACCAGTTGCGGGCCTCCCAGTCTCTGTGAAATTGCTCGGGAGTATTGTAGTCCTGTGTACCCTTTGTCGAAGTAAACCTTTGCTTCAGATCCAGATTTGCCTGCGTAACCGAGTTGTTCAGAAGTGGAGTGATCCTTTCGGCATGCCCAAAATCACCGATCTAGAAAGTTGTCAGCTAAAACAAGATGTTTTCGTTGATTAACTAGAGAAACTTACAAGTAACGTAGGGCATGGATGAGTACTGTTCCTACTTCCCATAAATACTAGTATATGTTAGTACAGGTAAGCTAGTGGTTTGCCATGGGAGGTAGTGGTTGTACCATTCTCTGGTTTCATATCGAAATGCTGCGAACCAAATTAGCACTGCTGTGACAGAGGATAAGAGTAAACAGAAGCTTGATTCTTTAGAAACCATAGGGACACATAAAATTATAAAAGATTATACAAAGGATCCTTTGGAAGCCACATGCAATTTCAAGGGACGTATTGTAATTTGTAAGAGCGTAATACTTACAGTGATATCCTTCCACAACTCTGGTATTGCCGGCTCCACGTACCCACCAGTGGGAGAATTAGCAAGGTTCGCAGCCAACCAGTCTGGTGGTTGCATTTTCAACTCTTCGCCATACTGCATGGCACACACTCCATCAACGAGGCATTCGAAAAATTTCCATACTGTCAAGAGTTCGAACCTTTGTCTCCTTCTTGATATTAGCATGGAGGAATAAACAGGTGAATTAAGGGCGACTCACTGTTGTCTCCTCATGAACAGTTGATGGAATAAGTCTCCCATGGGATAGAACGTGAGAAATATTCTGGAAATGGAATTCGCCGCAATAGCTGGTGGACGGAAAACCGGATCGACAGGCGACTTGACAATATGGTCACCCGTGTTTCTTAGTCTGTTCATCATCCTCCACTCATTGGTGAACTCTTGATTGACAACCCCGGCAAGTTGCTCTTTCACCACAAGTCGTGTGACAGCAGGGGCAGGAACGGCAGGCACTCCTAGTCCTCCAGCAGGAGGCTCCCACTGCCAAACTCCGACGGCAGCGTCGTTATTTTGTGCTAAAAATCTAGTCCCTCTCCAGTTTGCAGCCCCTCCGGGCAACCCAGTCTTTATAGCAGCCAGAAATGCAGCTACCTGAGCGGGAGGGGGATCGTCCGGATCCGGTAAAAGGTCAATAGGAAGGCCTTGATCAACGCCAAGCTGGGCCGGGTTGGGAACAGGAACTGGAGCTGGAGCTGGATCTGCCGCGATAGTGAAATTACGATACGTATTCTGGATCCATGCGATGTCGACCTGACCCCTAGGGTCTCTCCTTATGGTTCGCCCTTTGAACAAGAATTAGCAAGATTTCTCATTGAGGACTAGTAACATAATGAGAGCAGGCAAGTAGAAATAGGATGATACAAGGAAAATGAATAAACGGTGCAAATTACATCTGTTGACCTCTTCCAAAGCGTCCACCTGTGCTTGAGTAGGAGGAGGAGCAGCCATAGTAAAGCAATTCGACGCCGAATGATGGGACTTGGTGGAGAAGCTGTAGAAATCAACCAGTTGAGGCGATAAATTAAGAATACATGGAAATGCCACAAAGCATTCACTTCTTTGTTTGTCCATTCACTATGAAAGCGGATGGCCCTCTCCTTTGTTGGCAAGAACAATGAAACGAAAACGAACGTTATTATGCGGTTCCAGTCTTGGATTGAATGGGTCCATTGTTTGCAAAGGCGGGGCTAGGTAAATATTTGACAAGAATAGAGGAGACTGCGTCCCGCATGCCCGAAACGGGATCACAAGACTTGTTTATTTACCAAGGTAAGACTTTTAGTACTTCGGAACGTGCGCCTTAGAGAAATCCTTGATCTTTGAAAACTTTTTTGTAGATCTCTTTAGTTGATTCGAGGGCCTAGAGAACTTTGAGAGCTTTGGCAAATAGCTGTATGCGCGGAACTCCACGTAACAATAAGTCTGTACACATACCCTCCTTAGTGTAACGTTTTGCATGAGGGACATTTCATCAGGGCAACCTGCACTAAAGTTTCTTGCATACAAGAACACAGAACTGTCAGGAAGGATAAGCGATGAGGAGTAGCAGAGCTTTGCAGATACAAGACTCAGTAGAAAACACGTGCAACAAGTCAAGTTTCGATTGACTCTTGTCACATGTAAAACGATGATCCCACAGAGAATGAAGGAGAAGGAACACTAAACATGAACTCGTGCAGTTAATTCTTGGTATATACAATTATGGATAACGGACCAGATTGGCATGAGTAGTACACCGGGGATTTGGTGCCCCAAATGGTAACTTCCTCTGATTTTTGCACTGCGAACCGTCTGCCAGAATGAATGTACATCTGTAAATAACGTTTCTGACTGGCGCAGGTGCAGGCGCGGGGGCTGGTGCAACCAGTGGAGGAACGATCGGAGCGACAACTGGAGGCGGAGCAGGTGGTATAATAGGGGCAGGGTCAACTGGTGGTACTACAGGAGGGTTCCGCTCAACTGGATCAGGGGCTCGAAAACTTGCCCATGGTTCTGGCTCAACACCCTGACTATCCAAGGGTTCCAATGCGCCAATGATCTTCGTTTTTAGGAAAGGAAGCGTTGGACGAAATCCAGGCTTCTCGTACAGACATGCAAGGATAAGTTCTTGCAATCCATTGCTGTAGGTCGAAGTTTCGATATCTCGTCCGTACGTCTCGCCTAGTGGTGCCACACCATTGATCGTACCGGCCGGTAGGAAGTTTGAAACCTGATTCAGTCGACGGAACATTGCGAGTTCCCACATGATGGCGCCGACCTGCCATACATTGGTTGCATAACCGTAAAGACCGGCGACTCCACTGGTATCCCAGTCAAGCGCGTTCCACCTGAGAGAGAATTGTTCACTAAGGGTGAAGTCAATTCTTTTGCTCCTTTATGTGTTATAAAAGGTAGGACTTACGGCGTGTAGTAGCCTGGTGTACCATCGCTTCGATACATTTTCTTTTTTTCCTCCGAAAGGGTTATATTGACATCTATCACCTGAGCTAGGCCGAGGTCGCCGATCTATGAAATTCAATATATGATCTCCCAAAAAGTAATTCAGCATACCTTGCAGATAGGTGTGTAGGCATGACTTCGTGTTTTCTCGAGAAGTACTGGAGGGTTCATATTAGCTCAAGTACTACGCTGACTTAGAGTCGGATAACGAACTGTTCGAGGGTTTCAAGTCGAAGTGTACAATTCCTTGTTTCCAATCCAGCGCTAACGGTGGGATAACAGCCTGTTTGCTGACAGCGTTGAACCCAAGCTCCTCTCCGTACTCTAGGAGACTAATGCCATCTATCAGACATTCAAAGATCAGCCACAAGGTGTATTCGGAGAATTTAGTCTGCCTATGACAATATCAGAGAGCTACTACCAAACAATACCCGTACTTACGTCGCAATTCTTCTTTTCAAAAGATCTAACAATGTCCCTTGTGTGTAATACTCCATAATCAACCTTTTTGTCACCCCCATCCAAGCGTTAGGCAACCCTTCGAGGCCCAAGTCCGCGAAGCGGGGATCCTTCACCAACCTGAGAGCATGTTCTGAGTTTTCGGGGATTTTGAGCATCAAATTTGCTTCGTCTGTCAAGTCGTACCTTGGATCCATTATCTCTTTGACAGCCACGTCACATGTTAATGGTAAATTGGCTTGTGTTTTATCATAAGACCAATGCCCCACAGTTCCCATTCCGCCACGACCTAATACTCTGACACCTTTCCAGTTCACGGCCGGAAAGCTATAGTTCATTATCTCTGGAACTCTCTGAGCGAGCCAAACCCCTTCCGCGAAGTCTCTGCCTCCCAGCATAGGCACATCAATCGGCCTCACGGGCTTGGCTGCAGTGGCTACCCTACCACCGGGAGCGTTGGCCGTGACGAAGTTGTCTCGCCTGTAAGCATCCTTTACAATAACAAGTTAGTCAAAACCATCTTGGCATACAGAGGGGTGGTAGTAGCTGGAAACCACGAACCCGAATACCCTCGTCATCCAAGTCTACTCGTCCATTGTATCTCAACCAATAATTGTAGCTTTTGGATCTGTTAACACTCTCTCGTTCATATTTGATTGTTTGCTGGAAATGATCGTGAATGGTAGACTTACTCGTCTCTGAACCTCTCAAACTCTGCCGAATCTAAGGGGATGCCATAAAGATAAAGTCCCGCCATCGTGGAAACTATAGTCTTGAGTATGGGAGGAAATAGCAAGAAAGAGGAGCGAGGAGGCTAGGCAATTTTGAAATATTTTGTGATGAAAACTTTCTCTTGAACTTCACTCGCATGATGTCAAAAGGAAGTTAGAAGAATTGCAGAACGGTGCAAATTCCCATAGCATCACGATAGTTTTCTAGAGTGACTAAATTATTGTGCTCTCGAGGAAGTCCTTTGTTGTCAACCCATCTTCAGGCAATGCATAAGTTCAATAAATCGACGAAAATAATGGAATGAAAGCAGTCGACAAAGAAAAAAAACTCTAGAACAATACACATTGTAGGTAAATGACCCGTACTACTCGATGCAATATTGAGCATCAATGATTTCTCACGAGAACGCAATGGGCTCAGCTCCATGTCCCAAGACTTGACGATGCACTAAGCCAAGCCCATGCTTTGAATCCTCGAGAATAGATGAGGTTGTGGTGTGACCTTCTTTACACTTGTAAATGTTATTTTTTCCAGAGTGTACTATTTCATGAGTCGACGAGACCAAATTTGAAGTCTGCTTGGCAAGTGCACCGGATCCGGACAATGATGGCTTTTGGTCTTGCCGCTCTCCTCATATGATGCCGCATACGGCGTAAAGAAGCCATCCACGATTCGATATGCCGAACGAAACATTCTCTAGGCAGTCGCATTGCTGCTTTTGGAAGTCTCTTTTAGCCGCCACACGTTGACACATCAGGCTAAAGTCTAACTGAACCACTCTTTTCAATGCACTCGACCACAGAATCCACAGATGGCCAATTGTGGAAAGGCGACGATTCGACCACATAAAACCGACGAGAACATCAGTGGAACTTTTCATTTATCCGTCTGCTGGTCTGGCCCACAGAGTTGAAGATGCGATCTCGCAGCCGCGATACCGCCGCTGCTAAGGACATGATAATCGACATGAGGAGCTCTTTCCCCTCGTGGCAAGGTGGGGTCTTCCTTGCTGCTAATATCTCAAGCTAAGTGGACCTTTCCTTTTGGTTTGTCTGGATACTTGCATATAAGCCTCCTCGCCCCAATTGGTGTCTTCGTTGGTCACGAAGAGGAAGAGACACTTTACATGAAATCGACACTGTTGCTTCTGCGGTAAAATGGCACACCCCCACTCCGTTGAGAATATCAAGTACTGATCTATGTGAATCCAGGCCGGCTCACTTGACCTCTTCAGTATCGGTCCTGCCCTGCACCTTTCCTTTTTCGACCCCTCTACGTATCTCAAAGCGAGCTCTTAAACCTCAATTTTCTCCATTCCGATCCTTTGCAACCTCAAAAATGGCGCCCTCTACTATCAAGCTCAACACTGGACATGCTATGCCACAGGTTGGCTTCGGATTGTGGAAGGTTGACAATGCGACATGTGCGGATACTGTCTACAACGCAATCAAGGTCGGATACCGATTGTTTGATGGAGCTTGTGGTATGTTCTCCTTCTTAGCAAAAGCCTACACATTTCCTGATAAGTGGCAGATTACGGAAACGAGAAGGAAGCTGGTGAGGGTGTTGCGCGAGCTATCAAGGACGGACTTGTAAAGCGTGAAGATCTCTTCCTCGTCAGCAAGCTCTGGAACTCCTTCCACGATGGCGACCAGGTCGAGCCAATCTGCCGCAAGCAACTCGCAGACTGGGGCATTGACTACTTTGATCTGTTCATCGTCCACTTCCCAGTTGCCTTGAAATATGTCGACCCCTCAGTAAGGTATCCTCCTGGCTGGGCTGTTGACGGCAAGGATGATGTCCAGTTGAGCAATGCTAGCATTCAAGAGACATGGACTGCGATGGAGGACATACATAAGAAGGGATTGGCCAAGAGCATTGGTATCAGTAACTTCCAAGGTTCTCTGATTCTCGACTTGCTGCGATACGCCAAGATCCGCCCCGCTACCCTCCAAATCGAGCACCACCCATACCTGGTTCAACCTACCCTCCTGAAGCTCGCAGAGAGCGAGGGCATTGCAGTCACCGCATACTCCTCATTCGGTCCACAATCATTCATTGAGTTGGAGTGGCAAAAGGCCAAGGATACACCAGTTCTGTTCGAACACCCAGTTGTCACCAAGATTGCAGACAGAACTAAGAAGACCCCTGCTCAAGTTCTCTTGAGATGGGCTACTCAGCGTGGATTGGCAGTCGTCCCCAAGTCCAACAACCCAGAACGTCTCCAACAGAACCTTAAGGTTACCGACTTCGATCTCGAGCAGGCAGATTTGGATGCTATTTCAGGATTGGACCGCCACCTGAGATTCAACAATCCCACTGATGTAAGTCCACCATTTGCTCATTTTTAAGTAGCTTAGCTAACATCTTCGCAGTACCTCGGAACTCTTCACATCTTTGCTTAGACGGAAAGTATACTACTATGAGGCGTTCCAGAGACTGTTCTTAGTTACTGTTACTGTGATACCTAGAGCGAGTCTAGCAAGAATTCAAAGACTTTGAAGAATAATCATCGGTGTGCATTTATTGATCGCCAGACGCCTGTGACATGTGAAGCTATGTGGATAGTCTGATCCTACCATGCTCGGGCCAAAAACTCCATGCCTATGCAGATTGCTATAATTGGAATTGCAGTTTTCCCACGCCAGTAATATCTATCTACTATGCGACCTCCCGTCGAAGCTATGAAACTCGCACGAAAGCTGGACATCCTATTAGCTCTGGCCGCGAACAAGAAGGCAAGAGCAAGACTTACTAGCATCAATCTGCATAACCTGTGGCAACGACAACCGCACCTTATTTCTATACAAAGTAGGGCCTCTTAGTTGCAACGGATTGCCCTCAAAGTAAACCGTATTCAACTTCTTCTTGTCGCCAAGCACAGTCTCCACCTCAGCAAAATCAGCAATCTTGTTATAGCTCGCCCACAACTCCTCCAGCTCCTTCAGATGCTCGATCCCCTTCAGACTCGAGATCTGGTTATTGCTGACATCCAGAACCCGCAAGCTCGTAACGTGTTCCAGTCCTTCAAAGGTCGTGAGGGCGTTGTGCGAGATATAGAGTTCTTCTAGTTGTGGCAGATTCTCCAGCCCAGAAATCTCCCGGATCCGGTTCGATTGTATAGAGATGATTTTGAGATTCTGTAACGAATCTAGTCCCTTCATCTCAGTAATCTTATTCTTCCCAAACCATAGCTCCTCCAACCCCACCAAGGTCTCCAACCCCTTGATTTCTCGTATCCTATTCGCTGCTAGTTCTAGATTCCGTAATTTCGTCAAGCCTTCCAGGTTCTCGATCGTACCAATCTTGTTCTGCACAAAGTACAAATCGGTGAGATTCACGAGGTGAGAAATGTGTTTTATATGCTTGATTTTGTTGAATGACAAATCAAGATTGGTGAGTTTGACGAGAGATTCGAGATTTCGGATGTGGGCGATGAGGTTATCGTATAAATCGAGGTCGGTGAGCGTGCTAGCTAGACATGACAGGGCTTCGATATCTGTGATGCTATTTTGGCGTAGGCAGAGGCGGGTGACGGAGGTGAAGCGCTCGAGTTTGAGGGAGGAGATGGAGGATATGCGGGCGTGGACACAGTCAATTTCTTCTGTATCTAGAGGATAGTCGTCAAGGAGGTCTGGCTACGTGAGCTTGAATTTCGTGTACGGAGGGGTAACGTAGATATACCTTCATCTGCGTCGATGGTCTCTCCAGGAACCACATTCTCGTCGTCTGAGTACTCTGGATCTGACAGAGCTTCTGGGTTTGCGAGTTCGAGCTTCTTTTCTACTCGTAATTTGCCGTCCCAGCCACTGCTACTTCGCGGCGTCTTGGGTGTTTCGTGCCCCTCGGCATCAGATCCTGATATCGAGATGTGCAGTGGCGGGGTAGTCTCTTTTTCTGACGGCATCTTGTCGAGCTTATCTCTTAGCTTGCTACTCTCCAGATTTCGAGAATCAGATATTCGTTCGAAGTTGTTGTTTTATCTTCTTTCAAGCCATAACAAGGCGGTTGGACTTCGCGTTTGAAATGGCTGCCTCGCCTGATGAAGATGGCGGGGAATTCGCAACGTGGGTGATCCCCATGAATTTTTTTCTCTCGCCATTCCCTCACGCAAAATCTGCAACGACGAATTATACCTCCAACGACGACCCCCACGGACAGCGAAGCATGCATACAAAGTTTTAATTCGACAATTCACGATCGTCGAGGGGAATGTGAGGTGATGCTGCGGCTTTTGGGCAGAGCAGCGGGTCTTAGACAATGTGGAACGATCACGACGAGGAGATACCACGCGGAGTTTCGCAGTCGGCCGGTTTATGATACTGGATACGGACTTCATCTTGCGGTCAAGATAAACCCTCATCGGCGTGCATTCGGTACCATTCCGACTGTATTGCTGCCGCCACTCGTGTTTGGGGGCTTGGTCGTCGCGTTGTGGACGTGGAAGTGTTTGATGATGGTTGTCTTCCAGAATAAGATCATTTATATGCCTGGTCTGCCACCGAACGCCAGGAGAGAGAAGATCGAGGATTACAAGAACCAGTGCGGAGGAATACAATGGCGCGAGGAAAGGACAGTAGCTGCAGACGGGACGCGAATCAGTCTCTGCGTGGCAAATGTCAATTGCGAGCTGGATACAGATCTGCCAGTGAAGACTGTTTATGTGCTTTACTTCCAAGGTCAACCATCGCCATTGCTTGGTTAAGACGAATTTTGCTGAGATACGGTAGGTAACGCATCTTCTATACCTCCGCGATTACCTTTCCTATCTCCTGTTCTGCGGCTGCTCAGCGATAGGGCTACGTTTCCAGCCAGATATACCATGGTATGCTGCAGCTATCGAGGATATTGGACATCAAAGGGACGTCCATCTGAAAATGGTATCGCCATGGATGCTGTGGCTGCTCTAAAGTGGATTAGAGAACCACATGGCGAAGAAGCTCCAAAGCCACCAGCAGAGAGCATACCAATAGTCTTTTGGGGCCAAAGTATAGGCGCTGGCGTAGCAACCGGTCTGGCAGCACAGGCTCACATCTTCTCTCGTAGCAATTTCTTGCTCAAGGCTGTGATACTCGAGACACCATTTCTTAGTATTAGAGCCATGCTTGAGACTCTGTACCCCCAAAAATGGCTACCTTACAGATATCTCTGGCCATTTCTCCGCAACCACCTCGATAGCTGGGCTGGATTAGGGTTGATGCGGAGATCATTCCGAGAAATTGGCCTTGATCCACCAAGCATCCTGATACTTGAGGCTGGGAGAGACGAATTGGTGCCCAAGGAACATGCTACTGCACTCGAGCGAAGGTGTCTCGAAGTTGGCCTTGGAGTGAAGAGAAGGGTGATAAGTAATGCACTGCACACCGAGGTCATGGCACGTTCTGAGGGTAGATTGGCTGTGGTAGAGGCTATAGAAAGCGCGGCGAGAGCAAAATCAAGTATCACGTGATCATTTACAAATCTCCTTGTACAGACTTGTAGGCATTCTCATATGTCAAGGCTTTTGCTTGAATCAATGTAGCACTATTGAATATGACCAGTTGTCTGTTCAATGCAGAACTTTGGTTGGTGGGTGGCTTGCCAATGTTTGACTCGGTCTTTGTTCAAGGACAATCGCGTTCTTCACATTGAAAACGACCAAAGTAGTCTTTGTTTGAGCGCACATCATATTCCCCAACCTTACATTGTAGGCGGCGGCATTGCCTATTGTTTGCATCGCAGCGATAAAGTTCGCCTTGATACACATTTGATCTGTCCTAAGGTTCCATGTTTGCGGTGGGATTTAGGTCCCTTTGGTGGCATGGTCTGCATGGCTTGCGCTCAGCATTTCTCTGTCCTGCCAGAAGATTATGTATACGTTCCGTGATGCTCGCACTTGAAATGCCATCGCAGCGTTCCAAGCTGCACGCAACCAGATTAAATACATATTTGCGTTCTTTGATGTTCCTCGTCGGGCTCTACGTCTCTCATACTGTTTCTGAATGCTAAGCGACATCGGTTGAGATACTGCAGTTGGATATTGGCGAACATCACGATTGAGTAGAACTCTGTATTATTTTTGTTGGCCAGAGTTTGTATCGACTTCATCATGGCCGACACATTTCGAGATTTCAAGTAAACTCTTCCATGTGTCCGCACGCTAGCTTCAGGGTGAGGAGTTACTAACCAATTTTTGAAGTGTCTTTCGAAAAGAACGAGGCGAACCAGAACTTACATTAGAAGAATTCCAAAAAGTGTTCCGTAAAACTACTTTCACTCCATCTGATGCCCGGCCTCTGAGTACAAGGCTGCCGACCTTACCGCCAGATCGGCCCCTTCGAGAAACACTTGTTCCCTTAATGAACACGCCGATTAGTGATCTCACCCAAGACCAGCTGGATTTTCTGAACCGAGACTTTGCAAATTTACAAGACCTGATTCCAGATAAAGGAAGTTGGCAGGGACGAAAACTGCTTGGTCAAGAAACAACTGGCCGTGTTCGTGCTATTTTCATAAATTCCTTTTTGGGGCTTGGGACAGCACAAACTCTCTTTGCGCGGCCTAGAGATGTTCATAACTCTCAACATTTATTCACATCTCTGTAGCGAAGTCAGTGCTAAATCATTGAACAGGTTGGGATGTGGGAGAGTAAGGATCCACCAGTCGGAGCGAAAGTGACCCGAGTTGCTGTAAAAGAGATTTCCAAACCAAACATTAAAATTGTCAATCCAAAGAGATACGATATGTATACCGAATCTACTTACTTAGACATGTTCAGCTTGACACCCGGGCCTCATATTGCGCAACAAGTTGCCAAAAGCAATAGTATCATTGGAGCCGACGAGGGGCTTGATGACTCATGGGACAGCATAACACGTCTTCTCTACATGGAGTATTGTTCCTTAGGGTCGCTGGATGATATCCTCAAGAAGCGAAGAGCGGAGTAAGTGGAATCGATGTTTGTTCGACCTATAACTTTGCTGAGATGTTGCCGCTAGGATTAAACCATTCTCAGAAACAACATTGTGGCATATCTTCTAATGCCTTGCAGACGGAGCGATCGCGATGGAATATGGTGGGGCAGAGGCAACGATTGATTCCGTGGCAGGCGCGGCTACTGTTGATGAATCATTGCAATACCGTGCAAGTGAGTTACCTGCTTTTTGGTTCCTTTCAATGTTTTCTCCTTGATTTCTAGAACTGGGTACTGCCCAGAGGCTCTAGCTAAATACAATATCCTTTCAAGCCTTGGCTTCTCTAACAATACCAATGATTTTAACCTACACCATAGCTACTCTAAGCTAACTTGTCTCTTCACAGTCCTCCATTTTGATCTTAAAGCAGGGAATAGTATGTCCTAATCCTTTGAGCCACTTCTCATCAAACTGATCCCATTTTAGTATTTTTGGCCGAACGCGATGAAAATCATAAAGAAACACCAGTTGCTAAGGTCACTTGTATAATTTTTTAGAAGAATTTTTATATATACTTATTATGCACTAGGTTGGTGATTTTGGAGGATCTTACCCTGTAACTGCAAGTGGCACAAAAGACTACTCCAAAAGGATGGAAATGAGGAGAGTGCTTGGAACTAGTAGATTTTATGCGCCAGAACAGTTTAGCAATCGATAGGACTTTCTGGGATGGGAAAATGTGAGTTGAAATTCTCGATACGGACCAATGTTTATTTCATATTTCCACTAGGTGGAGTTGTTCCTTGATTTGCAATGGGCCCTGCCCAAGATCAATATCTCATCAATTCGAATATCAGTAGACTAAATTCGAGATTAGGATCCAATGATAGGAAATTATAGTAAGATGATTTTTGACCCCGTTTCGTCCCCTTAGCAGTTCTCGCTTTCCAGTTATTCGCGATCTTTGACCTATCAAGAACTGACACAACCCTTCCAGGTTGCAAGACAAATATATGGGGCATGTGAGTTATAATGTTCCAACTTGCTGTAATAACCCGCTTTGGCATTGGCTACGAACCGTTTTTACCTTCATTCAGTATGTCCATCCTGCCTCTCATTCCGGGATCACCAAGAACCAAGCACTTTTCCCGGGATAGCTTTGGCTCTTCGGATTCATGTTTACTCTTCATTAAATCTATACTGATCTGTTGATAGATATTGCGGGTGCACCGCCGAAGGGCGTTAGTTACGGCTTAAACTTAGAACCTTTTCCCTATAGTGAATCCCTTAAAGGCTTGATATTTTCATGTCTCTATGAGGATCCACGGTTCAGGCCGTCACCTTTGGAATTGAGAACTGAAGTAGCTAGAGGGTTGAAGGTTGCTATTGCCAATGGTGGGACGGTGGATCCCTGGGACTATTTTCACCCGCCAGTTGTCGCACCGGCACCTCCAGCCGAGCCTCCCGTAGTTCCACCTCCCGCAGTTCCGCCTCCCGCAGTTGCGCCTGAGCCACCTCCACCGATTGTCACGCCTGCACCAATGCCACTTATACCATCCACTTGCCAACATATTTTCAAGCAAGGCGACAATAGTGGTAAGAAGTGTGGAGCGAGCTGTATGACTTTTCGAGACGTGATCAATGCCGGCAATCAGCGCTGTCAGAGGCATCCTCGAGATCGGTTTCCCTAGATAAAATTTACAGACGTGGTTGAGCATTATTAGAGTAAGGATAGCAGGACTAGCCCAGCTTCCTATTTACAATTTAAGAGTTACACCGGTTTGGTGCATAACTGTGTACTTTTACTTTCCCTAGCCTTTTAGTTGAAGTTCAGGCATGTGAACGTTGGAACTGCAGAAGGCTGAGAAGGTTTGCATTGGAAATTGAGAGTGGGAAGCTGAAGTTGGAGAGGATTCATATTCTATACTCAGGATTTTAGTCGAGATTGTATAGTTTCTATATCTTCACAGAAGCACTAGACAACGTCTTGTCCTTCTATTGATTGGTTGCAGCTTGTAAAACATCATGCAAAGTAGTCTGTATTATATCCTCCATCCAACGTCTTGTGTTCAGATACGAAAGGCCGTGAGCCATATCCACCATATCCCAACATCCTTTCTGCCCAGTTTTTTGCCCCTTCAGAGATTTCGCATGGCATATAGTATTCAGCTGCAGCATTTTCGGAACGAATCTGCACCAGCCAGAGCTAGACAATTTCCCCTTTTCTGTCTCTCAAGTCGAAGTCCATCATCTGAAGGTAAGCTTCATGCCAAAACTAAGTATTCCCAATATCTCGTCATTTAAACGCATTCACTTTGCGACGGAGAATTCGTCGATTGTATCCTCGAGATGAGTAGAGCGCCTCTTTCAAGAGGCGACAAACGAGTTCGTACTTCGGGCCCACGGTCATAAAAAGACGGGCGGTACATTTAGCACGAAGCACGGGTTCGGTCAGAGGATGGTAAGGCGACATGGTTGAGGCTGATTCTCGCCTTTCAGCAATCGACCCGGTCTCTCGCGATGGTATCTGCTATCGTGATTCTGGTATGGCATAATGGGGAGTGAAAGCATTCGCAATGTTGTCGCGGTTGGGGATCGAGATTGGTTGGTTGTGTTAAGGGGTTGAGAGCAGCTTCTGTACTGGCGAGGGGGATTCTACTCCAAGGAAATTGTATGAGCGATCGGAAGTGAGTGGAGGTCCCGAGACTTGCTTTTCAGTTCGACTTAGATTGAAAGAGATATCTTGAAATTCACTGCGAAGAAGGTGTTGAACCTCCACCTAATCAGGAAGGAAGAGACTCACCACGAATCGTCGGCGGCTTTCAAGAGCGAACACAGGAAGCTACGTATGTACGAATATGCTACAAGAAGATGAGTAGGGTGGATTGCAAAGAATCATGGGAAGTAGAGCAAGTCATGGGGCAAAGTGAGGGACATATCACGTTCAATCATCAAGGGAATTCAATCGAAGACTGCATTGTGTTACTAAGGACAACAATTGCGACAAAAAGAGAATATTTCATTGTTCTTCAATTGATCAACCGTCTTCTGCAAGCTTCTCCTTTATGCCAGACCTATTCCGAGCTCGATGTGTTTAAGGGCGAGGTAGGACAGGATGGCCGTGCTACAGAGAGCACAAGTCAGCAGCATCATGAAGGCTCGAATGCGAGCGAGATCGAGGAAACTTACCACTCGTCAACGGTCGATGGATGATTTTGGTCTTCAGTTCTCCACTTGGATTAACACTCACGCCAACGGGAAGGCAGACCAGTGTGAGCGCCCTATACCAGTTAGCAGTTTAATGTTTGATACATACCTATGTTGCACGATGCAACTGAGGTGGTCGATCGAGGTTCATGGAAGAAAAGCCACAGTTAGCAAAGGTCATCCAAAGGACAAAAAGAAATGACACCACTGAACTTCCAGAAAGGCAACAGGGAAATACACCCACGTCTTCGCCGAAGCTCGACATAGTGTATCTCTCGACAGACCTGTGCCCCGGCGGTGACCATTACAGTCGATCAGTAATTACCGGCTCAACTGCTGCAGAGCGTATCATACAGTGTACCTCCAACTTGCAAGCAAGCTGGAGTTGGCTTTCAATTGAAAACGTCACGATGCCAGGCCGTTATACGAACTACGTACTGGAAGTGGTGTCGACGAGCTTGCGCTCTCCACCTGAGGAGCAGGGGGAGGTGCGCAAAGGAAATGAAGAACTTACCAATGGATAGCGCCGATGTCGCGACACGACCACAAGATCAAATCGCGAACATGGGGGTTTCCAAATGATGGGATAGAAGAGAGGTGCAAAGAATGCGGCAGAAAGAGGATGATGGGCGAGTGATGGCGAGGTGTCGTGGTCGATGTTGTCGATGTTGTTGTTTGGGGGAGAGAGCTGGGCGAGATGAGGAGTATTTATGCTTCGCGCAATCACTCACTTCGCACTAACAATCACTCACTTAGTACTAAATATTTTTAGAAGGAGCAGACAAAAACACAATACCTACGGACGGAAGTGCCGTACCAGAACCGCAAGTGCAATCACCCCTCAGTCCATTTTCAAATCACATCTGCCAACTTGCCCACGAGCGATCATCACGGTCGGAGAGTCATATACAGTGTGTATACCGATATGATAGCAGATGGGGAGCATATCTCGGAGATGCACGATCCAAGTATTTCGAAACCGCCTTGAATTTTGAGTTTAGTCTCTCGAAGCAGCAGGCGGAGCATGAAGGCAGTTGCGACCCACCACTCGACGTTCGATCAACAACTAAATATCTTCTAACAACTGAATAAACTTGGACAGATTCTTCGATATAACATTTACAGCATGTGTGGTCACTATAAAGTTCTCAGCTATACCATTTTGGACTGATCTACCAAACTTTGCCTACCTAATGACTTCAGATTATCTCCGTCAACTTCGCTGCACATGGTATGCTGCGTCAAAAGCTCTCTTCAAATCACGCCCAATGTAGATGTACATGATTTCTTGCTCGTTTACATTTGATAAGATTTCACCTTTCACTCGTCCAGCACGAAAAGGGGGATGTGCCAAGCATTTAAGCGAGCGAGGGGTATTGTAGGCACGGGCAAGGACTCATGAGACACCAGGGGGAGAAGTCAGCATGAATAGAATATCCGTGCTAGTCTAGAAATCTGCAGACAAAGCAAACAAACTAAGTATCAATTGTGTAGAATATGTAGAGTTTGGCAAAAAGTTGTATTCGCTGACGTTGGAGGATGTGGGGCATTGAAGATCTATGTCGACGGCCCGTGCCTAGCGCTGCACATTCTCGCCAGTTTAAAACCGCGAAATTGATTTCAAATTCGCGAGGCTCAGTAGTACACTGCATACTAGAACACTGTTCCTGTATTTGGTGTACACATGATCGCTTGACAGCCAAAGTGCTGCTTGCACCTGTAGACTCAAACAATAGTATGAATATATGGATGCAACTGAGTAAATTATCTCATGATTGGACTACTTTTCCAGACCATGTTTCCCTCCAACTTTGTGGAGTGCTAGCTATCAAGAGAGGCAGCATGAAGATTCGAAAGTTTCGTTCGTAATGAGGAAGATGAATATTTTCAGAGTACTTTCCCTCCCCCAAAAGGTTAAGTGGTGGAGGTAAATCACGCTAAAATTTCAGTCTAGCCTCATCCTTACTGGACCCTACATAAAGCAACTCTCTTTTGCTTACACAATGTTTCTCTCCCACTTTGTATATACAGGTTCCAGCCAACTTATCTGCCCAGCCTGACATTCGATTGCCCCTCAACTCAGAATTACTTAATACTTTTCCTCGGACAAGGGAGCAGTACTCAAGCTCATATCATCTTCGTTCCTCTCTGGTGCCCAATCTGTTTTCTTCTTTTTTAAAAGCCACTCCATGGCAGCACCACAGGCGCGGACAATGTCAATCATGTTCAATGCTTCCAGAACCGCACGACCGCCTAGAAGTCCACCTTGATGCTTTCCTTTGACTGACTGTTCATCGTATTCTTTCCAGGAGAAGGCGTGCATATGCAGCATCGAGGTGAAGAGCAATTCGCAGCAAAGCATCAGTGATGGGATCCCAACTCTCAAATCGGACTGCGGTCTTTGAAGGGATCCAAGCAGTAGTGATGAGTGCCAGAATAAACTTGTAGTTTATCAGAATTGCGATTCTTCATCGGCGAGGACTTGAATCTCACATTTTGATACATAGAAAAAGCAAACACAATTTTAACACACCATAGCTTCAGAGTGGGTTTATGAACACTCAGCTTTTGTTTCATTTGCCACGTGAATTGATCTAAACAATACATGGCGATGGTGGCTGACAGCGCATTCAGAGTGAGAGACTAAGATCAATCAATTCAACCTTTGGCATTTTGGGAGGGGTATACTACCCATATATGTAAGTACGCTGGACTTAGTGAGGCACCACAATACCTACCAAGTGGCTCGGTGATCATACATCCTATCGCTGCTAGGCTTCTTATTAAGCAGTACTGGAACACTCCAAGGGAGTTGATCTAAAATCCAAATCGTCGTTGATAACCATAATCAAAAGCGAAGACAAACTCACCTTAAACCACTTTAAACCACAATTCGGAGTTGCTAAGAAGTAAGTTTGTCCTCCGAGATGATCTCTCATCCATCTTAAAGGCAGTGGGAAACAATTTTGCCATGGTCGTGGCGTAATGTTAGAGAACAACGATGTAGAGTTTCCATCAGGTGCGAGATAATGGCAAAGCAGCGAGAAGTATGACGCAACAGCGATAGCGGCGTATGATGATGAAAGAATCAGAAAATACGTTGCGTAAGGCAAGAATTCAGTAGACAATAGATTCGCAAAGCTGTATAGGGGAACCATGAAGAGGATGCGCAAAATACTGAAAGTGTCAGTGTGACGGGTATTCTTTCTAGAAATGATACTCACTATTTCTGTTCTGTTGGCCGTGTATAAGCGAGTGCATGGCGTAAGATTTGATAGAAGCTCAAAACAAATGTGATGACAACACAGACGAGCTCGGTAATGAGAATGATGTCATGAAAGGTGAATTTACCAATCATCGGCAATTCCCTGGTGATAGCTGTAACAATAAGCATTTGCTGCAAGAATCAATGTTTCTCGCACTTACCAAGTGTATCGTCGTCTGCCGTGTTGCAGATTTGGTTTGACATGTTCCTGATCACTTGCTCGAGGACAACCGCGAAAACATCAAGCTTGTACCTTATATTATATATCTGTCAATCAGCCTCGTTCATCCCATTCTATTATTTCCGCAATGACTATCTCTGCAGACCCCACAATGACTTTACAAATAATTCAGAAGGCGGATATCTAGCTGAAGTGTACATTGAAAGCCACTTGCACCGTTTGGCGTATAGTGGTCGTCTGAAGATTTATGGCGTGTTCCAATGAACTCAGCCCCCCAGCCTGTCCCAGGAAATCAAAAGCCTATGGCTCCCACGTGGGTCCAAGCACGGCATGTAAGCATCGTGCTTGACACCACAAAATTTTAAAATGGGACTTTTCGGCCGCAATTCTGCGGTGTGATCGAAAGCCTTCTATGCAGCTTTCGGGAAGGATTCGATGTATGCATGCAGTTATTCCCTTCCTTCCAAGCGTATCGATGGAACGCGCGGGCTCACGCAGAAATATAGAAAGAAGCTTGGGCGCAGTGTAGTATTGCAGAAAGCCTGAGACATAGCCTCTCCTACGATCAAGCTTTACGAGAAGTATCCGTCCCGTTTTGTTGCCTCAAACTTTGTCGACTCAGCTCTCACTGTATCTGCCCAATCTTTAAAGCATCTTCTGAAAATATATACATTTGTCAGCCGTATACGAAGCTAGTTATCAACAAGTGAAACGATTCTGGGTTTTTTTCCGGCGTCGTGTTCAACATGGACACATGTGTCGGATGATGCACGTAGAGCGCGCCGAATCACACACGAGTTTTTGAGCGTAAAGCAACCACCTATTCCTTGTAGTTATAAGCTCATGCCTGACTTCAGAATGCTTTTCTGAGTGGAATCTTATTTGTGATCTTGAGAAATTGTAGAATGGTCACCAATGCTGAATAGAGTGCAGGAATTCTCAGAGCCAATGATCTGAATGTAGTAAACACCAGAAGGCAATAAGCCATAGCTTGGGTTAGAAATCAAACATCGATATACACGAAAAAGCATTTGAACCGCTGTGGAGAAACGCAGATTGACATTTTTCTTAATCCCCATCTTGTTCATATGAACCAATGGCAGGGTAAAATATTTGTGGAGAACTCAGCGCGAAACGCTTCTTCGCAAAATCTTCTTTGTCAGTCCCCTTACCATCGAGCCCGAATTCAACACCATAATCGGCCACAAAGTTGTCGTACGTAGTTCCAGGCTTCAAAGCACATAGACCGCACATGATGTCAAGGAACTGCTCCTTGAAACCAAGACGAGGAAAGGCGTCCACGATCTCTTTGTTTTCCTCGATCGTGATTGGGTAACCAGGGTAATTCGGCCCCCAGAAATCAGCCATGATGCCAATATGCGCAATCTTTACTTCAGCCTCTTTATGCAGTGCAAAAGATGGCGTGGCGTGCAATGCGATGGCATCCCACATCAACTGAGTCCGATGCTTGTCCCAACCATTTGAGAGCTTGACTTCTTCGAGATAACTGCGGGCCATGTTTGCGCCATCCACCTCAACACGCTTGTCTTTGGAAAGCAATGTCTTGTCGGTTGCCCAGCCCAAGTCATGCATGATAGTCGAGAATACAATCAGCTCGACGTCGAGTGGTTCGGAGCTGCTGCGTGGGATCTTGCGCGACAGTAAGATGGCAAAGTATGCACTGCGGATGCAGTGATTAACGGTGGTCGGGCTCGTGTATTTCTTGAGGTGACCCAAAGCACCTCTAATTAGAGGTGTATTTGGCAAGCTGATGCCGGCTTTGGCTAGGTCCGGAAGTGTGGCGTTCGAAGACATGGCGATGGTACAAACAAACGAGTTGCCAAGAATACTGTGCTGCAATTGACAGTTGGGGAAGGAAATGGTTCCTGATCTGGAGTCTGAGCTTCTACTTATAGTTTGCGCAGCGGCTTCGACCTATCTCCCAATCAAGGGCGATATAAGCAAAGTAAGCCATTTGAAATGCAAATAGAGAATAAAAGACCCAACCCTTAAGTGGCTTCTAAGAGCCCAGTTTCGAGGGGCTGTATGGCAACACCAATGTGGAGTAATCAGCCCACAGCTCGGATAAATCCTATATCCGACTGAAACCATAAAGCGACGTCTACACATCACGTCGAATGGAGCAAATGATAGCTACATCTGTGGAAAATCCAGAGACTCTTTGGTTAGTATAAAACCTGTAAAAAGTCGTTTCCATCGCGTCAGGAGGCATAGCTTATTGATCATAGGGCAGATTTTTGTTCCACTGCATGAGGAATTTTGCCGCAAAACAGAAGCTTGGCCAGCACCCAAGGGCCATTTAGGGGAATTTTAATCTGTTTTAGAATTCCACGGTGCTTACCATCCATGAGTAAGAGCTTAGAAGAGATACTTCGACATGTGGTCACGATTACTTTTTTCCAGTAGAATCAAAAAGGTCCTTGCAATGATGAGGGTTGGTATTCGTGATCATTTACGAGTATTTCGGATATAGGAGCGTTCGAGCTTGAATGCGATCATCATATAAGCAGACTTTCTTGGATTCAAGTGTATAAATACTACCTCATTCCAGCTCTAGGATGCTTCTCGACATACATCGAAAGCGCAACTCATAGGCAAGGCACACTTGGTATACAAGAGTTGAGAATTTATAAATCGTCATCATGCCCATAATTACTCCTGCAAAACTCCTTCAAAGGAACAAGTAAGTCATCAATCTTTAGTCAAACTGGGTGTATTGATTTTTGACGGACGAATCCTAGGAAGTACGCAGAAAACCATCAGGCGTTTCCAACCATGGCAGAAGTCGTTGAAAATGGAGGTGTCTTCGAGACAACCTTAGTCCGTGAGTCAAAAGACTGATCTACCAGGTTTTCGGACTCTGATAAATTGGCTTTCGAAGTCACTTGTGTAGATTTTCGGGTCAATCCAGACCACTTCCTCCAGACTAAGCCTGAAGGTGTGTATGCTATCGCTCCATTAGGGACTTCTAGAATCTAACAACTAAGATCAAATACTCGTTGCACGCAGTCCTGCTGGACGAGTCGATGATTCTTTTGTAAAAGAGGTCATGCTCTTTGAAGCTTTCCTTGGTCTCACTTCAGTTCTAGTGATTCATCATACAGGTAAGTTCTATATTCGTTGCGCGTCTGGGCCAAGAGCTAACTCGGAGTTCTTTCTAAGACTGTGGCGCTAGTCATTTCAAAGATGCCAACATCCGCAAGTTCCACAAAGACCGACTACCAGATCACTTAGAGATTGATAATATGGTATTTGGCGCATTTGACAAGTAGGATATATTCTGCTAGCACGTATCCAAGGATCATAACTAATTTAAGACATAGCCTTGGGCAAAGTGTTCGAGACGACATTCGCTTCTTGAAGACTTCTCCCTATATCCCAAATAAGCTTGCCGATAAGTGCCATGGCTTCATTTACGACATTAAGACTGGTCTTCTTACCCCTGTCGAGTACGATGACAGTGCTTAAGCAGTGAAAGCTTCAAGAAGCTGAGAGATAACGGGACAGAGTGGAAGATCGATGGAGACGGGCAAAGAGGCACGGGGAGGGCAAAGGCTGGGTGATTTAGTTTTAAACCAATGGATTATACTCAAGTGGCTCCACCATCATTTCCCTTCTTTGAAGTTTGAGTAAGGTGCAGGCGACGCGTTGTTGCTTGCCGAGTGAATATATTCTCTGACATTTTCTGAAAACGCACTATCCCGCAAATATCCTAAGATTCTGAGCAGGGGTAGTCAGATCAATGAGTAATTCATTTTACTTATGATCACAACTTTTGCAACCTGTACTAAGCTAAGGAGAGAAGAAAAGAAGAGAGTGTCACAGCGCTGACTGGCATGTGGCCACAGCACGTGACCATCGATGTGTATATAGCCTCAGATTCAGCCCTTCTAGCTCTCCAGCTTAGAATTGCATTAATAGGACCTCCTCAATCAACCCTTGAGCTCTAGCTCTGTGACAGAGAGAGAAGATTTTGACGCGTCTACGCGTCAGCTTGTACTAAGCTCTCTAGTTCTCTTGCTTTGACTACAATTATCGATCCAAATTAGCCAAAATGCCTTATAACAATGTTCAATCTGCTAAGATAGATAAAGAAGTCGAGGCTGCTTTTAAGAGAATCAAAAGATCTGGCAAACTTACTGACTAGGCCAAATGTCTCGCGCAACCAATAGATGAACTAACTTGTAACCATTTTGTTCGAAGTTGAATACAAGGTACCTAAGCTCCAAGAAATCGATACAACACGCGAATTCACTTCATCATTTGTGAAAGGAAATATATGTTTTTAAGCTTGCAAAGATGCAAGTGGACTGTTCCTTCGCAAATTAGTCTTCTAAGATAATCTGTTTGCGCAGAAAGATTGATTCTATGATGTAGATTTCCCAGCCAGAGCAAAGCACGTTGTCACATAAGTGGTGATTTTCTCTAAGCCTCTTCCGTCGTGTTAACCGTGACTCCATCCTCACTCCGGGCATTGGCCGTGCTTCACAGCATAAAATTGATTGACAGCCCTGAAGAAGGCCAGAAAATGTACTGTAAGCCCAATCGCCATACCCACGTGGAATATCTGATGCGAATGGCCCCAGATATCAAAGCGTCCAGGTTTCCATGCCTCTGTCACTCGCAGCTGCAAAAAAAATCAGCAAAGTTCCAATTTCTCATCTGGAGGAAGAGAAACTTACCGCGTAAGTAGTCACAGAGCATAGATATATTAGGATAGTCAAGCCGTATAACGAAGCTCCGTACTCAGCGTTCGCCCGCAACCAGCCAACTTGAAAGATCTTTACAATGATAGGGTAGAATGCCGAAGAAGCCATGACGGAAAAGACGAACCCACGGAGGGGTCGCATCTTGGGAGCCTGAAAGGATTTCGAAAACAAAGCAAGAGGGGCAGCGCAGAACTGGGCGGTAAGGTCGACCTGGAACAAGCTGATTAACTTGATAGTTTTCTTTGGCCACTGGAAGGAGAGAGAAACTGATTGTGAAAACAATACTCACAGCAATCCAGGTGAATTTCACTTGACGTGAAGCGCACGGAAAGGTATACCAGAGGCCCGGCGGAAAACATCCAGCAGTGACGGTGAGAATGCCTAGGTAATCAAGCTTCAGGCAAAATAGATGAGTTGAATGCGAATGGTTGGAGAAAACATGATAAGCCGTCGAAAGAAGGTAGCAGACCGTCCCGCCCAGAAAGAACAGGAAAAAGACAATAGCGTCGTCGGAATTCGTGGCTGGATACCGCTCGGTTGCATAGCCGCTCCACCATGACCCCAGCACGACCATCCATAGGGCTGCGAAGAAATGAGTGTATATGTTTCCAGATTCGTTGTGGATGTATCCCATACTCATGAGGGATTCCCAGTACGAATTTGTCTCAGGTCTCCAGCCGGAAAGGATGTACTCGTTGTCCCTTGCCCATTCCGGTAATTCGTCGAAGAGGAGCAGAACTCGCGTCTTGGCTTTTTGCAGCAGGGCCGAGTCGTCAGAGATGTCGGGATTGGGCTCCATGCTGTCAACCCGGGGTGATACTCTTCGTTTCATCTTGGATTCCATACTAAACAATCGGCTGGAGAATGTGAGAAAATGGAAGAAGCGTAGAGGGAGATGATGGGGAAAGAGGGAAAAAGGGAAAAAGAGCGCAGCCGTGTAAAAATGAAAATCCAGATAAGGCTGTGCACTCGCTTACCAGACCGTAACAAGATCGCAGGCAAAGCGTGCCACGTTGTACTTGTACGACCGTCTCTCAGGCAAGGCGGAAGAGTTTTGCCACTGGCATTGTTGCTGCCCTGCAGCTCCTCCCAGCTCCCAGACGTCCCAAGTTCCCGGGTACGTGGGTGGGCGCGAGTAACCGTGTCCCAAAAGCCGGGAAGATGCTGACCGCGGATGGGATGATGCGGCTTTACCGCAGAGGCCGATTCGCCGCAAAGTGTTCGAGATGATGGGGCCGGAAAGTGTCGACTTTGAGATCGTGTCGTACTTCAGACGTATCACGGCTGTGGCAGGCGTGGCAAAGCAACCTGGAACAATATTAGCAATATTACAAGACACTAAAGAACTGGACGTACAATGTTCTGGGCTTGGGGTCGAGAAAGGACGTGTTGCATCAGTTTGCGTTGTGTTGGGCATCATCCGCTCTTCAAGTGGGGCACCGTCGTAAAAACTCGGAACAAGCGCCCTCCGCTCACACTAGAGGGCAGACGAATACTTTTTGTAGCTAGTCGCTTTGAAGAGAAGAGGTAGCTGTGGGAAGAAAATCAAACAACTTCTCCGTAGAGCGGAGTCTAGTGACCGTAAAATGCGGGAGCGGAGGCGGAGTTCGTGGGCGCAACCTGCTCCGCTCCACCCCAAGTCTAAAGATGGTGAAGAGTATGCTAAGCTTCGCACCTAGACTAGCTATTACGATCACATTCCATCTATCTGCCACCACGAATTTGATCATGTTTAGCGTGACGGTGGATATCGTCCATTATATAATCTCAATGAAGTCGTTTGAAAAACCCAGCGGAAGACAACTCGGCGTTGCGATGTGTGACGGTGCTGAGGTTAATGTCATATAGCCACAATTAAGCCACATTGAGGTTCAACTCCATGCAGTTTCTTTGCCGCCTCAGATCATGTTACTAAAGTAACCAGAGTGCAAAATGCGCTCAGAAATATTCCCAGCTTCTCCTACCCCTACTTTCTTCGAGACATCTTCCGAGATCGATCGTAGAGCCGAAGTTCGCATCCAAAGGCACGTCGAGTACATCTTGGTTCTGGAATGGTTTCGTAAAGAAGGTTTCGTAATTATGGCATGTCTCTATAACATTAACAGGCTCAATAAATTAGATGTCTCCTTGGTGATCGTCCTCCCAGTCGAAATGGCGGGCTACAAGTGTGGGTTTTTTGACGTTGCCGAAGAAGCTTAGGATCAAAGCTAATATTTGATGACAGTTTGTATGGCTACTCGGCTCTAACAAAAGTGCAAGATTCTGGACTCGGCTGAGGTTGTCCGGATCATAGGTATACTCTATTTCGCCCATAAAATTGTCGAACCAGTCGTCTAACAAATGTTCTTTGCTGAGCAGAGTGAACGTGTCGAAGCGAAGATATAAAGTATCTTTATGGAAGTCGAAGTATGTTTCCGGGATCGAAGTTGCCTGAGCGAAACTTGGGACGTAAAACTTCAAAGCGATATTAGAGGATTCTGTACAAGCGAATAGCAGAGATGGGCCTTGCTGTCTGACGTTAATCCGACCAAATTGTCGCGGGAGAAAGTAGCAAGGCCAGGAAACGTTTCCTCTGCCTGCCTCGATCTCTTCAATCTCTTTTCTCTAATATTGACGACTCTCGGACCGGGGAGTGCAGCCTCCCAAATTTTCAGCCGTAGTTCCATCGGCAGTCGATTAAATAGTGTGAACATAGTCCCGCCAGAAGGCGTCTTCCCCGGGGAATCGTGTTTGAAAGTGTCCGGAATCATTGTAGACTTATATAGCAGATGAGGATGGGTAAGCTGCGAAGGCTTTGTGTTACAAAATGGTAGTCTGGAGAAAGGATGGGGTAATATAGTCTTTGTGCGAATGAGGTCGAGAAAAGGCTCGGGGAAAAGAAAGCTGTTTATAGATCGGTTTCTTCGGGGTTGGGAGGAATTGCTGGGACGGTGGACAGTTTATGCAAAATGCATGGAGAAGCTGGGCTTGGAAATGCTATCGCATATAATGTAACAGCTTCCAGATGGACTTCCGAAGACCCTTCGACTCCTAGCAGTCTTAGTGCTACGGGCACAACAAGTTCTACTGATGTAGGACGGTTATGGAACGAGGGTCTGGCATTTTATTGATGGATCTTCTATTTGAGCAAGTTCTATGAAGTGGTTGACACGGCAATCATTATTGCCAAAGGAAAGAGATCTTCGACTCTACAGACTTATCATCATGCCGGAGCTATGATGTGTATGTGGTCTGGTATTCGATATATGTCACCACCTATTTGGGCATGGGTTGCGTATAATTCCGGCATTCATACTATGATGGTATACCCTTCTCTTTCCTTCAGTTTCCCTCAAAGACTAATTCATAAATGTAGTACACCTATTACACTTTAACAGCTCTTTCTGTTCCAATCCCACAGACTTTGAAAAAGAGTCTTACCACAATGCAAATTATCCAATTTTTGGTTGGAGCCTCTTACGCTGCCATCCACTCTTTCATCGCCTACATCATACCGATTCAAGTCCCAAGTCCGAAAGGTTCGCCTGCAGCACTGAAACATCACACTGCGTACCAAACAGTCTCATGCATCAATACAAGCGGCGAAACATTTGCCATTTGGTTCAATGTGCTCTACTTGACACCGCTGACCATGTTGTTCGTACGATTCTTCGTAAAAAGCTACTTCCGCTCTCCAAAAGACGGAAAGCGGAGCTCATCAAAGAAGGTTGAATAGCCGAGAAGGTTAGCAAGATCTGTTTGTTCTCGAAGGATGGGGATGTCCGTTTAGGGAGAAAGATTGGACGAATAAATTGTGTCTAGACAGACGAGCAGTATAGAGGGATATCGGCCAAGTTCTATGGATTTCATAATATCTATACATTGGGTACCCTCTTTTCGCTTCACTAGCCTGAAATGTTTCTTGTATATTCATATTCACATTTATTCTAATCAAGACTAGATTCTTCAGGTTCAAAGATGAAGACTTTGGGCCGTGGTCCCTTATGAAGAAATCAAAATGGAGCATTAATGTGTGCAGTACTTCTGTTTAAAATATTCAGCACGAAAAGAATCGTGATACTCCCCACTAATGCTCCTGTCTTCTTGGAATTAATTGAATCTCGACTTTGAATTGATGGGATCTCGAGAACTGAAGCCCATCAGGATTCGTAAGAGGTAATCATACGTAGTATTACTCGTAAGATCGGTTGGGGAATCTAGCAGGGCTGGAGTTCATTACGAAAGAGCCTCGCATGAGCGGGAGTGAAAAGTATTGGAATCAGTCGAGAGATTTGAGAAGGAAGAAGGGGTTCTTGTAGTCGTCGTCAAAAGCAGCGGCTTGGTAAGCAAGGCGACATGCCCGAAGCGGGTGCGCTAAACTTAAAGAGGCAGCGCACCTGAACGTAGGTACCTGTTTACAAAGCAAGTCAGATTGCGTGAGGGGTAACAATGGCGACATTCTCCGGATTCATGGCGAAGCGAATTTATAATAACATCAAGAAGCATAATCTGATTTCATGTTTCTGCTTCTTTGAAAAACATTAAAGACTCGTACCAGGTTTTCCATAAAAGATATGGCGGTATCCGACAAATTCTACGCTATTGTTGCCGGTGTTGGCCCTGGTACCGGGAGATCAGCAGCCATCCGCTTCTCAGAAGCTTATCCGGTTGTTCTGCTTGCTCGCTCCCCTGAGAGCTATAAAGATGTTGTTGCGGAGATCAATAAGGGCGGCAGGAAGGCAATTGGTATTACTGCCGATGCAACGGACGAGGCTGCCCTCAAAGCGGCATTCGAAACTATCAAGAAAGAGATCCCCGGCCTAAAGCTGGCTGCGGCGATCTACAACATTCGACCCAACTCACGACCAAGTCGTAAACCCTTTTTGGAGCTGACTTCAGAGGATCTCGATGTGAGTTTGAAGGGTAACATGTAAGTCTCACTCGACCCAGTGTCACTTTTATTGCGTACCTGACGAAATGTCTGCTCTAGTCATGGACTCTTTAACTTTGGACAAAGCGTGATCCCTCTGTTGCTGGAATCAGTGGAGGGCTCTCCTCACCCACCTAGTCTGATAGTAACAGGCGCAACTGCTTCTATCAGAGGGTCGAAGTTGTGGTCTGTTATCGCCGCAGGTAAATCTGGACAGCGCATCTTGGCACAGTCTTTGGCAAGAGAATTTGGCCCGCAGGGAGTGCATGTCGCTCATGCAATCATTGATGGCGGTATTGATGTACCCGATGCGACATATTATCCTCGCAACGAAGGAACTCCAGAGACTAAGATCAGTCCTTATGCTGTAAGCAAATTCAGATGTCTGTGTTTGACGTTGATGCTAATTCGTTGCAAGATTGCCGAGAGCTATTGGTTCCTCCATACGCAACATAAGTCGGCTTTCAGCCAGGAAATAGACCTGAGGCCTTTCATCGAGAAGTTCTAGATGAACATGTCCCTAGTGACTACCATTGTACTTTACGGAAATATATGGTATGAATCATAGATTTGAGAAGTTGGGCTCGATGTGATTAAAATCAGTCAGCCTAAAGCTACAAATGGTTGTAGTTCAGCGGTCTTGCTGGTCGAATACGTGTGCCCTTCTCCCATGTCATTTGATGATCGGACTCAATGGATGATACTACTACGAGAGTAAATCTTTTCATATATTGCATGCGAGAGAAGTAGGATTAGAGCAATGGACTTTTCATTCTGATGTCCCGAAAACCTCTATACACAATCAATGGAGACTATGACGAAGAGATATCAACTTGCTGCAGCAACCGATATTCCCAAAGGTTTTAATTGACTTTCCGAGCTTGAGATGACTCTCCTCTTTTTGCTTCGAGTGACTTTTAGTTGGGGTACAAGATAATCAAAGCGATATTCAGGTGTTGATTCACCCGAAAATATGAACTTATTCGAGTAATCAAGTCCTTTTTCTTTTTTTTTTGGGAAATGCATGACTTTAGCTCCTTGCGCAACCACAACATCTTCTTGCTCTTGTTGGCCCGATGAGCAACCCTTGGCCACATATTTTAGTTCGGAATCATTCTCAAACAGTCTCCCGCCGTAAAAAGAAACAACACGTTTCACATCAACCTGCTCCGTCCCATTGCATCCTGCCATCGTAAAATCCAGTCCTCAAAGATAACCCTGCCAATTTTCCAATTTTTCCAGTTTTGTGTCGCGTGTAGCATGCTCGAAGTGGATTGTTCCCTTGGATCTCGTGAACACTATCTGGACCAGTGTGAGAGAGCTGATGATGTTAGGATTTTCGATGGTGGGAAATTCTTGGATTCCTTTCAAAGATATCAACAGCTTCTGCACCAGTTTAGGACTAGTGTATTTTATCCGATATATAAGAAGACTTTCTACAGCAAAATTTGGACCTGACGTCACAAACAGCAAAAGACACTGGGCGAACATCTCTTTATAGGTAAGTGTTGGCACCTTAGCCGCATTTGTCACACTCTTCGAATTTGAACAAGGTGCTCTGGAGGAAGGCACAATTGGGTTTCATCTACTCAGTTGATGATTGAAAGTGGTTTTTCAAAATTCACGGCAGTCACTGTCAGGATGTTCTTAGAAGGTGGAATACTTAGTTAAGTTTTGGGATTCTTCGTGCACTCTGAGGACGAGAGAGAACCGGTAGCAAGGTTAGAGCTAGCGAAGTCTTTCATGCTAATAACAGAGAATGAAAGACAACGGACGAATGTGACTGTTACAAAATCAAAGAGGAGGAAGAAGAATGCAATTGCGTATGACAGCTGTGAAAATCTGCCGCGGGATGAGATAAGCCCTGAGATTTCGGAAGTCCGTCCTTGGCAATTCGTATTGATGTCCTTGAAAGTTACAGACACTCGTTACTATAAAAGAGGGCTAACTGCCTAGCTTTATAAATCCTATTACACCGCCTAGCGGACGTCATCGCCTCTGCTTAACAAGATTCTATTCCAATACGTTTAGTCCCCTTCCACCTTCCAATTCAAAACACATGCCTCCACAATATAGGAGCAAAAAGAGACGAACCAGTATGTTTCCTTCTACCCAAGGACAGATGCTCTCTAACAGACAATAGACCGGACTTCCAAGACTGAGCGGGGGCTTTCGTTACAATCCGTCCTAGCCAAACCGTCGGCACAACCTCTTGACAAAGCCGCCTCGCACATTTCTCCACCTCCTCATCTCCGTGCATATTCCGAATCGCAAGATATTGCCCCCTATCAGTCTCTTCCCCGTGGTGCTGCAGAGACTCTCCTGGCAAGAGACCAACGGAACGGTATGATTGGAGATCCTCCCCTGATGTCCACCGACCCTCCAGATGTTCCTCCTACTCGGCGCCACTCTCGTCGTCAGGGTCTGAAGGTCACCTTCGCTGAAGACGTCATACTCGGAGATCCTCCTCTTGTCAATGATACTCCGATCACGCCAGCTCGAAAAGTGCTCCCTACGAGATCTGTTCTCGAGAGTCCTACCTGGGAAGTCAACACTCCTGAGGAGATTGAGTCATTCCGCTCTACTCGGAAACGTCAGTTCGGGCAATACATGGAGAATTCCGAGACCGGGACGGCTCTCGAAGATGACAGTTGGTCCAGAGGTACTTCTCCTTCTCGAGAGTCGCATGGAAACCTTGGTCAGCAACATCATACCGCACCTGGTAGCGCGCAACCAACATCTACCCCTGCGAATGTCGACAGACAGCAACAATCTAGAACGAACATAAACTCAATAACCGACTATTTCTCATGCAGTCTATCGTTTCTCTTCCGCGAAGCTCTTAGACGAAGTCTGAACACTAAGCCGAGCGCCGAATTTGTGGACAGACTCGTCTTCAAAGATGAACTGGCCGCAAGCACATACGTAGCTACCGAGACTCGTCGTGGCTGGCTCGTTCACAGCTTGTATGATCAAGATATACAGGAGCAGATCACGGCCTGGAACACTTTGGTTGATTCAGGGGGCCTTAATGGATTAGACAAGAACGTTCTTGTAAAACTGCAATCGGACATTGGTGATGCAATAAAAATAATGGTGACGCAGAAGCGTGTTGCTGAATTGGCTCTGATGCGGCTCCGTGAGGCAGCTCTCAATAGAAAGGTTGGGCTTGACAGTGAGATGGGTATCGAATAGGTGGTCAGAGGGTCTTAAGATTCTAGTCACGTGGTTGAGCGCGCAACATGGTAATTCAGGTCCAGATCGATTGACTGGCCTTGCAGCTTTGAGAGGCAGCTTCTGGTGGAAAAAGTTGGGACTGGATAACGGCGATGGCATCGATCAGTGGGTGTGGTAAGGCAGAATATGAAGAATGTATGCTTGATTACATTGTAAATAAAGAGTGGTAGACAATTGAAGATGAACTTCCTCAATGCAGACTGAAAAGTATGTATCTACTTAAGAATTTCATCAATGTGCACTTCTTGATCTTGAAAGCTTAGTGATTAGTTTATAGAGGTTCTGATAATTTCTTGCCTTCACAAGTATTGACTTCTCTATGTGGAGGATTTCCACAGCCTTGCGCAAATCCGAACGGAGCTAACGCCAGCCTCACCCTCGCATATTAAATAAAATAAGGCTTTTCTCTGACACCAAAAGTCAAGCTGGTGGTGTGGTTTGATTAAATGTTTCAACACGTTAACCGTAATGGCTTTCTTATGATAGTTATGTTCCCTGCCAGTTAGGGGGACCCTTCTGAAGTCGTAGACATAAGGTCTTGGTTCCTTTGAAGCTGTCCATCTACCCTATATTGCTTAGGGAGATAATGGCATGTAACTTACGTTCACAAGGCCATCGAAAACCTCACTGGGAACCTGGGTCAAACTGCTCCTGTTAATGCATGCATTCAGGTGGATATATTTTTTTTCTTCTTTTTTTCCTCGTCTACAATGTGACTTCATCGTATGTATGACGCGACTCTTCAATTCACTTTTAATGCAAGGTTTTAAGTTCGCTTAAAACAACACCAGGAATAAAGCACGCTTTAACAGTTCAATCTTTGTGGTCAACGTGGACAGAATCATAACAATTTGCAGCAGCGGATACCCACTATGCTCTCTTCATGTGCCGTTATCTTCAAGATATGACAGGTGTTTCAAAATGGACATGCAGTCTCAATCATGTTGAAACATTTCAGAATGACAGATTACTGGATTTTCAACGCTCTCGCCCAGACCACACACGTGACGCGTGAAATATCAAAGAGAAACCTCTTGTGTGACTGCTCTCCAAAAGAAGCTCTTACTACACAAGTAGCATGACCGAGCTTTCTTAGAATCAGAATGTTAGCTTGTATGATCAGGATTTGTGAAGTAGCGCTTTGTGTCGCTAATTATAAGCAGCAATTGGCCTGATAGAGATGAGTTTGTATGTTCTGTACACCCATGAATCTGGTAATCTCTCTCGAGATACATAGAATACACAACTAGATGACAGGTATTGATCATGTTTTCCTGAGCAGGAAAAGCTCATAGTATCTGCTGAAAGCTTGGTGTCTTGACTCATAATCAAGCTTTTGATATGACAAGAGAACTTCTTTCTTTCTGGTAACATACTTGGCTGACCCTAGGCGTAAGAGAACGTAACTCTTTATATCATGGTAGTGAGAGCCAACTTAATAGTCGCAGAGATGAAAGCAGCTGTTGATTGTCCAGATCATTGCTGGACATCCGGAACTGATGTTCGTGTGGAATCGCTTAGAATGGCATTAGGCCACAAGGCACCAACACCTTTGTCGTGCCTTGTGCACCACACCAAAGCTCGGGGTCATGCCGCTTTAGCCGAGCGAGGATTTGACTTAGAAGAATCTGGGTGCAACCTTCAAAAGTGTATTAATAGTGTACGCAAAACACAATTTTTTGGAATTCTAAAAAGTGCATTTGTTTTAAATTAATTATAAATTAAATAAATATAGTATAGAAATCTTTCAGTATAGTTAATTATCGCATAGTATTAAAGTATAATGCTTTGCAAAACTAAAGTACAACTATTAAAGTGGCACGAGTAGCTAAAAGTTGCTGCAGCGATATTGTGTGGATTGATGCCTTGTGGCCTGATGCCATTCCAATCGATCCTGTTCGGGTAAACCTCGGTATCCCTGCTCGCTTCCCTTTAGCGTCCTTTTATCGTCGTCGCTACATGTACATAAGCGCCTATTTCCCCGTCTTTGCGGCCGACTCAGCGCATCCAACTTCCTGTCCGAGCTATCCTCGATCAACTACATTTTGCTTTGATTCTTTCGAGGTATGTGCTTGTAATGCGCCTCAATTACTGATGCGAAGGCGATGCTTTTGCAACAAGAGCGACTCATTATGCTAACCCAATGGCTACCGCCAGAATTCGCGTCTATTCGCGTTTACACGATACCCTCAGAATTCCCGTCTATTCGCGTTCACAAGATACCGTCAGATTTCGCATCCATTCGCGTTCATACGATATCGTCAGAATTCGCATTCATTCGCGTTCACATAATACTGTCAGAATTCGCATCCATTCGTGTTCAAGCGGGGCGACCCCGCTAGATTCACCATGAGCCTCTATGCGAACCCGAACGGTAATGCAAACCCGAATGGTAATGCACCCGCAGAACCTCAAGTGCCAAAGGCATCTCAAGCATGCATGTCATGTAGAAAGCAGAAGCGCAAATGCAGCAAGACTCTGCCTGCTTGTGGCTTGTGCGAGCGCATGAACCGCCATTGTGATTACTCCGACGCATCCCCTCCACCAACATCCGAAGACTTCATGGCTCTGCAACGGCAGGTCTCGAAACTTGAGTCAATATTAAAGGGAGAGGGTGGCGTGATGAATCAGCCCAGTCCATACCAAACTTCAGCTTCGGGGTTGGCCAGCTCGGACGGTCTTCCTCAAGCTCCTGTTTATACACCTCTGCAAGACATACCTTGGCAAGGCCTACAAAACAGATTCCCTGTCATTGCATTCCTTGACAATGGTTCTTTCAAGAGCGGCGGGTACGTAGACACGCGGATCCTGTTCAACAATGCTAATTTATTCCAGCATCAATGTACCCAGGCCTTCAGTGGAGATTCCTGTTGTAAGTCTCTGCTTTGCTGCTCCCTATCTTCCTGCTGACTTCAAAAGGACGCTCTTGAAATGCTCGGAAACGGAGATTCGGTCAGTGTGACAATTAACGAGTACTTCTCCACTGTCCACAAGTGGTTGCCCATTGTTTCTGAAAAGCGATTGACACGAAACATGCAAAACCCCATGTGGGAAGGTGGCCCAGATCTGGCACTCTTGTTCCTTTGCATGAAGCTCATCACCTCGAAGCCACAAGACGGACTTGATTGCGCTCATAATCCTATCTATTTGTCTGCTAAGCGGTTCGTTGGTTTGATGGAAGCTACCGGTACTGCTTCTCTACTGGTGCTTCAAGCAAACCTACTTGTCACTTGGTATGAATATAGTCAAGCCGTCTATCCCGCAGCATGGATGTCGGCCGGCTGGTGTCTGCGATATGGAAACATGTTAGGTATCAATGGCCATGAGGAAGCAGCACAACTACTGGGACCACTGGTAATTAATAACACCAATTGCCTCCTCCATATCAGTCTACTTACAATTGTCATTAGAATACTTGGACCGAGCGAGAAGAGAGACGTCGAACCTGGTGGGGTGTGTTGTTGACAGACAGGTAAGTCTCTTAGCTACCTACATAGGTTATTTTGACTCATCACGTGCAGAATCGTCTCACTTGGCAGCCAAGGTCATATCATGAACTCTCAAGAGCCAACAGCAGGTGACTTTCTGCCTGCCGACGACACTGCATGGGTAAGTTGTCGAACTCGGTTCATGTTGTTTCGTCAATTAATATACGTGTAGGAGAATGGAGAGTTGCAAGCAATGGAAAAGAAAGTCTCGAACCCTCTTGAGGATCCAGTTGCACCCTTCCCTCGTCTATGCCAAGCATTCGTCCAACTAGGAAAAGTCCTTAAGCACAATCACGTTTCGAAGCCTGCTGATCCGCATGAGCCGCAAAAACCTCGATTTATCGAGGCTTCCATACTGTACTCTGAAATCTCATTACTGGCCCGAACTCTCTTGGTGGAAGCAAACAATTCGAAAGATTTCCTGGCTTTCGCTGCTCCTTTGGCATTAACATATAGTGCGCTCTGCACTCTTTGCGAATCGTATTCGTGCCCCAAAGGCTGTAAAGCTGACACGGCTGAGGAGCAGGCTATGCAGGCACAGGCTATTGATGGACTGAAGTGGGTATCGCTCAGCATTATGGAGTTCTCGGATCGTATTACAAAGGAAAGTCCAATGCCGCATGATCTGGATAGGGTCAGTCCTATCATCATGGACGCTCTTTATTCGGCCGCATGCAACTATGCATGGCTTTTTCGAGAGAATGGGGACGCGGCCTCACAGGCAGCTTTGGAATCGATTCGACTGTCATTGAGACGACTTCAAACCAGATGGCGAAATGCAGCAGAGTACTTGAGAATCCTCGAGGCGCAGGAGTTCGTGGGGTTCGCTGGCCGCAACAGAGGATCGTAAATATGTTGACGGAGTTTGCTTTGCACTTTGGTGGTTATTTCACGGTGTTCATAGGAGGGGCGGGACGGATACCTTTGCGAATTACACTTTCAGCGTGCAAGCAAGATCCTTGTTAGGATATGTATAAAATCAAGCAAATCGATGACTTTACATTATTTTATTGGCTTGCCCATATTTCTGAATACATGACCACCAACACCGTGCTAATGCTCCTCGCCAGATATTTACACCCCAAATTGCGCATACATACATTATATCTCGCCTCTCTCAAAGCCCATCCAAGATCATTCTTCATTATTATTCTGAGCGTATTTCGACCAACTTCTTATCTTCGGCCCATACCTGTAAAACGCATACGGAACAGGAACCATCAGCGCCGAAATAGCTCCCAAGATCGTCAACGTCCAATGCACCCCCAAATTCTCATAAAATCTGTTCATCACAATCAGCACTTCTCGCCCTCACAACTCAAGGAAAGGAAATACTCACGGAATTCCCACTTCAACCATGCATCCTGCAGCCACATACCGAATCAGCGTCAAACTGGCCAACGCACTCGCAGCATACATCTCATAGCTGTCGATGATATACTGATAACTGCTGATGAAGATACACAGGATTCCATATCCGAACAGCACGCTAGCTAAAAGGCCGCTCCAGTAGGATATACTGGGATAATTCGTCCAGCCCATCCAGAAGAGGGATATTGGGACGGCAGGAGCGCCGAACATGGCGAACCAGAGGCGCTTCTCGGGAGGCAGTTTGGCGGATGGGCCGTGTGCTGCTTGCAGGGCGGCTAGGTCCCGTTTTGCCCAGTGGTGGATGAGGGGAACTAGGACAGAGGCGCCACAGAGTCCAATTGCGATGCCGAGGAAGGCGAGCCCGGTTATACCTTCGCTGAAACCGTAGGTGTCGCCGAAGATGTAGGTATAGCCATCCAGGAAGGTGAAGAGGATGATGTACACGATGGTAAGGTACAGAGCGAAGAGGACGACGATAGGTTCTCGGATTGTCAGAAGGAATGGTCTGTACAAAGCGTGCAAGAGACGTGTGAAGAAGGGATCGGCACGGATCTCGACTTCGGCGACGTAGCGGGAGTCTCCTGTTATTTTGCGGAGGTGGGATGCTTTCCAATATAGGAGGATGGGAGCAAATGTTTCTGGTTGAAAGAGGAGGATTAGGGCTAGGATGGCTCCAGAGATTATAAGTGTGATCCATTCGCACCATCTCCAGCTCACAAGTGTGGACTGGCCGACAAAACCTCCAACAACTGGACCGAAGATTGGGCCCATGAATGCAGCATTCGCGAATACGGGGAAAGCGTAAACGCGCTCCATTGGATTCCAGAGGTCGGAGATCGAGCCACCTGCACAAGTGAGTGGCGTAGAACCAAAGAATCCGGCTAGGAAACGGAAGACGAGTTGAGCTCCAATATTCGGTGCCAGAGCAGAAGCCATGATCCAGATCATGTATATTGCCAACGTAACAATATACACAGGGTTTCTTCCCACAGTCTCAGAAATAGGTCCAGCGAATAGAGCACCGAAGCCAAACCCAACAAGAAAGAGACCCGTAGCAAGAGATTCCGTGACTTCAGCGACGCCGAATTCTTTAGCAGCTTGAGTCAGGGCCGCCGAGTCGACAGCGGAAGCAAAGCCGACGATGAATCCAATCCAGGCTATCATTATCGTTGCGAGGATTCGGGTGGTGTAGGACCAATTGTGCGGGTCCATGGGATCTGTTTCCGATTCGTAGCCTACTACAAACACTTTTTCTCTCTCAGGCTGCTTGTCGTCCGCATTCGTTCGTCCTGATGCTCTGGTTCGTCGTCTTGTCATCTCTTTGCTGAGTTCTCTGACTTCGATACCTGTCATCGCATGTCCCATTCTTGTGCCGAAACTGTGCGTAGTGTGGATTGTCTCCATGGTAGGAGCGTGATCGATCTCTCCTCCATCTTCGCTTGGCTGTTCTCCCTTCTCTGGATCGCGGGTATCTGGACTTTGGTCGCCTGGTGGAGATGGGATCTCGGTATGTGAGGAATAAATTGAGGATTGTCGCTGGCCTAATGGCTCCCCTTGTGCTTGGACATCGTTCTCTGCGTTTCCCCTCGAAAGAGCTTCTGCTCGTTTCCTGTCTCTCTCGTATTGATCTCGGGCATTCTTGCCAAAACGCTTGTACGCGAGGTAGGACTGCATCTTGGGGACTTCCCACTATGTACAGCACCTCCAGAAATCTTGCAAATGAAGCAATTGAGATACAAAGGACGAAAGAAATAACATGACAATGAAGAGATCTTCTGCCTACAGAATTAGTTCCAGTAGTACGCCCTTTGAAATGTCGTGCGCCATGCTCAAACAGCTTTGTAAGTCTAGTTCGAGACTTTGTTGTGTTGATGTCATTGGGTCGATGGAGCATTTTCCCACTTTTGGAAGATGACTTAAGAAATTCTCATTTTAGCCTGTCGGGAGTTGCCCGCATACCGCATTCACGGGTAATCGGCCATGAGCTTGAGACTAGGAAATAAGAAGTCGAAATAAGCTTTGTCAAGTCGGGAATAATCATATCCTCGATCACATCACATAAGCAGAAATCGGGTATGTAACGGGAATGAATCATCATCTTAGGCTTTTGCATGATCTATGTCTGTCTATTTTACAAATAATCAATATGCCTCGCTTCCTCTAGAACTTGTACACCTGATCCTTGGAGTATCCGAGTTGCTCAAGAATGCTACCGTCAAGCTCGCCTTGGTCAGAGGGAGACTTCTTGACGCCTGAAATAGCCTTGTACATTGGCGGAGGTCCGCAGACGAAAACCTTGATGTTCTCTTCCTTTGGCTCGGGCAGAACGGTCTTCAAGAGCTCCTTAGTGATGTATCCACTGTTGCCTTTCCACTCCTTTGGTGGCTTGTCCAGAACGTAGAATGCGCGGAATCGTTGAGGGTATGTGTTCTCCAGATGTTCCCACTCCTTCTTTAACAAAATGTCTTCTTCAGTGACGTTGGCGAATATGAGTGTGACCTTGGTCTTGTCTTCTGGGTTGTTGAAAATAGCACGGGCTACTTGGTACATTGGAGTAATTCCGGTTCCTCCAGCGATGAGGGCAATGTGCTTATGCTTGTTCGTTTCCCAAGGATATTTCGGAATTGGGCCCTTGAAATCTAAGCGTTGGCCAGGTTCCATATCGTGCATATGACTTGACATAGCGCCATTGGGGTATTTCTTGACCAACAGATCTAAGTATCCTTGCTCATCTATGGTATTGTCAGCACCAACCCAGCATAAGTATCAGAGCTCCATACCTTCATCGTTCACTGGAGTATATGGTCTGATGGCTGGCTTCTCCATCTCTGGGCCCTTGAACTTTGTAAGAAGGGCAGAAGCGACCTTCAATCCGCTGACTTGATCCTCCTCTGGCAGAGCAAATCTGAACTTCTTGGTATTGTGGTTGATGTTCTCGACGCTCTCGAGCTTCAAGCTGATAAAACCTTGGTCCCCTCCTGTGAAGGCAGATTTGCCCACAGCACCCTCTACCTTGCCCTTGGCAGCTCCGACATCCTGCTTAGCCTTGGCCTCAGCATCCTTTGCTGCACCCTTCACCTTGGCAGCATTGTCTCCCTGGTTGTAGAAATAATACCCTCCACCTGCAAGTGCTGCTGCGATACCAGCATAGAGGAGTGTATTCGATCCGCCGGTTGAAGGCTCGGTGGCGTATCGACGGGTTTGCTAATTGGGGATATGTTAGATATGTCCTAATTCACCTTGCTCCTCAATTGCTCTGTTGCGAGGAAAGCATCGAGAGCTATTTTCACAAAACCAGCAACAGGAGCTTAGGAATCAAGAAACCTTACAGTCTTCAACGGCTGTGCCGCTCTGAATGCTTGTCGCGCAAACATGATTGAGATCTGAGTGTCTGAAGAATTGAAGAATCAATTGATCAGGATCTTGGTAATCTAGAGACGAGAGAGCTCAAGAATGGCGCGACCCAGCATGACGTCGCACAACAGGCAAGCTCCGAAGCGCTAGAGCCCGAAACAGCAGGGCCAGAAAACCGATGCTGTCCCACATCAGACCAAACATTCTCTTCACAAATATTCCATAATTGTACGTCGTGGATTTTGGACATTGTGATCTCTATCTTCAGTGAGCTTCGTCGACAAAGGGCTTGAATCTCTTCTTCTGAGATCTTTACAGAAAAACCCGCCGATATTCCTCGTTCATTTCACCTTTGCCGAGCTCCTTGCCCTATCGTTGAGCACTTCATATCAATAGACGGTACTGCTTTTGTTGCCTAAACTTATGTTATCTTTGTTCTCAGGAATGGCGAAAGCAGCTACAAGGACCAGTTAGATTGCGTCCAATGACCAGTCAAGACCCCTCATATCACCAGCGTCGCTGCACTTTGATTCACCAGATCTTTGTAGCCTTCACAGTCTATAATGTACTTTTTGATTCATTCTACTTATGGTACAACTCAACATAATAATCATACGCGGTTCTTACTTCTGCGTAAGTCATACCCCACGAAGCAAGATCCAGCGTTCCTTCAACTGGCATACTCTTAGCCGCTATCCAATTCATAGCCAAGCTATCGACTCGTCCTAGGTCTATCCTCTCGCCAACAAGTCGGCAAGTTGCATTTTCGATCGCCAGAGCTGCGTCTTGCCACGAACTGCCATGGATACCCACCAGCGTGTTGTATCGCCATGTACACACTTCAGTGCACATACAGCCATATACCTCGAAGTAAGCATGGAGCATCTCGTGAAGCAGGGTTCCAAGATATTTCTTCATGCGTTTTTGATATGGTAAAGGAGGTTTCGTCGTTGTCAGATCGCTGATTGTGATCAAACAAGCATGAGTTGGAGGGACTTCTGTTCGCCAGTTGCTGCGGTGGCTGTCTAGCTGCCCTGCGTGATGTCCTTCTATGGACTTAAGTCGTATTGCACATAAGTTCTGAAGCGAGCTGAAGAAGAACAGTCGATCGAAAATGTTGAAGTAGAACGAGAGCTGGTCGAGATCTTCGGCTGGACAGCGATGATCGTTTTGCTGGTTCTGGAACGCCAATGAGTAGTGCTCTTGCATGGCCTCCAGTCCTGGGATGACGGTGTCATCTTGTTTTGTGAACTGCTGGATTGCCTGGACTAATTCATCTGGAGTATGGCAAAGCATGGCGATGTTGCTGTGTGGTACTGGTGTTGCATAAAGCGAAGGTCGCCGGTGCTTGTTGTTTTCTGTAGTGCTGATTGTGATTTTTATTGTTGTATGTCTTTTGTAGAAGCTTTCTTTCTCTAGAAACTTACCAAGCTCGCTGTCTGGTGTGGGTAAACCGTTGTGGAATGTATTGCGAGAATGGATCGTGTGGTCATACATCTCAGCCATCTTCAAAGAAGATCTATTAGCTGCTGGCTGTCGAAAGCAAGAAAAAAGCGTGATGTTAGGATTCCAATGCTGTCAGAGCCGATGCTGTATTTTCTTCGCGCAAACCTATATACTTGTGCCTACGTATTTGCTGCATCATTCGCTTTGAAGTTGTTGTTTGGGACTTGAGAGACGTTTCACGAATTATCCAGATGCTTTGTGCTGTGACAGAGCTCAGTTCGAGGTCAGGTCTCAGAAATGGTCAAGCGTTAGCTTCGAACCGAGTCACTGGGTCAAAGAAAGTGACAAGTATCAAATCAGTATTAGAGATTCTGTGTTGGGGATAGTTACCTGGTCAGTGATTTGAGCACGAACTCAATCCTTTCATATACAACTCGAGAGGCTTTGCAAGTTATTGACTCTCTACAGTAAACGCCTTAGGGAGATCTATCCTGGCAAGTCTACTAATTTCAATTAATCCTGAAAGGGATCCAAACTCACAGACCTAACATACAGTACCGTCAGATGCAGTGCCCTCACTGTCATCGCTTTCTGGACCGTCGCCCTTGACTTCCTTGACTTTTGTCTTAACCATAGATTTATACTGGGCGATTCTGTGCTCAACCTCTGATACTACCAAGCCTAGTTCACCTAACGGCATGGTACTTGTTGATTCGTTCCTCTGATTCAGTTCTTTTGCCATTACTAGAGTCCTACTCAGGTGTATGCTTGGATCCAAAGCTTTCTGCAACGCAGTCTCAATCGTCAAGGCGCACCTATGCCATGGAAGCCCATGTCCCGTCAGACCATTCTTCTCCTTCAAATGAGCCTTGCATTTCTCCTCGCAACGGCAAACGTAAATGTGGAAGAACGAATGCAACATCTCATGGGCAAGTGTTCCCAGATGCGCCAGAGTTTGTGTTTTGTCATCTGCCAGGTCTTTTTCGAAAAACGTGATTCTTGATATGATGCTACTTTCTTTGCGCTCGCAGCGGTTCGTGTAGGCATTCATCCGGCCTGACTTCTTTTCGAAATTTGCGATCCATTTTGGGGCGCCTTTGGCGATGAAGCGAAGTTGACAGAGTTCTGGCTGGAGGAGGTCGAAGAAGAAGATCATATCGAAGATGGGAAGGAACTGCTCAAGCAAGACCTGATTGGACATCGTCCCGCACTCGAGCGCTTGAAGGCGCCAGGTAAAGCGATACGTCAAGATTCGGAGTTTCTCTGGCGCAAGGTTGGCGTCGTTGATTAGCTCGATAGCTTGTTCGTGCGTAAGGCTTAGCGGTTTAGTACGGAACCAGTTCGTGTATCGTTCTTTGCTTGACTTTGGAAGGTCTTCAGAGGAGAGGTGGCAAGCTGACATTGCTCTTGGTCTGGGCAGTTGTTGGGGTTTTCCGACCATAGTATGCGTAATTGAGATAGCGCTAGACCTCATCAGCGTCTGTTGTAGAATGACCCAAAGTTGGAAGGCTCTTGAGGCTGTTTTACCGCTTAAGTTTCGCTTAGCAGCCGCTGAATGCCATTTTTACTCGGCTTTTCATCGCTTCCGCCAATGGCAAGCTGGACGTCTTGACCTAACTACCAAAATTGGCCATTTGCTGCCACCTTGTCCTCCACCTGTCTTACTATTCTCTTACCTGCTCATTGCTATTTGGTCAGATTTTGCTCAGTAGCCATCACAACACCCTTTGACCTCGGTACAATTTAGAATCGAATTTTGTTTACTCTACCTAAGCAGTATTCATGAAACCTCGCCTGCGATGGTTCATTTGACAATCGAATCTTGGCTCTTTATAAGAATCGTTAGTTCTAATTTGACTGGATCTTCCCTTGGTCTACCATCTTTTCCTGCTTCCTCTGCCGTCTTGCCTTTTTCCTTTGGAAAGTTCTACTCAATTCGGTATAAGTGAATCCCCACTCTCCTACATTCAGGCTCCCTTCGGATGGCATGTACCCTTCCTTCAGCCAATCACTGATCAGGTTTCTGGCTCTCCCCATGTCTAAATGATCCTGCAAGAAACGTTGGCTAGCATTCTCGATAGCGCGCGCACTATTTTGCCAAGCCGGGCCATGGCCATGAAGTCCGCGTGCTTTCTCGCTATCTTGTTGGCAATCGCGGCTACAATTACAACGGTGCCATGACCAGCTCTTACAGAGTAACAGATAACAAGAGCGTGTACTTACAGGGACTGTCATGATTTGACGCGCGGTCACGTACTCACTACAAAAATGTTCGGCCTGAATACCTATATGTAGCACGTGACTCTAGCCTAGATTTCCGACCTCTGCCCCTCTACCGCTGCCTCTACCGCCTGAAGAGAGAGTAGGATCACGTTATTCGACATGAATAGGTCGCAGATAGGGTGCCAGAGCTACAATAAAAAGTCAGCTTCTTGATCGAGAATCTGAATGAATGGCGATACGCGACCAAAGGCTGTGGCGAGGCTTCAATGTGCTTCATCAACGTCATTACTGGTGAGCAAGTGCAGTCGATATCGCGCTGTCGTGACAGCGATATCGCATGAGCGAGGCAACTTGCCCGGAAGCCGATCAAGTGTCTGCAAGTCAGCGGATTGGGGCTGTGTTGGCTGCCAAAAAGCCACAAATTCAAAGGTGGTGTGATGCCGCTGCAGAGTGCTGCAAGTGGAAGTCAACGAGGCTGAGCGATTCAAGAAGCTGTGCCGCGTGGGTTGCGGCGCAGTGCTCACACCTTGGTCGCAGAATCTCATTCTGTTGGCTCTTCAGGGCTTTAGTGAGTGCTTTCCCTCCAGTCACGGGTGATTGTTACATTGTAGCATGGAACTTTCATCATTGCATTAAGCTGCTTCGCTATCAAAACGCCGAATCCGAAAAAAAAAACCCCCTACCCCAAAAGAAAAATGTCCCAAAGTCGATTGCTCGATGACCTGTAAGCGAAATGAAATCCAACTTGAGAGATACTTGCTAGGCAAACCATAAAATATGGTCAATCATACTACTCAGGAGCCCTGGAGACTGGTCAAGTTCTCCGCAGGAATATTCCCCTCGCCCGGAAAGGCCTCGTGCCACTCCGCTTGCCATTTGTCAAGTTGGTCCTGATGTGCCTTCTTTCGTCCTTTCCCTTCTGGGTGTTTAGCCCAGAATACCCAGTATCTGTGGATTTGGAACCGACGATGCTCGACATCGAATGCTTTCTCGGCAGCATCAAGTTTCGCCTTGACTTCTTTACATGTTTCCTGAAGCTTGGTATCATTTTTCTTTTTTTGGGCTTGCCTGTGAATCACTGAATATTCTCCTTTTAGGTGGGTCATTCTATCGCGGCACTTTTCAAGTTCCTCTGCTGTGAAATTATCAATTAAAGCGGGAATCAGTAGTTGGATCGAGGCAAGCTTACCACCAAGCACCGGATTAGATACTAAATGAGGATCGTCCCCAAGATTTGGCACATCCAGGATTCTATTCTGGTGGATAGACTGAGATCCGATGATAAGGTCATACATCGGATGCTCCGAGATCAAAAAGCGCATGTCGCGGAATACTCGGGTACTGTTGCTATGGTACCAGGTCAGGGAGATTGCGCCTTGAGGGATGAGCTTGTGGCCAGTGACTCCAGTCCCTCCAACCTCTTCCGCTTTTGTTAATGGTTGAAAATGGGACTCAGAATACCCAAGAACATCGGTAACAAACGCTCTGGATACCAGATTCCCTTGAAGATTTCCGGTATCGATGGTGCATTTGGCTTCCTTCGGTATGAAATGTCTCGACTCGTCCTTCTGTCTCGAAAGAACGTAGACAGATAGGATCCATGGAGAAGGCTGGTTTCCCTGTAGTTCTGGTCAGAAACAAGTTCACGGCGAGTAGCTGTCAAATAACATACCTGGTCCTCTTCTGGTCTTATTGGCATGGTTAACATAGTCGATGAAACTCTGCTTCCTCTTTTGATACAGAAAACACCCAAAAGATGATCCGGCCAGGTAAGCTTCTTGACTTTGGTGTTTGAGCCGTGAGCAGTATCTAGCTTGTATTCCAACTCATCATCGTATCCAACAAGTGTAGAACGAGATCTGCTAGCTCGCATAGAGAGCTTGACGGAAGATGATTTGTCAGAGGTTGAGGAATTGCATAGGCGATTCTTCGAATTGGACATGGTTTTGTCGCATCCTAAGACTGCAAAGCTCTCCAAGTTAGCCAAGATGCAGGTGCCTTTTAGGGATATTAGGAGAGTTGTCAACTGACCATCTATTGAAGAAATCGTAGCCATGTTTCTACACGCGCTGCAAGTAGAGTCTACAGCAGATATCAAACGTTTGTCGTCGGATCCCCGATTGTAGCGATCAAGTCGAGCGCGAGGCTGCGGGGTCGAGTGGGAGGCAATGCAGTTTATGTAGCAACGTGCGGGGCTGAATGTGCTTCCTTCCCGCGATGCGCCCTCTGAACAGCTCGACTTGCGCTTTCTTACAAATGTAAGCAAATACCGGTAAGTAAAGCCACTAGAGTAGTCTGGATCGGAGCTTTGGACTAGAATCTGAGGGAAGCGGCTCAGCGGGTGGTGGGGATGGAGATTCTGAGGTTTCACCGACCAGCAAGGATGTTGATAGAGCCGGCACGGTCTCCAGCAGCTCGACCGAGTACAGCTTTCCGTGGTTACTTTTTCTTAGGCAGTAGTAATTGCCTCGCGACTCAAGAGCTGACTTTTGCTTTCTCTTGTCAGTTGATCAACTGGATCCGGAAGGTAGGTAACCCAAGTTGCTCAGCCCGCGTGAGCAAAGTCTCAACCCCGGCGACGGTGTGGTGAGGCTCCCGGATAAAGAGGAGACTCGGTCATCGATCTTGGGCCTTCAGGGAAGACGAGTGTTGGATGTGAAGAGAGAGTGCTCGACCAGCCCCTGGTGGGCTCCCCAAACCCTTTTATATAACCCAACGACATTGCACAGTGTCGCCACTTGTCCTCGCAGGATTTTCTCGAGATCGTGTGGACCAACGCTGACCGCCATGATGCGTGCTGTCCATTTTCGACAACCGAACGCTGAGGACCTATCACATCAAGTTGTCAGAGTCCTTCGCTTACCCGAGCAGAGGATGGGTTAGAAGAGCGCTCTATTTCTTCGAGTGGTTTTTCCATCCAACAGCGTAAATCTGATGGTCATTCCAAGTGGAAGCGATGAGACACCTGAGATTATATATTTCAGCTCCTCCAGCCTGCTCACACTCGGTGTCCTCCAGGAATCATTTGCCTTACTGCAGAAGCTTAGGCGTCCTCTTTGAGGCTCGGATCTTGACCGATGTATTCCGGCGGAGCCTCTCATTGCGCCCGGTTCACCACGCTGCAGATAGTTGCATGATGGACATAAATCAGGGCTGATGTGCCAGCGCACGTATGCTTTGGTCGTAATCGGTCTGATTTCCGTTTTACATGTCATTTTTATTTTGGTCGGATAAGCTTGAAGTTGTTCTGTTTGCTTCCGGGTTTCAAAATAACTTCTGTATAAGGGCTCTGAGCGATTCTATTCCGGTCAAACATTCCCTCACTTCATTCGGGAGCGCAGATCGTTTCATTCCATCACAAATAGTTCTGAGTCTGCAACGATGTTCCGATAGCAGATTCTTTGGTCAATGGGAATCATTGGACTGGCTTGGACTAATCAGATACATGTCCACCCACATCTTGCGCACAGCAAACAGGAGTTGCAGCGTCGACCTGCGCAATCCATTCGCCAGTGACGAGCATCACCGACTGATTTACCCTTCCGTGTCTGCCAAAAATCTTACTCGTCATCGCTAGAACCATGGGCAAGGCTCGCACTGCCATCGAGCCGTGATGCCGGTTACGAGCAAGAAGTTCAAGGGGCCAGATGACTCCAGATCAGACACGCCTGTCCACAATCTTGCACTTTGCAATCGACGAAGGATCTTGCGGGCTAAGCTATCTTAAGACGAGATTCTTGATAATCAACGGAATGAGGTTATGCTGGACATCGCCTCCAGAGCAGCACCAACCTCGAGGGTAGCTTTCGTCTCTGCGCCCTTGAACGAATGAGCAGGTTGCTGTGCATGCAATATGCAGTCAAATTTTCTTTCCTGCATCGTGCAACACGCTGTGTGCCATAATGACCCTCCTCGTTCGCCTCAAGCTGAGTACCCACAGGACGTCGAGACCAATAAGTGCTCTTCGGTATTCGAAAGACAGGGCATCAATGCACCTCGCCCCGTAGGGCTCACGTTTGAGCTGCTGGACATGACTTCCCTAAGTCACAAATTGAATCGATGTGCCGCGGACAGCACATGTGGAGTGAACGAAGCCCCGCCTCAGTTCCGATAGTCTCGCCCCGCCCACCTGGCAGTGAGCAACGTACTTCAAAAGACCGGCCCCTTCAGCACGCTCACGCGAAGCAACCATCTATGATCTCTTTTCTCCTGCTCCATCTAATCGTTGTTTGCCGCCACTCACAGCGATACTCGAGACGAATCAGAGAATGAGCATTCACGTCTACACAGATGCGGACCTGAGCGAGCCTCCCACATCCAATTCAGGGTCGGAGAAGATGTCTCCTACAACTACAGCCTTCTCCTCGCCATCGCCAAGCCCTGCAGAAAGGTGGAATCATCCCAATAAAAACAGTAGTGAGGACGATGTGAACAAACCGGTTCCTGGATGGCCTTCCTTGGCCAAAACTGTAGCCGACACCCGTGGGTTTGCAGCGTTTCCATCTTTCACAGATCTCAACGTGAAGTCTCTTCTCTACTATCAAGCCCAACTTATCAGACTGAGAAAAGAACTGCATAAGACTGAATTTGAAGACTATTTCCATGGTGCAGACCCAGAACGCAACTTTGCAGACGACTTGGACTGGATGTTCGATGTCGACGACTCGAGGCAAAGTGGCCCAGAACAAAAGAACTCTGAGCAGACAGAGTCAGAAGAAAAGGGCTCAGGACAAGATGACTCGGAGCAACAGGACTCGGATGAAGAGGACTCGCAGCACAGGAGCTTAGAGCAATTGAGAATCCTCGAAAAAATTCGGACTATTCTGGATAAATACAGTGAGCCACTTTGAAGAATTCTGAGCAGAAAAGAATACGGCTGACTCGATCATGCTCCCAGATAATGCACTGATCCAATTCTCGCAGGTGTCAGCATTCCCGGACGCCGACAGTTCCAATGTCGATTGTCTAAGAAAGTTTGCAAGAAAAGTATGCGACCCAACAGCTATCATTGGAACAGGTTCCCAGACCTGGGGCACACTTCGCGCAGAGAAAGGCACGAGTGGAACGCGGGAGACTTTCTGGCCACTCTTTTGGGGACTTTTTGTGGGTTTTTTCAAGACTCAAGAAGTGAAGCGCGACCCTGTTAAGAATGAATTTCAAGAGCATTTGATAGTGCCTCGCGTGGGAAGCAAGCCCGATGGTTTAACGACGTGGGTCACATACAGCTTCATCCCCCTGTTCCACCACGTGTGGCAAGGATGGGGATCGCCTACTTGGGCTGGGCTTTGGACGAGAGTGACAGGTCCATTTTCTTCATGCCACCTTCCAAAGTGCTGGCAAGACGCAAGTCCACCTACTGACATTGCGGCATCGAGAGGCGAAACAGAACCCAAAGACGAGAAGAATCTCGCCGGCGTCACCGCCTACTCGAAAAGCTGGATTTTCCGCGTTACGTCCATACTAACAACCATCGTGGCTTGTCTGCTACCTGTCATCGCCATCGTCGTTCTCTCTAGGGTCCACTCAATGGGAATGATACTCGGACTCATTGCTCTGTTCAACAGCATCTTCGCTTTTGGTCTTGTTCTCATCTCAACGGGAAGTTCACGGGTCGATATCTTTACTGCTACTGCTGCGTAAGTCTTCCCTCTTCTCTACAGCACAAGTTGCTAATGCTCTGCCTTCAGGTTCTCGGCGGTGATGGTGGTATTTGTCCAGAACAAGATCGGTCAAAATTAAGTCTTCAATCTGGGGTGTTTCTTAGGAGCGTTTTGAAGGGAACGTCTTGTGGTAATTTCGCAAGGTATATGATTTGGATGACTGACGGCCGTTTTTGGAGTATTGTGGATGGCGGATGATTCCTGGTTGTTGGCGCAGTAAGGATGACCACTTAATTACTCTTTCATCTTCCTAATTTCCGTTGCCACTTCTATTCCTCAGTTTACAAGGCATTCCCATCGGAGATTTCACGCCTCCGGACTAAGAGCAAGATCCATTTCAGGCAATTTTGATTTTTGTTTTACACTATCACCAAGACGGGACTGTTGCAGTTAGGAACTTGGAATTGCCTAAGCTAAAAGTTCTTCCCAGGCTATGATGTGCAACACAAGCTTTTGGTAACAACTTTTAGTTCCAAGCTAAAAATTGTCACTACCTTGCGATGTGCAACAGGTATCCAATACCAGCGATTCACTTCAACCAAACGCAATAATTCCATCTTGTGTCGCTCTTTTGTAGAGTTCCTTCCTAAATTCCGCATAGCTCACTTACTGTAACCAATTCGCTTAGCCGCTTTTCCTAAGCCACTAATCTCTTTCTGCTCACCATCTCACGGCAACCTCTAATCTTCAAGATTGCTGCAGCTACAAGGTCTGAGGTCGCAATGAGGCTTCAGCCCCACCTATTCTGTATGGACAACATCCAATGCTGCTATGAGGCTGAGCGTATGCCGCAGCCCTTAAAAGTGAATACGCGCGGCATCCCCCAGATAAAATGCCAGGAACTCTTAAATGCACAAGCTCAATTGTTTAGAATATCATAGATCTCAGTCTTAACCCATCAACGAGGTAGAAACAATCGAGCACTTAATTTTCTTTCCGGTTTCACTGTATTGTGGCGCAGGCAATTGGGCGTGAGTACTTGTATTTTTTCGTGCTGTTGTCCTCTACCTCATCGCTGAGTTAACATCAGAGCTCAACCATCTTAGTGTCGCCCTTACCATACTTCATTGCATGTCTCTGACCTAACGTTCAATACCAATATGGATCCTGGAGAATTGGCGAGCCATGATTCAGACCCTACTTTGAGCAATCAGAAATTTGCAGAAGCTGGGGTCCATACAAAGGCACTCCGACACGATGGGTTCCGGGTCCCAGACTGGTTCCTCTCCCACAACACCATCTCACCAAACGACTTGAAGAAATTATCCCCAAGAATAGAACTCATACAAAAGGTGTCGAAGAAGACAGATAATGAATCTCAAGCGGCAAGCAAGAAGAGTGGGGATGGCTCACTCTTGACGCGGAATAGCGAATCATTTGTCTATGAAGTCCAAGACGAGCTTTTCGTTGATCTTCGTGACATGACAGCCGCAGCCTTGACTCGCAATTCTCGGGGGAAGTTGGACCCATCATTTACTCTGATTCCGCTGCAAACTTCGTCACCCCACGGCCTTGAGTTCTTGGACGAGTTGATCAAGTGTTTGGCAAGAGATATGCAAGTTTCTCTAGTCTCTTTCAGCTTGGACGATCTCGAAGACCTTGCTCTAGATTTTAGCATTCAGGAACAGGATAGTGACATCGAAATCACGGCAGACCTGGTGAAACAATACTTCGCTACGCCATCACAACCAGATACATGGGAGAGAAATCGAATGGCTTTCTCCGCTATTCTTGGTACGACGGCCAAGAACACGACCATTGTGGGCGATGAAGCACTCCTAGCAGATGGCTTAGTAAGCCCAGACGATAAATCGTCATCGGAGTCATCTAGGCACTCGACTCTTGTCCATGTTCGTCAAACCAAGGGAATGCTGGTACTAGATCTAGAGGATGGTGGATTAATAGTCGGTGTTCATGATTCTGTGGTGATGCGACGCAAGAGGTGTGAAAGCATCGTGATGATTCTCACCGTGTGTAATGCCGGCACGAAACAGGCAAGTTGATTCTGCATCATCTGCTCTTTTGGTGGCCATAGAAGCGCAAGGCTTATTCCTAACAAAAATCAGGCCTCTGAATCTTTAGTTCTTGATATTGATCCATCGAATATGGAACAGATCCTTAGCTGCCCTCAGCCGGACCACGCTTCGACTTTGAACGTAAGGCGCTTGAAGCGTGAACTTAAACGCAAGATCCCTCACCTCTTCACACCTGAAACTCTGGAACCATATTCGAGGTGGAGTCCTGTCTCATGTGATATCTTTGAGAACGTAACATGTTTGGGGAACTCGTTCTGGTCTTCGGATGAGATCGAATCCGCTGTCATCAAAATTACAGGTTGTTCATGGGGCAAATCTAGACTTGGGACTAGCGACGTTGACGCTGTTCTTTCAAGGATGGGCCTCCACAGCCACGATGCCAAGCCTGTCGAGATGGAAGGCGATGCAGCTGTCGAATCAGAAGGTGATGCGGTTGTTGAATCAGAAGGCGATGCGGCTGGGGAATTGAAAGATGATGCTGTGGTAGAGGACTTGACTCAAACCACGGCTCGACGGCGGCGAGAGATGATAGAGGAGCTTAGATGGAGATGTGATATTTACGAGACGTCTTTGCTAAGCTCTATAGTCGACACAGGTAAAGTGCTTATGCATTTTCTCGTGATCTATCATTAGACAGTGAGCTGACATCTCTTCTCAAGACGGCATCCAATCCGGCTATGACCAAGTCATTCTCGACGAGGAAATGAAGGAAACGATTTTGTATTTGGTATCCTCAATGTACATGGGTTCCACAACATCAAACAATTCTTTCCTCGACCAGCACCGCATCAAAGGAATCCTGCTCTATGGTCCACCAGGAACTGGAAAGACGCATCTCAGCCGCGCCATAGCTAAAGAGTCCGGAGCAACCATGCTATCGGTCGACAGTGCGACGCTGGTGAACAAATATATCGGCGAAAAAGAGAAGCATATCAAAGCTGCCTTCTCTCTGGCTTCGAGGTTATCACCATGCTTGATCTTCCTCGACGAAGTGGACGCACTATTCTACGATCGAAGGACAGCCGAGAAGTCTTGGGAAAGAAGTGCTATCACGCAGTTCCTTCTAGAATTAGATGGGTTGGTGAACAATGATAAGGCACCATTTGTCATAGTTGCCACAAATCGTCCATGGGACTTAGATGCCGCTTTTTTACGCAGACTGCCTCAAAAGGTCCCAATGATGCTTCCAGATGTCGAGGCTCGGTCCAAGATTCTAAAAGTTATTGTGAAGAGTGAAGACTTGGACCCTTTGGTCGATATTGAAGCATTGGCTCGAGAGACTGACGGGTGCTCTGGGTCTGATCTTCGAAATCTTTGTTCAGAGACCGCGCTAATGTGGGCGATTGAGCAAAGCAAGAAAAGGCGGGGCAAAGAAATCTCATCTCTGGACTTTGAGAAGATGCGCCTAAACTCGAAGCATTTCACTAAAGCTCTCCAAAAGATCAGACCTAGTGTGTCCAAAGAGTGTCTCCTTGAATTCGAGGAGTTTATTAATCGCTTCAACCCACCACTTAACCAGGTATGGTTTTGAACTCAATTTAGCTGGGTTGGAAATTTGTCAAGCTAATTTAGCGCTGTAGATATCAACACCTGTTATCAAAGACGCCCCAAAGCAAGCAGCTGCATCGAATACGCCGTTGAAATCACACCCTTTGGATGACACAATTTCCCACTCCGCCACCTTTCCAAAGACTATTTTCAACCTGCAGCAGAGCTTCGCTTCTCTAGCGCGCCATGCAGCACTCCCGGCATCCACTCCCTATAGGTGGCCCACTAGGAATAAGACCCATACCAGAAAACCGAACCCTGAAACTCTAGCACAGGCAACGCTCGACACAAACCAGCCTTCCCGTACGCCAGAGGACGAGGGTGAGATTCCATCCTTATCCAAGAAAGAAAACAAGATCCCAGAATGGGCGCGAGACCTTGGCTTAGTCACTTCAGAACCGAGCAGCATCGACACCGGATTGAAAGAACTAATAGATATTTTCGAGATGATGCCAACAAAGGTCAAGAAAGAGTACAACCATAGGATAAAGTCGCGTTTACGAATATTTGGCCCCAATACACAGGATAACATACAACGGAGCGTAGACCTAATCAACGAGATTTCCGAGGCACATTTAGACAGGTCTCTGTCTCAGATCCCGGATTCTGATATCCCTCGATTTGAAAGCATTCAGCACCACGAGCCTCCATCAGAACTCTCGATCTGTATCAAATGTCGCCATACTGGACACAACTTTGATGAATGCCCCGATTGGGCCGAGTTTAATGTCTCTTCTCCACGGAGAGTCACTCCCCTGCGACTTCTAAGCGACTAAACCATTCTCAAATTACCTACCAGACTTCGATTGGCTGATCGAGTTGATGGAAGCACCCTGATCTGCAAGAATTGCAAGAAAATTTCTTTCAAAGATCTATTTCCTCCTCTGGACGATCGGTTTCTCATTGCAACCGATCTTGGTCGAGCTAACTCAGTGTTCTTTCGGCAGGATTGTCCAATGTGCGTACTGCTCATAAACAGTGCACCAGCAATTGTTGAATCAAAAGATGCATACCTCGTACTCTGCTCCCAATTGAATCTGAGACGCCAACTTGGCCCTGTCAGATTCGAACCTACTATGCCTTCGCGGATACTAGGTGTCGGGATAGTGAGCAAACCAGATGAGGAAGGGAGCTGGAAAATATGGAATTCAGCTAGCCTTGGGCGATTGGAAGACGCTCCCGAAGCTGTTGCCTTAGTTGAAACAAGTAACGACAATAGCGAGCCTACCTACTTCGGCGGGCGACTCGTGTCTCCAGTCTTCCCCAATTTCGAACTGATCCACAGCTGGATCGACCGCTGCATTAGACACCACAAAGGGACTTGCACACCTCTCAAGCCTGTTCAGCTGAACGCTATTCGGCTCATAGATGTTTTCCAACGGAAACTGGTCCATTACCCGGAGGGACAGACTTGCGAGTACATTGCTTTAAGTTATGTGTGGGGAGGTTGTGATCCAGGTCCATTCTCTGGCCACTCAAAAATTAGACGGCTTCCTGCAACACTCGAGGATGCGATCAGCTTCACAAAAGCCTTGGGGAGAAAGTCCTTGTGGATTGACGCTATATGCATCAACCAAGAAGATCTGGAAGATAAATCTCGTCAGATCGCTCTCATGGATGTCATATACTCTGGCGCCTGGCTCACCCTTGTGGCTCTTGCCGGCACCTCGGCAGATTCGGGTCTATATAAACCCAGCCGAGACCAACAGTTGACTTGTCAACTAGATAATTTTGTCTTTGCTTCAACCTTTCCAACTTTGAGGCAACAGATCCTGGGTTCGGTTTGGGGCAGCAGGGCTTGGACCTTTCAGGAAGCTCTTCTGTCACCTCGCATGCTTTACTTTGCTGAAGACCAAACTTATTTCGCCTGCAATTCAACTTGATCCTGCGAAGCCGTTGATGATTTAGACTCCCCATACCACATCAAAGATGCGCTGAAAACCATACCCTACTTCGGCAGCGGCGAAGTTATCTTTCGCAATCCATTCGTCAACTTCGATGCGACCGATATGGAGCATTGTGGTCTCGCGCCAATAGCAGTACCAACGCGTCTTCAGCACTACGGTGATTTTCTTAGGCAGTATATGAGCCGCAAGATGAGCTTCGACGGCGACGCCATTAATGCATTTGGGGGTATACTCAAGCTTCTAAGCGAGGATCTCTACCCACATGGTTTCCTACATGGTCTCCCGATAGAAGATCTACCCATGGCTCTATTGTGGGAGCCTATAAGCATCCAGAGACGACGAGAAGGCTTTCCTGCCTGGAGCTGGGCTGGCTGGGAAGGCGAACTCATGAGAGCCCACGGACAGGACGACGATGCATCCAGCGAGGCTACTCATGCCTGGAGACGTCCTTACATTCAGATATGGAAATCTAACAATGGCACGCTCCGAGAAATTTATCTTTCTGAACCGAGCGAGGACGGTCCATCATTTGACTTCTACTCTTCTCCAAAACCAGAGAATGATACTCCCATGCCGAGGGATAAATTACCGGTAGATCCTTTTTGGGACCTTGCTAGACAGGCTGCAGAAGATGTGCTGTATCCCAGAGAGCTAATTCTCGAATCAGAACGGAAGAATTATCTCTTCATAAAGTGTATCACAATACGACTTCAAGTATACCACGAAAATGAGGTCAGACAGGCGAAATTAGGAGAGGTGCTGCTCCCGAATGAATCCCCGTATGAAATGGAAGGTAGAATATATTGGCATACGAAACAGAAAGGTCGGGAAGACGAAATTCGGCATCGAAGCGCAAATCTTCAAGAGTTCATTGTGCTTGCAAGAAACGATTCAAGCATGGATATCCTCATTGTTGATATAAATGGTTTCTTAGCTACTCGAATTGTTTCAGCAAGGCTTAAAATACCCTCTGTAACAGAGAAAATGGAAGGCGGACCAATAGAGGCAGGCTTTCTTAAATTGGGTGAGCTTACAAGCAATGGCGAGGACCATGTTGACAGAGGTAAATTGAGGTTTGTTGAGGTGGTAGAGGGCACAATGTTGAAAACGGTAGGATGTTTGAGGAGAAGGCGCTTGGTTTTAGTCTAAATTCAAGATAGACGGCAATTCGAGTTTTCTTGAGTAATGTAGGAAAAATATAGAGGCAAGTACAGTACCTTCGGACTTCGTAGCTTTCAGGTGATCGACATGTCCATTCTCGGGACCCTTCGAGACGTACAGAAAAGTGCAACCGAGCGTACCCCTGAGCGCGGGGCTTAACGGCCCCAAATCGAATCCTAGCAAGAGATCGGCGCTGTCAGTCAACGGTGTGGTGCCATCCTTGAATTCATCAAGCTTTTCTCACATCGCACTACACCCCTATTTCACCCTTGTATATTACAACAAGCATATGCAATGGCACAGTTCTCCTGCAGCGTGCAGTGCTGATGCACGTAACGATCGTCGCGAAAGATATTGAACTTGACGCTTTTGGCCGGCAATTAATATGATCGCCCACCATCTCGAGCGCATCCATATGTTGGGAATGTCTGACATATGATCATTTTCTCTCGCGCCTCTAGTTACCCTTCACAATCATTCGAGGTTCAGATATTTTGATTATGTATCTGGTTTCTCTGTTCGAAGTTCTCCAGGTATAGTGGACATATCTCAGGGTTGCAAGATGATTACTTCGAAAAGTTTCAGTTTCATCACGCTTTTTGCCGTATTTGTCTCCTGCGTGTATGTTTCTGCCCTTTGAGGAATCACTTAGCCATGTCTGGCTAATAGCAATTGTAGGACATCTTCGCAGACTCATGAGTATCTTCACCAACGAGCCTCAGACATAACTCTCGAGGACTACGAATATGTTATTGTAGGCTCCGGCCCTGGTGGTTCGCCACTAGCTGCTCGACTTGCTCTCGCTGGCTACAAAGTCTTGCTTATCGATGCTGGAGGTGATTACGGAAACGCAACTATTCTACAAGTACCGGCTCTCCACCCTTTTGCATCCGAGTATGAGCCTATCACTTGGGACTTCTTTGTTCAGCACTATGCAGATTTGGAACAACAGAAAATGGATTCCAAGATGACCTATAAACTACCTGATGGCAGCTACTATGTTGGCTTGAACCCACCCGAAGATGCAACCCCGCTGGGAATCTTGTATCCTAGAGCTGGGACTCTAGGTGGTTGCTCAGAGCACAATGCTCTCATCATGATCTATCCCCACGAAATCGATTGGCAATACATCCAGAACATCACGGGCGATGATTCGTGGTCTCCAGCTAATATGCGAACCTACTACGAAAGACTGGAGAATTGTCATTATCTCCCAAACAGTGTCATTGGACATGGATTCGATGGGTGGATGCCTACCACTGTGACAAATCCAGAGTTGATCGTACAAGATCAAAAAGTACTCTCTTTGGTACTTGCAGCAGCTACAACTATGGGTCAAAACTGGGGTCTTTTGGGCAAGATCATCACCACTGTCGCGGGACTAGCCGAAATATTGCTATTGGATATTAATAATCCATCTCCGGAACGTTACAATACCGAAGCTCTCTACCAAGTTCCTCTCTCCATGAATTTCCCCGAATATTCAAGAGCTTCTCCTCGAGAATGGGTATTGAGTATCGCTAATGCAAAAAACGCTGATGGCTCGCGGAAATATCACCTTGATCTCCAAATCAACACTCTTGTCACCAAGGTCACTTTCAATACTACAGGACCCACTCCCAGAGCCACTGGTGTTGAGTTCCTTGTGGGCCAGAGTCTATATCGTGCCGACCCACGCAGCAATGCTTCAACGCCAAACGGAACTCCTAGAAGCGTCAAGGCGACGCGAGAAGTCATTGTTTCTGGTGGAGCATTCAACACTCCACAAATCCTCAAGCTCAGTGGTATAGGTCCAGCCGCGGAACTCAACAGCTTCGGCATACTAGTAATCAAAGACCTTCCCGGAGTAGGTACCAACTTGCAAGACCGCTACGAGATCGGTGTCGTCGGAAAATCCAGCTCAAATTTCTCTCTCCTACAAGACTGCACCTATCTACAAGGTTACGACCCTTGCCTCGTCCAATGGGAAGACGTACCCCTCCTCAAAGGCGCCTATTCAACCAACGGCATCGCACTCGCCTACCCAAAGCATTCCTCCATCGCAGTCGACGTCCCGGATCTCTACCTCGGCGGCGTACCAGCGTACTTCAAAGGCTACTTCCCGAAATACGCAGAGTTCGCTACAGCAGACAAAAGTATCTGGACCTGGTTGACTCTGAAAGCACACTCTCGCAACAATGCTGGTACTGTACAGCTGAGATCGGCTGATCCGCGCGATACCCCTAACATTACATTCAACTCTTTCAATGGTGCTGGCGGAGAAGAGGACCTACAGGCCGTGTACGAAGGAATGCAGTTCGGGATAGAAGCGTTCGAGAATTTGATCCCTCTCGATGGAGGATTCGAAAGGGTCTGGCCAACGCCCAACATCACATCGGAAGCCGATCTAAAAGAGTTTGCGCGAAACGAGGCGTGGGGACATCATGCATCTTGTACTTGTCCCATTGGAGCCGATGATGATGAGATGGCGGTATTAGATGCGGACTTCAGGGTGAGGGGCGTCGATGGGTTGAGGGTTGTGGATGCGTCTGTGTTTCCTAAGATTCCTGGATTTTATATCGTCCTTCCGATTTATATGATTAGTGAGAAGGCTGCGGATGTGATTATTGCCGCTGCTGGTGCTTCTTAACGGGATGTTAGAGTACTGCCGTGTTGGCACTGTTTTCCGATAATGATAATTTGTGTTGATATTGGGTCACCTGTATATCGCTGCAATGCAGTTGTGTCTGGTGACACTTCACAGCTGAAGTAGAAAGTCGTGCACATGCGTCAGGAGACATGTTCGTCAACGATTAAGACAATTCAACGAACACTAAGGAGAATATCGATCTCCACGCCTGCCCATGCTTCAAAAGTTCGATTGTTGTCTAAAAAGTGCAAGTCCCCCCTCTGAAGCGTAAGAAACTAAGCTGTGTTGAAATTCCAATCAAGATCCCCTATCCTGAGTTGCTGCTTCTTATCCCTCAAAGTCAAAACACAGAACTCCATCAGCGCTTTCTCCAAATACAAAGCGAGCATAGAACAAAGATATTCCATTTTTCGAGCAACTTGCGCATTTCGCGTTCGCTCCCAACCCTGGAAACAAATCTGCAACAGTGGCATGCGAAGTGACTCTCCCTAAATCACCTCTGCCTTGAAATTCCCCACTCATCAAGAAGCTGTTTCAACACAAGTACCGACCAGTGCAAAGGACAACATGCAGCGTGCATTGCTCAATCCGGTAATCCCGAGTCAGATAATTGCAGTGTGAAGCTTGGTTGAATAAGCTTAAAACGCCTCGCAGCCACCCGAGTCAGGGTTTCGATCACCCGACTGGACTCCTTGCGCATTTTCATTTGCATTTCGATGGGATTAAACTTTCGTCTTCCAAAGTTATGTCTGAGATGCGGGTGTCAGTTTAATCTCCTGTTAAAGTTTAATGAGTAGCAGTGCTTAGGTCTTGTCGATCAGAACTACTTATTGTTAATCGATATGCATACATCGAGTTCCTTTGGACTATCGAGATTTCCTAGGCTCGCAAATGATTTGACACGGGGGAAGAAATTCACATCGCTCTCAATCTGCAGCCGCCTTGTAGCAGTTCTTACTCGAGCTGAAGAAACTTATCTCGATAGCCTCAAAGTATCCCTCTCCTTTGAGTTAGCTCCCATAACTGAGTGCCGCAGTGATTGCACTGACATATGACAGTAAACCCTTTCCAGCACCCCCTTCCACGTGGGGGAAAAGGGGGCTCTACCGAAAACGGCATGATCGACAAGACAGCCGTGCGCCGGTGATTTGACGGCCCCATCCCCCCGGAACAAAATGTAAATCCTACCTCCAGCATTTCGATTTTAGGAAAGGAACTGACTCTCATCCATGTCCGAAGGTTTTGAAGTGTCGATGATCACATATTGAGCTTGGCAGTGCGCATATCTATTGAAGTGAGACGACATGTTGATCACGACCATCATAACATGCGGTAAGATTGAAGGAACTATGGACGTCATCCTGTCTCTGCTGAGAGCGGAGAGGCAATGTAACTGTGTGTTATATACTTGCTTCGATGTCCACAGAAGTTCTTTCTCTTTCCCATCATCCTCAGATCAGTCAGTCTTTACCCAGCCTCACAGCTCTTCAGTCACTCATTCATATCTTTCCCCAATTTTTGCTCCTGTTTATCAATTTTCGAGAGGCCTCTTAAATCAGCAATATGCAGTTCCTCGCAATCACCATCGCATCCCTCGCCCTGGGCTCCCAGGTCCTCGCCGCCCCTCTCACCGTCAATGGCGTAGTGACCGAAGTTGTCTCCCTGCCCGGCCAAGCAGTCAGCACAGTCGAGTCTGTAGTCAAGCGAGCCATCGACGTCCTCTCTACCGTCAACAGCGTCGAGAGCGAAGCTCTCGCTCTCCCTTCCACCGTTACCACCGAAGTCTCCGGTGTCGTTGGCACTGTTGCCAAGAGATACAACAATCAATCCATGGTCCTCACTGTCTTGAGCTCCGTCTCAACCTTGAAGACATCAGTTCAATCTGATCTCTCGACCATTTGTAAGTCCTCGCCCGAGAAAGGATGAGAGGAAGTATGGCTAATGTGAACAAGCTTCAACCTTAGTATCAGACGTCACAACCTCCATCGTCCCCACGGTCCACTTCTCCCTTCTTAACATTATGAGCGCCGTCAACGGTACATCCGCCACTGTCGTCTCCAGCGTCATGTCCCTCGCCCTCCCTCTCGCAGCAGGCGAAGTCGAAGCCGTGATCTCCACCATCGGTGAAGTAGAAAGCATGGTCTCCGACATCAAATCCACTCTCGAGACTCTGGTCGGCAGTGTCGAAGCTGGTATGTTGTCCCCTTTCTCCCTCCTAACGATGAAGTTCTTTATTCTAACGGTCTCTCCAGATGTTATGGGTTTGATCGCTCCTGAGGTCAGCGCTGTTTTGACTTTGGTAATGCCGTTGGTTTCCCCTCTTACTGCATTCGCTTTCAGTGTTGCGGGTACGGTTACTGGGACCGACGCTGCGAGCCTGCTTACGGGTGCTGCGTCCAGCTTGACTGGTGTTGCGGGCGACCTTTTGAGCCCGGTTGGCGCTGTTCTGAGCGCTCTGTAAGGAATAAATTCCGCATCAAGTGCGTGTTGAGAGATGGGTTAGGCTTGGGAGCTGGAGAAAGGTGTTAATAATTGTAAATAATTAGATCGTTGTTTCAAGTCTGGGAGACTTTTGTATTACTTAGACGAGCGAATGAACGACTATCGTGTTTGATTCACGTAATGCAACCAAGATATGATACGAGAGTTGTACATTCTTGAGTAACTACACTTCCAGCCAAGGGCTTGCTAATGTAGAGCAGTCAGGCATAAAGCTGGTCATGAAGCATCGGCGGCTCAAATATCGGTTCGTGGCCTCAGAAACCTTCTGTCATATCTGATCTTCTCCTTCTGCATTCTCCTTGTAGAAGTCTCCAATGTTCCATAACGCTCCTTGGTCTTGCTCGTCTTGTTCCTTCGTACCGCGCACTCACCACCGCGGCCGCAGGTGACGCACGAGATGATGATGTCGAAGAGACTGGCGATTGCGCCGATGATCGCTTGCAGGACGGAGGCGATGCCTGGTAGATTGAACTATTAGCCTTGTTCTTTTATACAATCGTTACAAGTAGCCTAAGTGTTGACACCAGCGAACGAATTGACAACGAAAGTAGCAAATTCAAAATCCTCCTTCAGAATGACCGCTGGATTCTGGTGAGGTCGGATCCGGGACCAACTCACCGGAGGTAGGAAATAACAGTTCTGAAACTCGAGTTGTGGAGATTATCGAAGCAGCTCTGACAGGGTTTTTATACCCCAGATATCATAAGCTCTCGGCGTAAGCAGAAAACGACAAGGCGAAGCAGTGAATACGTCGAGTGAGTACCGTGTCAGGGTGACCAATTTATCTTGCTTTTACTGATAGAAGGAGCCGATACCAATCAGTTGATCTGTGTAGACAATCCATCGGTCAGCTGTAAATATTGGAAAGTGGAAGGAGAGCAGAAGCTCAGAAAAGGAAGAGTCATGCTGGATAGGAGAGTAAATACCTGTCTTGTTGAAGTTCTGAGCATATTATTGACGGTTTTGACGAAGTACAACGGGCTGAGATCGGTGGACGAGATGATCAGAATCCTATTGATTGTTAGTCACACCCATTGCCCTCAACGCTAGCTTACTGCTGTGGTCCGTCATTGTCACGATTGCAAATACTCACTTTTTGGGGTTTGTTGTCAGCTCTGACATATTTTGCGCCAGAGACGAATACTCTCACGCCAGCTTGTTCCCTTGCTCGCACATCGATCGTACCTTCTGCGATTCCTTCTCTGCGTCCTCTATCAGGGTTTTAAACGCATGGGCCTTGCTGAAGCTTTTCAAGTTAGCCTTCGTCTTGCGCAATTCGCTTGGTGTCAAGTATTACCTGGTTTGTGGACATTCTGTTCCTCTAATCTCGGAGACTTGGGCCAGCAAGAATATCAAGTCTTTGAGTATTAACCCAAGGAGACTCTTTTGAAAGAAGCCAGAGTCCCACAAAGACGTAATTGTTTGGATTGTCGGTGCCTCTAGAGAATGGATGAAAGCAGAGCTCAACGTGCCGCAGCAGCAGGAGCTTTAATTTGAAAAGTCGGCACCTCCGGGGGGAAACAAGGGAGGGAGCCGAAGCTCAGGCTCAGCCTAATGGCTGGGGGGGGCCAAAAAATTGATCGCGCCCCATATGCATTGCACGAAACCATGGTAAAGCCGCACGCCACCCAGCCGATGTATCCCATATTCGAAAATGTTTAACCACCCTTCTTCTTGGAAACACCGACAGTACGGCCACGACGACCGGTAGTCTTTGAGTGTTGTCCACGAACACGGAGGCCCCAATAATGACGAAGGCCACGATGAGCGCGAATTTTCTTCAGGCGTTCGAGATCATCACGGAGCTTGGAGTCGACACCGTTGGCAAGGATTTGAGAGTCTTTACCATCGACGATATCGCGTTGACGATTGAGGAACCAGGCGGGGATCTTGTATTGGGTCGGGTTTTGGATGATGGTGACGATTCGCTCGAGCTCTTCGGAAGTGAGTTCGCCAGCGATCTGGTACGGAGGCGGCAGCTCGAGGAAAGGGATGGGATCCCTCTCACCCTGCTCCTGCTCGTAGCTGGAAGCTGATGAGACAGGGGTCGAGGGTTCCCATCCCTCCCCGAGGATGCAAGAAAAGAGTTTGCGGAGGAAAGCAAGCATTGTGCTGCTTGTAGTGGTGGTGGTGGTGTTTTTGGTGATTGAATGTGTTTTTTGCGAATTTCGAGGGGGAAATCTTCAAAGTCGGATTCGTGGGTAGACCCCGGTCCAAACGACTAAGCACGTAAACACTGGACCCGCTTGGTGCAATATCTATCTGCAGTTGTCCTTTTGACTCAAGGACAATCCAAGTTTACGTTGTTTCATGTGTTTCTTCAAGCAGTTGGTTGAAGTCTTTTCTTGTTCTTGGCAAAGTGTTTCTTATGATTCTAGATGCCGTTTCTCTCACAGGACATTGATTGCGGTATAAGAAGCAATCCCCAACCGTTCATTTACGTTTGTTTCTTTCTTAACACCATTGTCCTTGCCTACATGAAACACGCTCTTGGTAAATACAACTTTGTCTCTTGCGTACTTCCAGCCTCATGCAACTTAGATCTTGTCTGACTACTTGAAACTACATTTCAATCGTATCTTACTTTTCCTATAAGTATTGTACTACTTTAATAAGATAAACAACTCATTCCTCGACAATTCTAGCGGTGATGGACATTGCACGACTCTCGTGTCCTTAAGGATGAGAGCACCATCCACGATTCTGAGAATACTTGTTGAGACTCTGACACCCGACCTACAACCCACAACGCAGGATGGCTCTTAGATACCAGTTATACTTTACTACCACTCCCTCCTCATCCCTCTAAAGTGTACAGAGCAAGATATGTAAGTGCCGGCTCTCGCTCCTGCTTTTCAACAAGTGAAATAGCCGAGCACCGCTGTTTTAAGCCCCTGAACCTGTTTTAAAGGCGGCGAAATATTTCCTTTCTAGTCGCCTGCTTGACAACAGTCACCGCAAACCATATTGGCCAAAGATCTTGATGGGAGACTCATCTCTCCTTATTGTATTTATCACAAAGGAAGTGCTTGTCAAGAGTTATTGTATACGTCTGATTACAAGTGCTGGGTACAGTGCGGGGTATAGTGCGGGGTGGTGCTCCCTAGAACGCATTCCAGAGGATGAAAATTTAGCGAGTGATGCCTGAACAGAGTTGGCTTTAGGCTTACTTACCCTGAATTTTTAGAGTTTAAAGCCTAGGACTTGTTGCCACCTGGAGAACCCCACAGGAAGAAGCCATAGTCTCAAAATTATACAATAATGAATTTATCAAAAGACAATAAAATATAATTCATAGCTATTCAACATCTTTCTACAATTCTGCAACATATCGCTCCATGACCTCTCCTGCCTTCTCCAATACCTTGCTGCCAGCATCATTTGCCGGAATACCCAAAGCAGTTGCTGTCTTGAAAGACCCAATTGGCATCTGTATTATATTAGCCCAGCTCAATCTGATGTTGGAGGACTTACACTAAGAGTATAACGAACATGGGGACAAAAGTCCGTGCGTTCAGGGCATCAGAATCATGAATTTTATTAATTAATTAGCTGTAGACCAGCCACATCGCTTAATTAAGTCGTGTACCCAGAAGTCCTGCTGCTCAATAAGCCCATTGATCCATTCCTGAGGAATTTTGTCCCATTCTTCTAATACTGCTACAACCATTTGAACCTCAGTTGTTGGCTGCCTTAGGCGCCTATGGAGAGCTTGTTTTATTCTCCTCCAGCACTTCTCAATAGGATTCATATCAGGGCTAACTGCAGGATGGGGGAATAGAGTAATACCCATAGAAGTACGCCAAGTAGCACAAATATTGCTAGTAGTCTTGTGGCCGTGAGCAGAGTTGCCGTCTTCCATGAACTGAGGGGTCTTCCCAGGCCCCAAAACAGCCGCAAAAGCAGCTAAAAAATCCTGAATATAAGGCTTGAGTACTTGAGCAAGGTAATCAGTTTGTGTAAATGCCCCACTCTTCCCAGTTCCATGAATGTTGATCAATGGACTTTTGTATCCGTAGCCTACAGCACCAAAGAAGTGTACAGGAATAGTGCCACCTCTATGCATTTGGAATTGAATGCAGTCAGGATAACAGCGTTCCTTCTTATTCCTAATACACCTCTGCTTGCATTTCTTCCCTCCAACTTGAAATGTGACCTCATCTGAGTACAGTATCTGACTCCATTCCCAAATAGTCCAAAACATGTGTGCTATCCCCCACAGCCACCGCGCATTGGCTTGGGTCTTAGTGAGGTAGGGCTTTTGGCAGCAGATACAAGAGTAGTATCCAGCTTCTTTGCAGCGGCGTTTGAGGGTCTTGACAGAGCAAGAGAGTTGCAATTCATCGTGTATTTGGATCCAATTCAGCACTCTAGTTGCATGGTCGGTGCAAATATACTCAATAATATCTCTAACCTCCTGTTCATTGAGGGATTCTCTGGGTCTCCCTGTGCGTGTAGGGCGCGCTCTTTCAGGCACATCGTATAGTAGGATCTTCCTAACTGTGCTGTCTCCTAGGTGGTAGTAGCCCTGGAGCTGTTGCAGGCCTATTTTAGCGAATTTGAAGAGCCGGCGTATGCCCTCTTTGTGCTTGGTTCTGATCTCTGCACCTGGGAGACGTGGAGACATAGGTGGAGTGGTAAAAGGATCCATAATGGTGGAGTTGTTGATAGTTTAGTCCTAATGTGAAGAGTTTTAATTTCGAGGTTCTACAGCCTGAACGCACGGACTTTTGTCCCCATGTTCGTAAGGACCTAGGAATGGAAGCTGAGATTCGTTCTCAAGATACCCTTCCCCAATGTACCTTTTGAAATCCTCGTCCATCTCAGCACACACCTTTCGCAGAACCCCTATACTCTGTCTGTGCAACTCGAAGTAATCGTATTGGAGTTTCGGAAGTTCTCGTGGGATCGAAACCATTAAGGCATCCAATAGATCCAGCGGAGATAATTGTTTAGAAACAGCCATTTTGTGACGTACTCTCTTGCTGACTGGATTACCGGCAATCTCCTCATCAAGAGCTTGTTCGGTGAGAAGTGCTTCCACTCTGTGCAGTGTCAATGCACTCTTATCAATAACTACGTTACCTTCTACGGTCCAATTTTGACGAAATATCTCCGAGAGGGGCGAACTCTCTTTAAGGCCTCGAGGACCGTTCTTCGATGGTCTCAATTTCCTTTTTCTGAGGTTGGCGCTGAAGTCCGCCACAGAATGGCCTAGCGTAAGGACGATTTGTTTGTAGGAGTCCATGATTGTAGTTGGCTTCGATCCAAGGAACAGACGGTTCTCGCCGTGAATGGCTATGAGCTCCTCCATTATGGGCCATGGAGCAATTCCATTCTGCTTCTGTCGTAGAGCGTTGTAGAAATGCGCAGGGAAAATCGCCGTTCCCATGCCATTTGCCACGGTCATTCCATAATCCTGCTGCCAAAGTGTGAGATTGAAAGCGATTATGCCACAGAGGAGGGGATGTCTCTTGTAAAGATAAAACCGTTCGAGTTCTTGGGGCGCAGCCCAGCCAACAGACTTGTATTCCGAGGTTTTTTAAGGCAGAATGGCATCATTGAAGATTTGGATACCCATCAAGTCTTTTAAGATGTGGAAAAGTTGCTCATTCTGAACCGGCCAACTTTTGGGTTTCGTGAATCCATCCGATAACTCGAAATACCGATTCAAAGTTTGTGTGAAGCGGGTAGCAGTAAGAGTGAGTACTTGAAATCCCGAATCAACAGTCTCTCGCAGAATATGATGAATGTTCAAGAATATTTCCACGGCAAAGACAAGCCAGATTGGAATCGCTTTCGTAAGCGCAAATTGACGAAGTCCTCGAGTCACTTCGTCCTGGCCAAGCATGGCAATGTCAAACTTGGCAAGGAAGCAGAACTCCGGTAATATTTCCAGTAAGACTTGAACGTCTTCCTGTTGTTTCTCGATGCGGCTCATGCGGGTTCGATCAGCCTGAGGATGATATACGCCATAAAAACCTCGCTTCACCATAGGTATACTTTTCGGGTTCAGAACCTTGGTGAATTCAGAGAGTATGGAGTATGCACGGCGGAAAGCCCAGTCTTCGACGTCCTCACTGACATTGAACATACCGAAAGTATGACCTTCTTTGAACAACTTTACACCCATTTCAGTGTATAGCGTAACCCAAGTATCTTTGTAGCTGCCTGTCCCTGGGAATGATGCCACAAATTCGTCTTGAGTTCGAATCGCGAGCTGAACTGCCGTGTTCGTGACAACGGACGCCGTGATGAGGTCCAATTTGTCTTCCCTGTAATCACGCCATACCCGTTCCACATAGCTTCGCAATTTGTTGAGATCAGTGAAGAGACAGTGAAATGCGAAAGCTTTAGCTTCACGTGCATCTTCTTCTGCCTCGTAGAATTTGTAATCGGGCTCTGCAGACTTGGGTAGTTCGTCTGTGTTGCGGCGTTTGCATCAGGAGTTGAGAGATAGGGCTCCGCGGGCTCCTCAACTTCGAGGACGGCGAAACGATTTACCAGGTCTGCAATGGTCTCGTTGTTCTGTGTAGGGTCTTTCTCCTTGATGTTGGTGCCAGCCATTGTAGCGAATCGGGGCTGGAGAGTTAAGATGACTCGCTCCATCAAGTCGTTGAAATATGAGTGGCTGTAATTTGACTCTAAGGTTTCCACATCAGAGGCTTCGGTGTTCTTCGAGAAAGATTCTGTAAGTTTCTTGCGAGTTGATACTGCACGGAGGCCGACCTGGAGAATCTTGACAGGTACTTTGATAGATGAATCCTGAGAGTAGAGCACCGCTTGCGCTAGTGGCATCAGATCTCTCCGGGGGACTTCATGTGACAGTACTCCAGCACTAGTATCGGGCATTGACGTAGCTACTGTCCAGCTGATATCAGCAACTCAACTATTGCAAAGAAAAAGATGGGTTTCGGTGGACACTTTCACTGGTAGCGAACTACCACCAGAGCATATCTTTGAGCCATCGCGCGAACAAGTCCTCTTCGCAGTATTACCTTTGAGCAACAATAATGTGGAATGAACACATGAAGGTTATATCGACTTACCTAGCTTGGCAGCTTTAGCCTCCTTTCTCGCCTTTCCTTTCAATCGAGCTGACTTCTGCGGCGTAATCTCCACTTGTTTCTTCGCAGTAGTAGGCGCATCGGGTACATACCCACATTTCGTGCCAGTCTCGTACAGCCACTTCAGAAATGTGGATGTGTCATTCTTGTACTTCTTGTAAGTACCTTCCAAGAACTCAGAGAGCATGACTGATGGGAGTAAGTAACTGGAAATGAGCGCCAAGAAGCGAGGTGCGGTGATCAAGTTTTGAGTTCTTGATTAGATCCAGAAAGACGATGGATCGTCGGATTGTGAGACTTTTGATGTGGAAGTCAATAGCTTGGAAGAATTTCGATGGTAGAAGAGACAAGGGAAATAGATGTTGTTTGCTTCCGTTTGTCGGATAAGCGTTGGTACCCGGAGCAGCTAATCCGGAGATGAAACAGTGGTGAGAGATCACGTGTAGTTAATCAGCCCAAATAACTCTCTTCTTTACCGCCGCCTCCTACCCCAGGACAAACTGTAGCTGAGAAAGCGACTCTATTAGAGAGTTACAGATCTGATGATATATAGTATATCACGAATGGTTTTTACTGTCATGTGATGACAACGTGACTCGCAGCCACAAAAGAAGATCCGGTGTTGATATCCCAATATCATTTATTGCTAACGGTGTCACGTTTGAAAGATAGTGCTATTAAGTTTCACCGATCAGGGGAGGACCGGAATAGTGGGACTCTGGAATGAGTTGAAGATCATAGGATGCGCAAAACGTGAGAAGTGTACCGTATGAATAGCTTGCTACAGCGCTATTCAATAGGAAAATAGAGGCAGAGAATCTATTGGGGGGACGATTCTTGGTATCAGAATGAAAACTCCAAATCTAATGAATTGGTCTCCTGCCATACCTTCAGAGCGGTACCATGGCAGGGAACAAGAATAGTTGAGAGAGACCTAAGGGAAGAGTAGGGTTCGAAATTGAGATATTGCAATTTAAAGAGCTGAATACTAGTAGGAAGGAGTTCTCTTTTGAAGCGTCCTTATGGAATGTATATGGAACGCGCTGAAACTCTTGAGAGTGGTTCGATTTGGGCATGGAGGAAATAGATGAGTGTCGACCGCGGCCGAAGGCGGTCAAATTGAGAATTCCCGAAGTCAACTGATAAGCAAACGAATAGTGTATCGTACGAGGCATGATCCAGGGAGGGGAACTTGAATGCACAGACAGTAGCAGGTTCCGCATGCGTAAGAATGACTCGCTTACGGCAGGCGTCGAGCAATAGGGGTATGCTCTGGTAACCTCTAAGACTAATCGGGACAAACTGCGACAGGTGAGACTTTGAACCATTTTGCAAGGAGAAGAGTCAAAGATCTCTGCCATTTCTTGTCACTTCTCGTCAGACTTCATACTGAACATAATTGTAGTACGTGTAGCATAACTTCTCCATCAATGGCTTCGCTTTTGCAGCGCATCGCTGCTGCTGGCAAAACATATGAGGGCAATGAAGCTGGGTCAAGAGAGGATCTTATCAATCTCAGCCGTGCGGTAGTCGTTGCATTCCGAGCGAGTTCTTGCAGCGGAGTTTCTGGGCAGAGGTAAGGTCAGAATTCTGAGCGATAAACAATCCTGTTGACTGAACAGTCTGCTATGTCCGCTCATATCCGCCTTGCGGTAGATGTTCAACTTTTTCAACACTTGAGAGATTTTGGCGATATTGGACTGAGCGCTCAAACCTTGGCTGAGAAGACAGGACTTGATGTCCTGCTTCTTGGAAGGCTAATTGAGACATCTTGTCGCTATGCATATCGTGACTTACCATGATGGAGCATTCCATGCCACAGCATTGAGTAATGGACTTTCGGAGGAGATATACCAACACAGTATCTCCTTTGGTTACGACGCAGCCAGACCATCATTCAACGCATTCCCAGAATACTTCAAGAAGATCGGATACAAACAGCCTACCTCATTGACTGATGGGCCTTTCCAAGACGCGCACAGGACTCAGCTTCCGTTCTTCGACTGGTTGGTTGCCACACCTCCCAACCTCCAGCACTTTGGTTCTTTCATGGCGGCATATCGTGCTGGTAAAGCAAACTGGTATGATCCAGGCTTTTACCCCGTAGCCGATCGTCTTATCCACGGCTTCGATTCTAGTATGAGCGATATTCTTCTCGTTGATGTCGGCGGAGGAGAAGGCCATGATATGACTCTCTTCGCAGCCCAGCATACTTTTCATCCCGGTCGTATCGTCCTCCAGGATCGGGAACCAGTAATCGCCAGTGTTGTAGAGACTCTCAAAGCCGACTCTCCATTCGAAGCGCAAGCCCATGATTTCTTTACAACTCAACCTATTAAAGGCGCTCGTGCTTACTCGTTGCACTCCATTCTCCACGACTGGGGAGACGATGACGGAGTTCGTATCCTGGAGAACTTGAAGCCAGCGTTGAGGCCTGGATACTCTAGGGTCCTTCTCAATGAGATCGTCCTGTCTGAGGAGAACCCCACGCTGGCGGCTGCATCCATGGATATGATGATGCTTGCCCACTTTGCTGTAAGGGAAAGAACTGAGGCAGATTGGAAGGCAATTTTGGAGAGGGTGGGCTTGAAATTCGTCAAGATCTATACGTATCCTGGTGTTGCTGAGAGCGTGATTGAAGCCGAGTTGGCCTCGTAAAGATTGTATCACAGCGATATTGATAATCTCCCAATTGATAGAGAAAAGGCAGCAAACATCAGTGCCTGAAGGATCTGCCAACCAAATTTACAATCCAAGCGAAGGATTGGTGCATTCCCAAATCCTTCGATGTTGGTCATTCTGATTGGTTCTACTCGGCTCAGCCTGAGCTCAGCCTCAACAAGCGCGTTGTAAGGTTTTCGCCACCAACTTTTACCATGCCATATTCTGCATTTTCAGAACAACAACAATCACTAAGCCTCACTGATATCCTTATGTTCTCCAGCATATCATCGCTTCAACAAAATCCGTTTGAATCATTGAGAGATTGTATGCCGTCGACTGCAAGATGTTCTCTTTCTCCTATGTCTTCGCTCTGGCCAATTTTATGAGTTCCATGGTTACATGCACACTTTTTGAACAACAGAGGCTGTTTAGTTCGATCGATGTGACTTCTAAGCCATCTATTCCCGGCGGTTCAACATTCGAATACTGCTCCGAATCAGATCCAGAAAATGACATCTTCATAATAGGTTCTGTTCCGCTCACACATCTTTATCTGCAAACCACTGAGTATCTACTAGAAAAGATCAAATGGGATCCTAATCCGCCAACGATGTACTACGTCCTTCCCTCTCCATCACTAATCCATCGTCATCAAGCACTAACATACCTTCCGTTTCCCAGCTCTCGTGAACAAAAGCTTCTTGTCTTCGGAACTTTCTCGCAACGAATCCCCTCGTCCGCCAACGGGACGGGAACAGTCTACATACCAGAGTGGCACAATCCGGAGTCCCCCGCTTCCAACTACACCGAAACAAGCCCGTTCTGCACCTGGCCCAACTTCGTCTACCAAACTGACGAAGCGCGTGGTTTACACAAGGTTTGTGATGGTGCTGTCGGAGCGAACTTCAGTGCGCCAGAAGCAGGGTCGGCAATATTGGTTAGTGAGGATATTTTGTTTTGGCCATTGCCCGAGGGAGAGTATGGGCTCAAATTGGATATGTTGATGCTTAAGGATGAGGAAGGAGAAGGCGGAGAGAGAATCTTTTGTTTCGAAGGGAAGGTGGATTTAAGTTATTAATCACGACGAAATATCTTAGCTCTCAGTTATATATCCTATATCCTTGTACTTATGATTTCTGTGTCATTTGTGTATTCAGTTGGTTGGGCAGAAATTGCGCATCTCGCGCAAATTGCGGGTGTTGCTGTCCCAGCGAAGAAAGGATATTCTTCCCCGTCATCTTTATATCTCCCTTATATCCTTCGGTACCAACCTTCATCGTCATTCTTATTATGAATCGAAGGATTAAGTAGCTCTCGAAGGAAAATGTGCCTGCTCACCTCGCTTCTTTCAGGGGGTAGCAGGAACACGTGACAGGTTCACAAGTCAATTCTAAACAAAACTTCAAGGGAACAATGCACGCCGCTTCATTAAACTACTAGTCTTGAGCGTGGATGACTACCAATAACTCTCCCAATAGCTCTTGCGCACAAAAGAGAAGAACCAAACTTGAAAAGTGTTCTGCAAGATAGGCGCTAGTCACCACTCGACCGGAAGTGCGTCAACATGACAGTCTCCGCCATGAGTATCCGTCTTCTCAGAATCCAATTAGCCAAGAGATTCATTCTGGTGGACGAAATCAAAAAGCTTCTTCTGCATGATACATCCAATCATCTCTCCGTTGCTACCGCGTATACCAGAGATTGGTCTTAACATACACCCGTGCTTCTAAGCATCATTAAGTCAGCCACAAAGATCTTTCGAATTATGGGAAGAGGAAACTCACATTATAACTGGGAAAATGTCTCAAAATCCGACTCTTTTCCTCCATCTTCAGGTTTCCCCTCCGCAGAAGCCAAGTCATTACTCTTCCCCTCCGGCTCAGATTCTCCAGCTTCCGCGCATTCAAAGTCATGCTCGGGGCTTGGGAAAAGTCTGGGTTCATCTTCGCTTTGTTGAGGATTTGCTCGAGCCCAAGTTCCGAATTTCTTGGAATTATCGTCGAAGCAATCTTCCGTAGATGACTGGCTGGGCGTCGGAGATGATGCCCTCGGTCCTAGCATAGAGGAAGTGACCTCATTGTTTTCCTGTAGTGCAGCACTCTTGTCAGGAGATGAAAAATTCAATTCCGGCAAAGAAGACGCAGTGTCTCCGCTCTCTTCTGGTAGTGAGGACGACTCTTTCTCAACACTCTTTTGGGACGAAGACTCTCCTTCATCAAGTTCCGGCCGAGGAACTGAGCGTTGTTACCTTCCGCCGAGGTCTGATACCCGTTTGTGTACCCCAGGAGCTTTGTTTCCAGAAGCCTTTCCTCCTCGTCCCTTGTTTTGATTCGATTTGCGTTTCACGGCCACAGTGGCTTTCTTACCAAAGCCATCCCCTCCTGGTCGCCACAAGTCAGTCGCACTATCGAATGAATGGGACGTGGGCTCAGGTGTGCTGCGACTTTCCCCAGACGCAAACAGTGAATAAAGCATATGTGAGGCCAAAGCGACAAGCACTTCAATGTTCATTCATTGGAATGGTCCAGCTACAGGTTGGATTCATCAACGAGCTATCTAAGAGTAATCTTGGCATAAATACTGCTCAAACCTTCTTCATCCCAGCAAAAAGAATCCCAAAATCCGATGGACTATCCATCCAGGCGTAACGCAAAGTACCACAAGAACTCAAAATCAAGTAACCTAAGAAACCCAACCCTCCAACTTTCCAACCTCATCTGCAAAATCAAAGAAGCTGCTCCGTAAGATATATTCACTTATCTCCCATCTCTGTGTCTTTCGTACGATCAGGCAACTCAAAGCTGGGTGTCTTGCTGGCTCTCCGTGTACCCGCTCTAGACTCTGCAGCAGCCTTTTCCTTTTCTCTCTGATGGAATGTTTTACCCCGTGAAAGCGCGCTAGATGTTTTAGAAGCCTCTTCCTTTTTCTGTATCTCTTGAGCCTGTGTGAATTGGTCCCAGTACTCCCGTTCTTCAAACTCAGCTTTCTCGATAGCTTTATCGACTCTCTCCCACCCGGCCTGTCTCTGCGCCTTCTGTTCTTCTTCTTCTGCCTTTCTCTTGAGATCGGCCACGGAAAGCAAACTTGGCCGAGAAGAGAGTGGAGGAGTCGTGTCAGGGTCTTTCGCGTAGCCTAGCTCGCGAGTATTGATGTCTTCCTTTTGACCATCCTCGTCGAGGTTGGGGTCGTCGTCATGGAGAGCACTTCCGCCGATAAGTCTGCTGCGGTCACCCATAGTGAAAGAGCCGTTCCGTATCTGGGAAGGAATGAAGAGTGATCCGATGTGGATGATCGTGATGATCGGAAAAGAAGGATGTCAAGGCAAGATCGAGGTGTTGATATACATAACCCCCTCCAAAGGCAACATAGAAGACCCATCTGACCTCCTTGCGATTCGACCAGTACAGACCAAGTCTTGCTAGGAATCATAATGAAAGGACCTGGAAGCTCGAATGGCGAGTCCAGCAAATATTGATCAATGAAAAGCTTGAGATGAGATTTCAAAGCAGAAAAACGAAAGCCCACACAAAGTTAAAAAACGAGAACTTTGAAATCATATTCATTCAAAGATCAAACTATTTGTTCACCACCTTCTACCATATCCAAGCACCGCCTCTATGCCTCGCCTATGAACATCCTCACAAAACTCTCACGAACCACTCTTGCCCTTCTGATCTCCTCCCCTTTCACCTCCCTCCTCAGGTCCAGCACCCACGGATTCCTCACTGGAGCTAGATGAGTCGCTGGACACAGAACCAGATCTCGAGCTATCAGATGACGAGTCTCGCTCATGAGTAGAATAATCGATTTCTTGCGCATCATAGTCGAACTCCGAATCGCATCTTTGAGGATCTGGTTTGCTCATCTTGGCGGTTGCTGTAATTATTATTATGGGTGTTTCTGAGCTGTATTGTGTTGGTGTTTACTTTGGCCAGAAGAATGGGGATTGAAAAAATCCTTTTGTACTTCTGCTGGTGGTGAGATAAAGGCAAGAGCAGTTTCAGAATTTGAAGAGGGTCGTTTTGAGGTTTCATAGTGGAAGATGTGAGACAACAAGATACAGCAGGCATCCGGTCCGGACACATTGAAATCTTTCATGACTTGACCTTTCCGTTGCGTGTCTATAATACTTCGCTTTCGTTGCGTATCTGTGAAGTTAAGTGAATTATATTTATTATTTCCAACCTTTTCGTTACATGTCTACAAATTAAGTGAAAAGTGCTATTGACAATCCTATCACTATTCCTATGCAAAATATTACCAAATTATTTTGAAACATTAACCACAAACCTGCACTTCACCCCTCTAGCCGTTCGTTGCATGTCTACGGAAGTGAAAATAGGGGTCACACCGAATGAAGGTTCGTTGCACATCTACGAGCGCTAAAATACCAACGACATTGACTTAACTCCTTCTGGCCATTTCGTTGCGTATCTACGGAAATGAGAATAGGGGTTATACTGCCTTTGAAGGTTCGTTGCACATCTACGAAATTAGTTCAAAACATTAACGGAATTCACTCTACCCCTCCTGACCGTTTCGTTGCATGTCTACGCCGCTAAACTAGTGAGGGGTTATACTGCCTTTAGAGACCCGTTGCGCATCTACCAAATCAACTTCACATGCCAACGAGACGTACTTTCCTCCATCTGACCGTTGTTTCGTTGCGTATCTACAAAACTAAGTAAAACATGCTTACCACTTAGTGTCCCTTTGTACAGTACATCTCCAAAATGAACGTGAAATAAGTCACGAGAACTCTTTCTCCCCGTTTCGTTGCGTATCTACAGGAGAAGTGAAAATAGGGGCTATCCTCTTGAAAAATTCGTTGCACATCTACAAAACTAAGCGAAGTATAGTAGTCACCGCTTGCTGCCCCTTCATTGGACGTCTACGAAATTAGCTTAGAATATCAACGAGACGTACTTTCCTCCATCTGACCGTTTCGTTGGGTGTCTACGCCCTCGCTAAAGAAGTGAAAATAGGGGTTTACCGCTTCAAGATGTTTTGGTGGTGTCTAGACGTGTGTTGGTCAGGTGAGGCAAAGAGGCTTGCTTGTCCTAGAAAGTCGAGACGTCCTCCTATGCCCTCTCATTCTCAGCCATAAGTCTGGCAGCTTTTCTGGATGAAAATGTTTGCTTGTTCTTTTGTGGAAGTTTTCGCGTGTACTGTACGGAAAGGTTCAAGGCAAGTGGCAAAGACAACATCATAGGTTTGAAGATATCCATCTGAAATTCAGTTCCAGAGGCTCCGCTCTTTGAAGGCAGGCAGAAGAGTTATGAAATAGAGAGTATTGAGGATCTGAGTAGAATATATGGTGGTTTAATTTCTTCATGGAAGACTTTCCATGAGGAATAGTACACAAGGGACCAGAATAAACAAAACACCCTTAACCTTACCATCCTTATTACCCTCAAAACGAAACGTTGCAAAAAGAAAGCCCTTTGAAGAATCACCTTTTTTCTCTACCCAAAACCTTACCTTACACCTCCCTCCCCCACCACTCACTCCCCTACTCCCGACTCGTCATCCCCTCCTTCCCCGCCAACTCCGTCCTCTCCTTCACCGCACCTCCCATGCCCCCCTTCCTACTCTGCGCAACATTACTCGCATTCCCGACCTCCGGCTCGGCTGCATATTTCTTCAGATCCTCCATCCCAACAACATCCAACGCCCTCTCATGCGTAGCATGCAAATGCACCTTGGGCACCACATCCCCCTTCCCCACATCGCCCTTCCCCTCCCCCTCCTTCCCCCCTCCTTCTCCCTTTTCCTTAGCAAACAGCATAGCCTCCTTCCATCTCGAAGCGCAGAGACACCATTTACAGCCCGCGGTCAGCCCGACGCCGCGGAGGTCGTTGCCGCGCGAGGCGGTGAAGTCCAGGAAGGGGTCTGTTAGTGTTGCTTTGGGGGTTTTCGTGAGCTTCGAGAGGTAGAGAGGTGAGAGGGAAGGGGAGAGGGGAGAGGGGAGGAACAAGGAGAGGAGGGTGGAGTGAAAGGGAAAAGGAGGGGAGGAAAGGAGAAAGTACCAGCAACCGAATGATTCCCCGCATCTTCAGGCCCGACGTCGCAGAAGCCGGTGCGGTAGAAACCGGTCATGGGGTCTTTGCTGAAGAGACCGAGGGGTTTTTTCATTACTGTTTTTTTGTTTTTGGTTAGAGATGTCGTTGTTGGAGAAGAGCGGAGATTGGAGTTGGAGGGGTGAGGGGTACCATTGAGGGATTGGTGGGCTTTGCCTGCCATTTTTGAGGATTTGAGGAGATGAGGGAAAATGATGAAGATGAAGATGAAGATGAAGATGAAGATGAAGATGAAAAATGAGGGTTATAGATTCGAGAAAATTGTATGAGAGGCTTTGAAAGTTCTCAATTGTGTATACTAAAGAAAGTTTACAGTACCTGTGATTGATTATTGAGGTGTGCACTCGCACTAATCGATTGACCTCAGCATTAAGTTAGTTGATGGTGACGTCTAGACATCAACGGATCGACAGGGTCCCCGCAAATTCAACAACCACAGATCTAGATCGCGTTACTAGTCTACATAGCTCTCTCCTACTCATAAATATCTGCAAACCCAAAAATCCTTATGAAACAATGAAAATCAGTATCGTGAAATCAATAAAAGATATCTCATCGCCACAACATCAAGAAACACAAAAGAATCCACCTTCAAACCAACAATTAAACCCGCAAATCACATACAAAAGTCCGCACCTAGGTAAGCATGAATAAAAGAATCCATCGCTCGAAATCCGAGTCCTCGGATCCACCAAATCCAAGAAAAAAAAACACGAGAAAACACCCTTGCCCCGGTACCTGCTCTCGTACTCAAAATAGCACCCACGCATTTTCCAGCACTCTGGATCACTACTTTATTTTTGCAATGCGATCTGTGTTACAGACTTGAGTCCTGATCTTGAGATTGTGTTCCTCAAGGGAAGAGGAATGAATTATATATGGCAGCTGGCTGCAAGGCACCGACAATCAGGAATAGCGAACGAATGAATCCTTGCCTGACAGACATGCCCGTTTCGCATCAGCGCCCCGCATCGCATCGCACCGCGAAGAAGGAACGAAGGAAATTGTACCGTACCGTCTCATCTCATCTCATCTCACGTCGTCTCGTCTCTCATTTCTTCTCCTCTCCCTTTCTTACCTATACAGTATACAAAAGAATGAAAGATAGAACTCGAAGGTAACAGCGGAAGATCACCACCACTGGGCCAAAAGCCGCCAATCGATAGGTAGGTAGAGTACAGTACTTCGTAGATAATCAGGGACCCCAACTCCACTCCAGTCAGTCAGTCAGTCACTGCAGCTGCAGCAGCAGGGAACCCACGGGCCGAGGAGGATCAGGGGGTCAAGCAGACAACAGATGGGGGGATATTTTGCGTACCTGTTTCGCGTGCTTGCGTGCCTGTTTTTGGGGGTTTTGGGGTTTCGGTCGGTAGTTTCTTTTGGTGGTTGGTGGTGGATTGATGGATTTTTGTTGCAGGTAGGTAGGTAGGTAGGTAACGTGGGGTTGAAGGAGGGATAGCGCGATAGGTGTGAGGATTCTGTATGCTTGTACGAACAGAAAAAGGGTATTTGAGATTATGGAGAGTTGTTTGAGATGAATCAATCAATCAATCAATCAGGTGAGAGAGGGGTGAGTGAGATTTTGGGGAGCTGAATGAATGAGTGAGTGAATGACGCTGATGGTAACACCAAGATCAACCAATTTTCTGTCTTGTCGCTTTTTTGGAGGGGCGAAAAATGGTAGGCTGGGCTGAGTGAGATTACCTATCAGGATATTGGCTGTGGGAATTGCTAATAAGTTTGGCATTGAAAGCATGGAAATTTGCTTCGGATATGCAAACCTTCCTACAGTACTCATAGCGCGCTCCATCTTCAAGTCTCGTAGAGATTTAAGGTTATATCCATTGCGGAAAGGAAGGATCGGATAGAAAATGTCTTGTATCGGGCTGCATTGCGAATGGAGGCTTGATTGAAGAAAAAATTGCTTTGCGGTGGAATAGACGTCATTGGACGCTGCTGCGGCTTCCTGTCGTGCAATGTTATCCTGTACGATGGGGTCAGACGACGGGCCGAAAGAAAGATGACGCCGCTGATGGGTTTCCGTTCCCTTTGGTTGCCGCATTGCTGATTGATCTCGAACCGCATCCGAAGATTTTTTTTCGACAGCATGAGCGCTGAGTTGAGACTGTTGATGTTTCTATAAGATTACAGTTTGTCCGGGACCGGATATCCCAGGCCAGGATGGACGGTCCCGTTCCCGAACTCTCCTCAAAACTAGCATCACTCGTCAAGCGATATTTGTTGATGCGAATTGATTGAAGGTGGTTTGATCGGACGGTCAGTCGTCGAATATACTTTGGAGACCCGCTGCAAGCTGTGACACTGGGGCTTTCCTCAGTCAGGCGTTCGCGCTCCGCTCTGGGCGCGATGCACACATTTGAGGATTTGGTTGGCTGTGAATCAATGGAAGGGAATATATTGAAATAGTCAGTTACCCGCTGCCCCGTCCGCAGCCAGGCAAAGCGAATAAGAGCGTCGGTAGATATTGGGACAATATATCAAGCATAATCAAAGCCCTCCTTCCAAGTCTCTTTCATATACGCTTCGCATGTGCCGAGATCTAGAGTCGAAGGTCCAGAAAGGAAAGACGACGGAAGATGCTTTGCAGCAGTAGTGGGTATTATGGGCAGGGCATTTCGGTTCGGCGAGTCCATGAGGCTTGACTTGTGGCGTGGCTGCAGATACGGCTTACCACTTTTTCGCTGTCGATGGCTGCATCTGCGTCTTTTGGTAAACGCCCCAATTCTTGCCCCTCGATCCCTTTGCAGCCCCCTCTTCACTGCCCCTCCGACAATCAATACCCTTCGGTCCTTTCTTGAGGGGGTGGTGTGGTCGTGCAAAAAGAACTAGCAGATACTGTACGGTACATACAGAGTACCTAGACATTACTCGATTTCGGCGACCTCGTACATGGTTCGTGGTCAAGCAAGCGAGCGGTTGTGAGACTTGAGCTGCCTCTGCAGTTTGTTCATGCGGATCCGTGGTATTGGAACATGAATGCGGCGGCGTTACAGACGTGATGCGAATTCAGCGAGATTGGCTCATGATATAGCAGAAACAGATGAGCTTTCTGCTTGAGGGAGATTAGATGATCCGAGAGCAGGGTCGAGCGGATCTACCGTGAAGTGTCGCAAGGGAGTCGTCGGATCTTCAAGGTGGTTTCGAAACTTCCTCAAGTTTTCCCTGCGCAACGTCCATCCCACGATCTGGGGCCGGCGGATACAGCGCAAGACCAAGGAGAAAGAGGAGGGATGGGATCGGGATGGTGCCGTCCCTTAAGTCTCGTTGAACCACCTCGTTACTTACCGTCTTGGAGTCATGGACTCTTTTATGAGTGGTTCACTAGCCATGCCATGCTCCCATCCATTTCGGCGGGACCTAAGCTGTAGTGGGAGAGATGGCTTGGTGCTCGCTGAGATCGTCCTCGGGACCGCGTTTCGCCCTGATACGTGGGACAATGGCTTCACTTCGAGGCAGAAAAAGAAAAGATATCTTGCAGAAAAAAGCCGGGCGAGTAATGAGAGTAGAGCTCAAGGTGGGGGAGGTTGGACGAATGACCAGACGACAGCGATTCTTCAGCGGGATATTTTGATGTGACGACGAATCCTCTCACGTATACTTCCGAATGCAGAATAATGATCGCTCTGGACCGGACAGTTATCGTACATCTGATTTGTGCCTGAAACTCATCGTCGATCTCATCAATCTCAAATCTTGTATCTCGTCGTCTGGTTAATTGGAAAGTATGGGGTAGACATTCCGGACAGGTGATCCGTTTTCCATTCCTCGCAGATAAATAATGAGGGGATCGTTTCTCTGCTCGTCCCCGTCCCTCCTCTGGTGCGCGCTTGCATCTGGGCACTGTGCCTGAACCCCCCGGATAAATATCTCGTCAGGTACAAAAATATTGGACTAGGAGGGAGTAAAAGAAGGGACGAACCTGCATCTTGCTTTCTTCCGAGCACTTCTTTACCGTTTGTTAGCATCGAACAAAACTGTGCATGGAAGGCCTATCCGTATTGAGTAGTTGTATCAGAATGGATACTCCTCCGATGCCCTCTTCTTGACTCTCGATGGTCTATGAGCAGGCCTCATGTAGGTCGGACTGCTGCGTGTAATCAGATGCCCGAACGAGCGAACGGCCTACCGGCAAGCCAGCGTCCCCCGGAACAATGTGATTGATTGCTTAAGCATTGAAGCCCGATGAGTCCTTTGAGCGTGTTCGGTGACGAATGTCCGCGGTGACGGCCAGAGCCAATTCCAGTCATCCATCCATCCAGTCTCCCGCCTCGTCAATCAATGTGCTGTGTTTGTCAGTGTGCAGTGCAGATTGCCCAGCTCAGGATTATTCAGACATCGAACACCAGTGATGGTGTGTATGGGAATGCCCTGTCCTTTCTAGATCATCATACATCTGCAGGTGCCCGCCGCCACGCCTGTCTTTACGCCCGCTGCCAGACTGCATCCTCAGGACTGACAGCCCTTCCTCTTCCCCTTCCCCTTCCTCCCACCGCGAACTTTTGCTGTCGAACTGCAGTTACGGAATACCCTTACCGACGCCCGGAGCCAGTGGTGAATCCCTGCTGTGTTTCTCTCCCACGAGTCTCGTCTCTTGTCATCCCAGTTACCCACATCTTTTGACGAGTGACTGAACCAGTCGAGTCCCCATCCCCCAGCAGTACTGTACAGTAGTCCTACGGTAGACTCAGTCTTCGCCTCTTCTCGTCAGAGTGTGCCTGTGCCAGCCAGTCCAGTCAGTCCAGTCCCGCCTAGTCCCGTCCATTTCCATTGTCTGGCGGCGCGCAGACCGACCGTGGCATCCTGGGCCCTTCCACGCTTTCACCTCACGGTGGTGCCGGGTTCTTCTAAGCCACGCTACCCTCTCAGCCGAATCAGAACCCTCTGTCTCGCTGACGCCTTACCACTTTGGCTCTACGGCCTCCAAGCATCCCAGGGCCGTCAAGGGCCATCAAGGGCCACTCACTGCTGGGCCTCGCTAGTCAAATCCGTGCTGGCTGAGTCCTCTACGCCTCGCTCGACCTCTCAAACAAAGATCCCCTCTCCATGCCTTCAACTCGCTGCACTTGCACCACTCTCTTTTGCAGCTGACTGACCGATCATTCTCTATGAATCTTTCTCTGACGTGACTCCAAATTCCGTGCCAGCAGCGTCTCCCACTCTCTCCCAGCTTCGACTCTTCCATTTTTTTGTCACAAATGGAATCTGAGACCGCCTTTATGTCGAGATAGCATTGAACGTCACCCTGCGTCGTGACTTGGCAGCGAGCCAGAAGACCCGAGATCTTCCACGAACTCCACGAATATCTCGATCCTCTGGCAGATACAACCCTTCAATATGCCGTTACTCGTCGTTCCCGAGTCGGGCTTCACCTTGGAAAGCTCCCCAGGGGGTTCTTCCAAGGCTGGCTCTGTCGTACCGGATGTCTTCGGACTGACTCTGACTGACGGGATGATTGAGGAGATGATCAAGTGTGTGCAGAATGGAAAACCCATTCAATTGTCCTTGGGCGAGCATCCTGTAAGAGCAGACTTCAATTTGCGTGGTTTCGATGGGGTGGTTGTGGTGGTGGTCGGAAAATGGCCCGAAAGTGAAGTCGAAATCGAAATCGAATGCAACACATTCACCTTTAACACTATGGGAAAGCTTGCTACTAAAAAATTTCGCGCATACAAATTTGAAAAATTGCTAACTCGTCACAACAGTCTTTCTCCTACGGCACCAAAACCCAACATCTTGCCTCATCGCACGATCCATTCACATACGACCTCTATCAGAGTACCAATTCCTCCGACAGCGATTCCTCTGACAGCGAAATGGCGCCCTCCCACTTCATTCCGAAGAAGCCAGCACTGCTTGCCAATATGGGTCCGAGAAACCTGCTCTTCCCAAGCACAAGCAAGATCGCTGTTGTCAAACCTACCTACCGAACTGGAGTCCATCCCAAAACTTCAGGAACTGTAGCAGGCGGCGACCCGGCTCTTGCGCAACTGACAAATCATAATGCTGCCATCGAGTCGAACAAGCAGGCGAATACGTGAGTCTTTCGGCGCCTAGGAATACATTTGACTAACAATTGGCAGGGTTAAATTCATCAAGGATGGCAGTTTGGGTATGCCCGGCCGAAAAGGTGCTCCAGCTAAGGGTGCCACCAACAAGAACAAGTTCCTGTCCCAAAGCCGCCTTACTAGCGATGCGACACGTTCTATCCCTTCGAGCCCCTCCCTCAATGCTTCTGGTTCTCCATCCCTGGGCGCTACCTCCGTTCCGTTCTCTACACAACAGTTTGAGCAAGCCAAGGCTGCGCGGAAGCCAGTCATACACCTTCTGGCAGTTGAACCGATGACTGAGAAGGCTCTGCGCGAGAAACTCCCCAACATTACGAAAGAGGAACTCAAGCAAGTCCTGGAGAAAGTCGGTGATCGGGTCGAGTCGAACAACAGCAAGTGGGAGTTGAACAAGAAGTACTACAGAGAGTTGGATGTATGGAGCTTCGATTATGATCCGATCAGCGACCGCCAACGTGCCATTGATAATGCTGTCAGACAGTATGACAAGCTGAGAATCAATGCTTCCGAACCAGAGTGGGACCGTCTCTTGATCAAGGCAGAGCGCGGTACGGGAAAGTGTTTGAGCAAGCTTCAGGTTTCGATCGCACAAGGTACAGCTGGAAGAGCTCCCAAGATCAAAGTCCAGAAGGCGGACGGTTCTGATACACCCAATGGCGAGGAGGAGGATCTGTTTGGCGACAAGACTGTCTCAAAGGTCAAGGGCGAGAGTACGACCCGATCGACATCTCAACCACCGGCCACAAAGACAAAGAAGATTAGTGAGAAGGAAGCTCAAGCCAAGCGTCTTCTGTCTAAGAACCCCAGCAAAGCTGCTGCCAAAGCTGCGCCTAAGGCTGCACCTGCCAAGAAACAGGCTGCCGCACCCAAGGCTGGTACTAAGGTCCTCTCATCCGAGTTTGTCGAAGAGTCCGATGATGAGCTCCCCCCTCCAGCACCCAAGCCGAAGCCAAAGGCACCAATGAAGCGTCCCCGCGAAGAGGAGGAAGTTGAGACGAGCGATTCCAGCGTTCCCCTCAGCAAGAAAGCAAAGAAAGAGACCCCTGTCACCAACCACCGAGTTTCTGATGCAAGCCAAACATCCCGCACTACTACTAGCTCCACCTCATCCTACAACTCCGGCTACAATTCTACCAAGAATAAGAACACTTCCCCTCACAAATCCTCACCACTCGCATCATCCCCCCCTACCAACGCCTCCGAATTCGAGAACTCTTCCGGCGACCGTACCTCATCGTCCGCTTCTCCAGCTCACCCTTCCCTCAAGAACAGTCATTCCCCCATCCACAAGCGTCATCAAAAGTCCTCATCTGTTGCTTCCTCTGTCTCCTCCAGCGGATCGACACGCCTGAGACCTGAAGTCGCTGACCTGGCTCGGAAGTTCAAGATGTACTATCCCAAGTATGAGGTTTTGTACAAGGAGATCACAGCCATGGGAGCTAGCGGTCAACGAGATCATTCCAAGGAGAAGGATCTTTTGGAGATGCACGCCCGTTTGGAAGATATGAAGAAGTCGATTCAAGCTGGCATCATCAGCGAATCAGACAGCCAATAAGCCACCCGACCTTGGATGTTTCTCTACGACCAAATCACCCGATTGATTTAACGGCCTGAACGTCTGTCACATTACACATACGCATTATGACACTCACTCGTTCTTACTGGTGTTACATATTCCCCATATCGCAACGGCCCTTCGATCTTTTCCCAGCGGCGTTCTAGGATACGGATGTACTTTACTGTTTGTATAAGTCCCTTTTCACAAATTTTCATATTCAATTTCTTTCCTTGTCTGATGAAGCATTTTCTGCGAGGAGGGCGAAATAAATGGCTGGGTGGATTGCACTCGACACCACTTTTGTCACCAAAAATCTTGCTGGCATCAAAAAATGACTGGGTGGAACGTACAGCGAGACAGAAACATATAACGGTGATGGCGTTGATACCACAACATACCTGCACAGATGCGGGTTCTCATGCATGAGATAGCTACCTACCTAGTTACTCATGAAATGAATGAAAAGAATCAAAAATAAACCTGTGCCTTCCTTTTCGTGACTACTCTCTCGATATCATCTACCTACTCATGAAATGAAATTAACGTTTCTAGAAGTACCTATCCTTGATAATATCATGCTCTCGTGACACACTACCCCGCATTCCCAAGATATACATCCTCTCACATCCTTTCATTTATCCAGCACCACCACCACCATCACCACTGCTATTAAATAACCCTGATGAGCGAGCGAGGGAAAGACGGAGCGGGACGCGTGTTCCTTGCATGCTCCTGTATGTATGTATGTACCTAGGTATGTATGTAGGTTCGTTTGGCAGGGTATAGATGGGATGGGAAGGGGGATTTGAGCCTATGCCCCTGTCTTTCTGGTTGGGGTTGCTTCGGTGGATTTTTTTGGGGGGTTTGGTTTGTTGCGAGTATTTTAGGTTAACATAGGATTTTGAGATGGGATTTTGAGGGATTGGTGGGTGGTGGGAGAGGATGAGGGTGATGAGAATAGGATAGGAGAGCAGAGGATGGAGGAATGGTTTCATGATGGGGATTGGGGATTTGTTTGGGGTTTATTTAGGTAGGTGGGTGTGTGTGGCATTTGAATTTGGTTTTGGAAAGGATCGGGTTGTGCGTTTGAGAGTTGGGTAGATTGTAGTTCCTTTCCAACAGTTTCTGGCGCTTGGATAAGATACAGGGATTCTAGAATCGAGGTAGGTTTACTTATTCATTATTCGAAAAGGATCTTGGAGACTTCCTAAGACGAGCGAAGTGAGTCAAAGGTTAATACCGGTGACTGATGCTATCTTAGTGATTTTCTGGGGATCCTATCTGGTACGATTGTGTAGTTATGATCCGGAAACTGCTGTTCAACGAACCGTACGCTAGAATTTTGACCTTGGTCTTGAGGGCGTTCCTTGCACTCTTGGAGATAGGGCGAGATGTAGTTCTAAAAAAGATTTGTTTGTGGCTGTTTTTGAACGTCTGCGGTGGACATAATCAGTTCAGAATTTGTTGCTGTGTGAGATAGCTGATGTTCTGGATGTGTCTGGTGTGTAGCTGGCATCCGTTGTCGGCTCATGATGTTTCTTCGAGGAGGCTGAGATAAGTTTGAGAGAGAGAAGGAACTTGTTGCTGAACGCCTTGGAAGAAGATTTGTTATCTCTTCTAAATGTAGGGGCACAATGATTTTCACCTGACATTAGCCGTGACAGCAGAAGTAACATAACGTTACTCGGAGACTTCCTGATAGCGAGATCAATTTCAAAAGCATAATCCCTCAGTATATGTTCACAAAATCGAAGGACCCCAAATTGAAGGCAAAATTCAAGAATTGCATTCAAGATATCGAAAAGCATCGCTGTGGCTAGGGCCTATGCTCCCCTGTAGCTTTCCGAATTGTCATAGCACCGAGTATTCAGACCCATATCAACCACTAATTCGAAATTGTCCCAGCAAGAATTGCATGTTTTACCTTGCGCCATATGAAATCGAGAGCGAACGCTTATTGGGTCTTGAAGAGGAGGATTGCGCAGTGACCGAGGTAGAAGTAGATGAAGTGCTTGGTTTCGTGAGTGACAAATGAACCGAAGTTGCGGCCAACAATACAGTGCCAGGTTGGTCCTTTACGCTCGTCAAACTGTGCATTGAATTAGCTTGTGGGTTTGATACTGGAGGGTCACAGTTGAGTTGCATACGGTCTTCTTGATGTGCATGGCAATGTCCTGTTAAGTAGAATGTTAGCCATGAGCTGAGAACAAGGGACAAAGCCAGGAATCCTCGAAACTCACTTTCTCGATGCTATACTTTGACATAGCTTCTTGAGCTACATATTCAATCAGCTACTATGCAAAAATAATGCGCACACCTCCCGGGCCAGTTGTATGTGGTCCATCCGCTTGGCGCATCGTTCGCAGAGAGGTATAACCTACCGACTTCAATAGCCTCCATCTGCATCTCGTCGGACTGTCCGTTGTGTTAGTTGCATTGCGTCCTTCTGCAAACAATGCACGTCTAGAGTGCTCACCATATCCACAGACTTTACCTGTGCTGTAAGAAGCTGTCAGCGTCTGTATACAGGCGTAGGACAACGCGGTGTTGTGAAATCAGGATGAGTTTATACTCTACCTTGTAACGTACCGTCCAACTTCTCCTTTGCTTCTGTCTTGGTAGTCGCCATTGTGATTTAGATATGCGGTTCGCAGAATCTTGTTCTTGACAGCTATTTTGAGGTGTATCAATCTTCGTGCTGTGAGTCCTTGAGACGGGGCGAGGTGAGGCGAAATCGGCTGATGTTGTAGATACGTCAGTTAAGCTATTGTCTCCGTACTGTATTCTTGCTCGATGATCTGCGCAGAACGCTATTGTAGTTGTAGAAATCAATCTGAGTCTCAACTGACGATGATAAACTTTCGGTGACCGATTGATTCCCCTCCTGACCCTTAATAGCCTCCTCTTCTAGCACCGCCATGTTGTCTTACAAGGGTCGCATAGGCCGCTAAGCGCGCCCAGCCAGTGTGGCTGATCCTCGGTTCGGCTCGGTGGAACTATTTATCCTAGTGTGTAAATTTATTCTTGAGATGAAGTTGTACTTTTCCGAAAAGTTCAACAAATTCACACTTTTGGACAACGCAGTTTGTGTCGCATTGAGGTTCGATGTAACTATGGAGTCTTCACGGATATTTATCAAGGGACTGCCGCCCAATATTACAGAAGAGGAGTTTAAGAAGCACTTTGCCAAAACGTCTGCCCTCACCGATGCCAAATTGATCCCACATCGAAGAATTGGTTATATTGGCTACAAGACACCCGAGGATGCTTCCAAAGCGGTCAAATACTTCAATCGGTCCTTCATACGCATGTCAAAAATTGGGGTAGAGCTTGCTAGACCAGTAAGTACTTCAAATCCTATTCATGGCTTCTGCTGACTTTCCAATCAGATTTCCGATTCAACTCTCCCAGTATCACGGAAAGCACAACGAGAACATGATCGCGAGAATGCGAAGACTCATCGCAAGGATCAAGCTGAGGCCACACCTACCATTCTGACCACCGCCACAAAGAGGAAGCGCAGTGAGGCAGACGAATCCGACTCAAAATTGAAGGAGTTCTTGGAGGTAATGCAACCGGCATCAAAGTCCAAAACTTGGAAACCTCAGGAGGACGAAACATCAATGGAACCACCTACGAAAGTGCAAGCAGTCGAGTTACCAGAGGCAGAAAGCGATGGAGAATACGAAGCAGTGCCCAAGAAGGCTAGGAAACAGAGTCCTCCTCGACCCGTCGCTCAGCCAGATATTATTTCAGCACCTCCACCAGCTGCCAATGATCAGAACGATTTTGCGGTTATCGAACCAACTGCTCCAGATGCTACAGATGACGACTGGCTAAGAAGTCGTACGAACAGGTTATTGGACTTGATGGACCCCGAAGAAATCACGGGCCCCCACTCAGCACAGCCTGGTACTTCATCTCCAGATGTCGATGTCGAAATGACGGTAGATGTCCCAGACGAACCCATAGCGGAAGCAGAGATGGACCTAGAAGAACCAGAGCCTGCTGAAGATAAGCCAGATCCAACTGTCGAAGCAATCAGAGCCACTGGTAGGTTATTCGTAAGAAATCTGTCATACACCGCGACAGAAGATGATCTTCGAGAGCACTTCGCTGCTCATGGTACACTAGAAGAGGTATGGCTCCCATTTATGGTTCCTTATGTCCTACCCCGCTTTCGTGATGAATATACAGATAGGGACAGCTTATGCTTCAAGCATGTGATGTGAACTGTACGAACATTTTAGTAGATGCTTCGTGTTTTCTGAAAAGCGACAATGTTCTGTTCATGTATCGGACTCCTTTTGACTTGCGGAGACTGACAACCCTGACTAATAGGTCCACTTACCCGTTGACTCCTCTGGGAAAAGCAAAGGATTTGTTCTCGTGCAATATGCAGATCCAGACGTTGCTGCTGAAGCCTTTCATAATCTCGATGGTGAGCCGTTTCAAGGCAGACTCTTACACATACTTCCCGCGACAGCCAAACGTGAGAATAAACTCGACGAGTTTTCCATCGCGAAGCTGCCACTCAAGAAGCAAAAGCAGATTAAGAAGAAAGCTGAAGCATCCGCTACGACTTTCAACTGGAACTCTCTGTTCATGAATCAAGATGCTGTCAATGAAGCGGTCGCCCATCGCCTTGGCGTATCGAAATCTGAGATGCTGGATCCGACGTCCGCGGACTCTGGTGTCAAGCAGGCAATAGCTGAGACTTCCGCCATCCAGGAAACGAAGGGATACTTTGCGAAACATGGTATAGACCTTGACGCCTTCAAGAGACGTGAACGTGGTGACACGAGCATCCTTGTCAAGAACTTCCCATATGGTATGACTCTCGACGAACTAAGAAAAATGTTCGAGGACTTTGGTCAGGTGCTTCGAGTTCTAATGCCTCCAATTGGCACGATTGCGATTGTTGAATTCGCCCAGCCCACTCATGCGAGAGCAGCTTTCGGCAGCCTAGCCTATCGCCGCTTCAAAGACTCTGTACTCTTCCTAGAGAAGGGCCCCAAGGATCTGTTCACCACAGAAAGCAGTGGCGCTGTTATGATATCTGATGTGAAGGGAGGGGATTCTGGAGACAAGAAGCTCTCAACATCAGACCTTCTGGAGAGGGAGCATGCTGGAGAAATGATTGATACGTCGACTTTGTTCGTCCGCAATCTCAATTTTACTACTGCAAATGACCGCCTTACTGAAGTTTTCAAGCCCCTCGACGGCTTCATTTCAGCTCGAGTCAAGACAAAGACTGATCCAAAGAAGCCTGGCCAGATTCTCAGTATGGGTTTCGGCTTCCTTGAATTCAAGACTAAGGATCAAGCCCAAGCAGCTCTCAAAGCCATGGATGGGTATGTCTTGGATGGACATAAGCTGTCAATTAAAGCGTCACACAAGGGACTTGACGCTGCGGAGGAGCGTAGGAGGGAAGACAATGCTAAGAAATCGGCTGGGAAACGAACCAAGATCATCATCAAAAATCTGCCATTTCAAGCCACCAAAAAGGATGTCCGAGCTCTCTTTGGTGCGTATGGTCAGCTCCGTTCGGTTCGTGTACCTCAAAAGTTCGACCATACTACTCGTGGCTTTGCTTTCGCAAATTTCATTACGTCCCGGGAAGCGGAGAATGCACTAGAGGCTCTGAAAGACACACATCTTCTCGGCCGTCGCCTCGTCCTAGAGTTTGCCGCAGAGGATGCCGTGGATGCCGAAGAAGAGATCGCGAAAATGGAAGAGAAGGTTGGCTCGCAAGTAAACAAAGTTGCAATCCACAAACTCACGGGTGGAGGTCGCAAGAAATTCAATATTGGGGACGATGGAGAGGCAGGCGAGGATTAAGGTATTTGTCGATAATGTTTTCTTTCCCAAAGGGGGCAATTCTCGTCTATGTGCCGATTTGGCTGGCGAATTCGTCCCCCTTGCTGCCTATACCCCAAATCTCATTCGATGATACCCCTACGAACATAAGATTTCAATACCCCTCCTTTGCAAAGTGCGATCTGTGTTGGCCAAAATATTGCCAGGCATTGATGGCCAATGTCTCGATATTCTTGAGCACGTTGGACAGTAAGTGAAGGGCGTCACGCGACCTATGCTAGCATTTGCGTTTCTGATCGAGCTCCCCAGAATTTCAATTTCAATTCATTGCTCTGCCAGATTGATGACATTCCGCCCTCCGTATATTCCCACGTGGATGTCGCACACCTACGGAAGTTTTGCAGCATGCCACATACCCTCCGAAGATGAAGACATTCCTGCTGTCACCGCAGAAACCATCTCCGAAAACAAAGATCCTCCCCACACCAGAATATCCTTGCATCAAGGGATCGGAACTTGACCAGTCCTGCTTCGGGGATTTCCTGTTGCCTCTGATCTCTTTGGCTCTAGTGAAAACAACTGGGGTCTTTCCTGAGAGTAAGTACACTTCTGGGCTCTCTATCAGTCTGGATGATCCAATCCCGCTGTACGCCACCTACTGCCCCCACCGTTTCCTGGTCCAGTTTGTAATGAGTAGAGGCATCTCGTCCTTCTTTATAAGCTTGGATCTGCTCTTTCCATTCTCGAGTCAGATGTTAGCATTCTCTTCTCTCTCTGCAATCACCAGCCCTTTTGCTACCATTCCTCCAAACATTTCTTAACGCAATCCTTTGTCTTTTGACCAACAGAAAGCATTTGCTCGCTGATGTGAAGCCTCGATTCCGAGGGGAAGCATTCTTAGGCCTCTGCTAGACAACCGATGGAACTTCGCCGACATATCTTGCCATCTAATTACCCATCTCAAGACATTTCACTGGACGACTCTTCCTCGAGGGATAGACAACCTCTCGCGGATTCAGCTGGCAACGCCCAGCTTCACACTCTGGCTTCCATAGGTCTAAATCATGATAGCAAAGGATTTCTTCCTCGCTTGGACAGGCCCTTGTATGCTATTCCCACAGTGCCATCACAACCTGCACGACTGCCAATAGGAAATACTCTTGAACTTCGTCGCCAGCACACACGAAGACGACGCCATATGAGGTACAGCAGGAATCCCATTGTGGACTCCCCGCAATACCAAGCGTATCGTGCTCGACAGAATCGGGATGGTAATGCTGACGACCTCAAATGGCCTGCGATCTTAGAACTTGCTTTCCTTGATGGTGTGCACTCTTTCGCGAATACTCCTACTCTGCTTACCGTCTTGCAGCTCTAGTGGAAATCCCTCCCATGGGTCGGCGGAAATTTTCTTACCAAGGCAAGCCGCATGGTCGTAATGAGTTGATCAAAGAGTATCTCTGGATAGCCTATGTTCAAAGTGTACCTCCTGGGACTCGCCCAGACGAGGGGATGAGGCGGAGCCGAAAACAAGTCTCCAGTCACATTCAAGTTCTCAAAGGCTTCCTGAAGGAACATCCTGCATGTGAGTATCTCATCCTGGCTCTTAAGAGATCTCATTGACATGACGCAGTTCATCGTTTATTTCCACCAAAGCACGGCCCTAGGAATGGGTTTGAAGATTCTTTCAAGAACGATCCATGCCTGAAAGCTCTCTCCGAGGGCCGCTTGCCAAACAAAAGCTATGACCAGTACGATAATATAAATCACCTCATTGCAAGCAGTCACGAACCAGTTCGACCCGTTGAATTCTGGCTCTTGATGTCTTCTATACTTAATTTCCGTGCAGGGGATATGAACAATGAAGCAGCAGTAGCACACAAGTTTACCAACATCGGTGCACAGAAACATCGAGACAAGCTAGAGTCTGTCTTAGGTTGGCGCCAAAAGTTTCCTCAACTATATCAACTTGATTCCATTGGCGAACTTAACTGCGACATTATCCATATGGATGCCACCCTTAGTCTCCTGGCTACTGAGCCTCCACCAGGATCTGAACTCGTCAGTCAATCTATTCTGTCCATTCTAGGCAGACAACCAGATCATTGCGCTTGGCGAATGGTCACGACTTTACACAAACCACCCGAACTATATCGCGATCCACTGACAGACGAACGACTCGAGAACGAAGCTTCTTCCGTAGATGTTATATCAAAAACAGATGTGGAGACCAGAATCAAAGCATCTTTCCCAATCTTCCATTGGGCGCACGCTTTCAGCTGCTTGGTCGGAATTCAAGCCCAATACGATGAACACCAGAGGAGTTTACAATCATATGGGACAAGTTCAGAACCCTCATCCAGGCCAGCTCGCGAATATGTGGAGCAGGTATCAATGTATCAAGAAGTACAAAATGCTGCAGGTCCAGGCATGCCATTCATACGACGAGCAGTTATCATTTGGACATTTCATCAGGCAAGAGAAGGGGAAGGCAATGGTACAAACTGGCGATATCTCGATCCTCCGCCTTGCCGAAGGATGTGTATGTCTCCATCACCTCATCCGTCTCATCATGTATCTTCTGCCATGAACGAAAACTTCAATTCTTGGGCCGATGGGCCATTGCATCTTCAGCAGTCTATGCTGGATCCATTTGTACAGGGTCTCGCAACCCCGCCACACACAGCTGGTCTACAGCCACCCTTTGGTGCATCTCCGTATCCATTCTCGGGCTCCAGTTATGACATTCCGGTCGAGAATCTGAGCTTTGGCTCAACATCGACTGTTGACAGTGAGAATACACTAGTTGACCCGGATGCATCATCGAATATCGACCATTTCCTCTCCAATGTCAACATGGCAGATTACAGCCAGGACGCAAGCACCTGGCAACTACCAACCACCGAAAACTTCGACGCCGACCCAGCTTGGGCGAACTATACAGTGCCTTCTAGCACGCCAGCTGGTGGCTGGGATGAGGCAAAAAATGCACCCTGGCCAGATCTTCCTGACACGAAGCACATGAATCGGACGGATGATGCGAGCTCGAAGCACGATTGGACCGAGCCAGGTAGTCCAAGCAAGCACATGAGCTACATCGAGCAGAACATCGAACAGAAACTCTTACCATGGATCGAAGGTCATCGAAATGGCGACACAGAAACCACTGAGCCCGTTCTGCAAGACCTCATCACGGAGCCGCTTCAAGAAGTAGACATCAACGCCGCGACGCAGACACCCAAACCTACCACCGAAGAATGGATTGACCCCGACGATGAGTTTGATTATGCGGGATTAGTAGAGAGGCTGAAGTGAATCTGTTTGGCGTAGTCGGACTTTTTTTGGACATTCCAGGTTAGGACTACGAGAAAAAAATGTTTGATGGGGTTTTGGATAAGATACTCTAGTGAGCATTTCAATTCTGCTTCTGTGTTTTTTTGATTTATATTACAGTCCTTACTATAGCTATAATTACCCTCCTTTACGACGCTACGAGCAAAAGCTGATTATTATCTGCATCCCGCACTTCATTGAGTTGCAGTCACGTGAACTCGATGTTGGGATACTTCTTGGACATTTTGCTGCCCTTGATAATTCAACTTCAAGACCGATAACAGAAGCTCCTGGAGGGATCCTGAGTCTTGTTCCGTGTCAATTTCGAGATCCGAACCTTGACTCCTTGTTTTGTCCTGTTGCGAGTGCAATATATTTACCCCTTTCCTTCCTCGCCAAGGGAGATGCGCTAGCCCCTTTCGTCCTTACCTACAATATTATCTTGCCCTTGGCCATCAAATTTATCACAGCCTCTTTCGAAAACACAGGTTGAATGTCATTATGATTTTACCTTTCCTGGGTAGCAATATGCTTCAGGAAGGGACCGTTTGCGCATCTCCTGTGGCTGGGTAGTCCAAGTCACATGATCGTGGAGAATCCTGGATCAAGGCGCATCTGTGAGACGTGAGTTCTGCGATCGCTGACGATAACAATGTTCTCAGACACTTCTATACTTTGGTTGTCTCTCAATGATTCAGCGTACCGTGTCGACACTGCCTCTGCCGTGGTCCATTGTTGTTTTTACCTCCTAGTTTCATCATTTCTGGACGGGACTTGAGATTCAAACAGACAAAGATTTTCCAGGTTCTACAACCATCGCTGTAACGTTTGGGCGTATCGACCACACGATGGTACGAGCACGCCTTTGTCACGATCTGTCTGTCCTCCTAGTCTAAGTCTTCCTTCAAGGCAAGACACAGATGTACCGTACTTTGAGACTGTTGTTCGAAGATCCCTTCGTACGTGTTGGGCCTGTAACACTCAAGATCTTTTTGTTATTAATCGAAACAGGAGAATGTCTGTATCGGGGACATTATATAACAGAGCGTACATCATCATGACTTGGACAGAGAATAGCGACAGAGAATAGCAGCAGAGCATCGATCCTCCATCACTTTTCAACCCAACTTAACCTCCCCATTTCCTCCCACCCCCAAATCACAACATCCATTATCAGAATCATGTCAACTTGCTATTACAGAGCTCATAGGATCCTTACCAGGTCTAGCACAACAACCTGGAAGCCCTTCGCTCATCACCTTGGCGAAGTTGAGCGTAAATTTCTCGATAACATTACAGACATTGACGAGGACCAAATCAACCAATTTCGCAACTCAGGACTTTCCAATTTAACCACCCAGTGCAATTCTATGGACCCAGAAAGCTATCAAGTCTTTCATCGATACTTCAACGTCTTCAACAGAATGTTCTTCTTCCACTCTTTCAACAGAAGAAACTGCACTATTCGAATGATCCACAGAGATGGCGACGATAGCATGGAATGGGAAGCTAACAAAGACTCTCTCGAAGAAGTCTATGGACACACACTGAGAGAACCATACGGCAGACCACATCGAGAAATTGTCCACTGCCCGATTACTATCTTCCAGAGACCCTGGGACACCCCTGAGTCTCGCCTTAAGAGCTACATCGAGACTCTACTCCACGAAATGGTTGACGCTTTTATCGTAACTTACACGTGTGGCTGCGAAATTTGCCAGGAGCTTTTTGCACAAGAATATGGTCAGAGAGGCCACGGAGAGACTTGGCATGCTATGGCGACAGCTCTGGAGGAGACTGTGACTGACAGGCTTGGAATAGATGTTTCACTCGGAATCCCAGCAGCGATGAGCGATGAGTGGTATAGAACTAATGCGGATCTTGATGGTGTAGATCTCCGACGCCTGGACCGAAGCAGTATAGAGAAGTTGATTGAACAGTGCTGGTTCTACAACGGAGATCCGAGTGGCGAGAATGATGATGATAACGATGATAACGAGGAATCGGATGCAAGTGAAGATTCTTCTGAGGAGGAGTATATTTACGACTGAATGAAATATGGATGAAAGCTGGGGAGATTTGGCGCTGGCACCCAACGGTCGTATCTATCGCAAGAATTGTAAAACAAGATGCTATTATTTTAGAGCTCGTAAGACCATGTATGCCTTCCAGATAGTTCATAGAATGATTGTATCATCTGCGTTTTATCCAAATTCCTGCGAGGCCGGCGGCAAGAGCATCTTTTTCCCAAAGAAGAAGTAACTTTTGGAGTTTAATAGCGATAGTCTTCGAGGTAGGAATCGGAAGATCGGGTACTCGTATGGTATTTTGCCATGTTGGCAGCGAAATGGCCTTCGAAGCAGGATTTGGAAGAATGAGCACTGCTAGAACATATTAGACAGACAAGTGATATTCGCGGAATCGGACACGTACCTTTCGAAAGTACAAGGTAAAGAACAGTCTCTCAAATAGCTGTCCAATGGCGTCTCTAGTGTTGAATAGGACCGACTTCCACAGGATCCAAAAGATAGATTTCATGTTGGATGCTATTCAGTGGAAAACTGGCTGGTAGAGAACGGGTTCTCGGATGCCTTCGATTAGCTAGCTGGGATCGACTTTCACAGAGCAACAAAGACGGAGCCAACGTTAAGGATTTTGTAGAGAAGAAGATGTAGAATGTCCGTCAAAGCAAATCAAAAATTTTGGGGGAAAATTACGGCCTGACAATATACCTCCTATAAAGTGACCGGGGCGCCCCCGTCACCCCACGAACCTGCCTTTTTCAAAATTACACCTACCTTAACGTTCAACAAATTCCATCACTCCAATTTCTTTCATCAACAACATCAAACTACCACTATCACCACACCTCTTCCATCAAGTATGTTGTTATTTGTTCCTGGTACGCATCTTTAGCTCCCTAAAGCTCTGGCTGTAGGCAGCTGATGATTTATCTGTAGCAGGCAATCTTCTACTATTCGAGTCTTCGACTGCGACGCCTCCAATCTCTTGCTCCTCCAGCGCCTTCTTTCCATTTGGAAGCTTTCGCTTCAACGAGGTCAGTACATCCTTGCCTTCTCGGCTCCAAGGTCAATGCGCCTCCTGCTTGTCGACAAGAAAGCATGGTTGCGCGTCTATGAGCCAAAGGATGAGACCTTTCGAGTCTCGATACAATTCTGACACCAATAAGCAGGGTAACTTCATTCCTCGAGAACCAGTAGACGGCTCTAATACTGATAGTAATTGCGAGGTTTCCGACGATTCTGAAAGCACTATAGATGCTCCCTATCCACAGGGAAATCGTCGCCTTTGGTGGTAAGATAAACATCCTCTTTTAGCCTTCCACTCTAGACAGATCAATGGAGAGTCCTCGATCTGTTCTTCATATTGACTAAGAACTCTGCTAACAACACGGTCATCGCAGAGAACCCTCTCTTCCCGGCCCCTCCATGGGAGCAAACATGGTACATAGTCAATGCAGCATCTTGCAACCATGCGGAAAAGAAGAAGGCACCAACGCGCAACATAATACTTCTTAATGAAGTATCCTGCAACCACCCGGAAAGGAAGAGACCGAGGGCCTGCTCCCTCTCCCACCGAAGGGAGTTCGTTCCCTCGTTCTTCTCCGTCTCCAATTCCGTCCACAGCTTCTGGACCCTCACGACGAGGCCGTCCGCCAGGACGAGGACACCCCATCAAGCCATTTAAGCTAGCCATAGAAGTACACTCCTCGCCTGTTACGAAGCACCGAGGCCGAGCGCCTCACGAGCGGCATCTCTGATTAACATCGGACGAAAGAAAGACGGAGTAAATTCCACGATCTAGCATTCAGAAGTGCGCTGAGCAACAAGGTGAACATTGTTGAAGACGATTGAAGTCAGCATGAACAACCAGCAAGCTCGTGCTCGACAACAGGAAGCTCGTCCACGTCCACGGCAAAGACCAGCACCTGGTACAGATATTGTAGCTTGGTTGATAGGTACTTGCAGCTAAGAGAAACATCCAGAAGTTCAAAGCTAACCTGGAGCTAGCCAAGGCACTTGCCAAGAAATTTCGGCCAATGACATACAAGGAAGACCACGAGACGGGGTGTCGTACCGCCAGCGAGGCGAGACGAGTGTGGGAGGGGTTGGGAATCCTGCTCCTGTAATTGCTCCAGTGGGTCCCAACCCCAAAACCCCAACCACAAGTGAGTATCTAAGCTCCAGAGAGTAAGCGGCCTTAGAGAACCATTAGAAAAGCTCTTATACTGACGTCTCCAAACCAGCGTAGTTCTGATCTCTCAACATCATGGTCCCCCGGACCACCACATCCTCCTTATGCTTTCTATCATGCCCCCGCTATACCCCCACAGTGGATCTCACCTTCACATAACATTCGGATACCCATTCTTCCATTCCTCTACAAAACAAAGCTCCGAGCCATATCGCCCGTGTCTCACAGGCAGCTCCGGTTCTCTTTCACCAGACAGAAGTTAGGAAGGCATTGATTGGAAACCGTCCTAAGTCACTGGACTCACCATTCCTGGCGAATGAGGCTACCGAGGTCATCTTGACCTAAGGGCCTGCTTGACATGAATCTGCAGCCAAGGCGATCCTCGCCAAATCTATTGTAGCCTAGTGAAGATTGTTCAAGGAGCTTCGGGTGCCGTTTACACGGGTCATGAGAAGGATAACTCGCCACTTGTTACTATCAAGCAGATGAACCTCGAGCAGCGGCCTAAAGAAAAAAATGATTGTAAACGAGATCATGGTGATGAAAGGAGCTCTGCTCTTTCTTTGATAGGATGGAGTGGCATCAGCCTTTAAGAAGTTCCTGCAATTTGACATCATTGCCCAAAGAGTAGCAGAACAAAACGGTGGCTCTCTCAATAGGAGCCTTTGGCTCGCAAAGAGCTATGTCAGAGCCACTTGGGAGGAACTACTCTCACAAGCCTCATGATCTCCTATAGCAATTCTGGTGAAGTAGACTTTCCAAACAGTGAGTGAACTTTGAAGTAACGAATCAAAATACAATCTAACAAAACAAAGGACGGAGCAGAAAACGAAAAGCGGCCTGTTACCAAGAACTACAGAGGCCAAGCAGTTCTGCGCTGAAGGTCACCTAGCTTAAAACCTGACACCCAAGGGACGGCGTGGAAGTCACCCTCGGGTAACTACCCGACGATATAGTGAGTGATATTGGTGAAATCTTGAGAGACAAAGGTGTGAATCCAACTCTTGATTCTGATATTTCAGGAAAGAGGCTAACTCTGAGAACAGGCTATGGCCAAGAACCCAGAGTAACTACCCGACGATATAGTACTTGCTATTAGTGAAATTTTGAGAGACAAAAGTGTGAGTCCAACTGTTGAATATAACAGATCGGGAAGGGGGCTAAGTTTGAGAACAGTCTGTGGCCAGGAAACCGTGTAAATTTCGAACGGAACTGCAAGAACTCCACGAACCACCAAGACAATACACGGACGCACCTTTACTTTGTGGAGGACAATGACGAGCATACCATCCACCTTCAGAATCCACAAGACACAAGAAGAGACCAGTGAAAACTCAGAGCGACAGTGAAAGTTTGTCTGTAGCTTTCACTGTCTCTGAGCAGTCGACACATCTACCAGACTACATCGAAACTGACTTTGACAACTTCCCAGTCCCAAGAAGTTTCGAAACGAAGCAGTGAAAGTCCAGAAGGCTGCATACTATGACAACTTACCCGAAGACCAGCCTGAACCTCGCAGCGTGCTTCAAGTCTGCGCTGATAAGCGCCAGCAACTCTGTATGACACCCCCAGCCTACAGCGCATATCAGTCTGGAGCTTATACACTTGGCGACATACCCGATGGCTATCATCTCGGTGCTGGAGTGAAAGGAACCAAGAAAATGCATATTCATACAGCTTCAATCTCACTACCGAAAATGATGTTGGCCTGAAGATGATCGAGTGCAGCTAGTGCTTGAGTTGTTCGAGATCCTGCTACAGAGTCTGGAACATCGATTATTCTCAAGTAGATGAAGCTGATGCATGAGGGCGAGCGACTACTCTCACGACGAGAGAGAGAGAGAGTCGTTCAAGGAGATCATCTTGGTCGCTGTTCTATTTTTCGGAAGTCGCCCATCGAGTCACAAGGTCAAGCATGATGAAGCGACCTGCTAACTTCTTTGCTTTCCTTAAGTACCTGGGAACTCATCACTCATGAGGTCTCTGTGAGCGCTCATCTTCCTACAAGTCATGAAACCAGTTTCGAAAATCTCCTTGATGCGATGAACGGACATACTTGAGAAGGAGAAAGCAGAACCAAGAAGCACGGGGAGCCATCATTACGAGGCGACATGCTGAGAGGCAAGATGTTCTTCAAACACAACTTAAATGTGGAGTTGGAACAAAGTTTAGGGTAGGTCAACTTCTCCCCGCTGTGGAGCTTAGAACTGACAGCTCTACAGGATGACCTCAAAGAAACAACTTAGAGGCCTGCGGCGATCATGACTATACCATGCTCAGGCGACCTGGAGTGGAAGCCATCCCCCCCTGCGAAATGTTGAGAGCGCACCGGACCCGACAAAATTTCCGTGACTGCACCAGCATATGTGGTGATTTCTCGTCCAGTCGAAAATCCCAAAGACAAGACCTGCTAGAAGTGCGGCCAACCTGGCCATATCCCCCGTGGGTGCAATACCCCACTCTGTTGGTGGTGGTGAATCCGGTCAAGAGTGCTAGGAGGTGTGTGTGATTCATACAACGATGGCGACCAAAATTCTCAGCTGAGAAGTTCTGATTCCTCGACACGTCCAGTGAAAGGCATGCGGCTCCTCAGAAGGAAAGACTTGGCTGAGGCTGTGCAACATATAACAATATCCACACGCTCGCAAGAATGGCTGGAAGGAATGAGTGCAAGGGACTGTAAGCCAGCTGAGCCCTCTACTCAATGACAGCGGCTAATCATCCTAGGCAAGGCATGAGTATCTGTTGCCGTGAAGAATCCACATCCAAGCACCGGAACATAGTCCGACTTCCCTTTCGCGGGACGGTGCACTGTTTCGAGAACGGCACTAATATACTGTTCTCAGAGACGACGAGACAGCCAACCGTATGCAAGAAGCCTCAGCTCTCTTCAACTCGATTTCGGTTCATCAGACCTTCTCTATCATCCTATTCCTCAACAAGATCGATCGCTTCCTGGGAACTTTGTCGTTGTTGGCGTCTGTATACCAGCAAGGAAAGAGAGTGGGGGGCGCAGAAAAGTCCTTCTGAAAGCAAGGAGGGCATCGGTATGTGTAGATATATCGTAACAATAAACTCTTCTCCACCTTCGAAGCCTCATCCTCGTGTGATCACATCTCTCATCATTGCCTTGCGCCGCGACATAGTAGAGAAAAACCTTCTCCGCGGGGCACGAATAATCAGAAGAGCCTGCTATCCAACTCGGATTCTGCATAGCTCGAACAAGTACTGCCTATACAGCACTCAAGTCTCAAGTCATATAACTTCTTTGTCTCAAAGCCAAGTCGTTGTATGTCTATGCACGTTCGCGAGATTTGCTTCGAATGTTGTATTTATACCTTTAACCGTCCGTGCGTGCGTACCGCTTTACCTAATAGCGTAGTCTTTTTTGACAAATGCAGTAAAGGTCCACGTGATGATGGTTGCTGGACAGCTTTAGGGTAGAAGTCACAGGGGTCTTTGTCGACTTTGAAATAGTTTACTTCTCTTTTACTCAGATCAATGGAGTGTAGTGAGTAAGTGAGGTCTCCTGGATTTGAGGTGAGATGAAAATATGTAAAGGCAATCCAATATGAACTTGAACTTCCGATTCGATGACGCCCTGCCTACCTATGTTATGAGACTGAGATGAAGAGAGGAGACGCGGATGACACGGGGAAAATCCCCCAGTAAAGACAGAAAAAGCAAGGACTTCGAATGAAAGACCTCAATCGATCCTCTAAACAAAATATCAAGAATAGCAACCGAAAACCCTCCCCCGAATTCCAATTCCAATCCAATAATCAAAGCTTAGCATCCCCCTTAATAACATCCTTCAACAACCCCAACGCCTCCACTGCAAACTGCACCATATTCGCCTCCCTATCGCCTCCTAGCCCTGTACTCAGTTCTCGTTCAAAGACCCCCCTTTCTGTAGCTACTGCTAGGGCTACATATCCCCTATGCCATCCATCCATGTTAGCCCCATCTTTTTTTCTACTTCCCCTCTACCTCTACCAGTACCTCTCCCATCTCCCTACCCCGAGAAAAAGAAAAAGAAAAAGAAAGACTCACGGAGTCCGGTTAGCCGTCTTCCCACCCGTCGGTCCCGCCGTCCCGCTCTCGCACACCGTATACGTCGACCCCAATTTCGCCCTTACATTGCGCGCTAGACCTGCTACGACATCGGTCGTGGGCCCGGCGTAGGAGGTGATGTTTTCTTGGGTCCAGCCCGCTTGTTTTTGTTAGCCACATGTATAAGGAAAACAAGGGGGGGGCAGGGAGGGAGACATACCGAACGCGATGCGAGATTCTAGGGTGTAGAGCTAGTTTGCCTTAGTCAAGGAAGAATGAAGGAAGGAAGAAGGAAGGAAGGAAGAAGGAAGGAAGGAAGGGAAAAGGGAAGGAAAGGGAGGGGAAATGGACACATACAGTCAAACCACCCTTATAAAATCCACTAGCGCCAGGTGTGCTGAGGAGGGAGGCGGATATTATACCTCCGGCCGCCTATGCACGTTAACATCAACTTCTAGATCTAGATCTACCCGCAAAGAAACGATACAAAGGAGGTCCGTGTAAATGCGGATAGAAAGAAGGGAGCAGGAAAGGGAACACACTGTCTCAGCCACACTAACGGTTTCCTTCCGCTCTTTCAACAGACTCGCTACATCTTCGACTACGGCTCTGATTTTTTCGGGCGGGAAGATTTTCGTTGGAGATGCCATTTTAATGAAGAGTGAGTTGCTTGAGGACTCGTAGTCTTGATCCTATATCTGATGGAGAAATTTCTTCTTCTTGTTGTGGTGATAGTAGGCAGGTAGGTAGCTATTATGTCGGGAAGCGTGGAAGTGAAGTGAAGTGACATCAATCAATGTGATTTCCAATCGCGGGGTCGATTGCGGCGGGAAGTGGGGCTGTTTAGCGGCGGGGTGACGCTTTAGTGAGGGGTTTGCGGCGGAATTCCATTTTGCTTGGTATGATGTGGAGTTTGGATGTCAGTCTTTGAAATCAGATGGATGGAGAAATTATAAAGATTGGGATTTTGGGTATGGAAAGTTTGCCGGGAAGTGGATATCGAAGAAGGAAATCATGTGGGGAAGAATGTAGATTGCTATTGAGAATGCTGCTATACAGATGATTTGATGTTTGGCATGCGCCTCTCCAAGTTGGCGCTTGAGCACACATGATTCCGTCTCTTGTTGCGATCTCAAAGGCCACGGGAAGCAACAACCTGATGCTTTGCCAATCGTTGAAGACTCTTTCATGGCCAGAACGCCAGCTCCCGTAACTTCCCGTCACAATGAGTCAAATTCTGATTAAAGTGTCACCTCTTCTCCTTCCTCAGAAGTCATTCGCATCGGTCTCGTGGAAGTCCAGGCCACGTTGGATTCGAGACAAACCTTGATGTGGATGTTCATTATGATGGGCTCACGACACTTGCCATTGCCTCCTCTGTACTGGGGACGCGAACGAGGTGATCGACCACGATACGATTCAGTGACCGATCGATACGGCAGACCATCAGACTTCTACGTCGGCTTCGAGGATCTTTCCATCGACGCTCGAGGACATACTAGCGACGTGCGTGTAGTGGATGTCCGTACCATCGATCCTCGATATCTCGATACGCGCACTAGTCCTTCAGGCCGTGGCTACCAAGGACATCTCGAATCGAACTTCCCAAATCATCGTGATCGCGAACCAAGACTTCGTTCCGCAATGTCGAGCCGAAAGAGTTCCGTCTCGTTTGGTAGGGGTATGAAGAAGTTGTCTCGAGTTCTAACCAAGTCCGAGGAATACTTCAGCCAGTTCATAGGCGACTTCGACCAAGACATGAACTCTACTGAAAAGTATGCCACTCTGGAGATCCAAGAGCAGTTGTGGCGTTTGAAGGTGGCTGGCAAGAGAGACAAGAGGACGATCAAGGATGATCAAAATCACCAGGAGGAGGATGGAGAGAAACCCAAGAAGAAGTTTGAAGAGAAGAGAAAGGACCTCATTCATGCTCTTCAACTCGCATTGACTGTACGTCTTGATGAAGACCGAGACACCTCCAAGGCCAAAGCTCGTATCGAAACTGCCAACCGACTCCAAGACAAGATTCGTGTAGCCAACGACCAAATATCAGAGTTGTTGGACAAGTCGACCAAGGATCGTGATCATTGTGGTGCTCTCCTCAATGAGATTCGACTGTTGAAGAATTTGATTGATCCTGAGATGGACGGTAACAAGGACCTCTTCAAGGTTACCGATGGTGAGCCGGATGGAGCAAGTGATGCTGAGGAGGAGGGTCGTGGTAGTGGTAGAGAGGCTTGGGAGAACTGAAATTGAACAGGAGAAGATTGTGAGGCTGGGGGGAAGATTGCGATATGCGATGAGGCGCTGATTTAGATCGAGAGATGAATGTATCGCTTTCAAAGCCTTCGTATGAGCAGCGCATTCGAAGATCTTGACCTTGAGTAAATACGCATTTATTAGTAGTATCCCTTCTTTCGTGCGAGCAGAACCATCTTACCTAAAAGAAAAAATGGGTGAAGCGTCGTCCTCAACAGAGTAATCGGAATCGAATTGTACCCATCTCCCAGTCACCGAAGTGACTCGAAGACGAGCACGCCGCGTATTGCACTCAAGTGTCGCACGTATGCACACAATCTTCGCAACGGCTCTCCCATAGGAACAAGCACAGATCTCTGTCCCTCGCCCGGAGGCTCGGTATATGAGAAGAGACTTGCCCTGCTTTTCTGATGCCAATTGCAGACGTGAGATCACGTCGAACCCTCACGGGCAGACCTGTCACTCTCCCCGGAGGAAGAGGAAGAAGGTGGTTTTGAAGATTACTCCGAATTTCTCATATGCAAGGGAGACGATCCGGAGATCTGATGCGCTGCGAACTGAATCGCAACATATCTGTTTGTAGCATAGAAACGCAGCGTTGAAGAGGACGACGCTTGAAGAAGGGAAAAAAGAATTTCGAAAATTGAAGCTCGGTTTTGTGACTCGATAGCTCGCTTCCGTTTTCGCTCTAGCGTAAAAACCTTAGTTACACGTGATGCGGTTCAGCGGGAAAGCCGGGCTGAGGTCAAGAACATTGGCGCAAAACACAGCCACCATGGGATGGTTCTGGTGACATGACGCGCAATCCTATTCATTATTCTCTGTCCAAACCAACCTGTATATAAAGAAGACTGGTCTCTTCCATCCGCCGTACATAAATCCTACATAGCAACCTCACGATGTGTTTCGTCTTCACTTGTGGAGAGCACGGTTAGTATCCACTGCCATCCTTGCCACAGCCTTGCGGATCACTGACAGCTAATTTCAGAGTTCTCTTCGCTGGTCCAGGGCTACGAAAATGTCATTTGTCAATGCCATAACTGCGTACGTTCAAATCCATCCCACGTCCCGGATCAATGGAAGCTGCCGTGTCCTTTGACGTTCCAATACTCTCGGGACATGTAGCTTCATCCCACCAACACCTGCGCGAAATATGCTGACGGCAAGCCGCCGTATAGGGAAATTACTCTGCGAAAGTTGTGAAGAGGAACCCGTGGTTTACCTTTTGCTTCATCCCCGTCATCCCGCTCAGCGTGCACGGATACGAAGACGTCGTCTGCAGCATCTGCAATTTCGCGCAACCGCTCCAGAATCGTCAAGATATTATAGCTCAGGCGAATGGCGGAGGGATGCCTTTACAGCATCAGCCTCCGCCGGGAGCACCGCAAGGCTGGGGAGGTGGTCCGCCGGGAGGAGGTCAGCCCAAACCTCCGCAGAATATGCAATACGGGTGACGAACAAGATGGGGTTCTGCGAGGCAAAGGGGTAGGATTTGGATTGGTTATTGCACAAAATCGAAGGTTGGTGGTATGGCGTTCTTGGTATTGAGGTGTATTAATGTGTCGACTGGAGTTGAAATTGGAAGACCCATTCCCACGGCTGGGGACAAGGACAGTCGACAAACCAAATCAGGTACGATATACGAGAGTATATAATCAGAGGTACCCAATATGGTACTTATTTCCCGTCTAGACCAGCGGATTGGCAATTTGCTATTTTGTTTCACTGTCAACTTGATAGGACCAAGTGTCTGTCAGTGTTCCAGATTTTCTACGTTATCTCAATCAACGATGCAAGTGGTAGAGCTCTTACCGCCCAAGAGACCGCGATAGAGAGGAGAGTTTCAGCCGCTAAGATGTCCAGATAGTGGCTGGCTGGGGATTTGGTCCTGACGAATGGGACGGCTCCAAAAGATTCACAGTTTTTCTTTTCTTGCCGCGTCGAGTGTTCTGCTTTTTGAGGCTGAACGCCTAGGCCTTGGCGGGGTTCTGTTGCGTGTACGAGAGACATATTTTCTGGTCAGTCAGATTGGGCAGTCTCCCACGTGAGCTGCAGGTTGCATCTAGAACACAACTTGGACCAGCACTTCGCCCATCATCCTTCATGGGGGTTTTGGTGATTTAGATGATGGGTGTCACCAAGAGTGGTACGTTCATGTCGACCCTAGTGCCTGTGGGAAGGGAGGGACAAGGCATCGAGACCAGGCACGGTTCGTCAGTTGCATGGGAAGCTGCTCGAAGAGAAAACTCTAACTTTGATACTTATCACGGATCTTGGGCGACGGCGCGGCGGGCAGAGGTTGGGGTTTGCGATGTCGGAACGCTCCAATGACAGGATGAAATCTCTGTATATTTCCCGTCGTCAAATCAGAGGGTACGATTGCTGGTCCACTTACCGTTTCTCTGGAGCTGTCCCCCAACTTCTCGAGGAGCACAGTTCACTCCCGCGATGGTGCAACTCTGAGACCCTGGTCTTTTCAGTCTTTTCACCCACGCAGACTTTCTCCGTAAGACCGGTAGAAAGAAAGAAGGCTGGCCCCAAGCCCACGGTCGCTTCGTGCTGACTTTTCACCCTCTGATGGCCTCGCTTGAGCGTTCACCCACCAAAAGAACCCTGGTGGCTGTCACAATTTTGTGCGTCCTGTGTCTCTCCCCAGTCCCCTTATCGCGGCTTTTGAACCTGCCAGCCAGGGGTTTGCCTTATCAAAGTACCATCCGCCCAATCAGTCCCATCGGAAGTGGCCGTCATGCAGATCAACAGTGTTTCGCTTCGCGATGGCGCACGCTTGGCGCAGAGCTGGCACTCACTGAACGACCGCAAGCTAACCAAGCTTCCTCCCCGCCTCCAAGTGCCCCCGATAGCAGGGATAGCAAGGATCGTAAACAACAATTCATTACGAGAAGTCAGACCTGCAATCGACCTTATCTCTATCTCCACCAAATCACCAAATAGTATCAACTCAATTTTTGATATCAGACACCGCACTGTGACTTGCTACCATTGCAACGGCTGCATGAGATTGAACACCGCCTTGCTGTTTCGAGCATAGCATCGCGATCTGGATGCGGTTGCATCATGTAGGTTCGAGCTCCACCATGTGGGAGTGAAATAAATCTTTTCTTTCCTTCTTTCTCCTTCCTACTTTCGGACCTCGTTCATGGGAAGCTTCGTCTCACCAGAAGCTATATCATCCGTCGTCCTTCCTGTGTGATAGTTCCACAGAAAGCACCAACTCTCTATTTTCCAGAGGTAAACAGCATCATCATCATCATCATGGCAATTGCTGCTCCTCTCAGCGTCGGCTGGGGCTATGGCATCGTCCTGGGTCTCGGTTCCGTCTTTGCGTTTGGTATGGTGAGTAATTGACTAGTATCGAGCTTCAATGTCCCAGCTAATAATTGTAGATTCTCGTCACCTGGATCCTGAGACGTTACAATCATGAATTGCAAACTTCCGAAATGTTCAGCACGGCTGGCCGAACAGTGAAATCTGGTCTTGTCGCCTCCGCTGTCGTTTCGTCCTGGACTTGGGCTGCTACTCTCCTGCAATCGTCTGGTATTGCCTATCGATATGGTGTCAGTGGACCGTTCTGGTATGCTTCGGGTGCTACCGTGCAGATTCTGCTGTTTGCAACCATTGCCATTGAGTTGAAGAGAAGAGCACCTAATGCTCATGTGAGTTGGACTACAAGCGAGTATAAAGTCCAATACTGATGAAAATAGACCTTCCTCGAAGTCATCAAGGCTAGATATGGCACACCAGCTCATATCACCTTTATTGTCTTTGGCTTAATGACCAACATCCTTGTCACAGCTATGTTGTTGACTGGAGGTTCAGCTGTCGTGACTGCTCTCACTGGCATGCCTACACCAGCAGCTTGTTTCTTGCTGCCTCTAGGAGTCATCTTGTATACTATGTTCGGTGGCATTAAGGCTACCTTCTTGACTGATTGGGTATGTTTGATCGATAAATCTAGAAATCAACACTAACACGTGCAGGTCCACACCTTCATGCTGTTGATCATTATCTTGATCTTCGCATTCACCACCTATGCCACCAGCAGCACATTGGGCTCCCCAGGAGCTGTCTTTGACCTCCTCGTCAAAGCTGCTGCTGACCACCCCGTCGATGGCAATGCAGGAGGAAGTTACCTCACCATGAAGTCCACTCAAGGTGCCATTTTCTTCGTCATCAACATCGTTGGTAACTTCGGAACGTAAGTACCCCATTTCTTCCCCTCATCTCTCTTCTAACGAATTCCAGTGTCTTCTTGGACAACGGCTACTACAACAAAGCCATCGCTGCTTCCCCAGTCCACGCCCTCCCAGGCTACATCATGGGCGGTATCTCCTGGTTCGCCATCCCCTGGCTCTGCGCCACGACCATGGGTCTCGCTGGTCTCGCTCTCGAAGGCAACCCAGCTTTCCCCACCTATCCAGACCGTATGTCCAGCGCTGATGTGTCCGCCGGTCTCGTGCTCCCATACGCCGCTGTTGCTCTCCTCGGCTCCGGTGGTGCGGTCTGCACGCTGTTGATCGTCTTCATGGCTGTTACATCTGCTTCATCCGCGGAGCTTATCGCCGTGTCTTCCATCTTCACTTATGATATCTACCAGACTTATTTCGAGCCTACTGCTGCCGGCAAGAAACTCATCTACATGTCTCACTGTATGGTCGTAGGCTTTGGACTCTTCATGGCTTCATTCTCCGTCGGACGTACGTCCCACCTTCTCTCCCATTCCTTCCTATTTATCTTAACTAACAACCCCTCTCCAGTCTACTACGCCGGCATCTCAATGGGCTACCTCTACGTCATGATGGGCGTAATAATCTCCTCCGCCGTCATCCCCGCAACCCTAACCCTCATGTGGGCCGGCCACAATAAATGGGCCGCGACCCTGACCCCGTGGTTCGGCCTCGCCTGCGCGCTCATCGCCTGGCTGGTAACCGCCTCCAAAACCTGCGGCGCCCTCGACGTCTCTTGCACCGGCTCCAACAACCCCATGCTGGCAGGCAACGTCATGGCGCTCCTCTCCCCCCTGATCTTCACCCCGCTCTTCACGCTGATTTTCGGCCTCGACCACTACGACTGGGCATCCATGGCCGCCATCCGCAAGGGCGACGACCACGACATGGCGGCCGCCGCGCACATGGACCTGGAACTCATCCCCGGCGAGCGCGAGGAATCCGCCGCGGAATACGAAGCCGAGCAAGCGAAGCTCCTCCGCGCGTCCAAGATCGCGAAGGCGATGACGGTCCTGCTCACCATCTCCCTGCTCGTCCTGTGGCCGATGCCGATGTACGGCACGGGGTACATCTTCAGCAAGAAGTTCTTCACCGGGTGGGTGGTCGTGGGCATCATGTGGCTGATGGGGAGTCTGCTGTGCGTGGGCGTGTTTCCGGTGTTCGAGGGCAGGAAGGATCTCGCGTATACCATCAGGGCGATTTGGTTGGATGTCACGGGGAAGAAGCATCCGAGTTCGTTTCATACGCCGCAGGCGACGTTTGTGGAGGGGAAGGTTGGCGGGGATGAGAGTCCTGTGAATAGGGAGAAGGAGGTTGGGGGGGGTGTTAAGGAGGGGTAGGTGAGTTGTAGAGAGGAGGGAGGAAGTGGGATGGATGATACCACGGTCGTTTGTCTTTTTTTTCCCCCTTTTGGCGGGGGGTGAGAGATCTAGAGGTGAGATGTGTATACGAGTGAGTGAGTGAAGGTACAATCTGTAATGAAAATTTACGCTTTACTTTCAAATCACAACCTTACTTATACTTCGTCCGAATCCTCCAAGAACGCGAAACACTTTTCTCTCCTTTCCTCTCCGCCCAAGCACCTCGCAGTCTTTGGGTTCTCTTTGGATAAAAGGAGCTCTCATGCTTTGCTGAAGCTAGCTTGTCGAGGCTACCTGCGTATTGCATTCAGCATTGTTGGGGTTGACTTGCATTCGGACTATCTGGTTTGACCGCTAGTGACTGAGTAGACAAAACAACTGCTAAAGCCTGTAGAATTAGACTAACCGAAAGAGAATGGAGTTGCGTCAACTATGATTTTGTGGATATTCCTAACCAAAGATCAAGATAAAGGTAATTCCATCTCCCTGCACCTGAATGTCCTAGCGCCACAAGACTTCACTACATTCAATCCTCAATCATCCAATGAGGTTTCCCCGACCACTTCCCATCCAGTATCTCATCCACCTCTTTCATCATCGGTACCTCGCGAATATCTCGTTGGAATTCTTTCCTCAAATCCTTGCTGAACTCCGGAAATCCAAGTTCTTTATTCCCCACAGCATGCGCCTCCTCTCTTCGCCGCCGCTCATCCTTAACGCCATGTACCGCCGACTCCGGCAACGGGAACCCGTTTCGCTCCAGCTCATCGTTGACTTCGTACACATACTCCAAAAACGCTTTACGAAGACGCATTTCGTCCCCTCTTCGAAAGGCATTTAGAGCATCGAACGCGGCATCGATCTGCTCTCCAGCCAAGAATTTCTCTCTTCCTAGAATCTCGTATATATTTGGTGCAAATGCGTAAATCATGGCTTGAAAGGAGCGATAGCCTCCGAATCGATCAAAGTACTTGTCGGAATGATAATCGAGGTCTCCGTAATCGAGGTGAGTGGCACCTGTCTCGTTATGTCTGGGACATTGCGCGAAGGTTAGGAGAGTCTGCTCTTTTTCGATGTGCGAAGGTGTTGATAGGCGGATTACACAGCGGCAGTGTAGGTAGCGATGGACGAAGTTGAAGATTGGTTCCCATTTGACGATGAGACGCTTGCATACGAAATCGATGGGCGGATTGTCAGAGAACGTGTTGTGCTTTGCAGTCTCAGGCGCTGAGGTTGCAGGAGGTGTAGTGCCTGGACTTGTCTTTTTCCTTGAGGTGATTTGATACTTGCGGTACTGATCAGGACCGAATCCCACCGATACATCCGTTGCTTCGAATGGAATGGCGTCTGGCTCTACCCTGCGAACTTCTAGGCCACATGAAAAGCTGGTAAATCATTAGTCTAAATCGAAAAGAATCAGAGTGGGTAGCTTGAACTCACCATTTCGTCTGTCTCGGCCCAGCTGTGTTCTTGCCTCTCGGTTTGTAACATCGCATACATTTACCAAGTGGAAATCCGTGCCACGTACTCATAATGAAAGCTATCTTAACACCTCCGCCTTCCCTCACCATCGACTCCCAATTATCTAAAGTAATGTAAGTTGATTCGCTCCAGTTCAGAGCCCCAAAATGACCCCTTTGTACTTGTGGGAGCCCAGGAAGTTGCTTGGACTTGTATTTGTGAGTGAGAATACCGATGAAGTCCTGGAATACTTAGTTTCAAGATGATGGCGATTGAGTTTGGGATTACCTTTGGAGTTGAGCACAAGTCAAAGGGTAAGTAAAAGGGCTTTTCTAGCCCATCATCAATCTTGACGTACTCTCCAGTCTGGCCTGTTTCCCATGGATATCCTAGATCTTTTGGTTTTTGAGAGGAGATGGAAATAAGAGATTGAACATCGTCCCTGTTTGATCAGCAATCTCCAACGTTCAGGAGGACTTTCAACTAACAATACATTTCGGCATTGCAACAACTGCAATGTCCCCTTAGCACGATCTAAGTGATCTCTAAGCACAGCAATTTTCTTTTCTGAAAGTACAGTCTGAACACGGGCCCAAGTACGGACGGTCCTCTTTTCAGAATTGAGTTTGCGTTCCAGAGTCAAAGTGAGATCTGATAGTTTCTTGATATCGTGTCTGACGAGGTCTAGCGATTTTCTTGTCGTAGCCTCGTTATTTTCAGGGAGCGAGCGCTTCTCAAACACAATCTGAATACCCGAGACGATGCTGGATAGTAGTTGTAACTCAAGCAAGACTCGCTGGATATCCGTTGGAGCCTCCTTGATGGATGCGTAGAAGTTTGTGACCCGATTAATATTATCGAGGATCTGGATCGCGAGAGATGCGACGCTGATGCCGCTTGCCACTACGCCTAGGACTTCGGCCATACTGCATACATAGTATCTTTGACAATCAAACAATGCGTGACCAGGACTTTGAGCAGAGAGAAATGGAATTTGAAGCTTGAATAGAGATTCTGAGGTAGGCGGTGCAGGAGTATCGCAAGGCTGGACTCATTCGTCTTGATGCATAATGCAGCCTCGCTATGAGCCTACTCGGTCTCATATGCTGCATCCAACCAATAGTATCTCAATCATCGCAATGGGAGTCCCCTCAGCCACCGTTATGCCAACTTTAGCAAAAAAAATTGCATGGTCCACACAAGGAGTCAAACGAAATTGAGTAGACATGGAGTCCATAATTGCAAACTGTGATAGAAATATCTGATAGAAACAAATTCATTGCTAGCAAGGATGAAAGCTTTCCCTCGTAAGACTTGAGGGCAGTAACCAACGAACGCCAGCTCATCGAAACTCGTCATATTAGCAGCTTGGTAGACTAGATCCAACTTTGAGATAGCAGTCTCGTTCCTCAATTACAGACAAGGAATAGCAATCGCGGCAGAAGAGGAATAAATCAGATGTCGCGAGCTTGGTTTTCAGGCGCTGAATTTCGAGGAAAGAATGCTTGACGAAGGATTTTCAAGAGCTGAAGATTAGAAGCGAAGTGAATTCAAGATTAGCAACAACCTAAGAAGGGTCTTAGCTGTTTAGGGAAAGAGCAAGTTCCCAGGGCATCACGTGCTACTTGCTACTAGGTACCTATCTCGTCGAGGTTGTCTGCCGGAATACGCCTCTTTAATGAATTAGATGATGGTATGTAGCCCCTATAACTTCCTAAAATGTCGTCTCGGACATCGATTAGGTATGTCTCGAGGCCGTTTGCAATATCACGTGTGTCAGTGATCCACTTCAGGTTACCTGCATAGTAGGTACTCATGCACATCGAGGTGATGGAGATCCAGTTACCCAGAGGCTGTTTTGTGAAGGAAGCAGAAAGGAGCCAAACTTCCAGTGCCGATTTTAGTTGCTCTCTTTCATGAGTCTCGAAATGACACTTCTCTGTGTACTCTTTTCTCTCAAGCTTTGATTATTAATCCTTTTACTCGGCAGCATGGAATCTGGAGAGTGGTAAGAGGTTGTGCTAGTGGATACTCCCTTTCTCGATGTTTCTGCTGCCCATCCGTTTGTACCCGAGTTCCCCACATCACATCCCAACCCAAGCCGAGTTTCCCATACATCACCGCTTGAAATCCGACCTTCAACCATCTACACCAAAGGCAATGGTCTCTTCACAACCAATCCTCTCAACGCAGAAGAGATCTAATCATTAGCATCACTCCACCATTACTCACCATCGCCCGTCTCCATCCCATCCCATCCCCCCGCTCAGCTCGGCGAAAAAGACTCGCGCCTCTCCTCAATATGCGAGAACTGTTTCACGAGCATCATCCACGAACTAGACTCTGAGACTATTAATTTTGCAGTCCCCAGCTCACCAGCCTTCAAAGTTTGCAACGGCTGTCAAACCCTCTACTACTGCTCCAAAAGCTGCCAGAAATCCGCTTGGAAACACCACCATAAATGTGCATGTAAAACGTATTTCGCGATCCGAAGCGTTAGTGCGGAACTGATTGATACGGTCAAGATCTGCAGTATCGTCAGGTTAATTTGCCTCTATGAGAATGACCAAATAAGGCTATTTGGGATGTGGTGAGGGATACGTGCCGTTAAGTGAGAGCAAGGAGGTGAAGGGCCAATACGTTGAGGCTATGAGGAAACTTTTAAAGTGGGCAGATGTTATGGAGGTTGAGGAGGAGGCATTCTTTTGACAAGATCATTGATGGTAACTTGAGGTTGAATGATGATCACCGGCTTGTAATGTTCGCTGTCAAGACTCGTATTGGGACGAGTAGCAACGCTTGCTAAAGCATTAGAGACGCATGAACGCACAGAGATCTGAGAAGCAATGAGGTTCATTGCCCCTCCAGATGAGAAATAACTTGACAAAAGGTACAGAGATATTGAGAACACTCGAATTACTCCAAAGGATTAAAATGCCATGACTGAAAACATTGAGAATACTTCCAACCCGTAGGATGTTTCAGGACACCAAGCGTGTTTCTGTATCATTCCAGACTCCAGAGGGACTCTGAGAGCACAAAAGTGCAGATGAGAACACGAGAACTTTCTTGCGCATCAAGTATGAATAACTGCAGTGCCAAACTCGAAAGCGTTTCAAACATTGAAACTTTGAAATGTGCAGTAAAGAAGATGAAGTTATCCAAGATTCGACAAAACGAAAGCGAGATCTCGTTAATGTCAGGGGTTTGAAATATGATCGGCAATGATCTGCGCAAACTAAACTATATTCCGCCAGACTATTGAAAATGGCTTTTAAGCTTGATGTGTATTGGCCAATCATCAGTCGTCTCCAAATTGAGCCCTTTCCGCTTCCAACCTCGCTCACTTCGACGACATCCAACAACAACGTTCGTGAATGTTCAGTCTAACTCGGTCGAGATGGTCGTCCTTTCCACTTTCCCTCCTTCTCGTTCGCTCGTCCCTCTTCCCATCTCGCATCCTCGGCATCATCCAGTCGCGGAATCCACCCGTACTGTACTGGACCGCCATCAAGGGCCAAGGCACGTCTGGAAGTCTCGGTTCGTTGGCTGGCTGTCCATGGTCATGGTCATGGTCATGGTCATGGTGTCACCTTTTTGCTACAGCAGGTTTCGCCGAGATGTGAATCCAATCCGAGTCCTCTTCACCGTGCGACCTCACCGTCGCTGTGTTGTCACTCTGCTGTTTTGGAATTCTTTTTAATTATCGGGTCATTGCTGCAGCAGTTCTGTGGTCTGCTGCATATTCCTCACATCTCACTTTCCTCTCTCAATAATTCTCTCATCTAATTACTGTAGCTTTCCTCCCGTCCCAAGATCTGCATCTCCCATCTTTCACCACCCCGTCCGGGAGCCATCCCGCAGCAAACTTTCCGACGACGCTTCTCCCCTCCTCGACCTTCGCCATACGTCGACGAACAGACACTGAAACGACGGATGCCGCTCTGCGCACGGTAGTCGGGCTCGTCCGAACTTATTTTCTCGACTGAGGTTTGGAAAGATGGCTTTCATTTTTACTATGCGTTCGACGGGGAGCAGTATGCATCGCAGAGATCCAGCGTCCGGTAGCTCTTTGCCTGCCATTTCTGAGGATAGTGCTTCGTTCTTGGAACCCAGATCCGTGCCTGCAATTCCTGATCGCGCGATTACGAGACCTTCGACGAGGATATGGGCATTGGGTTCGCCCCCAGTCCACACGTTCGAGGAACCCCCGCCGTATAATCAGTTTGATGGAGAGGGTGTACTGGGGCCGAGGGGCGAGAAGTTATCAAATGTGAGGAGAGGTGTCAAGGAGAACAAATGGATTGCAAAAAGAGGAGGGTGGAAGAGATTGGCTTTGATCGCATTGATTGTGATAGCGTGCATCGTGGGATTGGCAGTTGGTCTGGCAGTTGGGCTGAAGCATCACAGCAGTTCCAAAGAGTAGGTCGTACCCAGTTTTGAAGTTTTTCCCTAACACATCCCAGCAACAGTTCCAGCAGCAATAATAACAACAATAACAGTACCAATTCCGGCAATAGCAGTAGTCCTTCAGGCGGAGCATCAGGAACAGTTGGAGGCCCAGGAAATCCGGCTTCAAACACCACGTTCCCCGCGGGCTCTTACAGATTCGATACCTTCCTCGATACAGTTTCTACAGATTGCACAAATAACTCTGCAACCTGGCTCTGCTACCCCTACTCCACCTATGCGCAAAATGCTGGGGCCTCTGCCGCAACATTCGAGTGGATCATCTACCCTGACAACAACTCCCCAAATTACACCATCTCCTCCACCGATAACTACTTCTCCATCGTCTTCAGCAACCTCACCCTCTCCCTCATGAATTCCGGTGCCAGCGACGAGCACTACTTCTTCCAAACCATGATGTCGAAACCCACAAAGCCTGCCGTGCAACTAGGGAGCCAGAACGTCGCCAGTACATGCTATTTCAACCAAACCACATTCCAGGCATATCTATACACCAAGATGCCAAAATCATATCCTCCCAGCACCACGAATACCACAGATCCCAGTGGGGCATTTATTGAGTGGCCATATGCGGTAAAGGTCGAGCAGGTCGCGGGTGCGGGACCGAATGTCCCGACTTGTGTGGGCCCTTCTGGACAAGTACTGGGCGATTTTAGTGTTGCCGACGAAACGCAGCTTTGTGATTGTTTGTATCTGAATACGGGGACTTGATACTCTGATCTGCTATTTGGTGGTTCTTCTCGGGTTTAGCGTGGGTTGGCGCTGGGTGTGCATTCTAGGAATAATTTTCAAATTAATGTCGACACGGCTGAGTGTGTATCGGATAGGGAGGAGTGTATATAGGATTGCGGTGTCTGTGTAGTGTAATGTATAGCATTAACGTTCACACCATCGAGATCTGTATTTGTCTATTCTCCACCGCAACTCTCATATGAGATGGCAAGTGCCTTTTGGGAAAGCGGAAGGCCTTGGATTCCTAAGATTGATTAACTTGAACTTTGAATCTCCTCATTGTCTTCAATAACACAACGAGTCTGTCGCTTTTCTTTTCAAAGGCTGGTTGAATTTCTAGAGCTGCTCCAAACGTGTAGCTACTTACATAGATTGCTGCATATTTAAATACTCGCTGGTTGAATACATGTCGATTAAACAACAGAGCATATCATTCAGCTTATATGAGGATAGTCATTCATCAGAAGTTCGCGATATCTGATGCCGAACACATTAGTAGTAAAATTAGCTGCCGAAGAATAAGAAGGGTCATTTCGGAATAATGAGAACTTGTAAATGAGTGAGCAAGGAATCGATACAGAACGGCAGCTTGAGCACAGCCTTGCCGTTTCATGTGCATCAACAACTACTAAATCACTGGAACGAGGTGCATCATCCTCAGTTTGATGAATTACATGATGTTGCAAAGAATCGAGTCGACGAAAGAGAAGAGTTTAGAGTAGAGATCACCACCATATCAGCAGTGCCTATGGTTCACATGCTAAATTTCCATAAAGGGCTCTGACAATGATCAATCATGGAGCGAGGTGGGAGGTGCTGGGAGCACGTGATTGGCTTTGACTTGATTACTGCCCAGGCATGAAGAGGGAAGAAACTAAAGGACTTCACAGTGAGAATACTTCATAGATATTGAGGTACTTAGTCTTCCTGTCTCGATTGGGAATCCTGAGGTGTCACATGACCAATTCTTCCTTTAAATTTTTGTAGGGTGGTTTTCTAACCAACAACTTTGATGCAGCCAACAGACTATATGATAATTGAGAGAGACTACCTGGTTTGATCTTATTGATTTGAAGAGCGGACTTAAACACAAAGACGGTCTTGCAACGAAATCCGACCCGATTGAACAAAGCTTACGAATCTCTTGAACTCAAAAATCCAAAAAAGGACTTCGAGAGAATATCGAGATCCGAGCATTCGAGGAGGCGGAACCCAAATGCGATAAGCTAGAGGCATCCGCATCCACTGAAACTCGCTCGGTGCAATGGAAACCACCTGTTCGATTCGGTTCTTTGGCTTCATTACCTGTATGTAAACTATGGCTGAACCTTTTTAACACAGACTCACGATCTAATGCCAGAGTAACAAACTTTTGCTGACATGCATCACGAACTACCGATCTGCTTTGCTCGTAACTTCCCGATCCACCAAGGTAACCCCACCATCAACCCCACCTTCCGCATCTACCTCCTTTCTTCTTTCCCAACTCACGTCTCCTTTTTCCTCAAGTTCAAAATGCCGCCATTCAACATCCTAATCGTAGGCGGCGGTCTCGGCGGGCTCGCCACCGCAGTCTCGCTCTCGCAAGCCGGACACCACGTCACAGTCCTCGAGTCAACATCCAAGCTGCAAACCATTGGGGGCGGAATCACTATTCCGTCGAACTCAATGCGGTGTTGGGACTACCTTGGCTTGAAGAAACGGCTGCACGAGGCGGCTGAGGCGAAGGGCCCGGAACGGAGACGCTTTTTGAGGTATAATGGGGAGTTTGTTTGTGATACGGGGAGTAGGGAGAAGTTGTATAAGTATGGGTAAGTAATGAACGATTTGTAGATTCTTTTGAATGCTTTTATGCTTGATGGATTTGGAAGGTTGTCTACTGACACTTCAATAGCAGCATCGTCGTACATCGTGCTCCCTTGCAGCAACTACTGCTTGAAGCAGCCACTGAAGCTGGTGCCAAGGTTCAAGTGAACACGAGAGTTATAGACATTGATGAGAGTGACGAGTCCCCTGTTGCCATTACCAAGGACGGCCAAAGATTGGAAGCCGATCTCATCATTGGTGCCGACGGTCAGGATATTCCACTCATTCGCTTGGGTGGTTGTGACTAACTCGAACCAGGTGCAAAATCTGTGATGAGGACTCTCCTCCATCCAAACATTCAATTGAGAAGCTCATACAATATATATCGAGCGGTCATTCTGGGAGCAACGTTCAAAGACGATCCCGAAGTTGCTCATCTACTAGATCATTCGACCATCTGGTGGGGTCCTCATCGCGCTGTCGTCGGAATCCCGGTTCAGAACGGAGAATACTACTCTTTGGAATGTTGTCATCCTGGTGACACTGGAACAGCAGGAGATTGGAACAAGAAAGGAGATGTCGATCAAATGAAGGAAACGTTTTCTGACTTTGAGCCACATGTCACAAAGATGATGCGGCTCGTGAAACCAGACGATTTGCTAGTTTGGAAGCTGAACTCTCTTCCAGAACTTGACACTTGGTCTTTCAAAAGTGGAAAAGTAACTCTATTGGGTGACTGTAAGTACTCCAGTCAAGACTCTAAGTGATATTTACTGACTCATCCACAGCGGCTCATGCCATGCTGCCGTTTTCTGGCCAGGTAAGATTATATCTTGTGAGTATATATTGGTTGCTGACGAGAAAGGGACATGCCATGGCAATCGAAGACAGTGTATGTCTTGCTGACTGCCTCGCCAGAACAGCGTTTACCTCAGATATCCCTACAGCTTTGAAGATGTTCGAAACTATTCGAAAACCCAGAACGAAATTGATCAGTGATTTCGGAGAAAGCATGGCTCGTACATGGCAACTACCTGACGGTGAAGAGCAGCGCAAGCGAGATGAAATATACCGGAAAACGCCATACTTCAGTACTTCGAATTGGGATGGAAAGCATATTGATGAGCTGCCTGGCTTGCCACCAGATCCGTTGTTCTTCCCATACATGTTGGCACATGATGTGATCGACTTTGTAAGTAGGCTTCTTGTAGCCCGCAAAACTCTGAAGTTGATAGCAAAAAGACCAACAGACGACTGGATGAACTCTGGACAATGAGATGAGGGCAATAACTATCTTGGAAAAATCGATTCAATTACACTGCGTTCCACCAGGAGCACAATCCCCTCCTTCGTTCTTCTGCGCGGATTGTTATGAAAACAAATACAAATGGTTATCCTAACCATTAATCTCAACAAACACCTTCTAGTGACGATCCACTCCCAGTTCAGCATCCTTCGTCCGCGGTCTATCAGTAACCGAAGCCATCCGATCTGAGCAAGAAGGCCTAAAATATTGTCAGCAACAGCACTTTACATGGGCACGAAAAAACTGACATCGTTTCGAAGGTGTGTTCTGCCATAAAAGTAGAATAAGTTGTTCAGCCATCCCTTGCCTAATACTAGTCAGCTCACCTCGCCAGTTTCGAGCGAGGAGGGTCATCTTACACTGGGTCTCCATGAGTGTTTGGCAGTCAGGGCACAATCTCAGGGGGCATCCGGCACAAGTGTACATGGCCTGACCAGGGCAAACCATGCAGCTTCGATGACGTCTATATTTGTCACCAGTGTCTCTAGCCGGGTTCTTTTCGATCATTAACTTCCAGCTCAAATGTCGGTGCTCGCAGATCTTGAACTTCTCATAGCGGCAATTGCCACAGATCTTGGCCTTCAAGACATCAACTTGTCGATACGGATTTGCACGACAGAATCCAGGGGTCGTATGTTCAGAGATATCCATGCCATCAATCGCGCTGAGAGTTGCACGACGTCTCCTGGGTTGAGGGGCCACTTCTGGAAATGGGCCATTTTTAAGTTGAGGAGTTGGTGCGCCAAAGCTGTCCTGCTGAGAAGGGGTTGGACTTGCGGGGATGTAGATGCAGTTGAATGTCTCTCCGGTGAGTGGTGTAAGTACCATTTCTGTATCAACGTCGCCGCTAGTACCTCCTACGAAGTTATTACTCTGCGAGCCCGAGCCACTGGCAGATTGACTGTTCGATGGACCAGGAATGCCCGCAACCTGTTTAATCGTAGATGATGATCGAATACCTAAACCGGAGGCTGCATTCTTCATAGGGGACATCTCCGTGACAGTCGATAAAGGCGACGGACGAGGTGGTTTGGTTTTGAGTATACCTGTCATTCCGAGAGGATTTGCGAAGCCTGTACCAGAACTGACGCTACCATTCCGAGGCATTGGATCTTGTCCAGGATTACTTCCAGTTCCCACGGCAGGAGTACCAGCCCTATCACCAATGTTGCTTGCTTGAGGTGGTCTAGGTGAACTTGTCATTGGAGGTACTGCTCCGAAACCTTGACTAGGACCGACGCTACCATTTGGGGTCATTGGGCCTTGTCTAGGATTTGGTCTAGTTCCCACAGGAGAGGTGCCAATCCTGTCACCAACATTGCTCGCTTGAGGTGACTTAATTGCAACGACACCTGCCATCCCGAGTGGATTTGCGAAACCTTGACTGGGACCGACACTACCATTCGGTGACATTGGACCTGGTCTATGAATATATCTAGGATCCACGGAGATAGTGCTGGACCTATCACCAATACTGCTTCCTTGAGACTGAATAGGAGCTTGCACTGGTCCGCCTTGGACAAGTGACGGCGAGGTACTGTTCCGGAGCTTTGCAGCCTTCATAGCGTTCTCGAATGCGGTCTTTGGATGTAGCATATTCAAGGCTTTCTGTCTTCCTGGATCGCTAGAGAAACTATTCGCCTGGTCCCTGTATCCCAATTCCATGCATAGCTCTTTCAATGGAGGTAGGCTTCTCCGCGTCGGCTCATTGAGAGCAGACTGTGATTCGGGTTGGTTGACCCAGCCAAAAACCTCATCATCCTCATCGTGGATTACCTCGGTCAAAAAATCAAAGAGGTCCTTTGACTTCTTTGGGACTTCGGCGTCAAAGCACTGCTTGTTGGTGGCATGTGCGGTTTCTATGTGGCATTCATAGCAATAGCCACGCGAGGCCTCAGCAGGAAGCAAAACTCGAGAATCATAGACGCCAAAGTCGCCGTCAAAGAGACAGAATGTGCAACCGTTGTTGTCCATCTGCTCAATCAATTGGCTTTGATTCCAATTTGCAAACATGGGAACTTCGTTAATAAAACGTGGAGATGTCTTCGCACAGGGAATCCTAGCTAGAGCGGATTTTGAGAATTCCAACACGAGCTGTGGTCGTTCTGCTGGTTTTGGCTTCTTTGCGCTCTCCCGGGTTTCTTTGCCAGCGGTATGGACGTTTTTGCAAGTGGCTGCGAGAAGTATATAACGTCGCAGTTTCTCGTCATCTGCATCAATTTGTTCTTCTGGCGGAGGGGGTCCAAAACCCGGCCCTGGAGTTAGAGGTCGGTATCCGGTCAACTCCATCAACTCGTCCAGCGTCGGCTGATCAGGGTCTTCTTCGACCCAAGCATCGTTCATAAAAGCTTCCCAACTTTCCTTGTCATTAGCACTTGGGGTGTTTTGCTTGTTGTCCTTCTCTTGTACATGCTCGACTTGTTGTACTTGTGGAGCAATAGCCGCACCTTGGAGCGAAGCTTGCTGCTTTTGGTTTTTCAACACGTTAATGAGTCTATCCGTTCTGTCTAGAACCTTTTGCGTTGGCTCATTCGTCAATGTTCGTCTTCGAAGAAGTGGTCCTTGTCCATTGGCATTTTGGATGTGGCTCAGACGAACACCAATGTTCTGTCCATTGTTCGGAATAGCATGCACATTTGCGAAGAAGGTCCGAATTGCTCTCTCTGCATGAGATTCTTGAGGGTATGCAGGCATAGCCAGTACACGAACTGGACTCTGACCGACAGCATTCAGATGGGCTGCTACTAACTTGCCCTTCTCGGACACTTCTCTTCCAGTTGGATTGTGGGCCAGGTTGGTCGTCCGGGTTGAAGCTTGTGCCGCTGGAACTCTTCCTTGAATTAAGAATCTGCTATTCTTCGCAATTTCAACCAACTGGTCCATAGTGGGATTTGGCGCCAACTCTCTTCCTTCAGCTCGAGCAGTAGCAGCTGCGTTGGCTGCGATCCTCGTCAAATCGGCTGTGGACATATTTGCTACATCAAGCATTACTTGCTGTTGTGCTAGGGGCATAGCTGGCTGGTGGAGAGCCCATTGTCGACTACCTTGTTGTGGATTGGAAGACGAGTTCCTGCTCTGGAAATTGGCCATCGAACTATTTGCTTGAAACTGTGCTCGCTGCTGTGCTTGGCTCGCAGTTTGTGGGTGTTCAGCCCATTGTCGAGAAGCTTGTTGCGGATTGGAAGACGAGTTCCTGCTCTGGACTTCGGCTATAAAGCTATTTACTCCAGACAGTGCTCGCTGCTGGGCTTGGCTCGCAGCTTGCGGGTGTTCAGCCCATTGTCGAGTGGCTTGTTGCGGTTTGGAAGACGAGGCTTTCTTCTTGCGAGGATCCGGATGGACTCTATCAATCTCCGTTTGTGGAAATCCCGTTGTGATACGACTTTGGTCTAGTTTAGTTGAAGTCGGAGGCGGAGGCGGAGGTTGCGGGAACGGGGATCGATTTGCTGCTGCAACTGTAGGGTTGGTTCGAGGGTCGTTGAATCCTACTGGGAAGCCTGGAGGCGTTCTCAAAATGAATGGTGGAGAGTGTCTGCTGGTTTGTGGAGTGGTCGAAACGCTCTGAGCTCGAGCTCGGGATAATTTCACCTCCGGAGGACTGCTATGTAATTGACCAGGCTCGCGGCGGCTACCTCCTGATGGTGGACTCGAATGCTGGCCTTGACGTCTACCGGAGGCAGAGTGGCTCTGTGGGAGAGAAGGTGATTGAAAGCCGGCAGCTTGTGGAGGACTCGAACCCGTCTGCGTCTGACTTCTTGGTCGAACTTGTTGTTCAGGTGGACTGCTATGTAACCGTCCTGGCTCACGATAGCAAGGCAATGCTGTTGGAGCTTCAAAGCCAGTAGCTTGTGGAGGACTTGAACCCATCTGAGCCCTTGGCGTAATTTGTTGTTCAGATGGACGTCCCGTGGCGCGAGGATAAGGTAATGCGGTCGGAGCAGGAGTACCACGCAACATAACGTCGGCACTAGGTCGCGGTGGACTCAAAGATATTTCCAACAGCCTTTCTGGAGAGACGTGCAGCTTCACAATCTTGCTAGGCGTTGGCCGCTTGCCCTGTCCTTGCACGCTCGCCTTGGCTTCCTTTACCTCACGTTGTTGTCTCTGGAGTTGCTGGACTTGTTCGATGAGCGACATATGAGAAGATGAGCCCGATCCTGAAGCTGAAGCTGAACCCGAAGTATTTCTCCTCGGCGCCGAGGCCATTCCTCCTCCTCCATCATAACCAGTTCTCTCATCCAACTCTCTCGCAAGCTGCTCATCAGGCGTAGGCGAAGGGGTTCTCGGATTGCTCGCCGTCGCTGGAAGGGTATGTGGAGAACGGGGTGTCTGAGCAGCGAGCTCCAAAGCGATTCGTTTGGTGATCCGCTCGGCCTCCACGGCTGCTTTGCGCTTTTCTCTACCGGTATTCATGGTTGTGGATTGGTTTCGTGTTGTAGTGGTTGCATGTAGATCGTTCGCGTTGAAAGTCGCGATTGGAAAACTCTTCGAGATCGAAGGTGTTGTGGTTAAGAGCGGACGAGGTGCTGTGAGGTGTTGTGGGGTGTTGCGATCAAGGACGGACAGACGAAATTGTCTTGCGCGTGAATTCTCTCTTTCAAGATCGGCGAAAAGCCTTGTCAAGATCGCGTCTCTAGATTCACCGCACGGCGATGAGCAGAGGTGCGAGATGGCAATGGCAATCGCGAAAGTGGGAGCAAGAGAGAGAAAGAACGAAAAAAGTTGTGGTTGAAAGGTGATGTTATGAAGAGGCGGACGAGAAGAGGGCTGAGTTGAAGTGGAGAAAGCCAGAGACAGACGCAAGGCTAGCTATCTTGTCGTTTGATGTTGGTGTTGAGTTGCAAGAATGGTTGAAGGTGAATCTCGGAGCTAAAAGAAGACGAAAGATGAAGAGACGAGTAACCGGACAATACCAATGTCAATGTCCCGCAACAAGTCAGACAATCAGACAAGTATTCAATTCCATCGTATACTCTATCTCTTCGCACCCGGGTATATCTTGATCTCAAAGCCACGCGTACATACATACAGACATAAACAACGAAATTCAACGCTACATCCCCTAACCAGCAGCAGCAGATCCCGCCCCCTCAGAACCCTTCATACTCTCCTCAATCGCCCTCCTCAACGCCTCCTCATCCGCTGGACTCATTTGCTCCCCTCCGCTAACCTCCTCCCTCTTCTTCCCCTCAACCTTCGCTCTATGCTCCTCCTCCAATAAACTCTGCTTCTTGACATACGCCAACACAACCTCCTCCTCGCTCTTCTCCTCTTTACTCTTCTGGATCGCTAGTTCGAGATCCTTGTCCGAGGGATCTTCTTTACTCTTCTGGATAGCTAGTTCTAATTCCTTCTCATGCTGCGCGCTGAGGGGATCTTCTTTCGATAATTGCAGCGCTAGTTTCATGTTCTCGTCTTCCTCTTCACTGCCCCCATCAGTGGTAGGGAGTTGGTACGCATTCAGACTAGCCTGGATAGCTTTTTCCAGCGCGGCTTGGTGCTCGGCTTCTTCTTGCGTGAGAGTTACGGTCTCAACGCTCGATTGCGAGATCTGGGAATCGTCTGATGCTTCTCGTTGTCGGTGTCGTGCTGCTTCGGTGATACTAGCTTGGATGGCTCGCTCGAGCGCTTCTTGGTCTGAGAGCGTGGAGCCTTGAGCGAGTTTTAGTTCGCGGACGCTGGCGCGAATGGCGCGCTCGATGGTGTTATCTTCTTCTGCGTTGCCGCGGGAGGTAGCTGCGACGGAAGCGTGAATCGCGTGTTCGAACTGCTCGTCTTGGTCTGGGTGGGGATTTTGGAGGACCATGGGTGTTGTTTGGACGGGGCGGGGGGTGTGGCTGTGTGATGTTGTGCGGCGGCAGAATGGGCAGTGGCGATGGGAACCTTCTTCTGCTTCGAGTCTTTTGCGTTCTTCTTCTCTGTGGACTTTTCTTTCTTCGTGGAGACGCTTTCTTTCTTCGAAGGAGAGATGTCGGGTTTGCATGAATCCTTTGGGTGTAAGACGGCCGCTTTCTTGACCTTCTGGACCGCCGGATTCTACGATCTTCATCTTAGAGCTCATGTACTCGTCCTTGTGCATACGCCATCGATTGATGATATCTTGGCGCTCTTCTGGGGTCGAATTTCTGGTCTCTTCGTAGCCTTGAGCAGTTCGAGCTGCTATCATGTAGTTCAAAACACTAGATCCAAAGATTTTACGGATTTCCTTGTGAACACCCATGAAGGTGTATCCTGGAATACCCCAGATTGCTAACGGCATGGTTAGTACCGCTCTATGCATCAGTCCTAGAATGTACTTACCAGCTCCTGGTTTGAGAACTAGCCCTCCGATACCCTTGCCGATACCCTTCAAGAGACCCGCAGCACCTTCTTTCTCTGCACCACGAAGAGGTTGAGTGACCAAGCCTGTGATGCCATCAAACATACCATATCCGAACTCCTATTACAGATTAGTAAAATTCGTTTCCATACCATGTGATCTTCTATACCTTCGTTGCAGCTTTGATGCCACTCTGGAAATCGGTAACCTTTTCCTGCTGTCGAACAGTATCATCACCGTACAGCTTAGGAGCATTGTGAAATCCACGTGCAATACCTAACGTGAAATCCATAGGAGATTTCAGCCCAGCTCCCACAATTCGAGCCATGCCTTTAGCGCTTCGTTGCGCATTTTCCAACGTCAATTGACTTGGATCAAACTCTTTGGTCTCTCTACGACGGTGGCCAAACGGAGAACTGCTTCGGGATCCTGGCTTTCGATCCTTCGAATTAGAACGAGAAAGCGAGCTTCGTTCTCTAGATCCAGACCTTGAGCCTGATCTATGCAAAGCTCCACTTAAGGCAGCTCTCATCGAATTGGTGCGATGTTCTCCTTGAGATCCAAACGATGTAGTGCTCGTCAAGGGAGTCTCCGTAAGAGATGTGTCGCTGGACGATCGATTTGTGCTTTCGTAAGATGTCTTTGCTGTGCCCTCATATTGAGAATCCATTGAGCTTTTTGGTTCTGAGTCGTTCAGGCCAAGGTCGACTTGTGAGGCAGAGCGGGATGCAGCTTCTGAGACTGAAGGTGTTTCTCCACCAGAGCCATTGGGTGACTTGACTGTGTTCCCTGAGCTCTTTGTGCTCTTGGAGTTCATGGTCTCCGTCCTGACAGTTCGGACTTTCTTGAAGATCTCGATTGGAAAGTCTGCTACTCCCATTCCCAGACTTGCGATTGTGCCAAGGAGAGCTGACGCTCCTCCTGAGATAGGGTCCCAAGGGCCTTCTTCTGTATCATATTCTCTTGATCGATAACTTTTCCTGTTAGTATTGCTAGATGTAATGAAGTCTCAGAAAACTTACAGCTTGAGATCAGCGAAATCAACCAGTCCCTCACTTGAAAGAACGTTTGCTGCCAAAGCACTAAGTCGAGTCTTTGTACGCTTGATACGCCAGACTGCCACTCTGCTTGGAGCAAGAGAACACCTCAACGAGTCCACATCAAGCAAGTCATGGAAGCTCTTGCCACCGACATCACATCCTTGTTCTTCCTTAATCTTCTCACCCAACTCCTTTGCTCTCTCTAAAGTCTCGGGTTTGATGGCTTCAAGGATAGCGGCAGCCAATTTCTCAGATGTGAGTTGTTTGTAAGGAATCGGAAGTGGGCCTGCTCCTGCTCGTGCAACCATGGCACCCCAAAACGGTTGATCGCCAAAGAATGGTACCACTATCGTAGGCTTTCCAGTAGCAATACCAGCAGCCGTTGTTCCAGCTCCGCCATGGTGGACGACACAAGACACATGCTGAAATAGCCAATCATGAGGGACATTTCCAAGCATGAAGACACCGTCCGGAATGCCCAGATCATCAGCACCAAGGCCTCCCCAGCCTTTCGATACTAAAGCCCTGACACCTGCTTTCTTGACAGCTTCAAAGATAAGCTTTGTCATTGCATCTGGATCGTCAACCACAATTGATCCGAATCCAATATAAACAGGAGGAGGGCCAGCTGCCAAGTAAGCAGCAAGCTCTGGATCAGGAGTATATGACGAGGCAAGCGAGAGGAAATAGAAGCCAGAAATAGAAATATGTTGACCCCAATCCCTAGGCTTGGGAATCAGTGCAGGTGACCTAATCTGTTACTACATGCTCTGTGCCAGAAGGAGACAAAACTTACCAACAGTAGGTGTATGGTATCCTCAGACGACTAAGCATTCCTGGAGCCCAAATCAAACTTATTGGTTCAAGTCCAAGTGCTCGTTCTCTGAACCGATTTATTACATCCCCAAGACCTTGCCAGGTCATCATCTCAACTAGAGCATATGAAACAAAATTGGTCATATTAACATCCGCATTAGTAGATTGAATGTTTGCCAAAGGATGAGGGAACGACTGCGTTGGAGACCAGGGCATTCTGTAACCATCAGCAAGTGTGTTATCTCTCTATGCACACAATACTTACGTAAACATCATATGCAGAGGAATGCCCATCTTCTCAGCAATATGAACATGTGCAAAACTAGGTGGATTCGCAATAATAGCATCAGCGATGAAAGGTCGGTCTCCAGGATTAGCATCCATATTAATCCCAGCTTCGAAAATTGAAGTGTTCGCATCATCCTTCTTAGGAGGTGCTCCAAGACCATCTCCTGCTTCGATACATGATCTCCAGCATCCCAAGACAATTTCTTCCATGCCTCGTCTTCTCTTGCCAACGTCGCCGCTCTTCAGAGAGTCGAATCCAGGCATCAGTCCAGGGTTCTTGACCATAAATGCCATTAATTCGGCGGGATCACCTCCTATGCTGAAGAATTCCAATCCATTCTCTTCAACAAAAGTCTTGAACGTAGGGTGTGTTGCCAGACGAACTCGATGACCGTATGTAGACTTTAGGACCTTTCCTAGAGCCACAAATGGCTGGACATCTCCTCTAGAACCCACTACATGTATAACCACATTGAGTTTTGGGGGCGGCGTCTGACCTGGCAGTCCTCCAAGAGCAGGTGGTATGTATCCAGGTGGCAGAGGGTGTTCCTCTTCATGTGCTACCAACGATAGTTGATTCCTCAACGCAGGTACAAGCAAATCTGACAACTTCCTCGTCTTCTGATTGATATTGATATTGATTCGTCCATCATTCGTAATTTGTGCCTGCGTATTGAATCCATCTTGACTAACATCGATTTGATCGTGTTGGTCGCCATATGCAGGAGGAGCTTCGTCGTGAGTGTCTGAGTGCAATATATTCGGCACTTGCAAGTTGCCGGTCCTATATCAACCCCAAAGTCAGTATGTTTACATCGTGAGTTGCTGTGCCGCACACTTACTTGGAAGAACTTTCTCCAGCAGCAGAACGATAGACACCTTGGTATTGAGAATAATCCGGCTTGGGAACTCTTGAGGGTCGTTTCGAGAGGCTGGGCTCGTCTTCGAACTCTCCTATTATTGCTGCTTCGGCTTGGGCGATTACTGAAGCTGGGATACCGCTATCGGTCACCTCCTCGTGCGTCTCGTTGCTAGATTTGTCCGCCATGTGTGCGGTTGGGAAGATGGAAGGTTTCTCTCAAGATGAGGAGCTGAAGTAAGGGGACCCTTATTTATTATTCCATCTGTCAGGTGGGATGATACGAATTTCCCAGACTAGATGTGTGTGGTCGGGTACTGTAGTACCGTTTCGGTACGTATCCCACTTGGCAGTTCGTGCTATCTTACGTAGGGACGGAGGAATAGTTCTTGGACAATTTTCCCGTTCAGATGGTTCGTGTCGATATCGATGGAGATAGGTCTTGAGAAGATGCTCGAATAGCTCTTGTGTTCGAATGTATAAAGCTGGCGGCTCGAGAGAATAGGTTGAATATGATAACGAGGCGAGGTGTAGCTTTCGCGTTGCCCCTCAATGACTGACAAGCTTGATTGTGGGGGCTAGACAGGGATCACCAGTATCAACTAATGAGAAGCTTGCTCCTCTCCCGAAATTATCGTATTTGGGTCAGCGGTCTAGAATCTGTCATCGTGCTAAGCTTTGTCGTCCCTGGTCATCTTCCTCTCTTAGGCTGTTCTGGGATGGTTTACGCATGGGAATCATTGTTGGGGCAATGGCCAGACAATAGTCGTGATGACTGTACGTGCTGCATGGTGTCTTTGAATGCATCGTGCTGTCACTTATCCCCGAGCCATGGATCAGTGGTCAGTTTTGCAGGTGTGGTGCCAGCTGGGCGAATGGCGGGGTGGTTTTGAGACCTGTGGCTTTCAGGGTCTGAGGTGTGGCTGATTTGTGTGACACCGAAACTTAGATTTCCTTGATTATATTTGCCTGCGAGATATCTGGGCCTCGTCATTCGTCATTATGTTATGACATGTCTCGTTTTGATTTGAGCTAGTTCGTCGGAGTTAATGTTATTGGGTGGGGATTGTATTGTACTCAATCTTGCTTTTATTGTTTAATCACCAGGTATAGCAGATGACGCGAGTCCGAATACTACAACTACTTTCTACAATGAATAAAAGTCCAAACAGTATATATATATAAACGATACTTTGAATCCTCAAACTCACCCCTTCCTCTTCTTCCAGTACATAATTACCTCCACAGAACCAACCCAAAATCTGTATTTCTATAGACAAGCTAAATACCTCATGACAATGCAGTGATTCGTCCTAGATCTAGAGCCGCTCTCTTGAATTCTTCATTATAGCAGGTTCGACCTTTACTTTATTTTGTATGGTCGAGGTCTCTTTCAATAGGTTCTATAGATTCGATGTGTAACAAATAAGAAGTAAAACTCAGAGATTTCATAGAGGTCTAGTAGAACAGACTAACAGAGTAATGAAGCTTTATTTGAATAAAGTCTATATGGTAGCTGCAATTTGCAATAGACCAAAGCAAAGAACCATCGATGCGAGTCACATCGGCACAGCACAATACCACATCAGCACCAGCACAACAGGTGAGGTGCAACAATGATTCGATGAAAGGTTCAAACATGAGTGAGCTCTTGAAATCAAATATACAGCAAATCAAAGATCCTGCTGTATAGATAAATAAGCTCAACCACCAGTCTCCTAGTCCACAAATAGATCTTGCTCAACCTGGACGTTCATTGCTTACACACACCTAGGAGAGGAAAGAAAGTTGGAGATTTGAATCAATCAAGCATAGAGCGAGAAAGCTTGCTAGACATTTCTACTTAGAAAGTCCGATTGCACACGTCCTCCCATCCCTTACCTATCAAATCCCAACACCTCACAGCCTTTATTCCCACCAAGAAGATTATCCTCACACACATCACAGGAACGCAGAACTCATGAAATCACCCATCCATTCAACAGGTAACTGCCTGCCAGCCTGCCTATAATACAAATCTCCACGGCGACAAACCAAGCAAAAGCCTTGCCCATCAGCCCCCCAAACCAGCATATGCATTTTGATGTAATTTTTTTCACCACTCCTTTCCTTCTCCCACCCTTCCTTCTCCCACCCTTCCTTCTCCCTCCCCCTTCTCGTGTTCCGCTTAGCTCGAGAATTTACGTGTAACTTTCGCGATGACTATTCCCACATTAGACATACATAAGAGCAATGAGGGGGAAAAGGAAACTCACTATGTAAAGCCACAACACTAAAGATGAACACCAAGGACAACACAAGCACAACAACAGGATCGACCTTCAGTCCCGGGGATTCATCGGTGTAGAGCTCTGTTCCTCACATTAGCCTCCTTCTCCTTCCTCTATAAACACCACCACGCAAACAGAGAAACCTACTCAACATCGTACTACTACTCCCCCCCGCACCAGCCGCCCGCGTAGAGCTCGGCCGCGCATTAGCAACCTTATCCTTCTGATCGGCCGCCGCACGACGCCGGATCGCAGTCTTGGGTCCGCCAGGAGGAGTAGGGGATGAAGGGCGTCCGGTGCTGGAGCCGAGGGCGCCGGCTGGGCTGTTGACGGGGGAGGAGGGGCGTGGTGAGGACTATTTTGTACAGGTTAGGAATTGCTTGATCTTGTGGAGAGGAAGGGGAGAAGGGGAGAAGGCGATGGGGAGGCGCGCAAGAAGGTAGGAGAGGGAGGAGAGGGAGGAGAGAGGGTGTACCATTGTGTGGAGATTCCGAGGAAGAGGGTGGAGAAGAAGAATTAATGGCGCAAAGGATCGATTGAATTGAACTTTGCAAAGGAGTGGAAATTCGTTCGTTCGTTCGTCAGTTGGCTGGTTGTGGAAGTGTCGTTTCGTGTGCTTGGGGTTGCGAGGTTCAAAATATCTGAATTGAGGACACTCATCATCCAGGAGCTCGGCTGAGAGCAGGGGTTCTTTTGGCGCTAGCGGTTTAGGAGCGAAATCTGGGGACGAGATCACAAACGCCTACTTCTATTCCTAGGCAAATTTGAGCTGTCACAGATGGGTTTTAGTAATTAAATATTCAGTCACATTCTGCACAATGCTAGTAAAGGTCTCAAAATGAGTTTTTCGAAACGACGCTGGGCGCATCGTATGCTATGCCTGTTTGCTCAGTAGCTACATACCGTCCCCAACTACCACCAAACCTGACTTATGCTTTGATACAAGTAGGTATCGATCGCGCTCAAGATGCGCATGCTATGAAGAAGATGAAAAATGAACAAAGGAAAACTCCCATCGGCGTCTGCGTGATTTCGCTCTGTGGTCATTGAAAAACTCGCTATCGCTCGCCTCCCCATCATTGGACAAGAAAAGAAAAGTATGGAAGAAAGAAACAACAGTTCATGATGCTGTTCTGTAACCCTTCGAGGCTGGAGTCTCTTTTTCAATCTGAAAACCCTCCCATGTAACCCGTCAAAGACACCCTTCCCCCAGAAAATTCTTTGCCCGTCCATTTTTTTTTTGATAACCCGCTCAAAAGACCCATCGCCCTCCCCGAAAGTCGAAAAGGCTTGATCTGGTCTTGCCGGAACGAACCAATTATATAGATTAAACAGTAGTACATTCTACAATGAAGCCAAAGGTATCAACCGAAACGCCTTCCGCTATGAGAGCAAGTGTATTTGCATGCAGGAGCGCACTTATAATTTGCTTCAAAGGGCGACATCAAGGACAAGGCTGACATCTCGAACCTGCGAGCCTGCTAAATCTTCGAGGACTGGTATCAGGTCGAGGAGTTCATTATCGTGGGCGTCAGAAAACCAACTGCTGATAGGAACAGCATGTTGGGGGTGGAAGATGTATGACGTTGGCGAGTTGTCGATGATGATAGTCTCTCGAAGATCTCGGCCCACCTGAGAAAGATCCTTTACATAGTTGCCCTGATGATTATAACAACTTTCGCGGAATAATCGGTGGTGTACCACGTGATGAATATCTAACTGGTCTAGAAGGGGATCGCCGTACTGTGGTCTGTCAGAAGAGTCGCTCACAGCGGGGGAGCGAGCTTACCTTTGATACTGAAGCTGTGAAGACCACAACCTCATATAATTCTCCTACTCTCTTCATGAATTGATCGACACCTGGTCGCTTGATCACATATACATTATGATATTGACCTTCGATCTCAACTGGAATTGTGAAATCGGCTTGATGAAGAATCTAAGAAAAAATGTTAGTGGGCGAAAATAAGCAAAGAGAGAAAAGTGCATGCCTTGAAACTGCTATGAACCAGAGTCTCGTCGAGATCGAGAACCAAGCATTTCTTTCCCTTGAATCTTGGTGCAATCGGCGGAAGAAGCCATTGCTGCTTCGGCTCAGCTTCAGGGGCTGCGGGAACTTCGCTTGGACCGGCTTGAACTTGAGGCACTGGTGGTGGAGGAGGTAATGTCGGCTTCGGAATTTCGTCTCTCTGAGGTGCTGGAGCTGGGGTTTCTTCCTTGTCGGCTGGGACTGGTTGCGAATCCTCCATTTTCGTATCCCCTTCAGCATCCTTCTCCTCTGCAGGTAGAGCTTGTGCAGGAAGACTGGCTGATTCCGAGCTTGGAGTTTGAACGACGACCGCTGGGTTGACTTCGCCAGTTGGGACAACACCATGTGACTCTACCTCTTTTGGTAGATCAGGTAATGGTTGGTCTCGTACATCACCAGATGACTTGTTCAAATCTCCGTTTGCAGCGGCAGGTATGCTTGCTCCAGAATCCTGAATTCTCCCTGAGGCTAGCCCAGTCATATCACTGCCATTCTGCTCCGGTTCTGACTTTGTTGCATCTTGCCTCAACGCTTCCTTCTCCGTCTGAGGTTGGGTATTATTAGCGGGAGTGGAAGTTGCTTGCTCTGGTTTGCTAGCTGTTGTTGGCCGTCCAGAAGGCACCTTTGAAATCTTGTTTGCGGGCACAACTGAGTCACTCGGATCTGTAGGATTGGCAGAGTCTGGAACTCCGCAGCAGAGGAATGATAAGAAACCCTTCTTTTTGGGCTGCTTGGATGTGGGGGCAGAGTTCGTAACGTTGGTGTTACCCGTTGAGCCATCAGTTTGGCCTTGCTGGGTTATGGACATTTTGCTGCTTGTCGCACTCCCATCCCGTCTCCTCCCCAGAATGCTGCCCTTCGACTCTTTCGATCCGTCCCCAATACTGTCTCTTTGGTCACTCGCAGTTACACCACTTAAGCCTGTAGAGGTCGGAGATGGCTGAATCTTTTGAGAGGAAGATCTTGATGGAACGTAAAGAAGCCCTCGGTTTTTCTTTGGGACTTCTGGAGCCTCTTCCGTTGCTCGAAGGTAGTCCTTCTCACTTTGTGACCCCGATAAGACTGGTGTCTCTGAATCTTCGGTATTGATTGTGTTTTGAGCCGTAGAGGTTGCTTGAGTCGACGAGCTAGGTGGATGGGGAGTGTTCGTGACTTATTAGAAGTTAGCATGCGATCTCCTCAGCCGATCTACTCATATTATCCGCTCTTGGCGCATGGCAGTGAATTGAAGCAATATTAATCACCGAGGAGAAGAGAGGTACATACAAGTTGAGGTATCTAGCGCGGGTGGTTTAGTACCTTTTGCTGAAGCTGAGCGGCTAAGATCTTGCTCGGTCGGTGGAACTGTCTCGTTGCTCATCGAGGGCAATTGATGACCCCGTCAGGTCTCTTGCAGCGACCGTCGTTATTGAGCTCCGTCGCTCGTACTTGAAATATCACCTCACACACACTTTCTCTTCCCACGCGTAGACGGGAGGCGGGCCTTTTGACGTCTGGGACCCCTATGATAATGCGGCTCGGGGGACGTCCGATATCTCTCGTCGCGCGACCTGGGACGCTGCAACGCGACAAGCAGAGATGAAGCTGGCGCGGAGCGATGCGACAATTGATGCAAACAAGAAACGGAAGATTCGAGCTCTGATAGCACAACGGAAGCTCTGCTCTCGGGGTGGGAAGACAAGACGGGCTGAGCGAGGCAAGTTGGGGTGATGGATCGGAGGAGGCTAGAGACGCTAGCGAGATTGAGGTTTAAGATTACCTGTGGCTGACGCCGAATGAAGAATCGGTACAAGACGGTGACAGAGCGGTCGGCTTGGGGAACAATTGTTGCAACGACAATTATTGTCGTCGTCGTGGATTGAATGATATTGACTTGAGTGATACAGATAGATGGCTCGAAAGGAGGAGTGAAGTGTAGTGTAGTGTCGTGTACTAGCAAGCAGGCAATGGTTTGTATTGATGGAAGACGGGAGGTCCTGGTCTGGCCTGGATTACTGGTCGGGCGGCCGTGGAGAGAGCAGAGCAGAGGAGAGCAGGTATTATTATTGGCCTGGCATGCGCGGGTTGCACTGCAGTGCAGTGCTTAGGTTCTTTCTCAAGCTCGAATCGATGGCCGCCCCGAGCATACTTCATCATGCATCAAACGGTCTCCTTCTTCGAGAGGTCGCCTCCGCCTGGAAAATCGCGAAGCAACTATTCAACGCCCCCGTCTCGAACCTGCATGCCCTGATGGGCCCTCAATGGGGCCTGGGGCCATTCACAGCGTGTTCACGGCCAGCCACACCGCGCTGGGAAGCTCCTTCAGACCTGGGTGAAGACATGGTCGAAGGTGTGGAAGTGAGTGGGAGGCGAATCAGATTAACCGCCGTGGTTTTCGTCCCTCATTTCATCCTATCAAAAGCACTTTTAATCCAAATCCAAACGAGAACGCCCAGGATCATCACCATCTCTCCATGTCTCTCGATGATTGCCGTCTGGAACACCTCATTTATCCTGGGTGCATCGCTTCTATTGACTTTATACGAGAACTGTACGGCTTCAAAAGATGGCAGACAGAGCAGAGCAGACATCGTCATATCTTTTACTGTAGACGGCTTAGACGAACGATCCATCGCTGCATGTCTGGCCCGCTTGCCAATGATTACCTGCTTCTCGAGGATGGTAGTGCATTTTCCTGTTACGCAAGACAGCATGAATCGAAATAGACATCCGGTGAGTTTTCTGCCTGTCGATACAAGATCTGACGTTCCCGGAAAAGATGTGTTCTATATCTTAACCTGTAAGATCTTCCTAAGTTAAAATATTTCAATGATTCGTCCGTCCTCGCCTCCTTTGACGTTCGCGGTCTGAGGTCAAAACTCAAGACGGACCCCATCACGGCGGCTACGGTGACAGGCCTATCGGCTGGCTACCGCTGTGGTCAAATCTCACGTTGGACCCAGCATAACCCTGGGTTTATTCCAAACCGCGAGAGCCTCTTTCGTTCCTGTCAGCATTCTGTGCGCTTCGAACCTGGAGAAAAAGCAAAGAACGAGGGGCTATTGTCCAGGTGGGGCCTGGTGTTTCGTTTGACAACACAATACTCTGCATGATTCACATTGAAGCTGGCGTGCGTTTGCCAGAGTCGACAGCCAAACTCCTCGTTTCCTCCGCTATCGCTTTTGCCGGATTTTCTGGTCAACAGGTTGCATAATGGGCCCGCTGTCGGTTCACATCCGGCCTCCTTGAGGGAACACTTATAAGGCGATGTGCAGGTTGGTAATGTGGCCTCGAAACTAGAAATATCGCTGTCGCCGTCCGAATCCACAGCAGCATAATCTATGAAGAGGGATCTCACGTATTGGTACAACACTAGAAACCCAAAAGTACACAGTAGTAAGCAGCATCATGCAATATCACATGTATCTCAGATTCCTGTTGCTTTATTTAGGAATGCCGGCCCGTGCCTGGCAACTTTTGCTGAGAAAAGTGAGAAGGAGGGGACAACTCTTTGTGGGGTAAACCCCTTGCAGAGCTCGTATGCCAAGTAATCTTGGTCTTTATTTTAGCAGCCGCTAGCTAACTCAGGATATGTGAAGCGAGCATATCCCTAAAGCCACTCCGTGTCATGATTCATGCACTTTCCACATGCCTCGGTGAAAGCAATCTTCAAGGTTGACATTCACATGCGCCTCAATATCTGCATTGAACGTGACTCTCAAAATCTGCGTTCTCCAACGAGAAATTGTGATATCTGTTGCTATACGCTCTATTGTACGTTCTGCGGTACTCGGCATTACTCGATTTCAAGCACTCTGGATGCATGGAACAAGGACAAGATCGATCCGACAATAAAAGACTTAACAATGTAGAAAGACACATGCAAAGGGCACAAACGGCGGATTTCGGACACGATGGCTTCTCAATCAACGCTGCGACACTCCGCAGACCCTATAGCCAATCTCTACCAGCAATACATGAAGCTCTTCCGCGACCGATTAAAGGGCACTTCCCGATCAACCCGACTGGTTGGCACATTAGTACTCGCGCTCTCGATCATAGTTTCGGGCGCAGGGGGTCGAAGATGGTGGAACAAACAGAAGGCAGAGAAGGAGCAAGGTCGACGCCTGCTGCGACGAAATTCAGGCTTGAAGAATAAAGATGGCTCTCGTATTATCTTTGTTCCTTACAAGGACTCGACATCCAAAGTCACCATACACCCGACGAAGTCCTTAACCTTCGATGCGCATCGCAGACTCTTCCTAAATCCACCTCGAGCTTCCGGACTTTCAGATGGAGTCACACCTCAGATTCCGCCGCCTCAGACGAAGCCTGGCCTCAATCTGGCATTCTTGCATCAGTTTCTCAGTCTCCTGAGTATCATGATACCGAGATGGACGAGCAAAGAAACTGGATTGCTACTAAGTCATGGAATGTTTCTTATGTTACGCACATATCTCTCATTGGTGGTGGCTAGACTAGATGGTGAAATTGTACGAGATTTGGTTGCTGGCAACGGGAAGTCTTTTGTTTGGGGTATTATCAAGGTATGTCTAGGTTCTGCAATATCTCTGTCCTAAGCTGTGGAATTTGGACCTATCTTTAAATTTCAGTTTCAAGCCTACTAACTTCGTCAGTGGTGTGGAATTGGCAGTTTTGCCTCTTACACCAACGCGATGATCAAATTCCTACAATCGAAAGTCTCTATTGCCTTCCGAACACGACTTACACGATACATCCATGATCTATATCTCAACGACAGTCTCAACTACTACAAATTATCGAACTTAGACGGAGGCATTGGACAGGGAGCTGATCAATTTATCACCCAAGACTTGACACATTTCTGTGCATCAGCGGCAAGCCTGTACTCTTCTTTGGGCAAACCTTTCGTTGATCTTTTGGTGTTCAACTACCAACTATATCGATCACTAGGGCCCTTAGCTTTGACCGGGCTCATGAGCAATTACTTCCTTACTGCAACTATTTTGCGAAAGCTTTCCCCTCCATTTGGCAAATTAAAAGCTGTAGAGGGTCGCAAGGAGGGTGATTTCCGAGGCCTACATGCTCGCCTCATTGCGAATGCTGAAGAAGTGGCCTTCTATGGAGGTGCGAGTATGGAGAAGAACTTCTTGGATCGAGAGTTTAAAGGCCTGAAAAGGTTCATGGAAGACATCTATACATTGAAAATCCGATATAACATCCTCGAGGACTTTGTACTCAAGTACAGTTGGAGTGCTTACGGGTATCTTCTTAGTTCCCTCCCCGTTTTCTTACCGGCTTGGGGTGGACTTGGAGGCATACAAGAACTTGCCGATCCATCGGTGACTGGCGGTCGTGAACGAGATCGAATGAAATCGTTCATTACGAACAAGCGGTTGATGCTGTCCTTGGCTGATGCCGGTGGCAGAATGATGTATAGCATCAAAGATCTGTCGGAGCTAGCAGGCTACACCTCTCGAGTCTATACTCTGATCTCTACTCTTCATCGAGTTCATGCGAATGCCTATTTTCCACAACGTGGCACTCATGCCGAACTCTTCTCTCTTTCAGATGTCCAGGGTACTATCCAGAAAGGGTTCGATGGTGTCCGCCTCGAAAATGTACCAATTGCTGCTCCATCAATATTCCCTCATGGCGGTGAAGAGCTAATTGATTCTCTCTCCATGATCGTCCATTCTGGAGAACACCTTCTTGTACGTTCATACAGTTGCCGGCTTACCTGACTTCGCTAATATGAACAGATTTCTGGCCCCAATGGTGTTGGTAAGAGCGCTGTAGCACGAATTGTAGCCGGACTTTGGCCCGTATATCGAGGATTGGTGTCAAGACCACGAACCGTTGGTACCGATGGGATCATGTTCCTTCCACAGCGGCCGTATCTAAGTGTAGGCACCCTGCGAGACCAAGTCATCTATCCAGATGGAGAAATCGAAATGCGAGATCGTGGAAGGAGAGATATCGAATTAAAGCGCATTCTTGAGGAAGCTCGTCTTGGCTATCTTCCAGACAGAGAAGGAGGTTGGGATACAAGAAAGGAATGGAAGGATGTTTTAAGTGGTGGTGAGAAACAGCGCATGGCGATCGCAAGGCTATTATACCACGAACCTCGATATGCTTTCATTGATGAAGGCACATCCGCTGTATCATCGGACGTCGAGGGACTGCTGTATGAGAACTGCAAGGAGAAGGGTATCACGTTGATCACAATCAGCACTAGAGCCAGTCTGAAGAAGTACCATACATTCAATCTCACACTCGGCATGGGTGATGACGGGACAGAATGGGAGTGGGAAAGAATTGGCACTGAGAAGGAAAAGATGGGCGTCGAGAGAGAGCTACACGAACTCAGAGAAAGACTGGCCAAAGTCAAGGACTGGGAATCCAGACAGGCTGAGATTAATGAAGAATTGGCGAAGGTATGGGTTGGGGGCGAAGTCCTGGAGAGTCCAACATACACGGAGCAGAATACCGCCGATCCTAACGACATTCCATCATGACGCATATTCCGACGCATGAGTACGGACTTTGGAGTCGACATGTAGAATATTTTGGGTATTCGCTTATACAGGGATTTCGCTCCACAGCGAATAGGAGCCTCGTTTAAGTTCACTTAAGTTAAGCATAAATGCGATATCCAATTTCCCCGAAACCACAGCGTCACAATCGCCGGTGATTCGTTTCGCTGATACGCTAAATCACTCTACCTGGCAAAAGTGTCGTTTTATGTCCCAACCCCAGAATCACTATACTTGGCAAAAGTGTCGTTTATCTCAAATACCGAAACCTCAAAGCTCCGTACCAATCGCCGCCCCTCTTTTACATATCTCGTTCATCTCATCAACCGTTAGTCCAGGTACGCATTCAGCCATAATGGGTATCGCACTAAAAGACATGCATTTCTTTAATGGGTGTTCCAGACAAGCTCTAGGGAGCTCCGCAGAGATAGATGAGAAATGAAGTAGATAACCACGGATACTTCATCCATTCAATGATCTTTCATATATGCTCCTCGTCTCGAATTTATGCTATTCCGTCCCGCGGTGCAAGTGCCCACAGGCAACCGGCACTTATATAAAGACCTCGCAATTGGGACGGACGTGCTCATTGCTATCCAAGCTCCTTCGTCTCTGCTCCTGCTTATAAGTCAGAGCTCTTTTCCAAGCCTTTTCAAATTCCTTGCGTTCAACATAGTCGTTTCTAATATACCATCCATTCCATTCTACTACCTCGAACTCAAGATGAGGTTCTCCCTCTCCACCGTCTTGCCATTGGCAATGGCCATTTCAGCCTCTGCCCAGGGAACAACTAGTGTCTACACCGAGCCCAAGACTGGTATCGCATTCGAGACATATATGGATCCCACCGGCTATGCCTTCGGTATCGCCCTTCCCACTACGCCATCAACCGATTTCGTCGGTCTCTTAGTCGGAAAAGGAAAGGGATGGGCTGGCGTCTCCCTCGGGGGGTCCATGATAAACAAGCTATTGATAGCCGCTTGGCCAAGCGGAACCAGCCTCATCTCTACCTTCAGAGAAACTCCGTAAGCACGGCTCATCCGCATCTCAAAATGGTCAAAGCACTAATCTTCCACCTTCCTGACAGACGCATCGGCAACCCACCCGAAGCAAACGGATCCTACACCATGACCCCCATCGCGGCCGGAACATACACAAACGCAACCCACTGGTCCTACGCCTTCCTTTGCAAAGGCTGCATTCTCGCAGACGGCACGACCTTTGCTTCGAACGCCAGCACCGATGTTCTGGGATGGGCTTTCGCTACCGCGGCTCCTACCATGCCCGCTGCTCATGGCAGTGCCTTGCCGAAACATAGCACGCAGGGTAATTATGGGATGAGCTTTTCAGCTGCTAGGACTGCGAAATATGCTACGTATGCGGCGTTGGCGGGTGCTCCTGCTACTACCCCGAGGGCATTCAATGCTTAGGGTTGTGAAGGAAGTGGTGGTTCAGTCGATGGAGATAGGATGGAAAATGATTGATATGAATCTGGACTTGAAAGTGTACATACAGACACAAGAAGTAAATGTAAATAGAAATGACTAAGGCCAAGGAAAAAAAACCATTCCATGATCCCCTGACGATTCATCACATCACACCACGTGAGATATAAGCGAGCTTTCTAAAAGGGGTAAACTCAGGGGAAACCATAAATTAACGGCAGAACACCACCCTTCAGCCTGAACAATCTAATCCTAAAGAATCTGCTCAACCAAAACCCTACTCCACGACCTGGTGTCCTCTGCTCCCTCTCCTCATTGGCCCTTAAATTCCCGCATCCACGGCTGTTCGATGTCTCCCCTGATGGCCAAGCCCGCACATTGCGGGGTGAGCTCCACGGCCTCTCCCCAACAGGACCAACTCGCCCTACGAAAACCGAGGCTGAATGTCCTATCCAGTATGAGTTGCAGCGAGCCAATATATGCCGGTGTCTCCTCCCGCCGTTCGTCAGAACAGAGAAAGAGAAAAGAAGAAGAGAAAAATTTAAAGGGTAAAAATGAGTTCCGGATCCGGCAGTTCCACCACATAAACAAGCCAACGGCGCAACAAGACAACGGGGTATTTGTGGAATGAGTCTAGACCCCGTGGAATTTTCTCTTGCCAATATAGAGATTCGATCGTGCCCTGGATCAATCGATCTGGGAAAGGCTTGTTTACACCGCCTTGGAAGGATCTGAATCTTGGTTCTCTTCCCTTTCCCTCCGCTCCTTTCAGAACAGAAGGGAAGAAGGTCAAGTATATTCATGATGGTGCACTCCGTGAGAAGGCTTCTACCAATTCTCCTGGTGCCATGGCTGGTGGACGCGAAGACCTTGACTGCGAAGATCAAGACACCTATCAACAATACCCTGGAGTATGGAGTAGCGACCGAGTGCAAGACGTGTCCGTACAGTCTCTGCACGAATAAGGCGTATTACGACTACGGGACGACGGTGACGCTGCTGTGTTGGACTGTGGGAACGCAAATTGATAATGATACGTATGCTAGAGCTCGGTCTGAATATTGGATGAGTTGCTGAAGCGATGAGCAGAACGTGGCTTGAGACTTCGGATGGATGTTACGTCACGCAAGACGACCTGATGGCATACAATGGAACTTGTAAGTCATACCATGGGACTGGGAAAACTTGTCAGGTCAGCAATTGACTTTCTGCAGACGAGACGGACTTGAGTTACTGTGGAGAGGACTCGGAAGAAGAGAATCTCACATTCGACACTACCGTTGTACAATACGACAGCGAATGTAACATCTGCCCCGACAACCTCGACTGCGCCACCGTTATGTATTTATCTCCAGATACCGAAATAATAGTAACCTGTTGGACGGATGCTGGAGCGGCAGTCATTGGCGATACGTATGCGTCTTTTTTTCCCTTTCCTAAACTTCTGCCACTTTTCTCGAGAAGCTAACAAGAAAAAACAGCACATGGCTCAAAACAACAGACAACTGCTACGTAAATGAACAAGGCCTCCGTGACCCAGCAAACAAAGATATCCTCGACAACTGCGGCCCCATAGGCTTCCTGCAGCTAAACGACACCGGTTCACGAAAACGCGAATCTCTACCAGACCGTGATCCAGCACCTGATCTCTCCTCACCTCCAGGAACAGGGATAGATCTCGGCTCGCAATACCTCGTCAACCTCACCGTTGGCGAAGACTACGCATACTGCTACAACTGCCCCAACACGACAACCTGCGACGTGGTGACGAGATATAGGTTCAAGCAGGAAGTGTGGATGCAGTGCTACTACACGGCGCCGGTAGAGGTTGCGAATGAGACGTATTGGTATGAGACGACGGACTTTTGCTATGTGCGGGAGGTGGACTTTTTTCAGAGTTTGTTTGATCGTGAGTAACCTAAAACTTGGATGGAGAGGAAAGGGGGGTGCTGACAGAGTGGTGTAGAATATAGATTCCCGGATTGTAGTTTGTTTGATCAGGATACGACGACGACGAGTAGGTAGGTGGTTTGGAGAAGGGCAAAAAATTGGTGGAGAGTAATTTAGTCTACCAATCGCCTGTTTTATACCCTTTACTTCTTGTGAACTCTTGAAAAGTGGAGAAAAAAGAAGATCGCAAGTGCAATTCGAGAGATATAAGCGCAGCTCAACAAATCCGGCCAGCCTTGTGATTGCTTTTGTTAGAGATTATATCGGCATAGGTTTACCAGCAAGGCCCCCTTTCCAAAGTTTTTAAATCATGGCTTGAGGCAGGCTTCAAGTGCGGCATGGTAGTGGAACAATGGACAGCTCTAATGTCCTCGATTTCTTACAGACATCTAGGGAGTGAAAGTAAAATGCACCGATGCAATTCGAGAACTTCAAGCGCAGTTCATCAAATCGTGGTAACCTTGTCATTACTCTTCTTAGAAATCAAGTGAGCAGCACAAGGTTTCCAGCAAAGTTTGCTCTTTCAATCTTATCAAATCATGGCTTAACAAAGACTTAAAGTGCGGCATTGTAGTGGAACATTGACCAGTTCTAATATTCTTCACTTCTCAAGGATATTGGATAAAGCAAGTAAACAGTTTGCAAATTCATTTTGAGAACTCCAAGTGCTGCTCAAGAAGTCAGGGCGAGTTTGTGGTTATTCGGAGTGAAAGCCAACTCAGCACTGGATCTCTAATAAAGCTCTTTGGGTAACATAATTGGCAAGAACTGAAGTCTAATCCCACTCTTCCTTCACCGCACACTAGAGTTATTAGATGAATGGTATACGATTCTCAAAGCTTGAAAAGTTACACCAACAGACCGCCCGCGTTAAGCCAAACCCCACGAACGCAGATCAACTGATGGGAATATGGAGAAGTAGTATACGTATCTCCCCGCTTAGACATTTCTCGTTGAAGTTCCCTCCCCTCCAGTTCTCGGGATCCTTCAAAAACCTAAGTTTCCTGGTGATTCAAAATCTCAATAAATGGTTTTAGCCCTCCAGCTAATGCTGAACCCCACGATTATGTTTGTAGACTCGCTCGAATATAGCCCGTGGTCGGGACCGAGTTTTGGGGAGACATTTTTCGATGACAAGATGCCATATACGACGAGGTGAGTACAGAGGAGTGGTATCTTTCTAGTCAATTGCATCCTTTCAGACTCAATTTTGAGCTTATATTCAAGCTGTTGTATCCTCGGTAATTTGGAGTTTTCTACACTATGCTTTACATCTCCTGTTCATTGCTGGCGCTGTTGTGTATTATTCCAGTCCTGCAGCAGGATTGCTTCCACGTACTGCCAAAGCCCCTACTGTTACTGAAGTTTGTGACACGAGAAATGTGATTCAGCATTGCGCGCAAGGCTGAAAAGTCTCCATCATCTGTATATCTTAATATGTGAATTTAATGGAAGGTTATTTCTATATTGCGAGCTGCCATGCATTGTTTTCTCGAACTACTCTTGCCTCTCTTTTTGTTCTTGGTCCAGCTCCATCCCCCTTTCTCATGCAAGAAATCCTATTTGTGTTATTTGCGCTTTTCGCGCTGTTCGCGCGATTCGCCCTACTTGCGCTACTTGTGCCCCGATCGAACTTGCTTACAAAATATTATGGAGATAACTATTCTTTCAAAGTGGAACTCCAAACTCTTTTTAATAAATTATTTTATGATATGAGTTTACTCAAGATCTCTCTGAATATTTGTGCAGTAGAGCAAATGCATATGATTCCTACCAGAAAGTGAAAGCATACCTCGAAAGCCTCTTTCAAAATTTGCCATCTTCTTCATACCAACTTCTCCTCAGGAGCATGATGCCCTTGATCACGATTTATGAAAAGTGTTCCGCTTATAAGCTATAATAGCAATCAAAACACATTGAAGGAGGCTTCTCATAACAGGAGGTTGAAGCTTGTGTCTAGGCTTAAATAGTGATCACATCAGGAATGATTCTGGTCATGTGTTTAGACCTTGGAGCGAAGCAAAAGTGGTGGAATTTTGTCCCACAATTACAGTCTCTAAAGTAGGTGTTTGCTTTTATGTGAATCACTCACATAATCCCCTGAGTGTATAGAAGCTGCATCAAATTCGTGAATTATATTCATCAAGCAAATCATCAAACCCTAGAGCAGTTCTCTACAGTCAATGAGTTCAAGAGTTTTCTACAAGATAGCTATGCTAAGAGACCTAGAACAAAACCACAATAGGTTCAAAACAGTGGATCAGGTTATTATCGTATCCCATGGTCACAAAGGAAAAAAACACAAAATTGATGTGCAGTTTCCAGGACAGTGGGAACAATGAGCTCAAGTCTTGGGACAATGGATCAGGGTAGCCTATAGTCACAAAGCGAAGAGCTATGAAGTCGATGTACAATTCCAAGGACAATGAGGACAATTGAGTTTTTACGGAGATATAATTTTGATTTTTGAAAGTAAGAGTGAATTAATCAGAAGATTGTGCGTTGTGCAACTACCAAGCACAGTCCTCCAGCGGTTATTATTCACAAGAAAATAGCAAAGCCACATCTGTCTCAACAACTACACAACATTTATCAAAGCAACTGTCTTCCTCCAAAAGATACCATATCTTTATCCAAAGCGACAAAAGTACTTCAGCAAGAAGCCATGGAAGAAACCCGTACCAAAAGCACCTGCGCCCTGGTCGTCATCGATGTCCAGAACGAGTTTCTCTCCACTAAGGGCAACTTCCCCATCTCCAACGACTGCAAACCCAATCTCGTCAAGAACCTGAAGAACCTCATTCCCCAGTTCCGACAAAGCGGTGGTCACGTCATTTGGGTCCAAGCCATCTACAAGAACAGAACAGAAGAACCAGCCCGCATGAAGGAGCAGACCAAAGGGAATGGAATATTGGGGAACAACGAATGGCTCACCGTCGCTACACACGTCTTCCCAACACCGTGTTGTGAAGCTGGTAGCTTTGGAGCCCAGATCTACCCCGAGGTCTTCACTCTTGCAGCTCCAGACGACGCTGTCGTTACGAAGGGAGGATACTCTGCGTTCAATGAAAGCACGGCTTTGCTCGAAGCTCTCCGCGAGAGGAAAGTCACCAATGTTTATTTCTGTGGAGTCGCATCTGGAACATGCGTCCTTGCAACTGTTTTGGACGCCGTTAAGCTTGGGGATCTCCAGGTTCATGTGGTGCCGGACTGCATGGGTTGGAGGAGATACAATACCCATGAAGCAGCTATTGCTAGATTCCAGGAGCTGAAGGTGAATCTGATCAATAGCAGTGAAGTCGAACTGACGACATCCTCACCTTGGACTCCCCCATATACTACCAAAAGTGACGAGACTTAAGGATGTAAACAATATGATTAGAGCTAGGCTCACAGAGTTTGGATAGTTGAAACATGCGCAAGCACAGAAAATTCAACCTCAGCAAAATTTACAGATTCCCAAAAGTGACTTTTATTGTGAATAACAAGAATGTCTGCTACAAGTGAAGATTCCCAATCCGGCAAACATCGGTGCATCCCCCCTTTTCTAGTAAATGCGCTAGCGCTAAGCGAGTCTTGTAGCTAAACTGATTACCCCTCATTGACCGCCCATTGAGACTAGTATCGACCCATTCACGAACAGGAACAAGTCAAAGGGAGAGTAACCGCTCCACACAAGGGTTTTAATGTGACCGCTGGTTCTCTTCCTGTTTTATGACATTCGCCTTGTTCACAATGGTCCGGACATGAGTTGACAACGAAATAAGATGTGACAGCAACTATTCTCCCTTGACAACTGTCTCATTCTCAATGAAGGGAGACTTGTAAAATCCGGGAACTTTTGGCCCATAGTGGTTGCTGGATCCGAGACTTTCAAATGTGGGCATCAGATCCGTGATACTTTTCGAATATCATGAGTGCGAATGAATTGAGGAGGAGATGAAGGCAGAGAGAGGTCGTTTTATAATTACTAGCGTCGAGCTAATGAGAAGGAATGGAATGAAGACAAAGCATTAGTGAATCTTGAAAACTCGTTCTGCTTGCAAAGACGTCGGAGAGTCTGAGTGAATCTGAGATTGTTCAATAGTAATTAGGCCTCGCCTTCTTTGCTTTCTCCCCTCCCCAAAGAATAGACCAATTTCCTTGAATCACAGGAAAATCGGACATTCAATCATAAAACTATTTAGAAATAAGCTTGAGAAACTGGAACTGCCAAAATGGAGTAAGGAAACAATATCTAAAAGACTGCGAAATACCAAGCTCCTTCCCATGAACCTTATATCCCGGGTATATGCGCCCTCTAAACACATATTAAGCTACACTATAAAGCGCCTAATCACCTCGTCAGATGACTTCTTAAGTTCTAATAAGGCTCTTTATAATGGTGTTGATGATTAGATTAGCTCGCTATGTTGGATACGAAACCTCAACGGCAATGCTATTTGTGACGATAACAATGTCCGTTAGCATTTCATTCATAAAACTCCCATTTATAGTTCGGAATGTCCTCGATAATAGAAAGGGCTTGAAAGTAGGAGGCAGAAGAGAGTTTATTGTGTCGAGATAGAGGAAAATGTTTTGAACACGTTTTGGAGAGATCTGCAAAGATGCTGGACAGATGTATGGTTTCCAGTGTTGAGGTCGAGGAAACTAGTGATGAGGGAGTGGAAAAGGTTTTTTCTGGATGTTCATTAACATGGGATACTCACATAAGGACGAGGGAGAAGGGCTATGGGTCTCGAGTAGGAAGCGAGGTCTTTGCGCTGTCCACTTGAATACGATAAATGAGGTAGTAAGAAAGCTTGGAAGTCATTCAATCATCCAATTCTTAGGGACACTATCCTTGCACTTCCCCAGAAAGTTTCCAACAAGCCTTCCCAATCACAGGTGCCATCTCATGGCTTGAACCCCATTTGCCAATCTTCTCCTCTCCTCCCTCTCTGCAAATCTCGCTCGCTCGTCAACCTCAATAGCCCCTCTCCAAATACGCGTATAAATATCCTCATCCGTCGTCATGAGATTAGCCACCAACCACCGCTTGTCTTCCCAAGCAACGTGCTCCCATCGTTTCAGGATCGATTTCAACCTTCGTCTCGTTTCGTTGCGGACGATTTCTTTGGCTTGGTGCTCCATTTTCTAAGACGTTGTTAGTCTAGTGATGATTTTCATGGAGCCAGAAACACCTACACAGATGATTTGTTGTCGCAGTTCGGACCATGCCGTCTTCACTGTAGGCTTTGCTTCTGTGATGTTGATTTCTGTCTGGTGAATGGTGGTGCTTTGAGTCTTGCTCGGAAGGTGGAACTTCATGGCGATTCGAAACTGAAATGAGGAGTAGCGGTAAGGATGATGCACATGAGCTTGAGCGATGATTATGGTAGTGATATCGTAATTGCAAACGATGTAATTTCTAAGAACAAGATCTAGATGACAACAAAAGGGAATCAACTGCTCCTTCCTCCAACTCCAAATGCGTTTCGCCATATCGAGAAGTCTCGACCCAACACCTAACACCAGATCAATTTATATGATATGACACGTGCAAACATTTCAATGCTCTTTCTTCAATCACCACCTCCTGAGTCCTCATCTGAATTCACAACCCCACCATGCAGAGCGAAGAATCGCTCAAACTTGGGCACCTCTAACCACCCCATCATCGGAATCACTTGCCAACTTCTTCTCTTGCAACGGCGCTTCGACAATCGGCTTGAACCAAATGCCAGGATAAGCAAAGGTCAATGCTGCAACAGCAATACAACACATCGCTCCATCCAGAACATAGAAGCTGACTTCATCCTGCATGATCTTATTCTTCCAGCCGCCAGCAAGCTCCGCAATTCGATAGATGCATCGGACGTAGATACCAGCAGAAGCAATGAATATGCCCCAAGCAAAGACTCTGAAGTTCTTGGAGTGCAGAACAGAGAGCTGAGCCTCAGTCATCGTGTGATGGTTTGCGCGAAGGTTGCGGATAAAGAGGATGAGAAGCGTGTAAAGGAACGTGAAGGTCGCAACCTGGAACACGATACCAGCCAACATGATATGTCCACCATCCGCAGAGGTACTTGGGGTATTGGCCGAAGCAGCAGTTCCACCTCCAGCGCCTTGCAGAATGAGAGACAAGAGATCGCAGCTGATGAAGATCCATGGGTAGAGCGGCGGTTTGATGGGCGAAAACTGAGGACCGATGGCTCGGACCATGTCTTTCAGTGTGAGATAGAGGGCGGCGGCGAAGAATGAGGGAGCGATAATCAGACAGCAGATTTGCATCTCGAAGCCTGCGTTGTTCCATGGATTGCTGTGCATTATGATTCGACCGACGTAGCCGACGGTCTCAGCAAAGGCACCGAAACAGACGATGATACCGAAGGTCCATGTCTTGTATTTGAAAGGGAGGAGAACATTTGCTGCGAGGAAGAGCCCAAAGAATGCGCAGAAGAATGCATTTGCTGCGAGATTTGGAGTATAGCCATAAATGGTTCCGTCGACAGGACACTCAGGAGAGACTGAGGTGCAATTGGCGTAAGGTTCTGACATATTGAAAAGTGGGAAAGATTGATCCGGAAAGAGAGGTTTATGGGATAGTTGAGGGAAATTAGAAAGAGATGTAGGTATTGTGATCTTTGGTTTCTCTTTTCAGGAGATTGAAGCCGCTGTCTGATGCACAACGAAGGAAGGCATGCCTTACATACTTATAGACACTTGTCCCCCAAAGATCGTCAACGTACCATTAACAGTGTTGAAGTCATCAGAGACCGCAAGTGCGATACCACGAATAGTCGAATGCGATTGCGAACGGGAAAGCAGCATACTTGAAGTAACATGGTTGTCTTCTACTCGTCCGTAACAACTGCGCAAAGTCGTCCCGAATAGGAATAATAGGCGAATGCGACCCGGAGGCGAGGGCGGCTGAGCTCAGATCTCCACTATCGAAAGAATGCTAATGGTCGGTCCTGACGATTATTTTGCTGATGTCATGCCACTTTGGAGACTTGGGAACGGGATCTATACCCCTTTAAGTACAGCGTACTAAAAGTACGTAAGCGGAAGATACAAGTTGTCGGTTAGGATGTCAGATTCTTGAACACCCCGAATGAGGTGTCCACAGATTTTAGGGCTTGGGTATGAGCCAAGCGCGATTTATACCCCTTTAAGTAAAGCATACGCGATGTGTGTAAGCGAAAGAGAGGCACAGTCTCCAGCTTGTTGGGACTTGCAAGGAGGCTGTTGGAACGGCCGTAGCCTCGCAATTGACAGCCAATCACTTGGTAGGTTTCTGAGCACCGTGAGAAAGGCTGTACGCGTATTGATATGATATGGTAAGTTCCCATCTTCTGATGGCTGATGTTTTCTGTCTCTGTGTCTATATTTACCACCGGGCGTTTTATCCTCATCCCTTCTGTGAGGCACTTTCCGCAAATATGGCTGCTCGACGATACGGGTACAAAGGAGGTCCGCTGACCCACATCGGACTTTTGTTCAATGAGGGAGGGGGTAAGTATATACTGAGAACTGTGTGGGGAGAAAAGACGAAACTACCGTGATGCGGGTTGACTTGCTTAGGCGCAAGCTGAAAGTACGAGGGCTATTCGACAAGGGATTTGGTGATCTAGCACCAGGGTATAATCTATATTTTCTGTGCCTGGCCCGCACTCGTGAACACCACATTCTCATTCCCAAACACAGTCTATAAACATGATCAGTAAGTCTCGCACGAGAAACAACGACACCCACTCACCGTCAAGACATTTCCAATCCCAGAAACCTCTCCAGAAGCATTCTGCCCCATGATATTGGCGAAATTGGTCGACATGAGCTGAACGCCCTTCACGAAGCCCGTTCCATCGAATCCGCAATGACCTCCTCCGTTGGGTGTATTGTCAACAGTCTGCATGGTTCCAATCTGCGCTGCGGACATTCCTACCGTAGTGGCTATCTTTTCGTACGCCGCGATAGCTTTGGGGATTGCGGGTTGGAGTAAAGCTAATTCGTCCTTCGTGCTCTGGAAATGAATTTTCATACTCGTTGCTAGAGTGTTGGCATCGGTGACATTGACTTGCGGTACCAGCGCTCCGCAATTCAGGACAACTCCAGTCTTATATTGGGCTCCAAAAGCTGGTACGAAGAAACCGGAGAGTAGAAGAGAGCCACCCGACACACCAGTGAAGAACACATTCCCAGGATCAAACGCAACGTCTTGAGAAAGCTGATTCTGGATCAAGCTGTTGACTGCAGCAGCATGTGCGACTCCATCTGTTCGCTGCAATCCACTTCCTCCGCCCCAGAATAGGTTCTTGTTTGGAGCCAGGACCACCACGCCCATGAGATTGTTTTGAACTGCCTGATTTGGGAAGTCGAAGAATGATTGTCCACCATCGCCATGTAAGAGAACATTCAGACCTGCGGTCCCAGTTGTGTTTGCAGTTGCGGATGCTCCTGTGACTCCCGAGGCGGCGGTGAATTGATCAGCTGGAGCTGAAATCTTATATCGAATCGAGAGGCCACTACTACTCGTTAGACACACTTGAAGCTTGGGTCTCACAATCTACTTTATCTGCACTGTCTTGTCAAGAATAGTCGATCCATCTGTCGCAGTTGTGATCCCACCACTCGCGCTCGGAGCCGCAGCAGCTGCAACATTTGTCCCAGTACCACTCGTCGCCTTCTTCTTTGGTAATGCCTCCGCCTGCAGCGCAAACACAAACAATAAAGCGAAAGAAAGGAATCGACTCCACGATTCCTGCATTATGAGAATATGTGAACGCCCAGCGTCAGCAGCAAGTAATTATCGGGGTAAGAAGGAAAGAATAAGAAGACGCCGAAAACAGGACAGAACATGCATTCTTGGGACGAAAGGTTGGTTTTATTTCAGATGTCAAAATGGAAACTTTATTTGCTCGGTAAACATTATTTTGAAGCATCCAAGCCTCTCTTCGAGACTGCCAAGGCTGTTTCCCCAAGACTTTTATCCTGGGGCAAATCGCGCGATGAGGCTAATGGTGATGCATAGGTGTTTGACTTGGCGGGACGAGCCGAGTGGTCGATTGGCACATAAATATTGATTGAATGTTCTTGACGAAGCAAGGTGTTTTGTTGGAGGTAGATCCAACTTGCTTCTGACTAATTAACACCCACTGTGAAGAAGGGTGTTTGAGGTGCAGCTTTGAACATAAAGTACCGCACAATTCATTTCTACAACCCCAGAGATAATATTCAACGACCTCGAAGACATTCGTGGAGACGTCCCAGACACTGTAGAAATTGATGCTCTTGAGAACAAGCAAATGATCATGCCTTGGATAAGTACTTGGATACAACCAGCTTCGACTATATAACATCGAAGAAAAAGAACCTGCAGCACAGTAGAGGCCTAAGCGTACCATACCTTTTAAAACACGAGGTTTTGAATGCAAAGGTCAGCTCATTGCTCTACGATCACTTGATCCTCGAGTTGATATGGGCCAGCATGAAAATGAACCTGAAAAGGAGCGAGGGTGCTGCCGAGACCATAGTCATAAGGTCTACAGCATATAGTATGCACTATAGGATTGCAAGTCTTTGCGACTTTCAAAGTCGTGATGTGCTGCACTTTCGAAAGATCGTATCGTGCAAAATCCTCCATTGAATCCACACAGCTTGTGGGGTGTACCTCAATGCTTTGGACCTGCTAATTATTCCATGGGCGGGACACACTTCCCGATATCATATTTATCCATAGTGGAGTGCTCGTGGGTTTGGACTGCTCAGGCTCGTAATTCCAGAGCTCGTTTCAGCGTTATGGGTATGAGTCTGCGGAAAGCAACTGGGTTCTCGAATACTATTGATCGTCTCGTATGCTCGTATAGGCCATCGACTGTTGTTCGTTCTGACTAGAAATCTATCGCCCTTGGACATGTCGAGTCGTGAGTAAAGATCGTGAAAGTGCATCAATCACTGTCGATGTGTCGATAATTAGCAAGAGAAGAATGTAGGCGCGTGCCGCGTGCATTGAGGATTCGTGAGTGTTACCACAGCGTTGGATTTCGTCATGATCAGATGCCAAAGTCTCCCAGTTTTGCGCAATATAATTTGCATTGATCATAGAGTGATGCTATGCGTTGTATGCAATGGTATATTGGGATTGTTGTTCAGCGCCCCAGGTGAAAAGGTTCGCGACTTTTGGAGACGGCATTTAGCGTTTCTCCGCCACTAACCACGACCAACCTTTGTTCTCGATTTGGCAACCTTCAACGACGCAAAAAATATTCTTATTCTCACTGCTCTGCCAACTCTATCTCAAGAACTAACGCCGAGGAAGGAGCAAAGACCATGCCATCCCAACTTTTGAGAGGATCATGCTATTTTGCGTTGGACTACACGAAGGTCGTATCCTCCACCAATGTCCTCACCAAAACGTGGAGACCGCATCCGAAACTGCCTGTCACAACGTTAAATTCTCAAGTATAGGCTCAGATCACCTTCTCAGCCCTGTTGCTGTCATGCCATGTGCTTGGGGCGATAAGCATAAGCAGAGGCTGCACGAAGGGTCGTTCAGTGAGATTGCGCCACCCTTTTTCATCCGCCAGGATCATGAACGATTGAACCCTGACATCAATGTTTTTGCGAGACCGAAGAGTTGGATTCGCATTTGGAGTCTTTTCTATCGAGCCCAGTGGACTCGAGTACTTTACTTTCAGCTGAGGGAAAGTGTCTCTAGTTTTAAGTTCGCGATAGCAAAATTGGTCTTATTTTTTTTAAAGGGAGAGAGTTGATTTGATTTGGTCGCGATAACAGGATACTTTTGCTCTATTGCCTCCTCCTCTGCACGATCAGCCTCACATCGCATCTAATCTTGGGATGAATTTGAATGTGCCATTCCTATTGTTGGTGGTTGACCAAAGGATTCTGAGTTGAACAACCACAATTCTATATTTTCTTTTTGACGTTCGGTTTGAATAAGCATAAGACACAGCCTCACCACCTACCCCATCTCACTGCTGAGCACCACGAGGCTGGTATTTGGCATAGCACCCATCATTTCAGCCACGTAAACTGAACAGCCAATTACTATTAAGGTGCTTATGATGCAGCCTTGTATATTTTTAGATTTCTCACGATCAACGAGCTCAAGGTGGCTTCTAGCTTCAGATCGTTCCAGATCGACCCATGGCAGTGTTAGCAATGAGGATACGGCTTAGTGAGCCCAAGGCTGTTCCTCCTGGCCAACATCAGATGCAGGTGCTGAATAGAGGATCATGATTGCCTGACTGAGAACCTTCTACCTCCAGCCTCCAGGCAGTTCAGATGACTTCAGTACGCAGTTTTACAGATTTTAGACCTACTTGACTTTTCTATAAAGCATCTCATCCCTTCCTCACAACAAGACGTTTCATCAGCATCAATCAACACCATCTTCACAATAATCAATACACAATCATCAACACCACTTTCTATCACATTCTCGAATATCACTCTTCAACTACATCCAAAATGGTTTCCTTCACCTCAAGCCTTTTCGCCGTCGCGGCTGCTCTCTCTCTCGTCTCAGCTGCTCCAGCTGCAGATGTCTCCGCCAGAACCGCGCCCGCTTTTGTTGCAGTCACATTGTACGGAGCTGCAGGTGCTTCATACACCACCGACGTTTACTTCGACGAGGATGCAACCTACACCTGTAAGTACATTGCGAACATTGCTAGACTACCAGCCACTGACTTACATCATAGACAACGATTTGAGCATTTCCAGCGTCTCTTTCGATCACAAATTGGCTTATTGCACCTTCTACGGTATCGATGAGGAGACTGCACCTCCCGTGATCTCCAACGGTGGCCAAGTCGGCCCTCCTCAAACCATCATCTCCATCTCCTGCGAGTGCCTCGAATAGAGGGCACAAGTGCGGTATTTCCTTTGACTCGGATCTGGAGTATCATGGCTTTGCATAGGAGGTAGCATCATGGTGGGCGTTCATCTCGTGACAGGATTCATTTGAAGGAGTTGGCAACATCTCAGGCTTAGGCAGGATTTGGTCATACCATCGCATTGGAGTTAGCGATTACACAATACTGGTATTACATGTTAGATTCATCATTCATTCATCTTGGGACACCCCCTTTTACTGAGCGTCCGGGCGGACTGCAAATCATAGCAAGGAAGCTTAAATTGATTCCTTCAATCACCACCCTTCTCAATTCTGTGCGTTTCAAGTTTTGATTTCTGTTTGTCAAAACAATGATTCTCCACCACCTCAAAGTCTTCTCGACAACCAACCACCTCTTCAAGGGTAGTCCCCCACAATGTTCCTGACAACCACAAACTCAGCAGCTGCCCAGGTACCGGAACAACTTCTGAATCCCTACCCCCCCAGCCTGGAACAACTCAACAGCGCCCTCTGCTTGGCGGGAATGACATTCCCTTCTTCCCTTCCTTCGGCACTCATCCACATGAGAGGACCCCGCGTTCCGAAAAAAGGTACGCGCCCGCCCTCGCGCACAACGCAGCACCACCCCTGAGGGAAGCCGTGCAGGAAAAATTGACCCCACCACTCACAACGCCAATTCCGTCCTTCGAGAAAACAACAAGCTTCCGCCACGATGCTTGGAGAAGCTTGTCTGCACCCCTTGGGCCCGGAACTAATTTTCCATATATCATGAACGCTGATTTTGGGGTGGAAATCAGGGAGTGGGAAGGCAGGCAGGTAGCAGGTTTAGCGTTTTTATGGGTCGCTTGATTGGGATCTGATGTCGCTTGTGTGCCTGCATCGGGAGATGTGCGCTTTGTGCCTTCCACATCTCTTCACCGTGCGAGAGAGAACTTCTTCGACCGGGGTCTTTTTCGGGGAGGTGGAGAGAGAGAGAGGTGGATATTGGGGGCAGATATGAGGCTTGTGTGTAGGATTCTTGAGGGGCTGGTCTTACGTGCACCCTGGAGTGACAGGACGTCCGGGAACATGCTTAATTTTTCCAACTGGAAGAGGATGCCAAACAAGCGCGGGATCCATTATCGTGAGCTTCAGATGACCTGTTGCAGAGACCGCCTAGGCAATGGTATAAAGGTAGCTTGGCAACCCGAGAAGTTTGGCCAAGCAGAAGATAACTTCTCTTCGATCTACCTTCTTCCGTCAGATAAGACTTCTCTTCGAAGCCGTCTTCATCATGGTTCACTTCTCGTCGCTCATCTTGCTTTCAGCAATTACTTCCGTTTTTGCTGCTCCTGCTCCAGCACCCACTGCTGCCCCTGATCTTGCTAAGCGAGCTACCACTTGCACTTTCTCTGGCTCCGCTGGTGCGTCCTCGGCTAGCAAGTCTAAGACTAGCTGCTCTACTATCATTCTTTCTGCTTTGGCGGTACCATCTGGTACGACTCTGGATCTCACAGACCTTAATGAAGGTACCACTGTAAGTCTTTTACCTTCTCACTAAACTTCCGATCTTCAAACAGAACTAACATTTCTAGGTTATCTTCGAGGGCATCACCACCTTCGGTTATGAAGAGTGGAGTGGACCTCTCGTCTCAGTCTCAGGAACTGACATCACCGTAACCCAGACCTCAGGCGCTTACCTCGATGGCGGCGGAGCTCAATGGTGGGATGGAGAAGGATCAAACGGTGGCAAGACCAAGCCCAAGTTCTTCTATGCTCACAACATGATCTCTTCCACCATCTCTGACATCTACGTAAGTCGATTCCTATACCATGCAGAGAAGCAAGACACTGATGTTGGCAATAGATCTACAACCCACCCGTCCAAGTCTTCAGCATCGATGACTCCACAGATCTCACTATGACGGATATTACCATCAACGGCGAAGACGGCGACAGTCTTGGTGCTAACACCGATGGCTTTGATATTGGCGACAGCACCAGTATCACCATTACCGGCGCCAATGTGTACAACCAGGATGATTGCGTAGCCGTCAACTCCGGCACGACCATCGTTTTCTCAGGCGGTGTCTGCTCAGGCGGTCACGGTCTTTCCATCGGTTCTGTTGGTGGAAGAACCGATAACACAGTCTCTGGTGTCACATTCGAGAACTCTGAGGTCAAGGACAGCCAGAACGGTAAGTCTCTCTTTTCGGTCCTGACTTCCAATCCACTGACATCCATCGTCCAGGTGTCCGCATCAAGACCATCTCCGGTGATACCGGATCTGTATCTGGAGTGACCTACAGCGGCATCACCCTCTCTGGCATCACCGACTACGGTATCGTCGTCCGTCAGGATTACGATGGCACCACTGGCGACCCCACAAACGGTATCACCATCAAGGACTTCGTTCTCGATGGCGTGACTGGAACGGTCGAGTCGAGTGGAACCAACATTTGGATTCTGTGTGGTAGTGGAAGCTGTACTGATTGGACTTGGACTGATGTTGATGTTACTGGAGGAGCGACGAGCACGGATTGCACCAATGTTCCAAGTGGTGCTAGTTGTTCTGACTAGATGGCTGTGAAAATGAGCTGAGAGGAAATCTGGTGAAGCGGATGTGAAAATTGGGAGTGGAGGATGAAAAGAGTGGGTTATATGCTTCTCGTGTTTATACTTCTTCTGTCTATACTTTGATCTCCTTCAGTATATATGCATCTTAGTCCGAATGAAGGAATGCTTGTTGTCAACTCAGATACAGAAGAGCCGTGCTTCACTGTAAAGAATAGAATGTAAGATAATGTTATTCCCGATTACGTATTAAGTTGTGAAGGATAGAACGGTGTAAGAAATGAAGAAGGCGCAGGGTTGAGCAAGATCAAGCGAGCGCTCAGAAATTTGAACTGAGATTCAGATGAGAACAGCTGAATATTCCTGAACACAGATTTATCTGTATGAAGTGGCAATATGAATAGTACTGAAGAAATGTAGCTAATTCTCTTTGAAAAAAGTTCAAGGTCTTGAGCTACTTTTCAACTTAGTTTGAATGCCACGTGACCAGATACAATGTGATTATTTTTGAGGTGCGACCAGGCTTCTAGACCCTGTGGCAGATAAGGCTTATTGCCGTCTGTCATCAGTATTACAATAGTGAACACATAAAGTTCTGTTAGATGGTTTCTCCCTCTAAAGCTTCGCTTCGGCACCGCTTCCGAGTGGCAAACGCTGAGATGGAGAATCGAGGTCGACAGACTAGCATAAACTGCAAAATGTACATTTGAAATGCTTTTTGGAAGTAGTGTAGAAAAGTCTTCGATGTTCTGTTGTAGATTTGGATGGCAAAGAAGGTGACATAAATGCCATTCCAAGGTGGTCTACTCAGGTATAATGAGCATTTCGGGACTGGAGATGCGCGCCTCAGTGGCGAATCACAGATCGCGGAGTACGAAATAATTCTGTGCCTTGAGATCAACCATACGAGAAGGATGAAGAAATGAGTGTAATTGGAAGATGGATCGATGCCCCTGAGGTACAAAAGTTGCTGCCTGCGCTGACAGACCCGCTTGGATACCTACATTGATTGAGCTACGTTTGCAAAAGGGCCAACTGCAATAGCAACGGTGCAATCATGTATTTGAAGCAACTCTCGAGAAGAAAGCTCAGCGAAGAAAGCAGTGAACTGATAATAATGATTCCTATTCTCAAATATACACTTGCATGTGGAGAATGGCATATCGCAGCACTCGAGAGCGCCGGCTCCAATCAATCAATCTCCCCTAACCCCACTGACTGTCCAGGCCGGATCATCGGGTGCCTGAGAGTTTGAGCTTGGTCATGATGCTGGACCTTGATCCCTCCGCAAATCTGCAAACACGAAACAATCTGGAGTTACCCCTCCATACTACGCAATTGAAGCTTGGCGACGAGGTGCAATGCAATGGATGCGACGGTAGGAATGACATTGCAATACAGATAGGGCTGGGCTGGGTGTGAAGATACAGTAAGTGCTTTTTTCCCGTCTCACAGGAGGCAAGATGTTGTTGATTGCGCTGTCTCGTACAAAGTTCCTTCCGGCAGGGCGACTAATGCAGCAGCTCTCTCCGGCATGCCAGTTTCCTGCTTATGGTGAGAATTCGAGATGAGGAGCCAATAGAAGAGAAATCTCCTGCCGACCTTCCCTGATAAACAACCAATAATGCGACGGTCGGTCTCCAGATCTTTTGAATCGGTTTGTTCCTCTATCCTGACGCCACCACGTTCCCAACCTGGTCTGGCTTCCTGGGATTTGTTGTCTGGGTCGTATCTGGAATTAGCATTTGAGTCGTTGGTTCGTGTTTACCCCCAAAAACGAGATTTCCCATCCCAGCGCGCCTCGTTCGCTTGCCTCCAGTACCATTTTCATCTTTCCTCTCCTCTGGCTTGCTCTTGCTTTCCAAGGAAACCTTTCGCTTCGTCATAACCTTCAAACTTCAACCACCGACTGTCGTTTCCCCTTCGTCGTTCGTTTCTGGAGGTGTACCTCAACCCCATTCTATCCGCATTTACTCTTCATCGACACCATGGGCAGAACAGCTCCTCTCGTGTCGCTGTTGGCGGCCTCTTCCATTCTATTCAATGGCGTGTCCGCAACCCTCCCTACAATTGCTATCAAGGTACAACGATTGCATCCGGATTGCTCCCGATATCGACTGACGGATCAATTAGGGATCCAAGTTCTTCTACTCTAACAATGGCACTCAATTCTTCATCAAAGGCGTAGCATATCAGTCCGGTATCGCCAGCGCCGGTGGCGGAAGTACCTCTGGTGATAATGTGAGCATGTCGTGTGCCGTTCCCAACCTCATCTGCTAATCTCTCGATCTACAGAGCACCGGGTACAATGATCCTCTGGCCGATTCTACTTCGTGTGCACGCGATATCCCTTACCTTCAAAAGCTCGGTGCGAACACAATCCGTACATATGCCATCGATCCCACCCAAGACCATTCCGCCTGCATGGCTGCGCTCGATGCGGCCGGTATCTACGTGATCAGTGATCTTGGACAACCAGATCTTTCGATCAATCGTGAGGATCCACAATGGGACACCGAGCTCTACAACCGTTATACTGCCGTCGTTGACTCTCTATCGTCGTACAGCAATGTTATCGGATTCTTTGCCGGAAACGAAGTCACAAACAACCTTTCTTACACCGGAGCTTCGGCTTTCGTGAAGGCTGCGGTTCGCGACACCAAGGCATACATTGCAGCGAAGAAGTATCATGCTATGGGTGTTGGTTATGCTGCAGATGACGATGCTTCTGTTCGTGCCAACGTAGCCGCATATTTCAACTGTGGACCTACCGAGGATCAGATCGATTTCTGGGGATACAACATTTATGAGTGGTGTGGCGATTCGAACTACGAGCTTTCCGGATATGCGGAGAGAACTGCTGAGTTTGCCAACTACTCCGTTCCAGCATTCTTTGCCGAATATGGCTGCAACACACAGGGTGGTGGAGCTGCTGGACGTGAATTCACCGAAGTCGCAGCGCTCTATGGCGCCAACATGAGCTCTGTCTTCTCTGGTGGTTTCGTCTATGAATACTTTGAGGAGGAGAATGATTATGGTTTGGTTTCAGTCAGCGGAAATTCCGTCAGCACTCTTGCAGATTTCAATGCCTGGTCTACTCAGATCCATGCTGTCTCGCCGACTGCTGTCCAATCCGCGAGCTACACCCCAACCAATACTGCTGGCCAAGCCTGCCCAACAGTCGATGCCAATTGGCAAGCCGCAACTGTCCTTCCTCCCACTCCAAATCAGGCCGTCTGTAGCTGCATGATGGCATCACTCACTTGCACGGTTGCATCATCTGTCAACACGAGCGACATCGGTAATCTATTCAACCAAGTTTGCGGTTACAACGGAGGTAAGCCTTGTGCTGGAATTGTCCGCAACACAACAACCGGTACCTATGGCGCATACTCCATGTGCAATTCCACCGAGCAACTTGCAAACGCATTCAACGCCTATTACCTCCAGGAGAACAGTGCAAGCACAGCCTGTGACTTTGCTGGAGCCGCTCAAGTCGTCAAGGCCGCAGGAGCTGCAAGCAGTTGCTCATCTCTCATTGCTTCAGCTACTGCCAGCAACGCGGGTGGAGCCACAGGAACAGGCGCCGCTTCATCAACAAGCAAGAAGAGCGATGCTAGTGGAATGATCGTTGGTGCAAGCTTTGGTGCTTACAAGTATTTCATCGGGTTCACCATGTTGGCTGTTGCGTCGGGGGCGGGGATGATTCTTTTATAATTGACGAATAATGGGAGGAGTGCTTTGGATGGATGGGGTCAATACATTAAGTTTCCTGCACATAATTGAGAACGATGAGAAGAAGAAGCAAAACGGTGTATGATAATGCCTTGTTTCTATTGCGTTGGGTTGGGCATGAATCTTTCCATAGTGAACAGCAGTGGTTTTTCATCATCCTTTTTTTCTTACTCAATTTGTGATACGGGAGAGAAGAGGTCCTTTTAAGCTTAAGCCAAGGTCTTGGATACTGGGTAACTAATTCCAAGTGGATGAGCTTGACTAGATTCAAGCTTGTTTTGAGTCGGGTGTCGATGTGGAGATGCTGACGCGGCTTTTTTCTTGGGGATGAATGAAGGTCATTCTTATTTTTGTTTGGACCTCGCTGTCACTGAGTTTGCATATTGTGTTATACTGGTTAGAGGGAGTTTTATTGTGTTTGTTGTTGGTTTCGAGTAACTTGATTTAGCTTGCTGAGATGGGCGACTGAGGAGTTTCATCCTTTGGTGCTCTCGGGGTTGAGGGTCGAGGGTCGAGGATGAGTTTGGGCTTGTGTGTGTTTGTTTGCTTGAACAGAAAGATCGTAGTTGGATTCTCTGGACGTTTCTAAGGCTGAGAAGTACCTGTCCTGTGCTGGTTTGGTGGATGTCACGTGAATGTGTGTATTGATGTTTCCAGGTTGATACGGACATTGAACATTGAGGTTCAAGTTATGGAGCGTATGCCTCGATTATAAAGGAAAACACGAGAAAAAGATGGTAGGTTTTTTCTGGGTTGAGGAAGTCGAATACAGTTTTGCATCGCTCCTCTCTAGCTCGCTCAAAACTTCGATTTCCATTTCATTTTAAGATTATATAAACTTTTCTATCATCCAGACCAACCTCAAATCCTTCCTCCCCCCTAAACAGCAAACCCCGCACTATTCAACTGCCTAGGCTCCCCAGCCGCCTCAAACGTCCCATTAGGAAGCACCCTCAACGCCTGCGCCGTCGTACTCCCCACCGCCACAAACCCAATCGCCGCCCCATCCACCTCCGCCAAGTAGCTCGTCGTCTGATTACTATACCCCACAATCCCAAAAGTCTCGCTGCCGTACTCAAAGCTCACCAGGTTGGGTGACAGCTGGTCGTGCATGCGCGGCTGCCGCAGGGATTCGGCGGACGTCATGTTTTGGTCTAGGACGTGCCAGAGGTGTTGGATTACTTCGGTTATGACTAGGGCAGGTTAGTATCAGGGTTTCTCTTGAGAAGACGAGGACTTGGGACAGATGGAGGATTTCTTGGGGTTTCAGTAGAGGGAATTGGATGAATAGTAAGGATGAGGGATAAAGGAGTTTGTTGCTTACTACGAGAGCCGCCTGCTGAGGCGTGCGAGATGTAGACGTCGCCGGAGGGGTATTCGACTATGGTGGGACTGATGGAGGAGAGGGGGCGTTTGAACGGGGCGATGAAGTTTGCTGGCGCGGGGGCATAGCCGAATGCATTTGTTGTGTTGGGGATGGAGAAATCTATCTTTATCAATTCTGGTAGAGGCATTGGAGAATGAGGATGGGGTACCGTTCATCTCATTGTTCATTATAACCCCAGTCTCAGGAACCATGAGCGTACTCCCAAATAATGTATTAACAGTACTAGTCATAGCAATCGTCAACCCGCTCTTGTCACTCGTCACACTAGCAGATGTCCCATCGTCTTGCAGGATCTCGTAGTTACTCGGATCGTAGGCCGATACGTTCAAGGTGTGGTATTCTTCGATTTTGGAGCGGATTTCGGCGGCGGTGGAGGCTGAGTACATGCCTTTTTGGTAGGTGGTGAGATTGGGCAGGAAGGAGGGGTCGCCGAGGAGAGTTCGTTGACCGTAGGCGAAGCGCATGCCTTCGTCGAGGTAGTGGGTTGAGAGGTTGATGTTTGAGGGGGTGGACATCTGTTCGTTTTCTGTTAGTAATTTTCATAGAAGGGAGGTTCAAGAGCTTCGGGAAAGAGGTATGAGAACAGGACTCACATCATAACCCTCCACAATCTTCAACACACTAGCAACAACAGCACCACTGGATGGGGCACTCCCGCTAAAGATCTTGAAGCCCCTATAAGTAATGTTCGAAACCTGTCTGATCTGCACCGTATAATTCGCCAAATCAGAAAGTGCCATCGTCCCATTCTGCTTCTGCAAAGCAGTAATCGTCGCATTGGCAATAGCTCCCTTGTAAAAAGCATCTGGTCCATATTCCGCTATACTTTCAAGTGTGTTCGCATATCGTTTTCTGGTCATGGTATCTCCAAGTCCGAGTCTGGTGCCATTGGGAGCAAAGTCAATGGCCCAAGTCTCGTCATAGGTCAGGAAATCATATGTACCAGCCGTCGCAGATGCCATGTATCGAACGAGATCTTTGGTAACAGGAAAACCATAACGGGCGAGTTTGATGGCGGGTTCAATGAGGTGTTTCCATGGTTTGGAACCGTAGTGTTTGTGCAGGTATTCCAATCCTCTCAATTCGCCCGGAACACCACTTGCGAGTCCACCCGAGAGAGACTCTGCGCTCGTCCCGTAGGGCGGTGAGTACATGTATGCGAAAGCTACCGCAGGTGCCATTTCTCGGAAGTCGATGAACTCGTAACTGCCATTGGGAGCTCGAACAGTCATAAATCCACCTCCTCCAACTCCAGAATGGTACATGCCAATCACACCAACGCAGAACTGGGAAGCTATGATCTGAATTTCTGTCAGAAGATTCGACACCTTGGTAGAGAATTGGGCTCACAGCATCTGCAGCATTTCCCCCATCCTTTAAAACATCAGTCGCGATACTCGTGCACACCGAGCTTTCGGATGCAGCAGCTCCAAGCATAGCATCTTGAGTCGTATTGCAGTCCACACTTGCCTGCACGACAGAAGTAGCCAGCGCAAGGCCGAGAACAAAATTCTTTGACAACATATTGAAAAGCAACAGATGAGAGGAATGAACGAAAGGAAAGAGAGAAAATAGAAAAGAAGAACAAAAAGAGGGGAGCTCAAGAGCTCCCCGCCGATCTGCAGCGGCAACCTGGTTCCCATCACTAATTACTGATTGTCGCCGGGCTCATGTGCATCCCAAGCTCTCGAGCTACTGTACCTGAGGGGAAATGTCCAATCGCGCGCAGACCTCCGCTGTCTGCCCATGCAGACTTTTCTTCGTACCTGGCAATAGATATGATGTTATCACTTGATGACCCGGCCATAGATGTCAGCATGCATTTGAACATTGCTCAAAGAGGAAAGTGGTAAGGAGTTTTGGAGCCGGTGGAAGTTTTAGGAGGGGCTGATAAGGATGCTTGGAAATAAGATGCGGGGCTGGCTATCGCCGAATGACTTCGGTGGGGTTCATGAGGCTGAAAGTCTTGGCGATGAAGTAGTATTGTTGTTGTCACAATTCAGGCAGACCATGTGGTCCAGGTGTGGAAACACAAAATTGTAGAGTGGATGAGTCAGGCTAGCTTTTAGATTTAGTCTGGTACAACGAGCATAGATTCAAATTAACTAGTAATCACTCGAATTGATTGTCGAGAAGGATCAGGCTCTGGCTATGTCTGCCTCAGCAGATCTTGAAAGAGTATGCAGCTAGTTTCGAAATTTCCGTGTCAGAAGTCGGCAAGAAGAGGTTCAGATATTGCTGATGTAAATACCTGTCGAATTCCCACGACGAGGTCATGAAATGGTCGTCTATGTGACTACCAATCTAGGAAAGGTTGTAGAATTGCGAAATAGAGAAGCTGAGACTCTGTAAATGCCAAATGAGGACTTATTTGATGTGCCAAAGGTACCCTTCCGTCACCAACCAATCCTTCCAATCTTCATCTACCAGTTCACAGCCGCGTTTTGAAATCTTATCATCAAGTGCCAACATCCGGGCCGCAAATTGTTCCATTCCATCGCCTCGGAGGGACATCTTTCGAGCGTTCTCTAGCTGATGTTCTGACATTGTTATAGGGTCCCAGATCTCTTTGAGGAAATCTTGTAGTACATGATCTGGCAGGTGTCGCCGCGAAGTCTTGAAAACTTGCATTATTCTCTGATGGGAATTGACGTCGTCAATTTTGGGCATCAAGAAGTGCTTTTCTCCGCGGGCTAACGATTCTGCCACTGTGTTGACCAACCAAGCGCAGTTAGCTTGGACGATTATAGATGGGTCCTTCCAACGAGAATCCTAAATATTTTCGAATATGTGCAGCTTGTCCTGCCCCGCTGGTTCTGTTTCTCTCCAACAGGAGAATAATATCGTTGTCTGTAGATTCGCAGAGGAGTTGAGGAAAATTTGCAATAGTTCCTGTACAATCTTACAAAAAGCTTCATTATCTTGATATAAGCGATAATTCGCGAAGAGGTGCCTTGAGGTAGATGAAAATGCCGTGCCGAGCCAAGGCTCGGCGCCGGCTTCTAACAAATGGCTTATAAATTGAAGTTTTCCAGGTGGTTCATGACCTTTGATGTTTCTAAAGATCTCCCATGAGTCCCATCTGCATGCCGTACGTAGAAGTCGAGTTTTAGTCTCCGTTGCCATTGTACTGTATTGTAAGTCCTGGTCCCCAATCAGATGATAAAAGAAAGGGTAGGCTCCATAAAGTGTAATTGTTTCCAAGAAGATTAATGAGGGTGCTGATCTTTCTAAGCTTTCGATGGATCTTCGGAATAGATGAAGAAGTTCAAATTGTCTTTGTTGCGAGAGACCTGTCACGTAGCCCCTGTCCAAACTCAGAACAGAGTTCATGACATAGAATACATTAGGTTCTTTTTCAAGGCGCTTTAAAAGAGGGTCGCTTTTGAGCTTGGAGCGTCTATTTAATGTCCATAAGGCGATGCGAGCCCTGACGAAGTCACTCTTTGTCTCTTCATACGTCTTCGAACAGAAGCTCAGAATTTGCTTGCCGTCGTCGGTATCTCGCAAGAAATCATAAGCGGAACGGTGAACAAAGCCTACTTTCGATTTCATTGGAGGGACCTTGAGCATCAGCCAAGAATCATCTGGATTTGCACGTGAGAGGTAGTCAGTAGGTGATCTCGCATCTTCATCTTCCTTATCCCCAGTGATCTCGAGCATCCCGGCACATCGGACGTATATACGATTTGCCACGGAGTGGCATAGTTCTACAAGCTCATTGGCGTCTTCCAATAACACGTGATTTTCGAACGACCTCTCGAAAGCAACCAATGCTTCATACAGAGAGACGCTTCCATCGTAATGTTCATCCATTACATGGAGAAAGAATGCAAAGTAGGTAGCTGCCTGCTCTCGATATAATTTTTCATCTTCATTGAGCCGAGACCACATGTGACTGTAAAGTTCATTCATCGCCCTAGGAAGGACATCGAGACGTTCATTCAGCGTTGCCCAGTCATCTCCATTCGCAATTCCTCGTTCGAGACTCTTCGTTACCAGCGTGGCCCAGAGAAACACACCATCAGCCTTTCCAGTTATCTTGCTGACGAGAATGTCGAGGCGAACAGCTCCGCGCTCGTCAATCTTCATTTTTGCAAGGCGATCTTTGAAGGGACTGAGGCGCTCTTCAACCATGTGACGGATATCACTGTTGGTCAAATCTTGTAGCCTAAGCTTCGGATAGTTTTTGAGAGATTCTTGCAGAATGGACTCAGGTCGACTTGAAACGCATAGATTCACGTTCGTCTGGGCTCGAATTTTCTCCAACACTTGAACGAGAGCCGCCTGTCCCTCTACAGGATCAACTTCGTCCAAGCCATCAATGAAAAGGCAGCTGGCGTAGGCTCGATTCGAGAGAACCTTCAAGAGTGTCCGTTGCAACTCTTCCTTAGACCAGTCGTAAATTGAGTCTTTATGCTGGAGAGTTTCGTCTTCTTCTAGGAGCACGGGTATCATGGGCCTGTTCCTCGTTAAAAGCTGGTGCACCAAAGAGCTTAACATTCCTCTGATGCTACGTTGCATAGGTGCTCCAGGAATCCAAAAGAAGTGCGACAACACCAACACTTGAGGTTGTTGGCTTAGTAAGATCTGCTTCGTAGTATCTAATAGCGGCTTGTCTCCCGATTCTTCGTATAACGATACGCAAGCTGCCACTTAATACGTTCGTAGCTAGCGCTCGAAGCGTATTTTCAAAGCGTTCCCAGTCGTCCCAGGAATCCCAGGGTAGCAGAGGAAAGGCCTTTGGGTTAGACGGCCCTTCCATTTCTGCTCACTTAGCTGATGCTCGATCTAAGTTGAGTAAAGAAGGTTCGGTTGTTCATGTCGACAATGCGCCTGATCTTGAAGCAAATGTGACCGAAAAGAGTCCTCGACTTAAGTTCATAACCCAACACTTAGGATGATTAGAAGAGAGCCGGAAAGAGAACAATCAAAATCAACTTTTGATTTACAGCTTCCGTGACCCTTGCGAAAAACACTCAATTTCTTGATACGTATGGGAAGATACAGATAATTGCTCAACTCCTCCGAGACATTTGCACATCTTCGTTCTGCTGCTTCTCTTCTACATCGCTACATCCGCAGCCCATCAACAGTTCAATCCTCACTTCTTGGAGCCTATACCATTTCCAGAGCATGCCTAGTGACTAGAGGAGATGCAACTGCTTTCTTGTTTTCGCCTGACCCCACTTGAGTCGACAGCTTAGTATCTTACTTCCGCACGTGATTGAACCCGCACTCACTTGCGCGCGGTTGGCAATTGTAATCACGTACAGCTGGGACTTTCCCCCATTATATAAAATAGAGCAAATTGTCAACTCCGCTGCAGCATGTCAACAATAAGAAGAACTTTGAAACAATAGATATCAATCACATGATGCTTAAAAAACGCCCCTTTGCACCATCAGCGCTTCTGCGTACCCTTGCAAATGCAACCGTCCGCGAAAAAGCGGTTGTAGACTTCCAACCCCACGAATCATCGCGACAATCACACTGCAGCTTGCCGCCGAACAGGGATCTGCACACAACCACGATGTCTAACTCGCTGGCGGTAAGCACACCCCGCTAAGACAGATCTATTTCGAGATCCTACTCCCGCACTCTCACAATCGTCTCTGTGCGGTTCGTGCATGTTCAAGATTGGTGAGGTGGGCGCGTGCTATTATCGGATCCACCATATGCATGTCTTCAAGATGGCTTGTGGTGGTGAGAACTGTATAACAGAGCTATGCGCTGCTCCTGGTCCTGTTCCTTGGACTTGGGACAGAACGTGATAAGGGATCTGGCTCCTTTTGTGCATTGAATTGTCTGTGTGAGGTTTCAAGGTATAGCAGTATCTGGGATACTGCATCGTACCGATACCATCGTTCAAGATGCCTGACAGTGCTAAGCCGGTGGTGAATATGGGCCTGAAATTATTTCCTCCTACGCCCAAGGAGAGACCGACGAACCCGTCGAGAAAACCGAGTACGAGACGACATGCTATACCTCAGGATTCATCGTCTGGTGTTGAGAGGTCGGAATCACCCAACTTTGCTTTATCTTCGGAAATGGATGGCAGACAATCTGCTCTAGATGGGCGACAGTCTGCCGTGGGAGGAAGACAGACTCCATCGACTCAACATGCCGATAATGGATCTATCATGGCACCACCACAAGCTCATCTTCCTTCAGAGTTACCCCCTCGATCTCACACCTCCTTCTCAGAAGCTCCTACTTTGGTACGGAGCAATAGCAATTCCTCACACATTTCTTGGCCGAATCGTATCAATTCGGGCCCGCCTCGAGAGGAACCAGTAATGCGGTCAATATTTCCAAGATACAACCCCGAAATCGCATTAGAGCATCAAGCATACTTTCCCACTCAACAGAGCCCCACGCATATCCCAAGGACAGTCATTAACAGACGCCCGTACTCTCCTAGCATCGGTGGCAGAAGCCCTCTTCAAAGTCCAGGCATCGTTGGAGCAGTATCGCCGGGTCTCTTCCCTCGAGGAATTCAAGACGAACCGGTCATGGAGCCATCAAGTACAAATGAGCTCAAGGAATTATGGAAGGTCGTGAACGGATGGAAAGTGTCAAGTTCTGAGGGACGAACATTCTGTCTGAAAATGACAAGTGATGTTGAGGAGCCGATACACACTCTTTCATCCGCAACGCAACCCTTTTACAGCCTTAAGCTTATGCCAACATCGACGTCTGCGCAGATGACTTTGTTGCGGTTCGACCCCGGCAAATCGACCAAGAGCACATCCCCAAAACCTGGCTCGTCCTCGAAAGCGAAAGAAGGGTCTGAAGTTATGAGCACAACGCTCGAAGAAACGGCCAGACGATTACCGCCCAACGATGGGCTTGTGGCCCTCCTGTATCCCAAAGCTGCTTCAGACTTGGTGATTGACCTCGCCAACAAGCCAGCTCGAGCAGACGCTGAGCAAGTCATTGCTTCAGCAGAAAGAGAATGTGGACGCTTGGTCTGGGACGAAGATAGTGGAAAATATTATCTTGTCCACCCAGCAATGTCTACGCCGTTCATTATCATAATTTCGTCTTCCCCTGCGTGGTCGAAAGTAGAGTATACCCTCGAGCATCCCGAATTACCGCGAAATCTCGTCCGCTTAGTACGTGATAGTGCTGGGGTAGGACATTTGGAGATCGATACCGCGGTCGCAGCTCGAATCGATTGCTTCTATATCGTGGATGTCGCTATCTGCGCAATCATGCTGGTAGCCGTCACGGAAGAGAAGACTCGCAATCTTGAGAGATTTGAAGCCCCACCATCGATCGCACCGCAGTCGCCAGCGTCACCTAATAGGCTATCATCCACTTGGACGAAAGGCAAAAGCAAGCGGAAGAACAAGGAGAGGGATATCAAATTTGAGGAATTCGAGATGGATTTGGAAAGTCAGGATAGCGTGAAAGGCAAGAAGGAGAAGGAGAAGGACAAAGAAGAAAAGGTTCCAGGGCTGTTTGGTATGATTTGGATGCTGATCAAGTGTTTCATATGGGTTTTGACAACCATCGTGAAAGTACTGGCAAAGATCATCATATTCCTCAGCAAATGCTTGACACGGAAGAAGACGTGATGAATGGGTATATAATGTTGGATGGGCGGCGTTTGGAGCGGTTCTGGTATCGGATTTTGGTGCTCGAAGTAATTCTGCTGACGATCTAGAAAGAGATCTGTTCGGCGTTCGAAGCAAATGGTCGAGGACAACTCAGCATGCAACTTTCGACATGCCTGATGGCCAATTTAACATTTATCTCTTGCGTTCCCGCACTTTATACTTGACTCCCTGCTTATTAATTCCCCCGACTGTTGGTGACTTGGCCATCTTCGCTCGCTGTATTTCTAGAGCTTGCTCTGCGTCCGTCAAGGCTATCAATCGCTCGCGCGCAATAGTGAGCTTCGCCTCCGCTTTCTCGAGCTCCCTGTGCTGCATTGTTCTTCGATCCTGTTCTTCGGTAGAGAGTTCTTCGTCTGCAGAGTCGTCCTCCATATTCGCATCCTCGGCGACTCTCTCCTGTTCCTCTTCATCATCTACGAAGACGATCTTCTTTCCCTCGCCCTTGATACCCTTTGTAATTCTCTCGAGTGCTTCCACTTCCTTAGTTGCCTTGTTCCGCATTGTCCGTACGTAGCCTAGATCTTGTGTCTTATACAGTCTGACCGCTTCCTGGCTCAGCACTTCATTTCCGCGGTCGCCATTTACTGTTCCAGTCCGATTCTTGCCAGTGGCTGAAGGTCCCTTCCGGGACATCATCCCATAATAAAACTCATCAGGATTCTTGTCCAGGACTTTTTGTCGTAGGGCTTTGAGCTTCCTCTTTTTCTCGTTGAAGTCGCGTGCTCGTGCAGAATAGTCCTATTCAATATGTCAAACAGAGCTCACAATATAAAGGATAACAGGTCAATTACTTTGTGCTTTTCAAGTAGACCTAAACGCTGGCGCTCCTCGGGCTGTCCTCGTTCTTTGTGATTTCGCCGTTGAACGGCATTGCGCATTGACGACATTTTGATGTGCTTCCGTGGGTGATATCAGACTGCGTTCGTATCGAGCGACAAGGGCAGTATATCGTGGCAGCGATGTATTTCGCGGGGAGGGGACTTGTGGGTAATTATTTCTTGAAACTTACTTTTGAAAGTTCTCAGCCTTGAGAAAATTCCCGCCCCGCACCTTGCACACCATTGGCCGAAGCTTCACCGCTTTTGGTCTAACTAAATCAAGACTAATGCGCTTGAAGCTCGACCTCAGAAACATCCGATTTGATAGGAGAGTCTTCATTTCGAAATTCCAGAAGACGTTGAATCTTCTTGTTCATATCTTTTCTGATGGCAGCAATGGCGCCAGCTCCGACTCAGGAGGAAGAAGTTCCTGTTCTTCCTATGCCATCGAGAAACCCGCTACCTCTTTCGTCGGCCCAGGAAGCACAAGTTCGAGAGCTTTACCATGCGAGAGTACGGGGATATTGTGCTGCAGAAATTAAATGTAGGTGGTATTTTGTTATTAGTATGACAATTTGCTAAATGATTGTGTCTAGTATTCGCAGACTGTGCCCTAGGACGAACCTTCACAGCGCCATTCAAGTGCAGAGAACAGAATAAAGCTATGAATACATGCATGATAGCACATGCAACACAATCCGAGCAAGATGCAGCGAGAGAAGAATGGTTTGGTCTGCGACTAAAACGGCAGAAGGATCGTGAAGCCAAAGAGTCCAGAAGGAAAGAGCAGGAGAAGTTCCATAAGGAATGGTGGGGGTTGCCAATCGAGGATCGAGATGGAGAGAAGGGAAGAGAAGTTATGCGGAAAGCAGAAAGAGTAGGAGGGTTCCCGAAGAGAGATGAGGACCAGATGAGCAAGGATCGACATCGATGACAGTGTTGGATGAGGATGATTGCATTGACAAAGGCGTTTGAGATCATTGTATGGTGTTCCGGAATCCTTTAGCACACTTGGAGTGTGCTTGTAAGTTTAGGATGTACGAGCCTGCAAACCGCTCTGCTGGGTCTTCATAAGAGTTGGCCGTGCTTTGTGTTTCCCAGTAGATGGCTTATCTCAAATGAGGACCATGATAGTCCTTCATGAGTATAAACTCAGTCGAATTTTCTCAGCCTAAATTCCAGGATCCTTGTACCTCAATAACACTCTCAACTTCGTCCTTGAGCATTATTCTATTCTTCTCCTTGTTCACGATGACAAAGCTTATTCCTATACGGATCGTGATGGACTTTCCTTCCCAATTTTCAAGCTCTGCCAGTATACAAGCTACGAACCTCTCATCAACATCTAGAAAGCTTTTTCTTCCCTCCATCAAGAATCTCATCTCGTAAGATTCCTTTCACATGACAGCATCCATCCATATCCTTCCGAAGAGGATAAAGCCGTTTCATGATAACTCAGCACCGAGTTTCGTTGCATATCGCAAACTATTCGGATAAAAAGCTTTGAAAAGAGAGAGCTATTTGAACATTATTTCAGTAAAGAACTCCTTGAATAGGAAACCATTCAGAGACATAACAATTGAATAGAGAGTCAAGGTATGGAAAGCTATTGAATAGAAAGTTATCAACTAGATAGCTATTGAACTGGACTAGAGCTATGCAAAGACAAGGCTGTCCAATGAAAGCTCAGCACCAAATTTTTTTGCACATCGCATGTTCAAAAAGTGAGAGTATATTAGTAGAATAAAGACCAATTCGATTCAAGAACATTGAATAGAGAGCTATCTCGGTGGAGACATCTAGATCAGTACAGAAATGGAGTCCTTCTCAACGAAGAGACTCAATTTGAGTCTTTGAACAGCAGTGCCTCACTTTCACTTCACATTGTCTTCTTATCTTTGGTGGCCCATAACTGATTGACTTCCTGCAACTCATTGGGAATTCCATAATGAAAGATATTTGATCTCTTGAACATGCTGTCTAGTCATAAGACTCCGAAGGTAGCCAAGTAAATTAAGCGAGATTTCCCCCTTTCCAAAGCATTACATTAGAAAGGAAAGTAAGCTTTAAAAACTTACAAAGAGCACGCTTATGAACCAAATAAGACTAGCATACCAATGCCAGCGAGCTAGCTAGTGGTCCACGTCTCTAAGCTAACCCAATATCAAAGAATTCAATCTCAAAGCTTCAGCATTACCTGGACGCGACCATCAGCATTGCCAGAATACTCTCAAATCACAACATCTTCAAGAAACGCCACTCCAAACCAGAACATCATAGCCATTGACACGTCAGTTGAAGGTTGCCATGATGAATTCCAGCCCAAGAATGCTCTACGCGCCAGTCTCGCGATCCCATACAAAGACGAGAGTACTGTTGCGATCGAACATATGCACAAAGTCGCAAACCATCCAACTGTTCTTCACAATATCCCAAGACCAGTAACACCCGATCCGACTCCGGCACATATGACCCCGGCTCCAATTCGATATCCCGAGACACTTGGAACATTGGTGAAAATTGGCGAATCTGAAGGAAAAGGTCTGGGTGTATTTGCGGCGAAGGATTTACTTCCAGGGACGATTCTCCTTTGCGAGCTACCACTTCTCGAAATGTCAAAGATCGATGAAGATGAAGTTGTTGAGGCAACGGTCAACTTGCTCTCTCCAGAAAAGAAGAAGATATTCATGTCTTTCTCTGCATACACTGAGAATAAGACAGACGAAAGGGCTCTGATGGGGAGAATCATGGACTGTAACTGTTTCTCGATCGGTGGTGACACTGCAATCGGTATCTTCGAGACTTCGTCCCGGATCAACCACTCTTGTGTTCCGAACTCGTCCTACGGTTGGAGAGACAGTATCGGGAGGCTCGTGGTTTATAATCTATTCAAGTTGTTGGAAGGAGAGGAATTGACGATCGATTATGGACATAAGACTCGGAGCTTGCGGGCAAACTATGGCTTCGAGTGCGATTGCGGGGGTTGTACGGATCGGAGTCTGAGGATGACGCCGAGGTATGATGTAGGATCGGGAACGGCGTACTGCGTTGATCATGATTATAGAAATGGAAACGGTGTCTTCAATGCGAACTGAGTTGAGATACCCAGACCGATGGATGCAAGAAGAATATTTGACTCGGGTCTCCACATGCATAGCCACCTGAGTCTTGTGACCGTGAACACTTAGAAAGACAACAATGAAAGAGGTCACATCGTATCATTCGTGTATTCTACCAGCTGACAGCTAATATAAGTGGTATTCATCATCTATAGAAAAGGCCCGTAACAGGCTGGCTCACCGGTGTACCATTAACGCCCATCCATAAATTATCCTACACCTGCAATGCCCCGTCTTCGCTCCAAACGCCAAGTTGTGTGCAGAATTATCGCCCTCCTACAGGGCCCTGTTTCTTCAATTGCATCCGTCTCAATTGGACGTGCATACTCCTTGGATCGTATGTTCTGGTTTTTGGGTCCCAAGCGGCCTTCACATCAAAGACCAGCCATGCTTTCGGAGTATCCAATTCCACAAGACCAGAAATCAAAATGCTACCCCTTGGTGGGAAGTTGGGCGCTGGACGCCATGTTTGTGCTAATTTGGCCTTGAAGGCCATGATTGGGCGGAAGAAATGTGCGTGAAGAGCCATCCCAGCACTTCCGATGTCAACTTCTTCTGGCTTTTGCCCTGCCAGTGGTGATTTGTCTCCTCGTCCAGGAGGACTGGTAATAGTTTGGGCACCATCTCCTAAAACAGGAGGCTGAGTCGTGGGAGACGGACCGTCCTTGGTCGGCAGTTGGGGCGGTCCTTTAAACATCTGTTGGTGCTTTGTTACTATTTGTTCGATAGATGGCGGTGGCTTTGTCGGTTTGAATCCAAGCTTTTGTGCTATGTATTTAGCATCATCGTTTACCATCACTTTGAGAAAGCTCCAGGTAGATTGAAAAAGAGCTGTTGGCCATAACGCTTGACGAATTCGAAAGACAACCAATGAGTCCACAGGCTGCTTCGCTATAGCTATATACTCATCGCTTATCTCGATTCTATAATCGTCAGTTATCAAGAAAGGACTGTATTCAAGGGAGCGTACCCAGATCTCTCGAATTGTGGAGGTGCATGCTGAGGGAAGTCAACATCAAGCCAAAACCGCCGTAATTTGAATCCAGTTCCACATCGTATCTTGAGAAGTGGATGTTTGCTAGCAACCTGTTGGACGAAATCTGCAAGCTCCTCTGCATAACTATCAGTCTGTATACTCACACGAACAAGACGGCGACTACTGACCCCGAACTTTTTGTGCCAACTTCTGATCTTTACTGAATTTGATGAACTCCTGCCATTCAGGGTCGCTTCCCTTATATGGAACAGGCTTCAGTTGCCTCGTTGTTCCAGGAAACGGAATGAAAAATGGCTTCTCTTCTTCTTCATCCTCCTCTTCCGGCAGACTATCTAAAGTCTCGACTACCGCCCGATCTAAAGGATCTAATATGACTCTCGAGTACACATTCCAGCACACATAGCCAACGATGCAGTATGTGGCAATCGTCCTGTAGAAGATTATATTAGTACATTGACTTCAGCTCCAGGGCGTGGCAAGCGTACTTTATTCGAGTTCGAGGCTTTACAAATCGGACGCTCTGCACCTGTGCGATTTGTCCTTGTTGGCGCCGTGATTCCATCCTCATAGGAAGTCTGCTCATGGAGAAGATACTCCTCCGCGGTGTGATGGATCGAAACATCTTGGGAGATTCAAGGCCCGCCCGCGGACTGGCGAGCCTTGGAAATATTCGAGGGTTCAATAGAGGACGTACAGTCCGCATTTGCGATCGCATCGAGATGGCATAGATCTATGGTATCATGCTGAGAAGTAGAATCGTCCAAGGTTGTATGTCGAGTTGTGGGAAGGTTTCCTTGTCTTTGAATCGCTATTCTCGATAATTTGGAGAGCGGCAGTAGGCCCTAGTAGCCGTAGTATATTCGATGCGGCAAGTACCGGGGTTCGAGAACACTAACGAGATATCACAGAGCTTCAGTCGTCACTCTCGAGCTCGAGCTTCCACGAGCAACCATCGAAACCTCCAACTTCACAAACATGAAGCTATCCCAAAGCTTGTGGTTGTCAGCCTTCGTTGGCGCAGCTTCTGCTTTGTCTGATGCAAGTGTCTACATTTTCCAGGGTGACGAATGGCCAAACACCTCGACGCCTCCATCTCTCACACCAGAGCAGGCCAGATTAGTCTTTGCACAACGTCTAGGCGCATCACGATACCACCGACTAGCAGATGCTACTGAGAGTACACTGGCATATATCAATAAATTTGGTGGACATGGGGGGTCACTGTTCCATGATGCTGGGAAAGATAAGGCAGCAGAATTGGTACTGATTGTTGAGGGCGTATCATCCATCACTGCAGAGCCACTTCTAGAAGCATGGACTTCTATCACACCTGCGTTTACCATCTCTACGCCTCCGTCTCTGCGTGCGAACAAAGATCTTGTGGATGATCTGCACGCACAAAGTAGACCAGAGGGCAAGACTTGTCCTTTCGAAGATGCAATCAATCCATTCAACGCAGATTGCTGGAACGGTGTCTCGAAGATACTCCATTTTGATCTGGGCAATGTCAAGGTATGAAGTCTGCAGATTCTCTTCTTGCTTGGAACTAACAATGGAACACAGAACGAGTTGAAAATCAACGAATTGATGTCGGCACAAGAACGTTTGACTCGTTTTGCCAAGAAGGAAGAGATGAACGTTGTTATTGTTCTTATGCCCGAAACATCTCGATCATTGAAGAGCAAAGTGAATCCTTATGGAACATACGACAAAGTTTCCCAAGCTCCAATTGCCAGAAGGGACAAATCATCGGAAGAACCCATGAGCGAAGGCCCCTCAATTATTACGACGCCGTTACATTATTCTAAGCAGGTCCAGACATCAAATGCATCTGGCAACGCTTCCTTCAAACCCATCACCGGTATTCCTCCACTTTGCCACTCTTCGCTCGACTCCTGCATCTCTGCTACAAACAACTGCTCGGGTCACGGCGAATGCTACAGAAAGTATGGTGGCAGTGGCGAAGGAAAGGGCGGATGCTTTACCTGTTTCTGCAAACCTACACTGAAGACTATTCCATTTCCTGGAGGACAGAAGAATGGTACCACACTTCAATACTGGGGTGGATCCGCTTGCCATAAGCAGGATATCAGTGACTCTTTCTGGCTCATTTTTATCTTCACGGTGGTGATCATTGGTGTTACAGGCTGGGCTATCGGAATGATATTCAGTATCGGGGAGGAGAAGCTCCCAGGTGTCATTGGTGCAGGTGTATCCGGCAAGACGAAATAAGCATATCTGTTGTACGATTTGGCCTCGAGATGGCAGAGTTTCAGGAATTGGTCCTCGACAGTGGTTTGCGGCGTTCAAACAGTGTATTTATTTAAGGCAAGGGAAGTGTATAGAAGTACGGTACTAGGCAACGTTGAGGCTATGGAAATCCTTTGAATGATCCAATCTAAAAGGATTGATTGATTATTCACTGCGCACAAGCAATACCAAACGTACGCGGCTAAGTTTCAAGGTAGATCCTTCGCATCGCAAGCTCAACTCTTGTCAAACCCCAGATCTTAATCCCATCCGAACACGAATACAGAAATAGGATCTCTCCAACAAACTCACCAATCTCAACATCCCGGGAACTTTCCGCGGGACGAATAACCGTTAGGTTGAATTAAGCTTTGCAAGCTTGCTCTGATCTCCGGACCAACAATTCGATTTTCATTCGTGAGTAGTTACAGACCGTTCCATCGCTACTTGCACTAGAGGCTTTTTTACAACCATTTTTGAAGATAGCAAGCTTTCTAGAAGTTTTAGGTCCGAGATGCGAACTACGTCACAGCTAAAAGTAGCTCCAGGTCCGTCCATCCCGGCAAGTTAGCACGTGCGTCCTTCTTGCTGATACCATTTCATGTTGTCGGTCCTCTTTTTGTTGTTATCTTCCTGTCTCTGTTGCTCAATTGACATATTCACATACTTGGTATCTAAATGGCGTTTTGGAGGATCTAAAGATTGAAAAGTTTCCTCATAATCCTTCCGTTCCAATTCTTCATATATGAACCCAACATTTTAATTAAGATGGCAGATCTACATACTGCAACATCAGCAACCAACAAGCCAAACGATGTCCCCAAGTTCACCAAACAGCCCAAATCCCGTCCCCCAAGCGGCTTCCGGGAACATATTCTACGGAGTCCTCTTCCGTACTACTCGGGCCCATATAGTGTGGGCATGATGGACATCGAGGTCCCGGCAAGAGAACCAAGATACTTTTCCGAGATCAAACGAGATGGTAAACATCTACTCGAGCTTGAGACCGTTTTATTTTCGGTCTTCTATCCTTCGGGGTTTGGGTCTGGGCAAGGGAACTCTCCTGAAGGAAAGAAGAATTGGGGACGCCCGACTTGGTTACCTCGCCCTAGAGTGGAGGTTGCGAAAGGTTATGGGAAGTTTGCGGGGATTCCTAGTTGGTTGACTGTCCCATGGTTCGGTGAGCATATCTAGGGAGAAGGCGATTGTGGAGTACTGAACATTCACAGGTTTGACAACAGCGTTCACAAAGCTACCAGCGTTTCGGAACGCGAAATTGGCTGAACATTGGCCCCCAGATAAAAACTCTAGAGAAGCAGGCTACAAGATCAAGAACTCCGCCGGAGCCCCTCCCCCAGAAGAGCCAGAGAGACCGTGTTTCCCTTTACTCATATTCAGCCATGGCCTTGGTGGAACGAGAACAACGTACAGCTCAGTATGCGGAGAATTTGCTAGCTACGGATTCGTGGTAGTCGCACTTGAGCACAGAGACGGAAGTGGTCCTAGGACATTCGTCAACCTGCCTGAGAATGGAGTTAATACCGTAGAGGACAAGGTGGATCTTGACAATAAGGATAGAAAGAGAGGGTATTCGAGGATGGATTATGTGTTTCCAAAAGATAATGCGAGAGATACCATGCCGGGCAATAAACAAGGTGTTGACGGAGAATTGCGTGCTGCACAGATACAGCTACGACTTGCGGAAATCGAAGAGGCTTACCATGTCATGACGCTTATACATGACGGCGAGGGAGAAAGAGTGGCAGCTTCTAGCCTACGGAATAAGGCGGATGTAGGTGGAAGTTCTAGAGGGCTCCAAGGAATCGATTGGCAGTCATGGAGCAACAGATTTCACCTCAAACAGGTGACTGTTCTGGGGCATTCATTCGGTGCGGCGACCGTTGTTGAAGTGCTTCGCCAAAAAGACCGCTTTAAGAACGTTGGACAAGGTATCATTTATGATATTTGGGGTGCTGCAATTCAACCTCCAGAAGACGATCCAGGACACCGAATCCATACGCCAATTTTAGGGATCAATTCTGAAGCTTTCATGTACTGGCCTGACAACTTCGAGGCTGTCATGGCCCTATGCAAAGAAGCCAAAGAACAAGACCAACTTGCCTGGCTTATGACTATCCGGGGCACAATACATGTGTCACAATCCGACTTCTCGCTGCTCTATCCCCGAGTGGCAAGCCTGTTGCTGAAAATGACAGTCAATCCTCGCAGAGCAATAGACCTCAACATAAACGCCTCACTCGAGTTCCTGCAGCTCGTGATGCCCGACCGAATATCATCGAGCCTTCGAGTAACGAACGAACATCTGCTCGAAGTAAGCACCCTGGACAAGCTCCCGGAGGATCATCGTCCCAGTGACAAGTTCGTCGCAGTGCGTCTGCGAATCCCGCACGAGTTACGGATTCGCCTCACCCCGCAATGGGTTAGACGGCACGCTCGAAATAAAACCCGGCAGGATGCCAAGAAGAAGCTACCTAGAGATCCCCAGGGAAATATCCTCGAAGGTTTAGAGGATCTAGAGCTTGGGGAAGAGGTTTGGATGCATGTCGCCCCAACGAAAGATGAGCTGGCACGACATGGTCTCCAGCCCAGCCGGGAACTGGAGACGCATCAGGAGGATGGGATGGTGGAGGCGAGCGGGCCAGAGGGGCGGACTGAACATGAGGACCACCATCGCGGCATCGAACAGCGAATGATGGAAAGAGGATGATGTATATCTCTCGCCCTATAAGGTGGTTGGCGTGAGCGTTCTGGACGTTGAATACGAAATCCGGATCCAAATGTGCGGCATAGCGAGTACTGACTAATACCTGTCTCAATATAGACAATAGAAAGAATTAGACGATTGGCTTAACTCTGGAAGAAGTTCGTCCCTTCAATACGCCTTAGATTAAAAAATGCTTTTCAGCTGGCTGCATCTCGCGATAGTGATGGCGCTGAGACATTGACAAAAATCTTTGCCTCGTCCATCCTTGAACAGCGTCTCAACACGTCATGATCACGAACAAAGGTCCCCAAAGCGAGGCGCTCGAAGCAGAAAATAGCCCTTTCCGGCTTTTTCTCGTTCGATTGGAAGAAGGCGGAGTTTGCGATGGCCCGTCTCAGAACGTGATCAGACAGCGTGTTTGCGGTACGTTTCAATTCGCAGACCTCACTCACGGCGATGTTGTTTCTCCACCAGGTCGGAACCGGGTCCCTCAAAGCGCTCATATATGTTTCTGCATCCCCGGGCAATGTCACTGGGGCCTGCAGTGTATCGTGGGAGATCCTGGGAGCGCATCATAACGAATTAGGCGGAAGGGGAAGCGTGGCGATGAGATGGAGTCGCTGGGGCTTGGTTCTCTCGGTTCTGGAACCCGAGACTGGGAAGAGGACCCCTGATTCGGAGCTGTGTTAAGTCAAGGATAGTAATAATTGTCCCAACGTTCAAGTTTTCCTCATGGGTTGTCCTACCTAGGTACGGTGTAAGGTGATGTGCACAACGTGATTGATTGAATGGATGAATGGTTGAAGTGCCTGGCAGCATTTTGGAGGAACTATGTTGCTCAAATCCTCGAATCCTTTACCTACAATCTGTGCATTGACATACGTGCCAATTGTTCGGATTATTGGCTTGTAAAAAAGAGTTCGAAATACAAAAGAAGTTCTCATCGCACAGCCGAGAGAAGCATATTAGCGATCTCCATCCCAGCAGTGATCATCGTACAGTAGATCCGTTGGCTTCCTCAGGGGTCAATCTGGCTTTATGCTGAAAATAGCATGGTCTAGGTAGGGCCTTTTAGTGGCCGTGCGGGGAGCTAACGAAGTAACTTAAAAGTCTCTGACAACGACCACCTGCAGCAGCAGCAGCAAGGTACCGACCGACCATACATGATACCACTGCACAGTCAGAGTTAATGTGAAGCTATTGTATCCCAGGAAATGGATCTGCCCGGCTACACGAGAAGCAACAGTTGAGATGGACATGCTCGGACAGGAATAGCAGGCATCATCTGTCCAACCTAATGTAGGTAGGTATGCACTCGACAAACCACAGCAGAAGCCGCAATCCCTTGGTATTGCTCTCTTCCAACTTCTATACGGGACCTTGATTCAGGACCCAACACCTGTCCCGCATTGGTAGCATTCATGCATTTCATTCGACCTGCAGAAATCGACCTGCAGACCACAGAACGCACAGCTGTCCGCCAAGACGACCAAACATCGGCTCTGGGACCGTGTGTGCCACCATGACACTACATCTGTTTATACCGACCCTTCCACGTCTGAAAGCTTGCAAGTTTGGTGCAGCCGTGGTCTTCCCAGTCTTCCGAGTTTCCGACTTTTCCTTGAAGCTGTGTGTCACTTCACGCTTGGGCGACCAGGCCAGGCCAGGCCCAGTCCATCATTATGTTTCTCTCTACTAAGTATAACATTTTCATAACGAACCATCACCACATGCTCCAGAGGCTGTTCGACCTCGTCCCCGTCCGCATGCAGGTACCTTCTTATGTTTATTTTCCTTGCTCATAGCTCACTTCTTTTTCTTTGCTGGCTCAATTCTTCACTCGTTTCGGAAACCCACCCCGCACTGACATAGCTTCGACGCCGCCTCTCTCTTTCACCACATTATTTTCTGATTCATATACATCCTTCCCGGCGCTTCGACTCTAAGCAGGTCGAAGACAAGTTATCCCACCGCTGATCCGCCACTGCTTGATGAGTCAATCGTTTACCAGAGCATGCAATTGCTCTCCTCACGCAGCCCGCAACTCACCAAAGTTTGAGCAAACCCGTTGGCAGAACCCATCCCGCAAATGGGGTCCACCGAGTTGAGAGGCAGATCAGGGCTAGCCAGAAAGAACACTTTCCAGCGGATGCTCGATCTGGAACAGAAGAATAAGGTGCGTCCAGTAAGAGCAAAAAGAAAAAGCAAATCTGCCACCTGGCTCACCAGTATTGGGTATTGGGTTCTCGGCTGACGCTTTCCCACGCAGGTGAACCGAATGCAAGCCTCACAACATGTCCCACAGCTAGTCCATACAAGTACGGCCCTGGGTCGAGAGTCCATTTCTTCGATTTCGAATCGAGAGTTTCGTCCACCGACGTTGCAAGTAACCGGGAGAGCGATGACCACACCAGCACTGTCGATTGCATTACCTACCCCAATGTCGAATACTAATGGCAATGGCACAACGAGAAAATACGTCATTAGTCAGAGCGGTGACTTGATTCCTCAGGAGCTGGACGACTCAGAAGATGATTCAGACACGTCGTCCATCTGCCACTCCCCCGGGTGGGATGATCTTTCCGGAAAGAAGAAAAAGCAAGAGAAGAAGGCAAAGGAGCAACGAAGAAGAGAGAGGGAAAAGGCTGAGAAAGAAGCTAAAGCTGCACAAAAGGCAATGGCAAAGTTGACGAAGGCCGCTCCAGCCAACAGTTCGAAGAAGCTCTCTCGAATGTCAATTACGATCGATCGTTCAAATACGGCTCCGATACTACCTACAGTCCAAGATGTACAACCGCCAGTGGAAGAACCGAGTCCGTCGAGACAGAGTACAACCACCAGACCGCGGAGAGGGAGCATCGAGGCAGGGTTGAAGAGTTTCATTTCCACAAGGAGTGGTATCTCAGTACCATGGAAGACATCACAGAATATGTCTGGTCAGAGTCCCAACCACGAGTTCATACCCAGCAGGTCCATATCGAAAGCAACTACTGGAGGGTTTATCGGCGGACTTAAGCTTCGACAAAGTGAAGAAGCTGCGACTCAGGACATCATTCGAAGGCTCAAGACAGGGGCAGGAGACGAGAACAAGGGCTTACTGAGTACTGATACCTTGCTGAAGAGTTCAACAAACTTGAGCAGTGCGGCATCGATCACCGAGTCCATTCGACCCATTTCTATTTACGAAGAATCTATTCGGACACCGCAGCAATGGGATGAGATATACTCTCAAGCTGCCCATCTAGCACGAGGGCCTCGCCCTGTGGAGCTTGCCGACGATACACCGATAATGGAGCGGAATATCAAGAAGAATAGGAAAAAGCATCCGCCAACATCGAGGTATTTCCCACTCGAGAGCGAAGATTCGAACTCCTCGAAACGAGAATCCTCAACCGCCAGCACACGCACTTCCGCGCATTCGGGAGCTCCTAGCAGCGATGATAGGAATGGACAAGGACAAACTTCGTCAGCCGAGAGACCAGCAACTGGAGGCCATAACAGTTCTTTGGGAGAGACTCGAGGCAGGAGTGACAGTTATGTTGGTCATCAACGCAAGCAGAGTCGTGAGCAGTCCTTAGCAGGGTTCCAGGATGAAGTACAGCTATCGGACACCAATGGAGACTCGAAAAGACCCGGCTCGAGTAAAAGTTCATTCTTCAGAAGATCGAGTCTTCCTCGTGAGTCAAATCGAGAGGCACCCTCAACAATCCGACCAGGAACGCGGGACAGCAGTGTCGATACCCATGTGAAAGAGGCCGTAATCACCAACCCATTCCTCAATGAGGAGTACGTCGTTCCACAACTTCACCTGGGAGAGTTCACTGCATCTCCTCTGGACGAGAAGCCAGTCAACCACAAGAAAACATCTTCGAAGTCCAGCCAAAGCTTCCCAGGTCCGAAAGGTCTCAAGGTCACTACAAAACCAACATTTTTCAAGCTACCAACAGAAAATTTGGAGGAAAAGTCACAAGTTGTACCTCCCTCACCAACTGGCAGCTTCGTAAGTGCTGTCGAGACACAAGCGACATTACGACCAAAAGCTTCACAACGCGCTCTCACGACTGGTACTATCGTCAAGAGTTCTACAAAACCAAAACACATTGTTGAGGAATACAGACCACCGACAATCGTTCATGACTTCGCAGTCCGTTCAAAATCTCCTCCTAGTGCTTCGCCAGATACCATCCGAGCTCGTCCAAGTAGCAGGAAAGGCTCTCAAAATGCAACACCTATTACTTCAAATAGCAACAGCAGCACAACTTCACACACGAGATCGATCACCGATTCTAGTGAAGAATACTCGACGCTCGACGATTTCTCAAATATCACAACGCCATCTATATCAAGACCTCATTCTGAGAAAGACTACTCCAGATCAATGGACGAACTCAATCGCAAAACAAACACCAAGCTCATGAAAAGGCTAAGTAGGGAACAAGGTGTGATCCACAATGGACTCAACGGACATCCGGTCATGACTGGCGCTATTCCTTTTGATGATGGCGCCAGTCAAAGAGATAGTTGGTGTCGGACCGCCATGCCAATGGACTCCAGCGAGGGCGAGGATCGAATGAAGACACCAACAGGCAAGAAACGCTCAACCGACTTCGTGGTCTCAAAACCAGAGTCAACTCTTCCCAAAGTTTCTGATGGACCGCCTCCTAAAACCTCAGATGGACTCAGCAACTCCAACTGCTCTGGCATCCAACGCAGGCCAAGTCTCGCCCGCTCAATCTCGACTCCTGACCTCCAACAAGACCTCTCCTTTCTCCCACCACTAAAGCACCAAGCTCTCACCAAGCCCCAAAAGAAAAGCAGAGGCTTCCTAGGAAGAAGAACTAAGGAAAGCAAACAAGCTTCCGTATCAAGCGACACCGAAAAGTCCCCCACATCCCTTGTTCGCCCACCACCACCCATCACCCTCTCCAAGGACTCAAACACCACCGTCACCAAATCCGAAGGATCCTCCCCCACATCCCCCCAACCACCCTCTCAATACCTCCAAAACGCACGTCTCAACATCGGCGGCCCGCGTTCTCCGAAATTCCCCCACTCGGGAAATCCCCATCTGAGCAGTAACAACAACAACGCCGAGCCAGTGGCGAAGATGTTCGTGGTGTGTTGTTCGTGCAAATATTTCCACGATATGCCGAGCAAGATCTACGAGTGTATGGCGAAGCCGGATAATGTGGTCACGGACACGAAATTGGGTGTTAGTGGGGTTATTAGTACGAGCGTGAAGTGTCCTTGGTGTGGGCATGGGATGAGTACTAGTTGTTGTGCGGGATATGCTGCGGTTGTTTACTTGAGGGAGAAATTTCATTGAATAGAATGGAAGGGGTGCCTTCTCTTTTGTCGTGGGACTGGATAGGTGCTGCGTTTTATTGGGCTAGAGGCTCGATGGGGTTTTATCTTGCTGCTGGGCTCCGCTCTTTCTGGGATGATTTAGATGCATTCATGGTGTGCCGCGGAGCAGCGATGGGATAGCATATGAAGGCATGGAAAGCTAATGGCAGGCGTTCTATGGGGAGTTTCAAAAATGGAGATATGCATATATGAGTTATGTCAGAATTTATGAACTATTGTAGATGGACACATTTGCATCTAGATGCGATCAACATTTCATTCTTCGAGCACGTTTGTGCTTTCCCTATTATCTGTTAGCTGATGATGAAAGGAGGGTGGTGAAATCGCGAGATTACTCTTACCCTTCAACTCGTGCTTGAGCGTGTGAAACTTGGGCCCAAGATATTCCTCGATAGGTACAGTACAACGCTATCTTTGAGTTTTGAGTGCTGCGGAGTGGAATTTTTGAGCCTCGGAAAAGATTGAGATCTGTGATGCCGTCTGACGAGGAAGATTCCAATCCTTCTCGAGTAGGCATCCCAATCAGGCTCTCGAGGATGAAAGTTATCGTATCATCCAGGGACGACAGCAGCAACACGAACACTTATTCCCTCAGTTCAGATCTCCTTGGTGTTCTGGGGCGCGCATCCGACGGTCGGCGTCGAACAGATCTGGATCGTGTTGGTGACTGGCTGGTTGAATCCTAAACGAGCAAGATTTAGCCCTGCTATGAATCACGCTTGAAGTGAAACTGATCATTAGAGTTGGAATGTAGACTGCAGGAATTCCAGGGAGTTTCCGGTGCTTACCGCAGTCCCATTACGAGGATGTCCGAGACGTCCTCCAATCTGGATCGGATAGGGGGGAAGAGGCTCCCGACGACCGCCGCGTTGCTCCCCGAATCGCTCCTCATATCCAGAATCGAAGGATTCTGGAGACCTAGAGCTGTACCTCGCATACCTATCAGACTTATGGAGTATGACTTGGCTTTCTGCCAAGGCGCGCTTTGGCCGCTTTGGCCGCTCTTCCTCGATGGTAGTCAACCTAGTCGATTTCTTAGACACAAACCCTTCTTCGACGTAGGACAACAGTATGTTGCAAACTCCTCCGTGGCCGTTCTGATGTGCTAGCTTATACGCCGTGTTACCATCATGATCTTTAGCCCCAGTTTTGCAATTACAGGTATTAAGTAGCAGCTCGACAATTTCCCGATGCCCTCTACTAGCAGCACAAGAAAGGGGCGTAAGACCTTGTGCGTTGGCTGCGTTGACGTTGACTTTATTGGTGTGGTGGTAAGGCAAGTATTTCTTAGCCTCCACTGGTCGGCTGCGGCTCTCATTGTACAGTAGCTCTGTAGGATATGGCTCATCGCTCGATTCGACGTTGCCATTGACTGTACCACTGCTTAGTAATAGTTGCACCATAAAATCGTCTCCTCGGATGGCGGCTTGAGCAAGTGGCGTGTAGCCATCCGCATTCCTGATATTGGCGTTGACCTTGCTATTCTTGAGCAGTAGCGCTATAGGTTGGTATTCTTGATGTGAAATGGACCACCAGAGCGGTGTCTCGCCATCTTGTCCGGTTTCATTAGGGTCAATTCTGCCAGAATCGAGGAGTTGCTTCATGGCGGTTAATTGTCTCCCTTTAAGAGCCCACCACTGCAGAACGTTAGAATGTAGTTTTTCCGGCCAGTAGAGGGAATAAATTGAAAGCACGAAGAAGTGGTAGAGGACGGTAGCGAGCATGAGCGAATAGAGCCTTAACGAAATTCCTGCTTACAAGTAGTGTTTCACCAGCATCATTGGTTATACTGAGATCGGTCTTGTCACACCTGAGTAGCATATCCAGCATGCCTTCGTTTATCACTGTCATAGCCCACCAAATGGGACTCGCCCAGTCTGTAGAACCTCTAGATCCATTTATCACTTCTGGTCCCACCTTTCTACTGTCAAGTAACAGCTTGATAATAGCGTCATTCCCATTTACGATTGCCACCCACTACAAGCAGTCAGTATCGTGCTCGCTCTACAGGCGAACGAGAGTAGTATGAACTTGACAACTAAGCCAAGAAGGAGGCAAGGTTCGAAATATAAGCAGAGGAGGAAAATAGATGGAGGAAATTGTGCCTGCTTACGAGTAGAGCGGGATCTTTTTCTCCTATGTCAACCAAGCGCTCATCGAGAAGTAGATCTTCCACGATGTTCGTATACCCACACCTTGTGGCCCATAGCAACGGCTTACCATAGTCTTTAGGTAAAATGTTGACGGTGGACCCCAGCGCATTTTCTTCAATTCTGCGCAACAAGTCGCACATTGGAGCGCCGCTTTCTGCCCGGACAGTCCAAGTATGATAGAACCAGAAGAGCTTAGCGTAAGCGTAAAAGTGGTGTTCGTCGATGGGGCGAGCTTTAAAATGCTTACTCGCTCCCGCGAGTACCTTCCCGATGTCCTGGTTTAGCTGATTCCTGGGTACCAAAAGTTGCAATGCAAGGGAGCGAACGACGCTGGAGGAACTCATGCTCGACCGGACGATGTTGGACGGAGTGGACGCTATGTTGATCTGTGGAACCACAATCGAAGATAATTGTGTCTCAAAAATCCCATAGTTGAGATAGGTGATAACAATATCTGCCATACGCGTGTGTGCAGCTTTGAATGAGAAAGGTATGGCCGATGCAGTGCCTCTGCCACCTGTCGTCGTCAATATAAACAATCTGCAGACGGGGAAGTCTCAAGAAGTGTAGAACTTGAAATTCATTGAGATAACTTGCAGATGCTTCGGTGTCAACGAGTAAAAAAACATAGGTTCATTACGTAGTGATTCATACCAGCATCTGGAAAAAAAGTTTTCCCAAGAATAGCACACATACAAGAATTTTGAATAGTTGACTTACTGAGGAGAAATTTCTTAGCACTATGATGGATAACCCTGACCGTGAGTTCCTCTTCGTCAACCATAATAAGGCTTCCGCAGTACAGCAACGTCGAGCCGAAATCATTTATCAGCCTTGTTGAATTCCAATTCGTATCTCCAGGGACAACGCTCAAAGCTTCTCGAAGTTCCTCTGTCGTTAGAGGACGTTGAGCAATACTAACAAGCTCTAGGATCCTTTGCTGGTAAGAGCCACCTTGGTCTTTTGATCGATCCAAGATACGAGAGAAGGTTTCCGGAAGATCTTTAGGAAGGTTTGAAAGCGCTTGGCGGATTGCCTCATCTGTCTGCTCGACGCATAATGACTTGAGCTGCAGATTAACCCAGAGAAACATCCCCTGCGCTCCGTCCAAGAGGGCGTCTCGTATCTCGAGGATTAACGCAGGATCGCCAATTGAAAGCGTTCCAGACTTTAAGTAGTTTTCCAATTCCGCTACAATATAGTCTTCAATATCAGGATTAGCGTCAGGAATTGAAATGATGGTAGGGTTGATGAGAAATTGAAGCTTCGAGTTGTTGCCAGCCTCTAGCCTGTACGAAAGACAGATAAACAACGTGAAAATCTTCTGGAGCCTCCGAAGCTGGTAGACCAACTCCTCTCTTTCTGCATGTGAACACTCATCCAATCCATCGAGTATGAAGTACGCCTTAAAGTTCGGAGATATAGTCCGTTGAAGTAAGATATATATATCATCAATGCCAAGGACAGGAGCATTTTCATCAAGGAGATCCTCCGTGGCAGAAAGATCAGGAAATGAACGCAGCAATTGTCGAGCTAAAGATCCAAAGACCACCCTTGCTTGCAAACTTTCCAGTATGTCATGACGGCAAAAGAAATAGGCCACTCCAATTCTTTTTTCTTGCACATGGAGACAAATATCATCCACGGCATTGGCCAGTAACACTGATTTCCCTGATCCCAACTTGCCCATGCATATGAACGTAGAGGATGTAGCAGATGTGTCTGGAATCTTCCAATTTTGATATTCAGCATTTTGATCCAACAGGGTTGTATTGCCCAGCTTTCGGATTTGTTTCCACGTTGTCTCGTAGTCGTATGTGGAGCAAGCATTGAGAACCCTTCGATTCCTCTCCAGCCTCTTGCGATGCGACGCGGTTTCCGAGAAACGGCTCGATACAGCTCTAAACCGAGAATTCTCTTGAGCTTCTTCTTCGATCTTTTTGCTCGACAGGAGGACCACTTCCTCTTTGATTGAAGTTGCCCAAGCGATGAGCTGCGTTTCGGCGGTCTTTATGTCAGAATCGCTTAAAGAGGAAAAGACCTGCCCTAAACTTGACTTCTTTGTGAACTTCAGCAACGAATGGCAAAGGCGAACCACAACAATGAAGTATTCCGATAAACTCGACTGCAGAATCTTCGAGCGCGGGTAGAGGAGAGCCATCATTTGGTAACGAGGCGCTGACCGACCGACCGTCATGAATAACTGAGATAACTTTTCGAGGTACGAGTTGGAGGTGACAAACATCTATCGACACAACGTCAATTCAGGCACAACGAAGCATTAGGGAGCACAAACAAGAAGCGTCATTCGGACAAGCGACCAAACACCGCATGCGATGAGATTCTGCGATCCTCCAATGAGTATATCTCCAAGGGCAGCGAATTGTTGGACAGCCTGCAGAACATTGCAGAATCTGGGCCCAAAACACCGCCCACCAACAACCTTCCCACTCGCGCGACGGTCGATCAGGGCCGTGAGGAGCATAACATCATCTGGAGTCGGAGGAGAACTACATGTCTGCGCTTTGTAGGAGCGGAACATTGCTTTCTGGTCGCTCGAGAGGTCAGCCTCGAATTCTGAGACTGCTTGGGCGAGACGAATTTCGGCCTTCAATGGGGAGGCATTCGCGACCAGGGCGGACATCGTTGTAGAGGTATGGTATCATGACGATTCCCGAGATAGCATGAGTGAGAGGTATATACTTCATAGACAGCAGAGATTGATGCGACGTGGGTTGGGCCCATGGCTGATGGAATCAGCCCCGCGAGGCTGTCGCGTGTAGCTGTGCCGTGCTATTGGATGCGCTCGATGCGCAGTCAAAAATAACAATGATAAAGTGAGACTCGACCGACGGCCGTGTATTGTATTGTTCGGAAGGTTGGCTGATGTGTGGAGATACGTGCCTATATCGTTGGCAGAACGGATAGCTAATTGAGAATTAAGAGGTGAGGAAGGAAGGAGCTTGTGGGCCTACTGCGAAGACATAGTTGAAGTATACATTTCAAGTGGCTAACGGAATAATTATTAATGGCTCCAAAACGCTAAGAGACATCGAACCAGTTGAATCAATCATGTTGTATTATCTATACGTGCAGAAGACAATGTCAACGTATGGAATCAAAGCCTGCAGATGTCCCTCATCCCCGAGACTTCTCGTCGCCATTCTTTCCATAGACTCTTTCGAGGACCTCTCTTTTATGTGCTTCAACCTCTCCTTTCTTCTTCCGCATCTGAACCCAAATTGTGAACGGCTGCAACGCAATACTAACAGCCACCCAAGCGATAATCACCCCGAAATTCAACCCCAGTAGATTTTTCGTCCCAAACAGAATAGCTTTAGACCCAATCAAGTTGTGTCTCAACGGCCATGCCAGTCCCCACAAATAGAAGTTTGACAGGAGCTCGACGGGGTAGAATCCAGTAGCCACGTTCGTAATGACCCAGAAAACGAAGAAGACTGGCGTGAAAGGGGGGCCGAGGACATTATTAACATTCTCAACTGCAAGACCAAAGGCCATCATCGAGACCCAGGATAACATCCAATATATAACGTATCCGGAAGCACCATAGAACCTGTCGAACCGGATTTGCCAGGCACAGGACAGGGCAAGGTAGAGCAATGAGAGGAAGAAATAAAGTATAGGGTAGAGTGAGAGACGGTATATATAGTAGTGGAGCAAGGAGATCTTGCCCATCATGGCTTCGTTAAGAGCGTTGAACATTAGGACCGACAGAAATGAGATGATTATAAGATCTACAGCACATCAGAGAGAGCCTGGAACGGACGAGGAAGAGACTTACAAATAGTGCCAATTTCTGTCGCTGCTTCTGCTGTGCTTGGAACATACGGGGCAGTGTTGTACACAGAAAATCCAATCGGTATGGGAGATTGAGCTTGTCTTTCCAGAGCAGCAGCATTCCCAGCATTGGCTGTAAGAAGTGAGTTCTGCTTCTCCTTGGCAAACTGCAGAACGAAAGAGTTCATGAACGTAAGCATCGCTGGATATGCGAGTTCGTCAATGGCCAAAGCATTTCTCCCCTCTTCATAGATGACATGTACAGAGCCTGTCGGATCATAGCTCGTATTTCCTTCATTGTATGCGTAATTCATAGCAGTCGTGGCATTGGCTTGGATCACGATGCCGATCCAGAATTCCTCTTGCTTCAAAGCATTTCGCGCTTGTTCATTCGAGAAATTGTACTTTGATCCAGGTTCCGACACGTAGCCCAGTGTATTCTCCGGATCCTCAGACCGCGCTTTTGCTCCCATCTGTTGCAGATATGGTCCTACTTCTCCTTGGTCGAAGTCGATGATCGCTACTGTAAAGACGGGAAGATTGAATTGAAGGGAGTGGTCGGCGCCCCAGTATATCGACAGAATGCCCAGCACAATTGCTACCAGAAGTACACAGAATGTAAGGAACATTTTTGACCACATCCTTCTCTCCTTCTCCATGTACGCAGAACTGACTCCCGGGAGTGCTCTTTGCATTAGTGGTACTTCCTGCTCATTGTTGACCATGCGGCCTTCGAGCGTATCTTCTGAATGGGCAGACATGGTGATAGTTGATGGGAAGGAAACATGGAAGAACAAAATAATCCCACTAGAGCGTGAACAAAAGGATATGTACAAATCCTTACCTTGACATCGTCATCGTCCAGAGCATTTCTGCTATTCCACGTACGGATGGTACCTACCAGAGAAATCCTCACTCTAGAGCAATCCATGAATAATAGCTGCCGGCTCTAGAGTGCGGCAAAGCGGTGAATGGCAGGGAGCAGATGATGCCGCAAAGGGGTGAATTCATCGACGATGATGTAAAGACTTTCTTTCGGAATCAACGGCGGCTAAGATCTAAGATCTTGGCAGGGGTCTTTCATAGTCAGGTGATACCGCGCGAACCCCCGCTTTTGCCTCGGGTATGAACGCGCTCCTGGAGTTTCTCTTGCTTGACTGTAAGCAGGAGAGAAGTCTCGCCGTGAGACTCTGCGTTTCTAAGAGAGTACGACAACCTCTCCGTGAACCCCTCCTCTCAAGAATCGAAGTCTCTCGGAACTCAATTCAAGGCAAGCCGTGCTCCATATACACATATCAAGAATCCGAACAGAGGCTCTAACGCATGCAGAGCCATAATGACTTCACAAGAACCCGCAACCTCGAAGCCAACCCGAAGACCATATCATGGTTCGTGCCACTGTGGCATCACAAAGTACTTTGCGTACATTACCCTTCCTCCTCCAATGATCACCGCGATCCCACCAACATCAACTAGCACGACCAGAATCCGGAAATGCAATTGCTCAACCTGTCACAAGATGTCCTTCTTCCACGTCCGTCTACTGGACTCTCCCAACGATTTCCTACTTCTCTCTCCTCTCGATCCTGTCACCGAACTCAAAGACTACACCTGTTTCGATCACCGAATCCACTGGTACTTCTGCCCAAACTGTGCAATCCGCTGCTTTGCGTTCAGTGGAGAGAGTGAAGTTGTTGATATCGAGATTGAGGGACAGGGGAAGAAAACAGTCTGGAAGCCAAAAGCAGAAGGTTGGGTCGAGGGAGGGAGTGGATATTTAAGCATCAATGCAGCAACATTAGAGCCGAACCAAGAAGGGTTGAACCTGAGTGAATGGACTGAAAAAGGATGGATCGCGTATCTAGATATGAGAGGTGATGAGGTTGCGAGGTTAGGGAAACCTCATGATGGAGGAATATATTGAGATTCGAAAATCAGCGGCGTTTCGAGGACAGCTTTTCGTCCAGGCAAGTGCTAAATTCCGAACTGTGCGTGTTGTCTATACCAGTCACTTGGCTTGTTGACATTTGTCTTCTTGCCATGACCAAAAAATGCTTATAGCCTAGCATGTTTCAAGAGACGTCTACCACCCTCTAGGTGATGCTAGGATCGGCGTCCATACTCATAGCAATCATGTTAGACTTCCAAATGTCCATTTGTTGTCTTGCGAAGGCTTGATCAATGATGATTGAAGCCCAAAATTGAGTCCAAGTAGGATATTTGAGTGTCCAAAGCTATGTCTTTGCTTTCTCCTGCTGTTCATTGCACATCTGGTGCTTGCTCCTCTCGATGACAGACTCGAAAGTTGCTGATTGCTTGCCATAAGACGCAGTTTGCTGTGTTCGAGTGCTGTGCTTACAGACGAGATCTCCCGGAAGTCTCTACCCACCACTTTCTATCTGAGGTCGAGCATTTAACATGTTCACAATTTTAAAATATGTATAACTCTTCATACTTATCTTTCTTGATCGATCTGCATGGCATCTTTCTTTCTCTTCCGAGATATCTGAGCTGAAGTTGAGAATTAAGCGCAAGTGCCATAATGCTGGATTTGGATGAAGAAGCCTAGGCTGTATCAAAATCTTTCAATTTATCAATCCATTGATTGAACTCGTGAAGCCAGAGACATTGTTGTCTTTCGGGGAATGGTCATTGCTGCTCCCAGAATTCTTCCCACTCAGATAGACATGCCCGATTAATCAACTATTCCTTCTTCCCCCTCATCAATTCTTGGTTTGTTTCTCCAGTTACCAATGTACGAATGGTACCATTGGATTAAGTTAACAACATACCATCTCCATGCTAGGAGGAGAAGGTCAGTATTGGAGTCTCTTCACAGGGAGGAGAAGATTACTATCAATCAATAAGATTTACTATCAAGATATCACAAATTCATGTCACAGCATTCAAGGTAATAAAATTTGAGAGCGGAGAACAGTCTTCATTCATCTCTTTGCAACATCTTCCCAAAAACACCAACTCTCATCCCATCCCATCCCCAACCCCCCATCCACCCCTAGTAACGGGCCCGGTACGACGAATGCGATGTGGTGCTGTTGCTGGTGCTGGCCGGTGCGGCGGCGGCGAACGTGGGAGGAACGACACCAAAACGATAAGCAGCAGGGACAACGAACGGGGCCGGCCAGAACGCGTATGCTGGGATCTCCGAAAGAGGAGGAGGACCGAAGGCAGAACAGATTGCTGGGTAGTTAATCTGCTGGTAGACCCTGCAGAAGAAATGAGTTAGCCAAGTTCTTTTGGACAGGAGGGAAAGAAACTTACCAGGCAGCGTGAGGAGACCCTAGGTGGCCGAAGCCCTCGTAGTCTGGAGTGAGATTCATGGGATCTCCGGGAGACAGAACAGGTCCGAAGACCGAAGTAGGAGCCAGACGTTGATGTGGTGGAGGAGGGAGAGGAAGTTGTGAAGTGCCCGCAGGCGAAGAACTTGAAGCCAGGCCGGGAATCGAACCCGGAACCTGGTGCGTCTTGGACAACTTTTGAGGAGCAACCGGCTGAAAATGGTTGTCGAGCGGAACTGCCTTGCGGCGAGGAGTGCCTCCGTTTTTCAAGTAGTAGGCCATGGTGGTTGCGGTGGTGGTGGTGTTGGTATGGTGTGTGTGTGTGTGTGTGTGGTTGATGACTGCGAAGTCAAAGCAGGACGAAGAAACTTTATGTGGAAGCAGAAAAACTTGGGAACGCTGGAAGAAAAAAAGTTTGAAAAGAGAGCTGAGAGCTCGAGTATATATAGAAGTTTCCTGCCAGATATTCCCAGGTATTGTGCTCAGTACAGTATTGTTGAAATCAACCACTGGGTTGGATATATGGCGACAATGGTATGGCTTTGTCGGTGTTGAAATATAAGCGAGATGGAGACAATAGGAGTCTCGATATTGAGCTTGTGCTCGGGTAAAATATTCACCTTTTCCTCGAGCTCAGATATACAGCTATTATGTTCTAAGACTACTGCTATTGTCCCATCAGTCCATCAATTGTAATAGATTGACCCCAAAGATTGTCTTCCGCTCTGTAGCGTTCATTTTGATACGTTAACTTTACTTTGGACCAGAAGTAAAAGAAATTCCTTCTTTGCACTGAGATCATATGGGGGCTTACAATTGTCCCATCGGTAATAGCATTGGATATCCATACCTGGTAAAACGTAACACAAATGTGGTCTTCTCTCTGTTCCTTGACAATAGGAGCAAAGACCTGAACCAAGACGCAGACTGTCACTTGACCATTTCCAATCCAAACAATAATAAAATGTCCGCAGCTAGTGAGCGCTGCATTTAATGATTATTAGAGCTATGTTACAGAATGTTTTGGCACCACAGCCTTCGTAAAGCTTCCAGGTATCAATTGAGACTTCAAAATATCAATCACGTGACTATTCTCAAAATCCGCCCGACATTGCCATCCCAGCACCTCCACCAAGGGGACCACCCAGATTTCCCTGGACCATCCCCGACTCATTGAATCTCTGCATCTCTTTTGGTATGTTCCCATCTGGATACGCCTCCCTTAGCCGTTTCTGTCTCTGAGCGAAGAGATCGAGGCTGTTCTGATCAGCATACCTCACATCATCTAGGCCGAGCACTTACCCCAGCGATTCTCCCCGCTCATCCTTAGGACTCTCGTTTTTACTTGTGACTACGTTGTCTCCTCTCGAGTCAAGGGTCTCGTTCTTGGCCTCATTGTCTGTTGGGGGAATTCGAGCTGCCATGTCGCCACCAAGATCTCTGCTATGTCGGCCGAAACACATTGTGACTTGAGATTTATTTAGAGAGCAATGAATGGATTAGACTGTGTTATATATATGACAACCCTTTCGCATCTCGTAAGTCGGTATAGTGCTCAGCCTTGTGAAGCCTTGGTATGTACGTGATATGTGGACCTATGACGGAAGGCCGGGTATCGAAGCAAGATAGCTCCACTCTTCGATGTTCTCTCTTCCCCTTTTACCCTTTTGAAAGAAGACCGAGTACTCTTCTGCCTTGGGCCACTGTATGTGTGTGCTATCTGTCATCAACAACATATAGACAGAAACGGAAGAAGGGTGTTTTGTACGGGGTGTGAATACATGCCGAAGTAATCCCGCGAACCGAGCCCCCTATCGAAACGAAGAAGTGTGGGACAAAGGGGGGAAGGGGATAAAGGAGCTGCACCAGGATGTTACACGAATTAATGTAGTTGAGGTGTTGAGGTGAACCTTCATCTTTGGTCATCCACAACGACAACAACGACAGACAACGACGTATAACGACAAATCTCGAGGTGATAACGCCACGCTCCCAGCCAGCACTTTCTCTGATGGATGCATCTTTTCACGATACTACCGAGCGATCCCTTATATTCACAAACCTGGACGCTCATTGGTTCGGATCGAGCCCCTTTCGGGGTATTGTTGTCACAGGGTCGTCTACCAAAGGGGTCGTCTAGCAAAGAGGATACCTCTGGCAGCAACGTTGGCCCATATGGGACAGGGTTTTAGAAAACTGCTTATGCCAAAGAAAGAATTCAAGAAGGAGTTTCATTGTATTGTGCATGGTAAACTAAAGGTCTTCAATTCAGCAACCACGTAATGAAACCTCTATTCTCAATGATTACTTAACAATCCCATTGTCCACATGTGTATTCGAGGCGAATGAACCATCAATCCAGGATATCTCGAGTCTTGTCCCACTCATCAGATCCGACGGCTGGCTTGGATTTTCGGCTAGATGGAGTTGAGTTCATGAAGCTGTCTTGTTGCTGGCTATTGTCCATAAACGAAGATTCGGGATCGTGATTGGAATCTCAGCCTGGGTTGCCAAACGACAAGTCGGTCATCTACTCAGTTGTCCGAACTAGTGGTAAAATTAGTATAATCCTTCGTAGAGATGTTCATGTCGAAAACTCACGCAGTGTCCAAGATGTCCAAGCTCTCTTCGGCGGTCTTTTCCTTGCGCTTAGACTCGAAGACAGTCGAAGTTCGGTGGACATTAGGATCAGTTGGAACCACCTTGGGCATTCGAAATGACACAAAGGTGTCGTTGGAGACTTTATGGGGTGAACAATGGCCACGCTGTTGGGGGGAACCAAGCGGGGGATCAGGATGTGTAGCAGCGGGTTGTCGAGTGCCAGAACCACGTTGAACGCGTTGGTTGGTATTCAACTGACCAGGTCCATAGCCACGACGAGCAACAGAGATGGTCAGGTCTACGGAAGGGGTCTCCGCGCTGACCATACTCGCGGTGAGCCCGACGGTCTGGTTTCGGAGGAGGCGTTGGTTCTCTCATCGTGATGACAATAGGTTACTGGCTCCTTTGCCTTTGATTAAGAGAAGAATTGAGGGAAGTTCGGCATCTGCTCGAAAGCAAAGGAAATTTTGGACCGTTGAACCGAAAGATACCCTCTGGGAAAGGAAATTTATTCTACCCGAAAATGGACCCTGCCTCACGTGCACGCGAGGCCGAGTCCGCTACATCAAGCCAATGTCTCTTTCGAATGCGGGTTTCGTTTGAGTTATATGTTTCCTAGTACTTACACGCGTTCGAGATAATACTTGGCGCGTCTCCTTACCAAATTGACTCTGATGCAAGCCTCAAGAAGCAGTATTAATTGTAGAACGAGGTTCTGTATATCACTCACATCGCAGGCTATGTCGAAGCTTGATCGCTGCCAATCTTATATTCTCTTGCTGACTTTAACATACAGAGGCTTCAAGCACGCCACTGCGGGAGAGAAATCGGCATCAAGAGACGCAGCTGGGTCCACAAGTTCAAGCTGAAAGAGATGTCAGCACTAGATACATAGCCTCCGCTTCCTTCACAAAGTCCGGATCGACACGGAAAAATATTCTTCATATCGATAAAAGGTGCAAATGAGACGGCCAAGCGGGAGGACACTTACACCAAAAGTTACAATGAGAGAAGAAATAACTTTCTTCATTTGCATCACCGCAATATGCTGTCCCAAACACGCTCTCCTTCCACGACTGAACCCCAAATGAGCAGATTCCATACTCCTCAAAGAATCCTCATCTGCCTCCAACCACCTCTCCGGTCTGAAGACCTCGGCATCTTCTCCGAAAGCAGTTGGATTCATATGGATCGCGGAAGGCATACAACCCACAGTTATACCCTCAGGAAAGAAGGTCCCAGCTATCGAGACGCCACCGGAAGGGACCTTGCGTTCCATTGGAAAGGTGGGAGTAGGGTAAACACGCATAGATTCTTTCAGGACTGCGTTCAAGTATGGAAGCTTGTTGACTTCAGCGAATGAAGGAGGCACCGACAATTTGGCTTCCACGATCTCGGCCCTGAGCTTACGCATGACCTCCGGGCTCTTCATGAGATTGAAGAGCCAAGCAGTCATTGTTGTAGCCGTCGTATCCCCTGCCCCTGAAATCGTGGACATGAGCAAGCCGACTATTCCTGTCATATCGAGCGTTTCGGGAGAATCGTGGCCAGCTTGTATGAATTTCTGGAGCAAATCCGAATGAGTTTTGTCTTCTGTGGTGTCTGCTCGACTTTTCAATAAGGACACTGCTTTGGCAGCCATACTGGATGGCGTCCTCTGGACTCTCATCGAGTAGGGATTTCTATACACCAATCTCTCCAAAGTTGGGATGGAAGACCACCAGCCCCAATGATTGAACCTGTCACGAATCAATTGGATGGTCCCTCCTACATCTGATTCAGATTCAAGACAGCCTAGGGTTTCGCCGAAAGAGACTCGGGTCGCGGAATCCATCGAGTAGAGAAGCATCATTTCGGACAAGTCAACCGTTTCGTGTCTTTCAAGAGCTTGCAGGAGGTCAGGGATCGTCTGGTCAATATAAACTTCGTAGTCCAAGACGGCTGCTGGTGTGAATGCCTTGGAAACAGATCGTCGCAAAGCCCCGTGCTTGGCTTCATCGGCAGTGCTTACTAGGGAAGCAACTTCTTTACCATTGGAGATCCCAACGAGGACTTTGTATGATTCCGCCTACACGAAATAATCAGTGATCGAACTAGGGTTTTGATACAGTACTCACTGTTACGAATCCAGCACGAGATCCGTATATTATACTGATAGCGCTAGGATCACTGATACTGACAGCGTCCACTCCATAACGAACGATCGGTCCGTGGATCTTATGCAACGTCAACAATTTCGAACGCAACTGTCCTCGATACTGATAATATGCTCGCCATAAATCAGAAGTACCAGCAAGCAAGGGTCCAGGGATAGAACAATACTTGTACCAATTCATGAACAGCTTGGCAAGAAGCAAGATCGCTACAGCGAGGAGAATGTTCTGAGCAGCCATATTTCATAAGAAGTCAAGAACAAAACAAGCATAAATATGGAAAGAATGCTCAAGAAATCAGGACCGACATCGACAAGAAAATGTACATTCTATGTATTAGATCTGTCTTGCAATTTATTGTTGTGAGGCCCGCATTGGCCCACTTAAGGTCATTCGCTTCGGTGGCCTAAAGTCTTACATGATACTGGAAATACCCCTCTACCAAACTGAAAAGCCTCCAGCTGCTCACGTAATTTCGCCAACACAGAGATCAATTGGCCCCTTCCCGATTCAAGGGCCAGGATAGGTCGGGACTTGCATGGACAAGCCTCGGATCAACTTTTTAAAAGGGAATGCAACCCGAACGCGTGTGATATCATCCAAAACCCCGCAATCTTCGTTAATTTTCAGCAAATTGGCCTCCTAAGGGTATCGAACGTCGAAAAGAAAAATCATCAAGCAAAAATGTGCTTGGTATCGTGGAAATACGTAAATACGGCATCACGAGGTTTGATCGCGATATTGTTATAAATGGAAATCCTGGCTCTATTCGTACATAATTCAGTCTTGGTTCGAATCAGAAACAGAATATTCGTTTGCGCGACTTTGGTTTGGCCTTCTTCAGGACACCATTTGGAGATGGCGTCTCTCGTGAGCCGGCTGGCTCCACGCTCTGAGGATTATGGAAGACGTCGTCGGGGTCGACCATGCTTTTGATTTGTTCCAGTCGAGGCAAATTTGTGCGCCAGTAAGCTAGAGGACCGTCTGGAAGTTCAGGGTCGACATATCCAGCGTAGGCTCCAAACTCGTCGCCTCCAGGAGTTCCGTCCTTCAGAAGCGTGTTGACGCCTCTGAGGAAATTCTTGGTTTTCTCTGCGACTTTACCTACACCGACAGCGTAAGACTGGAGGTAGAAAAGAGCATCGCGGTGTGCATATGCTGTCGCATCTTGTGCAATGTCATTTCTAGTTGTCAAGTTAGTAATCCTGCTTTATGATCTTCTAATTGCACGATGGGAATGGTACTTACACAGCGCCCCCTGCCAGATCGAAAATTATGAACCAGATCAGTGTCCCCTTTTCTACTTGGTCGAGGTAGCTGAACAGCGAGTCAATAACACTGTCTGGAATGAGATCGCAACCATTGAAAGTCATGGACTTCGTATACAAGGGACCAGACAGCCCTCCGCCGAGTAGCAAGGCTACTTCTTCGCCCCAGTGCGCTACAAGTCCCAACCAATCTCGGAAAACAATCGTCTTGGCTTTTTGATGTCCTGGAAATCTATCGTCCATCTCTAGGGCATCATATTCTTTCTTGGATCCGTAGTAAGTCCCAGATATGATCAACCCGACTTCAGTGATGATTGCCTCAGAAGCAAATTTGCGGCTGAGACTCGGATTGGCGACGAACTTTTGCCACGCTTTGAATACTACTCCCATGGAAGCATAGGTGCCGATTGTGAAAGAATACGAGAAGTGCACAGCTTCGCCAGGTTCTTTCTCCGTACGCAACACGAATTCCGTCACGACTCCAAAACTGGCACCTGCTCCCTTCACAGCCCAGAAGATGTCGGAATTCTGAGTTGCGGACGCCCGTTTGATCGATGAATCGGCAAGCACAACCTCAATCTCTTCAATGTGATCAAGAGCAGCGCCCCAGAGACGAGAACTTGGCCCGAGGCCTCCTATGGTTGCGTGTCCACCAAGACCAACTTGGGGACAGGTCCCATGAGCCATTGCACGATGTCCAGCATCATGCATCTTCTTGGTCAAATTTCCAAGTAGAGTTCCACCTCCAGCAGTGGCAATAAATGTTTCAGGATCCATTGAAAAATGCTGAAAATGTTTCAAGTCAATGACCACTGCACCATCGATCCCTCCCAGACCTATAATGATTAGCACTCAATTCTCATGCAATGATGGAAGTGCAGGTACAATAATTGGCATAGCTGTGTCCACCCGAGCGAGCTTGGACTTTCCGACCCGCATCGACAGCGCATTTAATCACTGCCGCTACCTGAGCAGCAGTCTTCGGATATACGACCGCAGCTGGTTTGACCGGATATGTCTGATTGTATAATTTGACATCTCTGAGTGCGTAGAAAGGATTTCCTGGAAAAGCGTACAGATCTCTATCTTTACCGAGAGCTCTTTTTATGGATCTGTCGAGGGTACTTTGCGAAGAACCCATAATGTCGAGAATGCGGGTGGAAAAAAAAATTTTTTGAGGGTATTCGGTGTGTCGAGGAAAGTCAGCCCTATCGAACCACCACGCTGGAACCTCGATTAATGGACTGGGCGCTCCGTCGAAACTCGAATGCGGTTTCTTTCAAATCGAAATTCTTCTCCAGAGATTCCCCAAGTCAATTGATCCAACGCTCCTTCGACAAGTGCCCTGACCTGATAGTCAATTGACTCACTGAAAATCCCTCCTAGCAATTACTTAATGTGCAAGAGAAGGAAAAAACATCGACCGACATCCTGCATCGCGACATGATGCTTCCGGGCCACCACGTCTTGACCGCCGGACGGTCCCTACGTGGCGGGCTGGTTGCCAACACATCATGTTTCTGACACGATGCCAATTGTATGCATGAACGGGAAACTTGTTTATTATTGGGACGTGCTGCGTCTGCGCGTCTGCAGATTGCATGAAATGGGACGAGGCTAGAATGTGGACTGGGACTGTGTTACCAGTCGATTAGGCCTCGTCTATCGGGACAACCTCGGGTCATCCTGCCCTACAAAGTCTCGAAGTTCACGCAGTCAATTAGCCAGCCACAGGGCGATCCTCGATCCTATCATCCAACATATGATGAAGAAAAAAGTTAGTTCAAGAGTGAGCTTAGGATATCTGGGCTACTGAAAGGCTATTTCAGGGATTCAGGGGAGTATTCTCCTCCAATGGTCATGATCACCGAGACAAGAGCAGAGCGATAAATGCGTTCCAGTTCTATTACAGCCCTCGAATAAAAGCTAATAATCTAGCCCTTTTGGTTAATTTGACAATCTATAGAGTCCACGAGTAGCCATCTAAAGAGCACAATTCTGCTAAGCTAAGTATATGAGTATCCTTTTGTCTCTGCTTCACAATTTCGATAGCTTGCCATCTCTCGCCAAGGTCTTGTGGCTGGCTGCGAAAGTATCGTTGGCAAGAGCGGCCAGCGTAGAAGCTTCCAATGCTAGAGCAAATGCAGCGACGGTCTCAGCAAATGCCCATTTCTTGCCTTCACCAGAGCATCCGATGAGATCCAGGGCTTCCTTCTGCGTCGCATATCCTGTACCACCACCAACTGTGCCGACCACTAAAGGAAGTTAGCATGGACTCGCAAAAGATGATGAGGAGTCGGCAAGCTACGAGATCCCTCAACGACCACATCGATGTATCGGAATTTCGGCTCCTCATGAAAAAGTCAATGCAGGGCAGGATTTATACTTACGAAGTGATGGGAAGAACAGGCTCAACGTGAGATCTCCAGTCTCGTCATCAACTTCAGCAGTAAGTTGCGACCATCCAGATTCGAGGACCGATGCTGCGTCTTGGCCACATGCGATGAACATGGCCGTAACCACATTTGCCGTATTGAGGCATTGTCCGAGATTTCCATTTCTCAAGCCACCTTCCTCAATTCGCGTGAGGACAGTCTTCAGACGCTTGGTCGAGGATCCCATGATCTTCAGGCTTGCATCATTCGTGATCGTGCTCCACGCCATGACCGAAACACCACGTGGTTCGTGAACAGATCCCCATGAGAGCTTCTTGTCCGAAGATATGTTTCCCTCGAGCTGGAAGTCGATCAATTCGACTGGTCGAGATTCGGAAGAGAGAAAATCGGTACAGGTAGCATGTGTTCCCAAGGTAACCATATTCTGTCCAGCGGCGTCTCCACAGGAGTACATGAACTTGACGTGTACACCAGTTCCAATAATGTGAGGAGTCAGGGACAGAAGAACGGCATGTCGACTTGTCTTTTCAGCGCTGACTTTGAACTCTCCTAGCAAGTCTGGGACACGGTGGTAGAACGCAACCGCTGCAGAGATGGTCGAGAATACAAATACTGGTACTCGAGATAGACCTTCTGTGAGTGCAGAGGTGGAAATGCCGCCACATGTCGAAAACAGCTTGCAGCCTCGGGAGCATGCAGCTACCAGCGTTGGTTCAACGGTCGCAAGAGGTCCATAGACTTCTTTGCATTTTTGATAGGTGCCGTTGATTGTCAATGGACCAGCAAGACCGACCGGAACTTGCGTGAAGCCAACATGGTTCTCGATCTTGATACCTTGAGAAGTCGTCAAGTCTCGGGAAATGTGCTTCAAGTTGGCGACTTGGGACGCGATACTTTCACGCTTCTTTGCAGCTGCGATGGCTGGATGAGATCCTTGGGGAAGAATAGCAGTGTCAGATCCTAAGAAGAAGTCACTATCTACCCTTATCTATCTGTCGGCAACATCTTAATGTCCTAGAGTCAGGGGTGACATACCAGCGACGAAGCTTTTCTTGTGGCGAGACAGCGCCGGTGTATCTTGTCTCGGAGTGGTGTCGAACTCGTCCAAAGCCATGATTTGTGAGTGGATTCGTGAGTGATGAGGCTTGTTGTTGAGCTGTCAAACTGAGACAAAATTTTCTTCGGAGGCGTTTCGGAGGGAAAGGTTCAAATACCTACCTACCTACTGTAGGTAGGTACTGAGTATTCTTCCATGTTGGGAAGGGTCAATGGAGTCCAGGAAATGTGGCGTCAACGTCTGGCTGACGCCCTCGTCGTTTCCTCCCTATCAGGTCTTGACATTCAAGCCACTCTACTTCAGCCTCGAGGCTCTGCCCAATCGACCCCAGCATGCATGCATGTGAATGCGAACCCTGCTGGCAACAGTGTATCGCGGTTCATCTCATTGAACCCTCATGCGAGCGATAGCGTGCCGCAATGGGGACAGTACGGTCGTTACAGCGACCATCGGAAGATTTGAAATATCGACCTCTTTCAACGACCCTCGTCAGCTCCTCTCAACTTGCGATAACCTTCATTTGGAATGCCACCCATGATGTGTGGCCAGAGAAATTATATTACCACGCTTCCAAAGATTCGAGACATTGTAAAATGGAATTATAGTAAGGGAGCCGGGCCCTGCCTTACTTCGCTCATAAGCTCAATTTCCATCCAAATTCAGCTTTAAATAAGGACGTCGCTATCAATTGGTACATATAGATCAAAATCATGGCAAAATACACTTCAAGCTAAGTTGGAGTAGAGAGAGCTCAAATTGAAAGAACGATGACCGTCGGAACGGAAAGCAGTCAAAAACCATCACGGAATTCCTGACATGTAGGGATGAGCAAAACCAGTTCAGCCAGCCCGGAAAGGAACATCTCACACTTCCGGGCTTGCTGACTCATGGGCAATATGGCATCACGTGAGGACCAGCTATCTCAGTCTGGCCCGTGCATTTGTCCAGTGACATACCCATCTCATTCAGCTTGTCCCACGTCTACCAGCTAACGTCTTCGAGGTACTGTGCTTTGTTTTGTCGCTGTGTCCTTATTTTTTCATCCAATTACACAATTGCAATTACAAACATCGTCACATTGTACAATTTAAGGTCCACGCAATGGTCGGTCATCTCTCGAAGGAGACTCGAAAACGGCAGTCTCAGCCCAATAGCCAGATTATACTGTCCCCCTTGCTGAGTTGAAGGGATTCGGAGACAATCTTTATCAACAACTCATTCAAAGCAACGTCGACCTCGACACTCTTGGGAAAGAGCAGTGATTGGCACCTTGTTCCTGACCTTTCTGTCTGACGATGTATTTCGGTTCGCGGCCAAGTGGCCAGAAGTCTAAAACCGCGAGTCACCAAGAGATTGGCTCTGCGCTGATTCGGCTGCCACACCTGGAACATGTCGAACTCTTCGACAGGAAAAGCTTGATTCGACTCCTTCTACGAGGTTGAGAAGGCGATTTCTTTCCTGGACTGACACAGATGGGTCTTGATTTGACGCGACACGCGAGGCTGAAGATGGTCAGACCGTTCCGAAATATAGTTATTGAACATGTCTTACAATTGTCTGTCGAAAAGCACTCCCCGAACCTGTCTACAGATATAACTTGGCACCACCATCCCCTTTGTCGTCCAGTCGTTGATTCCATTGTATTTTTATCCGGGAAAACATCACCCACGTTCGTTGACGATGAGGGTCCCTCTCTCTCCTAGGGCTGGCAGTTCTGCCTGCAGTCATTCATGCGTCTGCTACAACAGATTTCCTTCAGGATACCGATCCAGCACAATCTGGTTATCTGCCTAACCACAATATTTCTCCCGCCATTGCGAGTACTTTTGCATTGAATTGGAAAGTGGCATTCAATACCCTCGAAATGTTCTACGTAAGTCACCTCTCCTCGACCAGAGGTGCTTTCTGTTCGCTGTTTCACGGGCCATAAGGAAAGAAGTCGCTTGGTATCTCTACAACATCAGTCGTACAGCTGAAATGTGCGGAACAACGGAAATATACTGATTCATTGGTTCGGATATAGGCGAAACCCCTCGTTTGGACCCCGCCTGGCGGTCCTAACAAGCAAGTCATTGTGGTCTCCAACCAGAACAATATCAGAATTCTAGATGGCTTGACTGGCACTGTGATCAACCAAAGAACTCTTGATCCTCCTTTCCAATCCGTCGATACTGGCAATTGCGGAGACATTCCCAACACTGTCGGGATTACAGGTACCCCAATTATTGATCCTGCAACGGATATCATGTACTTGTTCTCCAAGGGCTACAAAGGAGGTAAGTACTCATGCAGAGACATGTAAACATTATTGACACAAAATGCAGCTGCTACTGGGCCCGCCGGTACTCTTCAGGGTAAGCTTTGTTTCGGCCTTTCTAGGCTTTCTTGAAGCTGACATAAACCAGGACAATACAAGTTCTATGCTATTCAACTTCCTGGCCTTACCGATGTCTTTCCTGCCATCATAATCGACGGTCACTATGCGGACAACGACCACACACGATATTTTGTTGGCGGCACAGTCCTCAATAGACAGGGCTTGGCGATGCTTGGCAATACTATCATTGGAGGTTTTGGTGGTCATTGCGATAATTTCAACTACACAGGAATGTTAGTTGCAGTCAGCAAGACTCCAGGAGTTGGTGTTACTAGCATTCAAGCTATGGAAGCTAGTCCCGGCGCACCTCAACCGCAAACACTTGACTATACTGTCTAAGGTGGAGGAAAAGCCGGTATCTGGCAGTCAGGCTTTGGAATTGCCGCGGATGTCACAAATAACAGAGTCTTTTTTGTCACTGGATATGTTAACCACGTCATTGCATGAATTCAGACCTCCCGAGCTCAAGATGGACCAATGTTTTGTGAAAGCGCAGTTTTCCCCGAAGTTTTGACTAATGTCTCCTAGAAACGGTGCCGGTGGAGCTGGTGATAACGGCAAGGGCATTTCAGCCAACGGCAAGATTCCGATTAGCACCCTTCAGCAAGCCACTGTCGATATGGGATTGTCTTCCTCTGGTGTCTTTGCGCAGAACGATTACTTTGAACCTTACGAATACGCATCGCTAGACGGTGGTGATACAGATTTTGGCTCTTCTGGAGCTGCTCTACTTTCGCCTTACTTTTCTGGTGGCGGTGTTTCTCAAGTTGTGGTTGCAGGGGGGAAAAGCGGAAAGATCTATTTCATGGATGCGAACAACCTTGGGGGTTTCGCCACTGGGGACTGGCGGTTCCGATGGAGGTGAGAGCCTGGAAACGCATCATACATCGAAAGTGCTAACGATGTCAAGTTCTTCAAACGATTACCAGCTCTAACAAACTCTTGAGTGGAGTTGCGAGTTACCCAGCGGAAGGAGGTTATGTATAGTTAGTACATCTCCCAATATGTTCTTCCTCCCTCTCACGTGATGTTTAGCTATTGTCCGACCTCCCAGGCTGGTGCTGGAGCGTATCTTTACGCGGACAAGTTCACAACTGGTGCCAATGGTGTCCCGCAATTCGTACTTGCCGGTCAATCTGCTATTCAATTTGCTGGTGTTGGAGCTCCAACTGTCACTAGTCTGAATGGGCAAACTGGTTCTGCGATTGTATGTCAATGCCGCTGGAAGTGACGATGAGAGATGATCGAGACTAATTGGAGAACAGGTATGGTTGGCAGACGTGAACAATGGCCTCGTTGCTTACAACGCAATCCCCGTTGACGGTGTTCTACAACCGATCAGCACCGTGAGTACAGGTCGATTGCAAAAATACCAACGTAAGAAGACTCAATCCCTTCCATCGCAATTCAAAGAGCTCATGATCTATACTAGGCCCTGCATTTGGTAATGCCAGAGTTTACACGACAGAGACCAACCAAATATATGGCATAGATGCATCCACAACTCCTGCAATCACATGCGCGTCTACCAGTGTCGGATTTGGCTCTGTCGTTGCTGGCCTTACAAAGGTCATCAACGTCAAGTGCACAGCTGGGCAGACGGCCTTGACAATGAATGGTTGCTCTACCAACCTTGATATCTTTCAATGCTCCGGTGTGCCAGCCACTTTAGCCGCTGGAGCGTCGTTCACCATGGCGGTTACACTTAACCTAACCTCGGCTGCCATTGAATTGACACGTACCGCTAACTGTATCGATGTTGCACCCGGAGCTGTTGCTGGGTCTTTGAGCCTTATGAAGCCCTCCGGGGTCATTCCGTATGCGAGTCTCCCGATGACTGCCACTGTCACAGCAACTGGAGGATACATAGACCTCAGCGCCGTACAAATCGACTTTAGCAGACTTTCAATTGGCACTTCGTCAACTGCGTCGCTACTTGTCAAGAATGATGGTGCTGGAGCCATGTCCTTCACTGGCTTTGCTTACCAAAATGCGTACGGAGCTCCGTATCAAAATGTGTCCACCTCTGGAAGCCCTGTTGTGGTTGGGAGCGGCTTTACCGCGATTGGATTGCCCGTTAATGGCGCAACCATTGCATCCAAGAGCAACATTACGATCTCCCTTACGTTCACGCCTACCGTGACGGGGTCTTCCGCCTCAATCCTCACTTTCTGGTCAAATGGTGGCTGGAAAGAGGTTATGCTTGTGGGGACAGCATCTGCATGCACTGTCTCTTGTTCTACACTGGTAAGTCTCCAAAACCTGCTTGCTACAAAGTCGGCACACCCAGGCTAGGGCGGAGATACATTTTACTCCTAATGTCTTCCTATAGTAGTGAAAACATATACTAACCAATTACAGTCCCAGAGTAGCTCTACGACTACGATATTATCTTCCTCCTCAAGTGCGATATCTAGCTCGATGTTGTCGTCTAGCTCAAGTGTCATAACAAGCTCTTTGACCTCTTCGTCCCTCTCGACTATAGCTTCTTCGACGATTCCTACCACACTCCTCTCCAACACCTTATCTACATCTGCGCTTTCCAGCACAAGTAGTTTGGTTGTCTCGAGCACTAGTAGCACACTCTCATCAACGTCCGGCCCCTCGTCCAATATCGCAACCACAACGTCTCTAACAACCCTCGCCACATCAGTCTCATCCTCGTCTGTCTCGAGCGCCACTGGGTATGCCTACATGGGATGTTTTGTAGATACAGCCAGTGCTCACGCCCTCCCACTCCTCCTCGCAAACAACTCGATCACTCCCCAAGTTTGCGAATCGCTGGTCTCGTCTCTCGCCATGAAGCCAACGCCGACAATTTACCCATTCTACTATGTCGAGTACCATCGAGAATGCTATGCTGGGAGCAGCTTCTCCTTTGGAACCCAACAGGTGACGAGCCTGTACGGCGCTCACGCTTGTACGGACGTATGCAGCGGCTCCATTGGGGCCACTTCGACAGGCACTGCATTCTGTGGTGGCTCACGTCAATTTAATCTTTATGCCACGAAATCTAGCGTGCCTTTCGTTGTCGCAACCACACAGAGCAAATGAGGGAGAGTTATGTTTAATGTATAATGTTAATTAGTTTTGTTGCTTTGCACGCCATGTTTTAATAGAAATTGCGCTGTCCGGGTTTAACATTTTCGCTGGGTGGCTACGCCGAGTCATTTTCTCAGCCTTCTGATCATTTTCGTCGCACTTCAGACCCCTTTCATCTGATTAAAGCGCACTGTTCCTTCTCAGCGTCAGGGAAACTGAGACAGACTTCTGATGCGAGAGCGATGTGACATTAGAATTGTCATCCCCTTGACGACCGGGCTGTCGGGTCTCGATTCTGGCCAGTGAATGTTGCACTCGGTACGGATCCGAGTGCTTGGCCTGTGCTTGGCCTGCTTCTCCTTGCCAATTTCCATCGCAACTCAATTAGTCTTTGCGAGATCCCTCATTTCAATGCTTCAGTCTGAAAGTTTGTTTGACCTTGTTTTGTTTTTTGTGGAGAAAAACTCAAACTGTTCTGGTGCGATGCTGGATTCCATCAACCAGATAATCGTGATGTGCAATTGGAAACTCGAGATGTCTTCGATGTGAAGCGAAGCGGGCCCCTGAACAAGGTTATCTGATCGCCTCAAACAAGATCGTTACCAAGATTGTGCGCAAGAGCGCGCTTACAACATCAAATAACAGACCGTCATCCGATGTTCTCATCTCATCATGGCGGTCATAACGGCCTCGTTTGTATGATCTGCGAACACAGGGGATTGCTGGAGATGAGCGGACAGGGCTCAGAAACTTTGTTCAGACGAATGCGCAGGAGTATTCCCTCTCGAATACGAAGCGCGGTGAAATGCGTGCGATATTTAAGATGCATTCCACCCACGGTGAGATATTCTTCTTCACCTCATCTTCATTCTCTTTCGATCACTTTACACATTCGTTCTAGTTCTGTGAACTTCACATTCATTACACTCCTTCTAAAAACTTATTGCATTCGGCCGGTCCACCATTTTATACCTTTCAATTCAATACTCCAACCTTCAAGTCTCTTCCATCTCATCATTCGAAATGTATACTCAAACTCTCCTCGTCGCCCTCTTGACCGCTGTTGTTGAGGCTCGGTAAGTAATTCAGATCTCCCGCAGGCTGGGATAGTGCTAATTCGAGAAAAGTTTTGGTCAAGAGCAAGGAAATGGAGCAATCGCTGCCATTGGTGCCTTGACGGACCTTGGAAGCCCTGGACAAGCCGCTACTCTTGCAGGAAACTCCATTCAGTTTTTGCTAGCTGCGGCCAATCCATGTGGCAGTAAGTCGCTTCAATTATACCCGAAGGTCGAAGCTAATAGTCGTCAGAGCTCACCCAGGCCGATAGTATCGTGTCCGAGTTGGGAACCAGTGATGCAGCTATTGCAGCAGCTCGTGGTCTTGTTGCCGCTGAGCAGAATTTCAACCCTTTCGTTGTCGACATTCCATCAATCTGTTCGGACCCCACTCTCCCTACCACGGCTGCGCTTCGCGGAGTCGTTCCTCTCATTGATCCTGCTGTCGGTGGAGAAGCCCTAGAGAACGCCAACTCCAACACCTCTATCATTACACCATTCAATGCAGATGGATTGAGTGTTGCTCAGGTTATGGTCGCTCAAGGATTCTCCAACCTCACCGCCGTCGCTCTTGACGGAACGAAACAAGCGGCATCTGCTCTCGGAACGTCTGCCTCGGCATCTTCGAACTCTACCTCCGTTGTCTCAAGTGCATCATCTAACTCCTCAGTCGCCTCTGTGAGCGTTGCAGCGAGTTCAAGCAGTGTCATTGCATGTGGAGCAGTCGCCACGACTTTTGTTACCATGACTGGCGCAGTAAGTCTAAATATGCAAAGAGATCACAGACTTGAACTAAACATCACTAGGCTGCCTCAACAACTGCTTCTTCCGCCGCAGAATCTACTGACACAGCAGCAGCCGCAGCCTCTTCCTCTACAGCCAGTGCAGGAACCTGTACTGGCTCGGGATCCACTCTTCTCTGCTCATCCCCCGCTGTTGGTGCCGGAGCAGTAACCAACGCAGTCACTGGCAACTTCGACGGTTTCGTCGCTTCAACAAACACCAGCCTTGACTTCGGCCTCTGCGTACCAACAATGAAGTTCGAAGCCGGTCTCGATGGACGAGCCACAACCGCCTTCACCTTCCAAGCCATCGACCCTCTCGTCAACAAGGGACAAGAGGAGGCTCTCAACCCTTCCATCATCACCAATAGAATCCACGATCAATTGACCAACGTCTGTGGTGCAAACCAAGCTGCTAAGGATGCTGCCGCCGCCGCGCAGACTATGATCGCTGCTCTTGGTACGCGTGATAACTCGACTGCCGATGCCTGGAACACGGCTTTGGGCTTTGCGGGCACGAATATCAACCCTGACAATGCCCCAGTTACTGGCTTGGTAGGTCACACATAGATTCAAGGAATCGAATATGTGAATCTAGCTCAAGGCGAGATGATATGCAGTGGATGAACATGGGGAGATTTCTATTTCGTCAATGTATATTACTTAGTGAGAATAAAGTGAACATATTACCAAATGGCTTGTTACCCTTCCACGAAACTTTATCCGAGAGTACTTTCACAATCCTTACTTACAGCTGACTGAGATCCTTCTTGAATTCATTATTCGCAGGGTAGTAGTTGCGTGACATGGGAAAAACCTTAGAACGCTCCTTCCCGAAATATCATATCTGATTTTCTGTTGCACGTCGCAATTTAAAAGACCCTTCCCCGTGGAAAATCAGCTGATTTTGTCTGTTATCTTACCTTGTATTTCGTTCCTTCCTCGTTCCCAGAAGCAGATCTCGTTGCACTTCGCGAAAGTTGATTTTCAGCGACCGATATTCAATGTGCTCGCCTAGGTAGCCTCTACGAGAATATGCATAGGGTCCCTTCCTCATTCATCTGCTAGTGGTGTTTGCCCGGCAAACATGTAAGATTACGCACCTTCAGTGTACCTGATCATATGTTAGCTTACAAGAAATATGGCGGCATGATGCTTCAACTTGAAAAGAGTGCACAGACAAAATTTATATAAAGATTCAATGTCCGTCAGTGATTTGGTACTTCAAAGCCACACAATTATTCTCCTCTTTAAGCTAAAGTAAACTAATAAAGTGGCAAGAAACTAATATAGGTATGATCAAAGGGGTACACTTTAGGATGGCGCATTCAGGCTCGCTCACATGTTTTGATTGTTGCTAATTTGACAATGCTCTTCGACCTCGGATATATACGCCTTGCTAACTCCTATGTATATCTAGACTTGACAGAAGCTGTTGAAATTGTCGTTTCACTCCGATTCCCAGATGCGGTCGGGCATCGATCACGTGACAGCAAGTCCCGTACCTGGCTACCTAGGTATTGCAAGTGATTTTATCTCGATGCTGGCAACAAAACAGATCGATTTCTATTGTATGGAATTGAAAGTTCGAGACAGCGAAGCTAATGCCATGGACATAACCCCTTCACACTGTGTGATGACGCAATTTAGCCGAAATCTTTATGGTACAGTACTTACAGTAAGCGAAAGAACAACCTAGGAAACTTCTTGGCTTCGACCAAACACTCCGACAATCTACTGCTTTCTTTCTTTTCTACATCCATGACTTCCGAGCAACCTCCCACCTCGGAAACAGATGGCGGCCCTCGAAAACGGAGAAGAATCCAATTAGCGTGCGGCACTTGCAGGAGCAGGAAAACGAAATGCGATGGTACACGCCCCATTTGTTCTCCATGTAGGACAAGAGGTGTTGAGGCGTCATGTTCTTATGACAACGCCACGTTACCGAGTCAGAGGTTTGTAATGAATCTATCTAGATTCATCCAAATCTCTCATAGTGAAGCCTATTCTGAGATAAAATAGATATGTCAGTGAACTACAGTCTCAAATCCGGACTTTAAAAAGTGGATCCTCACCTGGCAATGGTATTCCCGATTCATCTCGTCATATCACGGTAAGGAAGTCACTCCTTAGAAAACATTCAGACAGTGACAGACATGAACTGATCATCCATTGTTATAAGCAGGCAGATGAGCCAACCTCGTCGGACACTGCGCGCAGTCCAAATCAACACCTGAAGCTCTCAAATCCAGAGCCAGCTTTTGATGCTCTTGGAACAGCCACATCCCCTAGCTCCCATGCGGAAGTACGATACGGCAATTCGTCGACGATAGCTTTCTCGTCCAGTCTTCGCAAAGCGACCTGTGAGGGTCAACATTCCTCCGATTCATCCTTTGAAGGGAGAGATGGTGGAATACATGGCCTAGAAATCACTAAACAGCCTGATCAAGGCGCATTTCTATTGCCGCCGAGGCACATTGCGGACGACTTTCTCCGATGCTACTGGGAATTCATGCATCCTCTCTTCCCGATCTGGCATCGGCCCTCTTTTGATCGGTGGTATCAACGCATCTGGGAACCTCAAGATGCACCTGTCGATGATAATAATCTAGACCGTATGATTATGTATTCGACACTCAATGTGATGCTGGCTCTAGGGTGTCGGTTCAGCACGATCGTTCCGCCTCGGGACAGGATTGCTAGTGCTGATGACATCTACAAGCGCTCGAGAAAGCTTCTGACCTTCGATATTCTGGACTCTATGCACCTCACGCTTGTCCAGTTACTGCTTCTGATGGGTACATACCTTCAATCGGCGAGGCACGCGGATCGGTTCTGGAATGTGATAGGTCTCGCAATTCGTGTTGCTCAGGGTCTCGGTCTGCATACAGAGCAATCTCCTTCGGAGGTGAAGAGTCAGCGGGACAGTACGTCAAGGCACCATTGTTTTCCAAGACAATTTAGGAGGGGACTCCTCCTCTCGCGAGATCCCACCTCAACCTAGATATCTTCGTATAGCCTTCACTGACTTAGCAATAGTTGAAATGCGTCGCAGAGTCTGGCATACTTGTGTCTTACTGGATAGGTCCGTCCCGAGAAATTCTATTATCTTTCCTTCCTTCCTTCCTTCCATTCGGGGAACATTCAGATCTTGACTTCTAACAGGCTATCGGCGATGAGTTTTGGTTGCCCAACCATGGTAGCACAAGCAAAATCTAGCACAGCTATTCCTGCCATGATCGATGATGATTTCCTCTTGGAATATGGTATTGGTACTCAACCATCGCAGCTGCCATCTCGCATGGCATTGTTTGTCTATTCTCTGAGACTTTTCGATATCCTCGACGAAATACTAACCACGTGCTATCCTATTCGACCTTCGACGTCGAGTCAGCCAGACGACCAGCATACCCCTCACTTGATGAACGACATTCTACGCTTGAATGGAGCCTTGGATGTTCTATACGAAGACATTCCGAGCTATCTCAAGCCAGAAGATTCTGCACGTTCAGTCGACCCGCATCCAGAACATGTCACGCTTCAGAAAAATGTCTTCCGTTCTAGGTGCGTATTTTCAATATGCAGTTGTTGACTCGGTAGGTGCTGATGTGTTCATGTAGATTTCTCTACGTGAGGATCTTGCTCTTTCGGCCCATTCTTCTCAAGGAAGTACAACGAAAGAGGAAAGGTCGATCGAGACTTTCTGAAAGATTCAAGCCTACACTCCAAGAATCATTGGAGACAAGAAGTTGCACCTTGTGCATTGAGACCGCTCTGACGTTGGTTACGCACATTTCAGAGACCAAAGAGTCACTCTATGGTAGTTCAGCATGGCACAGTGTATACTGTGAGTATCCTATCACACCGAACAACAATAGAACTATACATCAGCACTGACTCCAAAAGTGACTTTTGCCGCAGCCATGATTCTGGTCGCTGGACGTCTCTGCGACTTCAACTCCTCGGAGATTTCTCAGGATTCGATAAAGAGATCTTGGAGTATAGCATTTGATATTCTGACGCATTACCAAGCTCAAGTCCCGGCTGCATCTCGAGCTTTCTCCGTTCTTGAAGCTTCGATACGGCAAAATGGCAAGTCTAATTTTACATCAACACAGTCGCAAATGCATGAGAAGGAGGTGCCTTCTTTCACTACCCAGATGAATGAGATACCAAATCATACACCGGAATTACTTTCAGCGCGCCAAACAGAAGCTACTTCTCCTGATTCTTTGGGTTCAACAAAATTGTCTCAGAATGCTGTTCTGCAACTGTATCCTGGTACAAATGCACCAATTCTTGATCAAAATTGTCCTCTTCCAGTCTCCGATACGGTCTCAGCACTTCCCTTCCAAGTGCACGGAATGGATAACTTCGGTCCAATCGATGACTTGTGGTTTACACAGAACTTTGTTGAGTCAAATTGGTTTGATGCTGCAAAGGATTGGGACCAAGGAGGACTTTTCTTTTGATTCTGTCGAGGTCTCCGAAATGACCTCTGCATGGCACTATCATAGGCTCTGTCGAAGATCCGAGTATTGGGTTTCAAGAAGCTCTGGACCAGCGCACCGGCCCGGCCAAATGATGCAGCAACCAGATTGTCCACTCCTATTAGAACCATGCCAGGGAATAGATCAGAGTCCACAATGGCAGTCGAGGGGGCTACTCGTCGACCTTCGCGAATCGTGTGAGGAAGAATAACCTGTGCAAAAACGATGTTAGAGAAAGGACGATCACAAGATTTTTAGAGGCGGAGAGTGCAAAACCACGCTATGACAAATCTGGTATAGTTGGTCCGAGCTGGCATCAATCATGGTTGCTTACCTATGTACCTTTCCAAAGCAATGCTCAGTCCTCAATATTCATCACAGACAGGTACAGCATCACAATAATTAGTGACGTGCATGAACATGGAGCTAAGTCCGATTGTTCCGGCTCCGTATGGTCGTGCTTGTATGGAATGCACACGGTCAAAAGGTAAATGCGTGAGACGGAGAGGTGAGGATAGGTGTGAAAGGTGCTACAAATTATCAAAAGCCTGTCAGTCATCCGAATCCATTCGCAAACGCAATACCAAAAAGCATGAGACGTCGAGAATTGTTCAATTGGAGGAGAAGGTCGACGGCCTTGTCTCTTTGCTGCAGACTGTCAGTCAGACAGGTCCCAACAAAGACTCGGGCTCCTCTTCTATCTTGAGTCTCTCTGTTGGTGCCGAACATAGTTCACCGGGACAATCTTTGAACCAGCACCTGCAATCGTCAAGTACCAACGCACATCCCCACCACGTTTCTATTCCGGGTACCACAACTTTCGGTTCTCCTAGAGCTGGTTCTGGAGCAGCATCGTTGTCCCTCGCGACCAATGTTGATTCGTCCTTGAGCGAGGCAGAGGATTGCCTTGTCATTTTCCGTACTCACATGTTGGAATACTTTGCATTCCTTCACATACCTCATGACCTGTCAGCTCAGCAACTTCAACAACAGAGACCCTTCCTCACTCTTTGTATCGTGGCCGTCGCATGCAAGTCAACTGCACAAAAGATGACGTTAGGTAAGGATATCAAATTAGAATTGGCGCAACGGATGATTCTCGACAATGGAGAGGGAGTAAACCTTGACTTGCTTCTAGGTCTTCTGACGTTCTTATTCTGGTGAGATATTGTGGAGTCACTGAACTCTTTGCTCCACGTTCCTTGTTTGGTCAGTGTTTCCCTAATACTAGAAGCAGGGGACACGATCAACTACTCAATGATACTCCCAAAAGCTTGTCTCTTTTCGCCCAATTTGCAGTAGCATTGGCATTCGACCTCCGCCTGAACAAATTACCGCTGAATGAAACAAATATGCTTCCAACCACGAAGACTCTAGAATCCTCAATGGATTCAAATAAAACGCGAAATATTGACGAGCAACGTGCCGTTCCGGCCTGCTTCGTGTTGAGCTCAATGTACGTAACCCGCATATCTGCTCGGTCAAGCTGATTGACATGACTAGTGTCTCTTCCTATTTCAGCCGAAATGATGCGATGACCTGGACGCCGTACATGGAAGAGTGTCTAGAAATTGTGAGTAGCCAGCACAGCCGGTCAGACCAGATGTTTGCATATCAAGTTCGCATGCAGCTGTTGTCTCACCAAACGGAGGTTGCAAATGATAGTTGGGAAAAGACAACCCTTCCTCCGGCCTTCTACTTCACATCCTTCCAGTCAAAGTTGGATGAATTACTTGAAGATGTTCCAGCAGAACTGCACGAGAATAGTAAGTCGTAGATAATCCATCTCTGTTTAAGATCTTCACTGATGGTTGACAGATATATTTCTCGCTTCAATGTTCTCCACGAAATTGAGCATTTACACGACAGCAATTCGCAAAGCCCCTTTCACAGTGGATAGCGCTGGATTCCAGCGACTGGAACATCTCTACACGTCCCTAAACACCGTGAAAGCTGCACTGGATAACTTCTTCGCTATACCACTATCGTGTTACCTCCGCTTGTCATTCCCCTTTTTTGCGCAACTCTCACAATCCCTCGTAGGTTTGTACAGGCTATCTACCCTCGACGATCCTGCTTGGGACCTTACTTTCGTTCGGTCTACAGTCGATTTGCTTGATGTCCTAGACCGCATCATCAGCAATCTAGAGCAGGCGAATATCGATAGTGGAGACGAGCTCGAAGAAAATGTGTGTGGCAAGACAATCAGAATACTCAAATCAGTCAACTCTTGGTTCACGATGAAATTTGCAGAAAGTGCCAAAGACTCTGGGGACACAGATTTCCATGCCAATGGCGAGAATGGGATCTTCGAAGATTCCTTTCTGCAGGGGATCGATGATGTGTGGATGAGAGACGTATTTCACCTATACGATGGCTCCGGATATCTATGACAGATGAACAAGGTGACTCTTACAGCACACTGATGCTGTCTAGAGGGTCCATTCTTGCTGCTAGACATTCAACACTCTCCGCAAAGGCAAGTACTACGCCAGTATTTGGACTGTATCCCGATTCTTCGAGAATAGCATACACCATCAATTGCTCGCAAGTCGAGACTAATTTTAACTGAGCCGTGATTGGCTGAGCAATTCACCAGACAGATTTACTTACGGTAGAATATAGAGGGAAGGAAAGAAAGACGGGGAGGGAGGTAACAACACGCAAGGAAAGAATATAGAAGCTTAGGATCAGATGGAATAAACAAAATTTCAAGAGGGCCTAAAACGCACCCAGCAACCCATTTTACGTGACCTAATAAGCCTCATTAAGGAAAATCTTCTGACGTTACAGAATTAAGTTAATGGAACATCGGGTGAGTATGACTAGAACGTAGAGTGTGTTTACGAACTGTCGGAAAGCGCTTCAGTCCAATCACGAACTCTTGAAGTGGAATCATGCTTATTGACTGCAGTGTGCCTGGGTAGACAATCATAAAAAGGCGACATGCGATGCAATGTATCGGGCAAGAAATACAATGTTTCGGAGAAACCGAAAGGTATCTGTTGTGTGGGAATGCGGGAAAGATTGTAGGGTTTCGAAAGAAGATAGAAGGATGGATGACCTCATCGAATGATTCCAGCCGCCTTACCCGAAGCACAGCTCTCGGATAATTCAGACTTACAGTAAAAAAACTCGAGAATTGTTGGAGTTTCAAGCTGAGGAAACCCTAATAAGGAGACATCATCGTATTTGGAATATGAGGCCGAAATGGCGCTAGTGAGATATCGACTGTGACTGCGCCCGCTTCCTTCGTCATTACAATCCGTCGCATCGCCTTACGAGGCAATTTCGCCCTCCATTAATCCCTCTTTCTCACAAAGAGCGCATAGAGTCGGATTCAATACAAAACGATAACTCTTGGCCCTCAAACCAATCTGCAGATTCTCAAATTGACCTACCTGCCTTGCCCATCATGCTGCCTTCAGAGGAGAACATCGCTGAATTCCTTGCGTTTGCGCCGGACGCGGGGGAAGGGAAAGCCTTCATGTACTTGGAGGTAGCTTACTCTTGCTTGAACCTATTGACTGCCGCATTGACTGACATCTCTTGAAGGGTGCAGACAACATGGCTGACGCTGTTCGCGACTTCTACGAGAATCCCGACAAGTACTCGCAAACACCTGCAAGCATTCCCCGCGATGCCAAGGAGACAGCCAAGGACACCAAGATGCCGATGCAGATCCAAGCACCACCAGCGCAGTCGTATTCTCCGCCTCCTTATGAAGCCCCACCTGTAGCGACACGGAGGGCACACCGACCACATACAAACCAAGTCATCGAAGCTGGACATATTCGTGCTCGAGATGAGGTAGGATTCCCACATATTTCTACGCTGCTGACACTAACGTCTCACAGCAAGAGATGCAAAACATGCTACAGAATGTGCAGATGGCATTCAAAATTTACAATAGTGATATTGACCCGGAGCACGATTCGGATTACTACTGCAACTGTTTGATTCACCAGTACAAACGGGCGAAGATGAATCGTGTTGGTGTTCAAGAGATGTGGTCCAAAGCGGTCATGTACCCTGGAGAGAAGTCATATCACGACTCCTACCAGATGACCCTCTTCAGCAATAATCCTTACAGATACCGCATCGTCAGCCCCTATGGCTACAACAACAACTCCTATTATTCAACTCCACGGCCTAATCCACGGTACCATGCACAGGCGGTTCAGCAGACCATTCAGTTGAATGCAGCTCTCAACGCAGAAGCACAAGCTGCTATCAATGCTAAGGAGCCAAACTTCAACATTTGGGAAGTTGACCAATTAGCCTCATCGATGTCAAATTTAACCATGGACCAAAGCTCTTCGACTCTAGGTGACGACAAAAAGCGCCCTATGGAAATGGGGTCTGACGAGAAGCGCCAGAGCGTTGCTGGATCATTCACGAATGGAAGTGACAAGAGTGCCAAACCGTCAAGATTTTCAGGTTTGAAGAAAGCCCTTGCTATCAAATCACCCGAGGAGAAAGCAGTCATCAAGACAGAAAAGAAGGCCTCGCGTGGTCGAGAGATTCGAAATGCAATTCTAGCGGAAGAACGAGGTCGATGGCCAGATGATGAATGGCGACAGATTGTGGCCGCTTACCAAGACAAGGTCGGCATGACTCGGAAGATAGCAGATCTCAGAGTCCGTCATCCTACGCAATACCTTCACTTGCTTCGGGCTGGATATTTCGAACCAATTCCAGTAGCTTGGGCAAATCTAAATTCCAATCCTCTCAAATTTTCAATCGAAGCAGCGGCTGGATGGAGAGGAATTACTCCCACTTGGAGAGGTTATGAAGACACTGCAGAAGAGCGGCTCTACTGGGTCCTTAATCACAGAGAGGGTAGTGTCGGAATGAGGATGAAGCCAGATGTCATATCCGAGATGAATATGGCACGTGCTAGGATGGCATCCGCCGTCGAACCACCACCTATCTACTTCTCTCCAGATGATACCTGCCATGTGCAGCATACGTCTGAGGGCTACTCAAAGCAGGTCATGCCGGCCCCATTTAGACCCTTTGATGCCCCAGAAGTCCCCACCGACGACACGATGATTCTGTTAGATGTTTCTGGGTCTATGGATTTTGATCCTGTTCGGCCGAACTACGACCAGTATATGATTACTGGCTATTCTAGATCTACCCAACCCAAGAATAAAGGTGAGCCAGAAAGAATGATTCTTGAATGATCCTAACGCTTCTATAGACGTTGCCAAGGCCATCATCCGCAGATTTACTGATGCGATGGCAAACCACGACCACAATTTCTCAGGCTACCAGCTCACTACTTTCTCAAGTAAAGCCAACTATATTGGAGTTGTGAATCACCAAAATCTCGATAAGATGTGGAGGAACGTCAGACTTGGAGGTGGAACACGAGTTATGACGGGATGGCAAAAGGTGAAGGAGTTGCACTTTCAAAAGCATTCCGAGTCTGCAACTCACCACCCAGTTTATGGCTGGCAAGCGGGTCCGCAGACACCCATGCTGAGATTATTACTTCTTCTGGACGGTGAAGCCACAGATATGGACGAATTCGAACTAGATCTTCTCGGTCTTTCGTGGGTCCATGTCACGATATTCCTGATTGGAGTCGATGGATGTCCCCACCATCACAGACACGCCAACGAGTTGCAAAGAATCAGCGAAGTCAATCACCACGTTGCCTTTGTCGATGCCCAAGGCAACACACCAGAACGATTCGTCACTCACGAGCTACTCAAACGCCATCTTGGGTATGAAATATCAATGTCGGAGTTCGTAGAAATGGAACAGCCGCCCCCATACTCAGGTTGAGATCCCTGCTGTGTTCACAACTCTCGAAGTGCCGTCAGAGACCTTGCCTCAACACTCCTAGGCGCGTATTGCGTGATTGAGATTGGAATCAGAGATCATGCTGTAAGATTAAATAACTTGATCCATTTGAACGGGGAACGGTCGAGGACAGACGACGGTCTTGCATTGGTATTTTTGGCTTGGCGTTGCTTTTGAGCGCATCACCTTTTGTGACATTTTACAAATGATACCCGCTGCTTTTCCATAAAATTCATCTCTCTAAGTTTCCTGAAGCACCACACATCAATGTGGAACAACATAGATAACTCTTGTGGTGGATATTCCGCGAGATGCTTACTCTTACAACTGCTGCCCAGCGAGCAGGCTGAGATATAGCCCATGGCAAGGCCAACGACCATATCCAGCGACGGACTTAAAAAAAGAACAACAGTTTCGGTAAACCTGATGGATTTTGCGGCCCCGTAAACTCCATCTTTACAATTTGGCTTGCCCTCATTCTCTACCATTATTCAGCTCTTTCTATGCTCGTCTCTGACGAAGCTGCTCATGTGGCGCTAGTACCTGCATTAGCCTCACCGCGAGTATCGACAAAACGGGTTAGCTGTGGATCAGCTAACCCGAAGTGGCGAAACCAGCGGTGTCAAAGCATTCCATTCCATCAGCACTGCTCTTTGACATGTAGTCGGACTCAGCTATTCAGGTTTTGTCGCACTTTTCTAGCCGTATAGGGAGATACTCTCGACATGTCTGCAATCGCAGACGAGATACCCAAGGCTCGGACATGTTCATGTTCCGCAAAAGCGCAGACGATGTCCGTCTAGGGAACCAAGAGTGTGCGGACTTTTCACCAATATATAAAGCTCGCTCTGCGCAAGTGCTACAGTCAACATTTTCAGAAATATCTTCATTACCAGCAGAATTGACATCAACACTTCTCAACACTCTTGAATCCAGTCCGAATACTTCTGAAAGCGAAAATGTCTCTTCCTATACCAGCTGCGCTACAACGTATCCTTGCTTCCGCGAAAGTTGACTATGTTCAACTCGGCTCATCTGGACTCAAGGTTTCCTTTCCAATCCTCGGTACTATGGGTATTGGTAGCAAGGCATGGATGGCCTGGGCCATGGAGGAAGACGAGGGTTTAGAGCTATTGAAAGCTGCTTGGGAAAGAGGTGAGAGGTATTTATCGGGCGTGCCAGATATCTAAAACTGATTAAAGCAAGGTCTAACGACATGGGATACTGCCAACGTTTATTCAAATGGTGTAAATGAGGAGGTCGTCGGAAAGGCTATCAAGAAGTTCGGGATACCAAGACAAAAACTGACTATCTTGGTCAAAGTCATGGGTATTGTTCCTGAGGAAGCAGGTATCTTCAATTGGCCATTCGAGGCCCAATTGCAGAAGAGCAAGGACTACGTCAACCAAGGAGGTAGGTCGTTTCTTATCCACGTAAAAATGATACACCTAATTAGAATTCGACCAGGCCTTTCACGTGGAGCGATCTTCAAAGCCGTGGATGCATCTCTCAAGCGATTCGGTACAGATTACATCGATCTTCTCCAGATTCATCGATACGATCCCACTGTCTTTCCCGAAGAGACGATGAAGGCTTTGCACGACCTTGTCCAGGCAGGCAAAGTGCACTACATCGGGGCCAGCTCTATGTGGACATACCAGGTAAATTCTAGATTTTGCTCTCCCAAGTTATCTTACGAGTCCCGTACTCTATGAGACTCCAATGCACGCAGACTCCTCCCGAGATGCCCTCTAAATTATTGAAAAGAAGTATACTAATTCGAAATTTTTCAGTTTGCGCGCATGCAGTTCATTGCCGAGAAGAATGGTTGGACCAAATTCGTTAGTATGCAGAATACTTACAGTCTCTGTTACCGAGAAGAGGAGAGGGAAATGAATAAGTTTTGCAAGGAGACTGGTGTTGGCATCATCAATTGGGGCGCTCTCTATTCGGGCTTGTTGGCCAAGCCCTGGGGAGTCGAGACCCAAAGGTCGAAGGCAAGTGTGGCCATGAGCGGCGGCGTTACAGCTGCAGACGAAGCCATCATCAAACGATGCCAGGAGGTGGCCGAAAAAAAGGATTGCAAAATGGTACAAGTCGCGCTTGCGTGGTTAAGAGCCAAGGGCTGTATTCCTATCGTCGGACTTAATAGTACGAGTCTGGAGAGACTCGACGAAGCCTGTGAAGTGCGAGATGTGCATTTGACTTCTGAGGAGGTCGAGTACTTGGATGCGCCTTATGTTCCCAAGGCTGTTTCTGGACATTTATAAGAGCAGCCATGACAAATCAAAATCGCCTCTGGCTAGGTATACTACAATGCATACTTCGTAAGCGAATGCCGATCACCCGATACCACCCAACTTCTCGAAGCTCTTGCTTCCTTGTTCCCCATCCATTCTCTTTTTATCTCGTCTTCCCGTCCGAGGTGTCATGCCTTTCCCGAGCCGGGGTTGTCGTACGTGTAAACAACGTCGAGTTAAGGTGAGCGATGAAGGAAGTATCCACCCGTGTTCTCGTATTACTAATATTGAGCATTAGTGCGATGAAGCACGCCCAATTTGCAATAGATGCCAGAGAGCCAAGATTGTCTGCCACACTGTTAAAGATGAGGGTAGCTTTGTGTTTCTGGATGAAAATGTATATGCAGCCGGCAGGAAGAAACGCCCAAGGGGACCGAACGTGAACTTCGGCACGACTACTTCGCAAGGAGTATTGTCACCTCAAATGTCAACGCAGTTTTCACAGAATTGCTCTGTACCTCGGACTTTATCTATTCCTGTGGGAGAGCAAGCTTTGACTTATTACTTTCACCATTACGTTGATGCTCCCCAAAGTCTGGTATGTCCATATTCTCATATCAACTGCTATCTTTTTCATTGGGAGCTCCGGAGCTGGTGGTTGTGATAGGACCTACAAACAGATGATGTTCGATTGCTTATCTAAGCTTCCAAGATATCTCCGGGCTCACATAGCTCTCCTGTCGTTTCCAGCATTCTGCAATACTAATTCATTGGTAGTCTGGGATTATGGACGGCCATGGTATGCTTACCCCCATACCAATTTGATGTATCATACATTGGCATTCTGGTTTGGGACATGGGTCAAGAGCAGAAACTCAATGTCAAGGACCTGAAACAAATTTATGCTCTCCAGGCTGTCCAACCATTTTTGGCTCTGTGCTGCGCTGTGCTAATAGGCCCGGTAGTTAAAGGTGCCATGATCGATGGCTGCTATTCTCAGCCTGGATCCATTCTAAGTCTCGCCATTTTTGCCATTTCCCATGCTACATTCGGCCGAGCGAGAAAGAGCCATGCTTCACTGGCTGTCGCATCCACAAAGTACTCGAAGGCTTTGACGAAAACCAACCTGGCATTAAGAAATGACAGTAAAGCAATGAATGACAAAGTACTTCTTGCTATGATGCTTTTAAGTTACTACGAAAATTCAGTGACTGGAAAAATATCAACCTCTCCTAGCCAAAGCATCCAAACTGTGGCTTCACAAAGCTTTTATCATCTGGAAGGTGCCATGGCTATTCTCAAACTGCGAAGACAACAGCAGCAACGCACAGAGCATAGCGCAGAGCTTGACAAACTAGTCCGACGGCAGTTGTTGCGGTCGATACTTTTGCGAAGTATTCCCGTACCACCTTGGCTGCGCGATGGCTCACAATATGGAGAACAAGGCTTTGTGCTTGAGTTTGACGTCTGCATGGTGCGAGCTGCCGAGCTAAGACATCAAGCAAGCACGATTCAGGCAGAATCGGCAGCTGAGTCGTTTCCCGAGAGGTTCACTCGGAAGGTGAAACTTCGCAGTCTTTTATCAGAAGCTCAGGCGCTCGACGAAGATTTGGTTTCCTGGTCGAGTGAGCTGTCTCCGGAGGACCGCTATATCACCCACATCATTCAAACCGACAGGACTCATGAGGTCAACAAGACATTCGATAACACTGTACATGTATATGCTACGGTATGGCATGCTGGGATGTGGAATCGGTATCGTGCTGTTCGTCTTGCAGTGAACGACGTTATCTTCAAAACTCTGTTGGAGCTGAAAGACCCCGATCTAAATTATGCCGAAGAAGCAGCCAAGTCGAGAACGAACAAACTGGCCGATGACCTTTGTGCAAGTATATCATATATGCTGGGTGAGGTTGTGCTAAGTTAAGGGGGAGGGCATGATATCACCATCGTCAGCAAGACTCCTACTTCACTCAGCTTCTCCGTCAAAGCAAGCACGGCGTCCTTCCTTTGCTGGCCGTTAGCTATGGTGGCCATGATGCCCGGATTATCATGCTCACATCAATTCTATCTAAGAAGTCGTTTACTCGATGTTAGCGAGATTGTCGACGATGGGTTATTGAAAACAGTTGCGGAGGGCTTTCCGAATAAAGTTTCTCATGGAATTGCGAAACTAGAACTAGGTGACTGTTACACAGATAAGGGTTAGTCACGGGAATAGGTATGGATATCTACGTCCGGAGCCTAGTAATCATTTCGACTAAGTGCAGAATACTAAAGTAGTGTGTCTCTTTTACAATGAATCGAGACATGTAATCGTTGGCCTCCTTGAGGTGGCTTCAAGTAGTACTGCCGTATTAGATTATGGAAATGTTCAACTTTCATCTTCGGGCCTGTTGAGGAGCATTCCGTGACTTAAAGACGTGTACCCGGAATTGAATGCTCTGAATCTACCAAGGGGAGATGTCATTAAAGGGGCTGTCAAATGCTGACTAAATCCGCCAGTTTTAGCGATGTCACATGCGGGATCTTACATCTGTGCTGACGACAATGGAATTTGGAAGGCCTCAACAATCCAAGTTCTTCCCATCAAGTATCTTGCAAGCTCTCTAGACCTGCCCAAGATTTGAAGCTTTGATAAATGGCATGATTAACCTCCTCTTGGATGTCCTCCCCGGATCACGATGTTCAGCTCATACATTTCCCTTGTATTTCAGGCCCTGGCAACAGCAGTTCTTTGCCTCGTCATCTATCGTCGCTTGTTGCATCCCCTTCACATTTACCCTGGCCCCTTCATAGCCAGCTTCACCAACATCTGGTAAGTGCGCTCCCTGCTCCATAACTTCCAACCACGTGACCTTCGATGTCTTCCTGCGATCTCGATCTGATATGGACCGACAGGAAGTTCTACCACTATTTGAATGGAAATTTGCACATCGTTGAGCAAGATCTGCACCAAAGATACGGTCCCATCATCCGCAGTATGTTCAAATCACACTTGGTTTCTAGACCAATCTGGGAGCCGAGAACACTCTTCGGGAGAGCTCACCTCACATCGGCTTCTTAATTGTCATACCATTACTAATCTGTCAATAGCTGGCCCCAACTCACTCTCCTTCTCGACTCCAGAAGCTTTTGAGTCCATTTACGGGTTCAATCATGGCTTCGAGAAAGGCGATTTCTATGCCTTCGCTCGTGATCCAGCTACTGGAGTCTCCAACATCTTCTCCGCTCGTACACACGCGGAGCATCGTGAACGCCGTCGTAAGGTCATTGCCTCCACTACTTCGCACGTTGGCTCTTACCATCCTGTAATTGCGAGACATGTCCAGCATTTCCTTTCAAAGCTCTCCTCCAGTAGTGCACAGGGGCACGTCGTCAATATCGCGGAACTAGTCCATGCTCTTACCTTCAACGCTCTCGCCGAGGTCATCTATGGTCCTTCTCTCGCGAGCCAGCCATATACAGAAACCACAAACGGGGAAGGCATACTTCCTGCTTTTCGCGCCATCTCCAAATTTGGCTGGGGCGTCTCACACATTCCCCTCCTTGCTTGGCTAATGTCTACCCGTCCTATGGTCAAGATGACCCGTAGACCGACCTTCAACAAACAAGGCGTCCCAACAGGCATAGGCGCACTGGCTGCTCGAGCGAAGGTATTGCTTTTGGAAGACCCGACCCTGGTGACTGGAGTGGACCAGCCAAGCATTGCAAAAAATATGCTGGCAGTAGAAACAGGAGATTCAAGACACATGGGTCCAGTGGAAGTATACAGTGAATGTTTCAATTTGCTGTTTGCGGGACCGGGGAGTACTACTGCCGCTGTGACGAGTGTTCTTGAGCGACTGGGTAGCGAGGAGGGTAGATCATGGCAAGAGAAAATACGAAGCGAACTTCTCCATAAGGCCGACGAGTCTAACGAGAGCGAGAGTCTGTATGCCGTGATTCGCGAGAGTATGAGGCACAGCACGCCTTTTCCTACCGCGTTTCCACGGGAGGTGCGGCCAGGAGCAGAGCAGGCGATTGCGGGAACGGAACTGCCTCTACCTATTGGTACCATTGTCGGTGCTAACAGCTGGATTGTAAGTCATGACACAAGCACCTGGGGCATTGATGCCGGACAGTGGAACCCCTATCGTTGGCTTGATGTGAAAGAGAATGCTGGGAAAAGGCTACTAGAAGACAACTTCATAGTGTTCAGCAAAGGTCCTCGAGGATGCATTGGCAAGGACATCGCGATGCTGCTTATCACACAGGCAGTGGCTGGCATTGTATCAACGTGGCGAATCGAGGGCGCTGGAAAGATGACAGGCGGGGCATGGCTCGAGATGCAGATCGAGTCGTGTGGTCTGAAATTGACTAAGATTTGAACAGTCACACTGCCTATATATGTACCCGCCGAAATGCCCATGAATATGTTTCCATACGTGGAACAATACTGATCATCCGGAATCTGTACTAGAAATGATGAGGCGCAGATCTCCAAGAATGGCAGGGTAACGATTTGTTACCCAATGATTCCAGGCACGTTTGAATCGTGCAATTGCACACAAAGTCTTCCATGCGACAAACAACTGATGCATACGCAGGAACGCATCAGAATAGAAACTGGTGGCGGGTATCGGACTACCGTGGAGACCTTTAGTGGTAGAACCCTAAAAGTTGGGTGCAATATGATACGAGTAGTCCTCGGCGGTTTTGGATCCTTTACTTATCGGTACCTCACGCTTCAATTTACCAGCACAGCGGAACAAAGCCCGGTCCGGCCAATTTTCACTGCCAAGAGATGTCGTATTGCAGGCAACGTTCTGAAGTTCCTCTGTCTTGCCGCAGTGTGTCTGTAGTCACGGTTCCACCACAGCAAAGTAAATGTCCTATTTGATTATTTTGAAACGACTGTTGTTAAGCAACGTTTCTATTTTAGTCTTCTACATTCTCATCTCTGTTGGTCAAGTAATTTTGCGGGGTGGGATTTAAGAACGCAGAGGAAGAAGTCTAGCTATTTGCATAGAACTACTTCTGTGATTCGACTTAGAAAGTCCTTACTTGTCGATACATGTCATGACTATGGAAGGATAGCTTCGATACATTAAGTCAGCTCTCAAGAAATATTCGAAGACGATTTCGGTGACCCAGAATGTCGATTCTACTTTTTGTGCTTTTAGAAGAACACAATTGCGTGGTCTGGCGAGCTTCAAATGGACGATGTATCAGATTTCGAAAGTCCGGGGATGCGTATACACACACAAGGAATATCTTTCCCCTCACACCACGAATGCAATATGGTCATTGATTCACGATGAACACCCGATAGAAGAAACACCAAAGCCCCCCAGTGTTTCAGCTAGAAAGCGTTTCTCCTCACATGGACTGTCGAAGTACACTTTATCTTCTTCTACATCACTATCACTCAGACTTGTTTCGTGGATAAGGCAAACTACTCTTGAGCACACGCTAATTTTTCATTTGACCAAAGCAGTACTGTAATAAGGTGCGAGTCACTATTGCTGTCATTTGTTCTTGATTACTTTCAAATCATTGGAGCCAACCCCGTTGATTGAGCAAGTCACGCAGCATTGGGGAAGGCCGAAGAGTGTCGTGTCTTGTCCTAAGACGTCCACGAAAAGATTACAAAATAACATCATAGTTATAATCACTGGGCTTTAGTCTGAATAGTCCCTCGCGACACCCCCACTTGGCTTACCTCTCTACCTCTCTAGTTCCTCGGAATCACCCCACTTAGTATGTTGCTCCCGTTTAGTTTACGTTAGCTAAGCGTTCTGCATTACGAGGTACCTATCCTTTCATGGTGGAACAAATTCAAGCCTTTAAATATAACCTTAAGTGAGGGATATGAATTGAAACGGTGAATATCAGCTATTTATGAGTCAGAGTACGTGGGATTTGATGGCCGACTCTGCATATGCAAAACTAGCCGAAGCCATGATGTAGGATATACGCATGTCCAATCTCCGAGTAACTTGAGCAATAGCACTAAACTCTACTCTTACTATCACAGCTACTCCGAGGGAGGTCGCGAAGGATGGAGTCAGGTGCAACGGCACACACAGTTTGACGGTGATCACTGAGGCACCAGCTTTCCGATTCGCATTTCAATAACTGAACCACCTCTTTTCAAACTTCGTCGAACAGACTCTCAACTAGTACCCACCTTCATGCGAGCTAGACACTATTATCAACGCAGCTATCAATGCTCGTAATCCCCTGGATGGCAAGACGGATGGTATGGTGGTCGGAAATACATATGCTTGTGCCGTTAGTTCGGTTGTTCTGAAGAAGATACAGAGCGAGACTGTATCTTCAACGCCGGCACGAAGTGGATCGATCACGACTGAAGTGGTGGCTGTCGTACAGGTAAACAATCCCAAAGTTGAGCTAAGCCCGGCTCGTGGCATATTCTAGGATAGTGCCACATGAGCAAGAGCGATTATTGGCTGCCCAGATCATTTGCTAATTCGATTCCAAGACGATTCTTGGTGGTTTACATGGCTGGCGCCGATATTCTACAAGACGCCGCAACTTCTTACAATTCTACCACCGGGAATAAATATCTCCTCGTTTGGAGCAGAACTCTATTAACATTTCCTTCAGCGCATCGACTCGACACCTTTGATTGCATCGAAGGCTTGACTTATGATATTCTTCATGATCGAATGATCCAAGTTTAGAACGAGTACGAGTACACCGTGCACACCAGCAACCCCGACCTGACTCCATTCCTCAAACCCGGAAGTAAAATCGTATATTACCATAGAAAACAAGACGCATCTGGCTTCCAATATATTAAAGTTTGCCTTTGTCGTGTTTCTT